AAAATAATTTTTCACGAAATTTCTCGGCCGACTTACGTTGCAGACGAATTTATTAAATAAAATTATATTCAAATATTTTTGAGTGTTTTTTACGAGAAAAAAAAAGGAAAAAACTGTGCCGTAACGTGCTGTGCCGTGTCCCGGCACGCGTTCTTAATTTTTTTGCCGTGCCGTGCCGTGCCGTGCCGCGGCACAGGAATTTTTGGTGTGCCGTGCCGTGCCGGTGCCGTTGAATTTTCTTAAGACATTCCCCACCCTGCTCCTTGCGAGTCAGCTCGCATTAAAAAGATGTTTATTTTTTATCAAAAGACGAAATTAGTTGCCACGTCTTTTTTTTTCACTCATTTTTCGAATCGACAAAGTGAAAAATTCAATGATTAACGGAAAACCTCAACCTCTGGAATTGTCTACTCGCCAAGGCACTCTTTACGAATTAATTCGCGCTTTGCGAAAGTAAATTTGATACAGCAGCTTGTCACCAATTCAGATTTCGTTTTGAGCGAAGCTGACAGCCAGAACAATTAAAATTAAGTCAAACTTGATCTGTTTATACAAAATATGTTCAAAGCCAGATTCTTTGTTGATTTCAAGTGTTAAGATCGGATTTTCCAAGACGAAGATATTTGGTTCAACAAAGTGCTCACAAGAATTAACCTAGAATTGGGTTCAAAGCAGCAGGATTTGAAGGAGAGAAAGAGGTAGCCTAATTTGAGGAGTTCAATCTCAGTCGTGGTCGATCCAGAGAGAAAGTCGGTTTCTAATGCGCCGCAAATGACCACCCGCGTCCCGTGTGAGGTTAAATTTGGAAGTACAAAGCGAACAGGTGCATCTTAACGTGGAATTTTTAATTTTGCGACGTGGCGCGGCCGCCCCGCTCCGTTGAGCTTTGCGCGGAAATTACAAACGCGCCGACCCTTCTAAACTCATCCCAACGTCCCATCAAATTATAATTTTCAACTAAAGCTGTGGGAAATTTGTTTCTCGCCTTCTCTTTGCAAATTAACGTCTTTCTGATGATCATGCTCAAAAACATGCTGGGTTTTAGTTTCGTTTTTTGATTTATTCGAGAATAATTAATTATCGTCATTGATTACAGTCCATGTTATTTTTCTAGCGAAATTTTCGTTATCAATTGTTGATGAAGTTCCAAAGGTATATTGAAATCTTTTTACTCCCATTATCTCTTCTTCTTTCTCAGTTTTATTGACTGCGAGAATATAGATTTTACTGACAGTGTCGAACTTCGATTCTTGAGCAAAAATCCTCAAATTCTTTTTCTCTGGTAAGTTGAGGATCATTTTTTGCATAAGAGTCCTTGAATATTGCATTTTCCCCCATCTGTCTTTCTTAAGAGGACATATCTCGACAATTTTATTTTCGAAGAAAACTTCCAACCCATGACATGGGATGGTTGCTGTTTGAGTTATGTTGTCCATTTTCCTGCAAGATAGGAGCGTGGATCGTCTTCTCATTGTTTATATCTTGAAGATGCGAAAGCTTGTAGCGAACAACAATGTTGGCATAAGGTTCTCCAGATCCAATCGCTTTTAAAAATAAGTAGATTTCATCAATACTGCTAGCTGAACGCCAATCAGGATTTCTGATTATCTGGAGCATGTTCTTATTTGCTAATTCTCTCTTCTCTTCTTGGGTTAAGAGGTTCTTCTTCTGCTCTTTCAGCTTCCTAACGTCAGCTCTCAGAATGGACATTTCTTCAACAAGACGATTGATAACAGAGTTGAAGTCGACATTCATTATTTGAGGAACCCCTATGGCTGCATTAAGGTCGGGATCATTTCTGTAATCGCCAACAGAGCTCTCCGAAATCGTATTCTCTCTATTTTCCGTCATTGTAGTCCGCAATTTATAGGAAAGATGGAGAAAACATCATCGATCTCGCCGAGCCCATTCACATATTTTACGACGGACGACTAATTTGAGATCATCCGAGTTTCTGCTATTGCGTTTATTTCCGTTGTCTTCCGTTTGATGAACAGACATAGTTTGCTGTCATTCAATTAAAGCTAATTGATCGATTTGACCATCATTATCGCCACTCTGATATTATAAAAATATCGCCATAATTAACTCGTTGTTTGTAGTGACTGGCCAATTCCGTCACGTTTTTCTGGAACGATTGTGCCACTCTGTATTTTCGTTTACAATGAAGCGTTTCTCGTGAACTGCATTGTTTTTTGGACAGCAAAATGACTTTGTAGTCAAAACAGGAAACAATATTTAATGCAAACAGAAATAAGAATTAAATGGGCTGAAAATAAGGGAAAACTGAACGATTCTTCCAGAGAATGTTTTGGCTCCAATCTTTTAAAGCTTGTTCTGACTTGTCTGTTCATTTTTATGATTTTGCAAAAACAAAAATGACAGTTTATATTCTCGATCGTGGGTTAACGATGGGTCTTATAGTAAGAGCTTGTAATGCCTCTCAATTATAATCAGAAGTTAGGTCAAAAAGATCAATCGATTTTCAGATCAATTGAAGTTGCGTCTTTTTTGCTTGGGATAATTACCCTAGTATTTTCAAAATAATTTTACCAGAAGGATGGCCTATCATAAATTTAACCTAAACGCGGCAACGCAAAACAATTTTAATTGAGGATTGTTCAAATATTTTTACTGAAATCATTAAATCGTTCGTTTATTTTTAGACTCATTTAGCCCCGTTTTACTGTGACCAGAATTTTAGATAGAAAAAAAATTGATATTTCGAAACTGAGAAATTTCAATAAATTCAAATATCATGGTCAGGAACTTCGAAGATAGCACTCAAAAATCACGTTTTTATCAAGCTGGCGATACGTGTCAAAGTTCGTGCTCCAAGCCATTCTCGATAAAACATCCTCAAGTAGCCTTGCGGTCGCTGCCATATCCACATCTCGAGGGCACTTTAATGGCTTTTGTATCCATAAGCCCTTCGAGCTGTTTTTCCACCTTCAGCGCTTTTCAAGTCCTTATCACCACTTTCTTCCAGCGCCATTACTTCAAGGACTGATTTTCTGCGAAAGCCGAAAGAACCGCTGATATTCCAGCAAGAAACACGTTGGAGCAGAGTCAATCTAAATCTGGAGACAAGAAGCTCCAGCTGGCGCCTTCGAGGAAATCGCCATGTTCGGCCGTGTTTTTGGACAACTAAATCGTCCATGTTTTACGCGACGCTCGACATGATTGCCTTTTCTACTAGAAGGACAATTTTTGACTTAGAGTTGATACCCCCTTATCAATTAAAATATTGAAATTAAAGTCGATCTTGAGGTGAAAGCCGCCTATTTTCCACTGTCTCTAGCCCAAGTATCTTCTGTAGCGAGCTGTAAACAAGAACAAATAACCCAAGAATTTTCAATAGACGGAGCCGCATTTCAACTGCGATCAGTCCCTTACAAGTTGTAATTCAGCGGATTGAACACGTGCAATCGGATTCGAGCGCTTCATTATCGAAGATTTGACAATATCTTAAAGAAATAAGCTCTCGGCAGATTAGTCAAATCGCCACTTTATTAGATTTTGACCGCTCAAACACGACATTCCTCGAATTTGCTTGTTCAGAACTGTTGCTCTCGCGCTGCATTACAGTTTTTTCGGAGAGCCCTTTTTTCTAACATTAATATTTACCTTTTGGCTCGTGTTCTGGTGTGTTTGAAATGCTCGTTGTACACAGTTTTTGTTCAACTAAAATAACACTTTCTTGTTAGAGTTATTTTTTGTACTCATCAATGACTATTGTACTACTGCTATTTGTAGCTAGAAATCCACGTGTTTGAACTCGACCTCACTTCCTTGGAGAAATGTGGAGAATTATTTGCTTTGGCGATGGACCGACAGTCTTAGTGATAATAAGACTTGTGATCAGAAGCTACGGAAGACTTCCTTTCGGGCGTATAGGGGTGATAAGGCGATAACGTCGAGAGTGGCTCCTACCGCCGACGTGAAACCAAACTCCGCTAAGGAAGTAGGACCAAGGACACCTGGCCGCGCTGGGGTTCGGCTCTTCCAGTCTTGGTCGTATTTCTGGAGCGCTCAAGTCTAAAATTATATATCCGTCAATGTCCAAGTATCACTAATTATATTCTCGAAATTTGAAAGGACCACAAGATGATTACAGTCGTACAGTAAAGTTAAAAATTTGGACAAAACTTTGAAAGAAGATTAACGGCAAAGCACTATTGCTGGAAGATATTTTTCGGAAGAAAATTTTATTGAGCCATCTAACACATCTTAAAATATTTGAGTGATTCAAAAAACGAAGTCTATGAAGCCACATGAACAGCGATTCGACATTCCGCGTGAAGTCCAAACACGCTCAAGAGTTTCCAAACGATGACCAAGAACAAAGTCTCGTATGGCACTTTCCATTCACGTAACGATCCCACCAGCTTAGGAACCGGAGATCAAAGAAATCGTGTATCAAAAAACCACAGAAGTGTTTTTCAGAGAAATAATTTAGAAAACGGTTTTTGCCACTAATAAGCATTTTTTCATAGAAGCATTATTCTCCTTTAATTTTCTTCCTACTGGAATCGAATCCAGCTCAGAGCTTTAAGATGATCCAACCGGTGCTGATCCGCACACGGTTCGAAAGTACGATCAAAAAACGTGCCACCAATATTATGCTGCCCTTACGCATGTGTGTGCCATCCGAGAGTTTAATCGGAGCGGCTTTTTCGCAAGGAAAAGCCAGTGATTTTCATGCCGATTTTGGTGGCTTAGGAAATCGGAAATTTAGTACGGCGTTTTTCCGCTGAATAAAGAGCTTTTATTTAGAATCATTATTTATGAACGAAGACTTTTCAGCCAAAAAATATTTTCGCCAAAAATTTTTGGGTTGATTTTTACGAAAAAACAGCAATTTTTCAAATTCAATGTGATAAAAAACGACGTCCGGGAGAATTCCACCATTTTCGCACATTTCTAGCGCGCTCCAAAAATGATCAATTACTTAATCTGAACGTCTCCCTTTGATCTCCGCGGTACCAGAGCTCTACTTCATGGCAGTCGCCGCAAAGCATCAGCGCTTGTTCGACAAAGCGTTAGGTATTCCCGCTGCGAAAAAATTTCTTGAGCTAAACCGCAATTTTACAATTTCAGAGGCGCTCAAACGTTCCGAAGAAAAACTTAGGTAACGCAGCGTAAAGGAGTGTGTAGACGCGTTCCTAAATGCATTTGATACCATCTCACCTAGAGCCGTGAATTTCGACGACCGCCGGGCTGTATACAATGCCGCGTGCCGGAACGGCTTAGAAATACTTTTGCGAACATTTTTCTCGCCACTGCAGAATTTAATGACGTCAGTCTTTTTTGTGAAAGCTTGCATTGAGAAATTATTGTTAGGAAGCTTCAAAAACGAATAATTGAGAGAATATTGATCATCCATCTCCGAAATTCGAAGCAGATTCACGCTAATAATCCAATTAATAAAAATGCTGAGCGATGTTTTTCCTTGTGGAACGTCTTCGGTAGAAATTCGACTGCTTCTCCAAATACGGCGGTCGAGACAGGTTGCGCCGCAAAGTGACCGTAAGATCGAACATCGTGTACTTAGTAATCAGTAATCATCTTTGCGGCTTCCTGTCTCACTTGACTGTATATACTCGCACAAAAGTGTTCGTGGTCAAGTTGTGCATTCGACTGTGCTTCTATATTCGATTCAAGTCGAAAATCTTCTTGGTTCTTATTACGGCCGCATTTTCGCCGCAATCCAACCTGCATTGACTACTACGCCTTACCGCGTCGGATCATATCTGAGACCTTAAGCCTACACTTTGTCTCATTCTTCCGCCGCAATGAGGAAGCTCTTAGAATCGTTACGGCGTTCGAAATTACAGTTTTAGTTTGAACACCAGCTAATAGCATTTCAGCAAAGAAGGGCTTGCAGAGGAGGACTTCAAGAGGCGACTTGAGATCATTCTCTTACAACGGTAAAGTCAAAAACAAAGTGTTCTAAAAAGGATAAGACGAGCATTTCAGGGCGAAAGTAGCAGTACTAAGTGGAGACCTTGAAGGAGCCGATCTGAATGCTCAATTCGCAATTGGTAAGTTTTATTCCGCAGACACGTTTTTTCTTATTTGTAACTACTTGCGTTAATGAACATTTTCAAAGATTAGAAAATGAAAAATGATAAAGATAAGGTCAATTTATCAAAGATACGAGCCAAATATGCAAGCCGTCTCTTACAGAATCCTGCTTATCCATATACAAGTCTATTGAACTCGATTTCATCCCGACGAGTAATCAAGGCATCAACACGTGATGCGTTAATTAACGGTATACATGTGTGAGTGCCCGGATTTCGCGACTCCAGCTTCGTCGCCTTGTTTACAAATACACTGATTTGAAGGAAAATTATCGACGGTGATTAGGGATTTCGGATGAGCTGGAAGGGATCCTCAAGGCTCAATTTGAGCGTCGTTTTGCGCGCTCTTGAAGTGATGAGTCATTAAAATTCTTATCAGTTTCAAAAGGTGTTCATGCGGCATGCCATAGATTAACAAAAAAAGCTTTAACAAGTGAATTCAGAAAAATCCCCTGTTCTTTAAATACATAATGCTGGAAAATATACTAGCTTTATGGTTCTTTATATCCGGTTTTTGACGATGTTGCTAAAACAGAAATTCAGATCTGAAAATGTCAACACGAGGGTACTATCTTCTTGGAATCGTCGCCGAACAACGACTGGAATTCAAGACTGCAGCCGAATATTTCAAGCAAGTAACAAATTGGCCCTCAACTCCGCTTGCCGTAGGTAAATCATCAGTATAATTCATGCCTAGGATGATTTCAAAAAACTTTTTGTGGGGCCGGAAATCGTAAAACTGCAAGTGCAGTTTTTTTCAGCTCGTCAAGACGAGACGAATGATGGGTCTAACTCCTGATAATTCTAAGGATTGACCGGTTTACCGGCTGGTTACCGGAAAATACGTTGTCACCGGCCGTTTTTGTTCTAGAAGTGATAGACTAATGTTTGACACCGGAAATTGTTTCTTATAGTCAGTTCTCCTGCAGGCTAAAAGATGAAGAGTTTATCAATACTCTGAAGAGAGTTATCACTAAAAACAGTAACTTTTACTAAAATTATGTTGTTGCTGCACGTTCCTAATTTCTAGTCCCATTTTCGCCAAAAATAGTATTTTAGTGATAACTCTCTTCAGAGTATTGATAAACTCTTCATCTTTTAGCCTGCAGGAGAACTGACTAAAAGAAACAATTTCCGGTGTCAAACATTAGTCTATCACTTCTAGAACAAAAACGGCCGGTGACAACGTATTTTCCGGTAACCAGCCGGTAAACCGGTCAATCCTTAGAATTATCAGGAGTTAGACCCATCATTCGACTCGTCTTGACGAGCTGAAGAAAACTGCACTTGCAGTTTTTACGATTTCCGGCCCCACAAAAGTTTTTTGAAATCATCTAGAATACCGGTATGGTTCCGAAAATAAGGGCTGACCTGCATTTGAATTGTATTTTACGTCGTAAAAAAACGCAATTGTGTGATTGTACTTTAGTCATTTATCAGTAGTGCAAGCAAATTTACTCACGTGTCATTTTTATTTCCAAAATGTTTCTTTATTATCAACATCATTTTTAAAATAAACGCTTCACGGAAAGCCTCTAACATAATGTTATCAAAGGCCAATTAAATTAGTTTGCCTTTGTTAGTGGTATTTATGGACGAGCCTTTTTGTCGCGTTTTTGATATAAACAAAAAAAAAGCTCATAAACATATTTTTATGTTTAGCTACGAGGTTAATTAGCCTTAAAAGTTTAACTCATATAACATGTGTTTAAGGAGTAATCCTTATTCAGTATTTTCGTAAATAGAAAAGACATTGATATCATATCATGGTACCGCAGATAACACCTTACTAGGTCAGCCATTATTTTATAGATAATGCTTATTATTAGCTTGATTGTATGAAAATATTGATGACTCGATCTCTCATTTTAGAATCCTCCATGACCAAGAAAGAAAAGCTCCAGCTGCTCGAAACCCTTGTCACTGCCAACTCTGCAAAGTATCGTTCCATCGAAGAATAAAAAAAAATTTCCAGTCAGCTAAAAATAAAATTGAATGGCAAAGAGACAATAAGTACTTGACAAAGTTCTCGCGGCGCCCGATGATTTCATTTTTTTCGGAACATGGCGTAATAAGCTCCACTGTATTAAAATCGACGAGCCTGGCACTTAGATGGGCAAAAAGGGGATCAATGAAAGGGGGACCGAAATGAATGAACGGGAGTTCAATTTTCTAAAAAATGCTCGTCGGAGGCGGACTTATTACGCGAATATGGAGGGGCTCGGTTGAAGTGGTTCACTGTTGGAATTTTCATGAGCGAATAATCTGACGAGCTTTGCTCGAGTGATTTTGCATTCAAGGGGATTTAATCATGATAAGAGGGTTAGGGTGAGTGGAGCCTACAGGAGAGCGCCTCGTGACTTGCCAGAACTCATTTCCTCGCCGGAGTTACGTTTATCAGTATTTTAACTTGTGCGATGGAGTTTCGCGTTGGGTTCTAATTATTTTTCCAGCATGTCAGGTGGTACTGGAATAATGATAGGGCGCTGTCAGCTTTTTACACCTCTAGTATTGCCAATCCAATAGAAGGAGCTTCTTGTTTATCCTTTCAAAAAGTGCAAAATTTGCACAGTGCAGTTGAAAATATAGTTTTAGACTCTTAGCATATGAAAATCACCCGAATTTCTACCGGAGCCTAAACATCCGAAATCTAGCTTCGCTGTTTTAGAAAAAAAAATCTTTTTGAAAATTCAAAGCTTGCTGTAATTTCTGCCGCAAAACATATGAGCTTTCTAACAACTTGATAAAGTAGCTCCAATCAAACGTTATTCCAGAGCAAAGTGGTTGGTCACTCATTTTGGCTAAATGGAGAAAGTGAGGAGCTTCTTCTGATACACGGAGATGTGTGTAAATGCCACATGCAAGGCCACATGCTGTATAAACTCGGGATAATTACACATGTGGCGAGGCGTTTTTTTCATTAGCGCGGTGAGTGAGAATTTTTAGAAAATTTCCACATTGAACCGCCTGCGGATTCTTGGAGAATTATCCCGCTCAAAAGAAAAAGAAAAGAAAAAAATGAACCAGCGTTTAATACTATGCCTATTTCCTTTTAAAAGTTCATTTTGGAAATGATGACGTGCGCGAAAAAGTTCACGGACCCTTGGAAGCTGCTGGTGTCACCTTATGTGGCAAAGTTCCAGAATACTGCGCAGTTCGGTTTCGAAGTAATCTAGTAGCTCTTCTTTCGAAAGTAACTCGAGCGAGCCAAGGATTTGGAAGGACTTGTGGATGACTTCAGGTTGAGGAATAAGGATTTCGACGACGTCTTGAACTATTAGAATGTCGCTTGCTTCGCTAACAAAATAACACGACCAGCGATTTGCGGATTTGGTTTCTTCGTCCGAAGAGAGGGGACAACGTTAGTGCTAAGATTGGATGGTAAGCGGCGCCAGGCGAAATCGAGAACGGATTAACGCAGTCAATAAGTCAGCGAATGCAGGGAAAGGCTTTTGCTGCAGCTGCGATTTCTATATGAACATAGCCTATGTTACATAGGCTTCTAAATACAAATCTTTCTTGAACTCTTTGAGGCTCTCAGTGTCCTATCAGACGCTGACCATAAATATGAGACTTGATTTTCAGTTGAGAATGAGAATGTTCTGATAAATCTTCCAAAGTTCAATTGAAAGCTGCAGTTCTAAAAAATCCTCAGCAGAAGATGCCCCATTACAGCTGATCCTTTCAGCTTTCGCTCACCCAACAAGATAATTCCCATTAGAACAGTCCCCGGCTCTACTGAAGCTGCCACAGTCGTTCAAGTCACCTGGCGCTTAGCTCCTCATTATGCGTCAGGATCGCTTCGATTCTCATTCCAGCTCTTTCAGAAGCTCTCTTACGCTTTGCGCAAATTTCAATCGCGCGCTACAGATGGCGCTGTTTTTGCGCCGCGATGCGCGATGGCGCCACGGCGCACTCGCGACCACTCACGTTGAGATGGACGGCTTTTCATTCAGCAAATAGAGAGAGAAACATAAAGATAACCGAGTCGATATATAATATCGCCTGCTGTTCTTCGTCTTCAAGTTTTTAACTCGAAAGCAACAAATCGCCTTCTCGAAGAAGAAAAATAAAGAATTTTTAAATTCACGGATTGGTATTCTTTCATACCAGCAAAAGAGAACAGTTCGAATAACGTTTCTTTCCCTAGTCGGAGAAAAACGACTCTGCAATAAGAATCCAGTGAAGAAGAATTTCAAGAGTTAAAATCTATAAAAAAAGAACGATCGAGACCAAAACGGACTCGTAAGTATACTAACCTTTTTAGATCAAGCAAAAAGACAAAGCTGAAAGGGAAAGATGCAGTTTAACCAGGATCAAGCTCAAGCTTTGTGGTCTCACCAAATTGCTGGTAAGTTTAATCGTTATCTGTTTCATCCATAGTCAACTCCTTGAATAAAACCTTTCCCCTTCCCAAAAGCCCGTAAATCCTCCCTGTAACACCCTCTCTTCCTTATCATCCTTCGCACCTTATCCTTTTAATCTCCAAACTCCTGGAGATCCAGCGCCGAACCCCGGTCATAATTATTTACTCCCGCATAAAACCCGCACCCATTCTCCACGTCGTCTATTTTGATGGAGCGCCTGCTCTGACTAAACAGTTGGACAAGCCGCAGAGCTATCAGGTTGCGCTATGAAATTGAGTGATTACCCTTCTCTGCTTGTCCCGATAGCATCTTCTACAGAAATCGTTCAAATTTCACTTTCTTCTTGTTTAGCATCGAGAAATCGAATCTATGGACCTTCTCTACCCCAAATTCACTTCCCTCATTATTTCGGTGTACCAACCCCTTCTCCTCATTTGTACCCTTGTTCATACATGTTTATGGCATACTCTAACAACTCATGTCAGCTACGATATCTCAAAATTATCAAAAGCCCTCTTCTATTTAGTATAAAGACAGCTAGTCTCAATCCCGTGTCTCAGAGAAGGGTTGGCTTCTCCACGTTAGATTTGACCAATAATACAGCAACTGCGATAATCGCAAAGCATAATAAACCGCCGCGCGTGGTGTATTTATATAATGAACCACCCCTAAAGCTTCTAAATTATAGCTCAAAATCCAAACACCACTTGGAAAAATCATGGGTTTGCCCATTTTCAAAGAGCCCTCCAAAAATACTGGACCTTCAAATTTGCAAAGATTCAATTTTATGCTAATCCCTTTTCCCAAAAATATAATACGTGATCTCTTCCCTTGACCATAATCCACCACCTATCCAAAATTCAGTTTTTCTTTCTTCGTGAAGTAAAACTTCTCTTTCAGGTCTCCAGCAACAAATGATGGCCGCTCAGGCTCAAGCTCAGCCCCAAGCTCCTAGTTTCGCCCAGCAAGCCTTCGGCTCTGCCCAAGCCCTGCCCTTCATCAACCCTCTCATTGCTCAGGTAAGGACATGATCTAAGTCAAGTTCGCTTACCAGCGAAGTCAAGTCAATCTCGCTTACCGAGAAAGTTTCTCCCGAAATGAAAATTGATCCAAAGAGCAGGACTGATAAGATAATGCCTCGTTTCAGGTTCAAATCCAGCAGCAACTCCAACTTCAGCAGCTTCAGCGACTTTTAGAAGCTCAAAAGTTATTCAACTCGCCCAGATCTCATCATCACTCAAGGTAAGCACTCTTTTTAAATTGTTCTAAAATTTCCCTTTGGAATTTTTCAGGATTCTTATCGGATTTTCGGATTGAGTTATTTTTACAAACGGTTGGAAAATTCTAAATTCTAAGCGTATTTTCTTTAGATCTGGACACGGTACACCGAACAACTTGCCAAAGAACCAACGAAAACAGTTCAAAGCCCGACAGCAGAACACTAGTAACAACCATAACAACGCTACATCCGGAAACAACGGCGCCAGTAATGCGCCGGAAGAAGAGAAGGCTCAACCCTTCAAGAGAATCGTCGCCATCAACTTGCCGGCCAAGTATCAGAATGTCGAAGCTCTCACTTCCGTTTTCCATCCTTATGGTGATGTCAACATCGTCCGTGTTTTGAAGGTAAGTCCAGTTTTCCTCCCCCCATTTTCAAACTTGAGGTACTCCAGCAAAAACTAGAACACCAAGTCCTGTTTGTGTAATTTCCTTTTGAAGAGCTTTAATTATCTTGGTCCTCCCCCTTTTAGAACTAAGCAAGTTACACAAGTGCCTTTTTTGAACACTCAGCAAAAAGCGCTCTTGTCTGAAAATAGCATCAGCGAAAATAGCATTACACTTGAAATAGCTTAGAGAACGGGGCGAGCTTCGGAAATCTGATCAAACTAAAAGCGGCCTTTGGGAAATGTAAGAAAAGTACCGCGATATACGTTTTGGTGTTTTGAAAGCGAGGCGATAAGGCTGACCAACTTCCCACTCTTCAACCAGGCCCGGATTAGGAGCTAACAGCCAGCACGTTTGTAAAAGTCATCGCGCGTTTTAGACCGAGTTCCCTTTAGACTTTGCGTCACCATATTATCGGTCCCGTCATCATAGGCTCAAAGGCTCGAGCAAACTAGTTAAGAATTTACGGGAAACGATTTTACGCAAAAACGTGGCCAGTGTTTTTTCGATAGGCTCAACTGAAGGCCAGAAATTGGCACTGAGTAGCGGCAACGTAAATCTATTTACGCCACAGCTGATATTATCGATCACACTCGATCGAACATCTTGAATCTAGTGCTCTTGCAAAGCATTTTCTAACAATGATTACTCAGCAAAAAGTCGACCAACATATTATTTTTTTCTAAAGCTAATTGTTATCCCATCAACTGATCCAAGAAACCCCATTTCCGTTACTTTCCCTCCCGACATTTTTATATTATGATTTCCCCGTCTATATTTCCTTAAGCCGGGCAAGAACATCCCCGCCGACATCAAACAATGGATCCGTCTGATTCCGGATCTCGGACGAACCGCTTGCGCTGTCATCGATTTCGAGACAGCTCGCGCTGCCAAATTCGCCGTACACGTCTTCCGACAGCGTGAGAATGAAATGGGCTTCCGCTGCGCGCTTCTCAAACCAGGCGTCGACGAGAAACTTTACTCTGAGCGGTAAGCTGCCTGTTGGACTTTATTCAGAATCAGAATAAGGGGATTAGGGTTGTTCGTTTGTAGACGTACTTATTCCAGTGACAGAAAAACTAACTTTGATTTTTCAGTGAGACCGTTCACACAACCAAGCTTGATCTTAACCTGTCCTCTTCCCTCGACACCTCCGACTCTGGAGTCACCTCCGAAGATGCTCACTCCGGCGACAGCGTCCGCTCTAGCTCCGCTTCCGAGCGATCTGCTAGCTCCGAGCCCGAGATCCTCTCCGACTCTGACGGCGAGCACAATCTTAAAACTCTTAATTTTTCCAAATTCGTTTCCGCTCCTGCTAAAACCATTTCTCCCGCTCGGGAAGCTCTTCCAATTTCTCCAGTAGTCAAAAAAGTCGTTTCGGCCGTAGAGCCAAAAATAAGCAGCGAGCCTAAAGTTTACGATCGCGAATTTCTTTCTAAATTTTCCAAAATAAACACTCGACCAGCTGGACTTCCCGACCTGGACTACATCACGCTGGCCGAGAAGCTCGAATCGGAAGCAATTAGGCAGCCACGAGGACCACGAGCTGGCACCAAAGGATTCAAGCTAAGGATTCAACTGAATACCGGCACCCTCGCCTCCAACAACACTTAACCCCACCACCACCAACAAGTACAAACATCCAGGACCTTCACCACCATTTCACTTCCTCTCTCATGAATCGGAACATCCTTAAAGGAACCAGTACTGACGTAGCGCTTGATTGAAACTAAAACTAGAAGCATCGAAATCGTAAACGTAATTAACTTCTTCCACTTCTAAACCCAGGTAAACCAATGAACCAGTATAAATCCCACATGAGCTGAAACGAACCGTCAAAATGACCTTCCCGAAATCCTGCTAACTCCAGATGCCAACTTCCCAATCGACAAAACTCTTCTGAAACTTGAAGAAACGCTCAAACGACACTTGTTTAAATTATTCAAAAAAAAATCCAAAAGACAAAAATGATGAATCTGTACAAATTGAACAAACAACTTTAAAAAAAAAACCTACAAAAAAAATTACCAAGACGACTTGTGGCCCAAAAGATAATCGTGAGGCCGTCACAAACGTAACTGTTAACAAAAATGACTGTATATATAAAAACTATCGACAAAACTGTTATCATTTCATAAATTTGATGAAATAATAAACTTTTTCTGTTCATTTATCCTTTTTCTTGGCTTTGTTTTGTTAGCATGATTGGTTAAAAATGACTATTAAAAATTATAAATTATAATTAAAAATTTTTAATATTTTTTGTTTCATTCAAATTGTGGTCGAAATCTCAAATCGCTAATTTTATTTGAAGAATGAAAGAAGGTAAAACACAATATTCGCATGATAAGGTAGAAATGGCAGCAGAAGAATGTAACTTGATCGAGTGGTTGTTTAGAAATATGCTGTTAGAAATTAAAAGTTGGAAGGGGCGTCGACAGTTGGATTGGGCGAGTAGCGGAGTTTGGAGCGTTCCAAAGCTTCGGGAATATTTACATGAAGCGGACTGTATTTCTAACGCTGGCTCACCTTTCAGATCGTCCATGAAAGGCACCTCGGCTTCTTCAACTTCATCCTCCTCCTCCTCGTCTCCAGCAGCGCTAGACATCTGAGACACGCTGCTCATCAGTTGTCTGGAAAATCCGTTAATTTCAAGGAAGTTCTACACGTCCAATCCTTGACGCGATGTATAATTGGAGATGAATTTTATCACGACATTTTGGTAGTACCACATCTTTCCGATTAAGATCCTTCCTTGCGAGAGATAAAGATATCTTAATCGTATAAGTTATACGGTATAACTTCCAAGGTTGATGCTTGTTGATTCATGCGAAAGTGCAGTACAAACAAAAACGATGCGGACTTGAATCTTACTGAGTCTGTGTACCGATTTTCCCTCGTCGCAGCGAGCGTGACTGAGTGAACCGAAGCAGCTTTGGACGGTAGTTCGCGTTCCATTTCGCGGTCGTACTCGTACAAACTCCCGTAGTTCTGGTCAAAGGCGTATTTCTAGGAGAAAAAAGAAAGGAAGAAGATAAAGGTTTATTATTGACTTACGTCTGCGGATATTATCTGGTCGATTTGATTGCTTAGGTCTCGGCCTTCATTTTGCATTGGAAATGTCTTAAAATTTTAATATTTGAATAATTATTTTTCAGCAATAATCAAATCGATAATGGAGTTAGTGTTATTGCATGAATAATAGTAGAATTTGGCTAGTGTATAAAATATAGCTTATGAAGGGTCAATTTTGGATGCGTGCCTAAAGCAGCTTGTTACGTAACCGTTGAACGACTTTTCGAGAATCAATGTGTTCACCCGGGGCTGTTTTTCACCTCGATCAATAACTCTCCCTTTTCCCAAAGACTGAAAAAACCTCTCGTTTTTCGAAAGAGATTCATTTCAAAGCCGTCAAAATGTGCAAAGAAGTCTCAAGCACTCATCAGGTAATAATATTTTGGGTGAGAACAGACATCTATTAGCTGCTCCCGTCATAATGAAATAAGTAAAAATGAATTGAATCTTGACGCAAATTTTCTAAAAAGTGTTTCACCACGTTGTCGACATGCTCAACACAGCCAAAATAGTACCCTTACCTAAACGGATCAATTTTGATGAACGCAGCCGTTAATCTGCAATTTCGGCGATCCGGGGCTTTATTTTTGGCGGAAGGGAATCGACAAATTTGCCGTTCATCAGCTTCTAGCAAAAATTTTCCCTGTGGAATTATTCATGTGTTGACACTTGAGTTAAGGATCTTAATCTTGCGCTCATGCCGTTTTAATTTGGCATGTTTAGGGTTATTTTACGGATCAGTTCATTTATCGAGCTGAAATCCCCGAGGAAATTAATAAAATCTATTTCGATACATATCAGTGATATGATATCACCGAAAGCTCTGGAAGATAAGCTCACTTGACCCTGGAAGTAATAAACGTTCAGAACGCGTGCAACTTGATTCTTGTCGGTGTTCTCGCTGGTTTCGCCTATCTCTGCTACAAGAAAAACTTGGATAAGAAAAAAGAGTAACACGTCTTATCAGAAAAGGCTCATCCTCTTTGAGACGGATCTTCAATGTCTATGAAACATTATAAATCCTTGTAACCCTCTGAACTTCTCTCTGTAGCTCTCAATAATTTTCGGCCAAATATAATTTTTTAAAACTTGAAAAAAACTCAAAGTGCTCGCGAGATTTCTAGAATTAGTTTTTTGCAGTTGATTTTTCTCAGATTCAACTTGGAAAAAATCGAGAGAACATGTCGCAGTCATTTTTGCTTTCAGAAAATGTGAAAAAGTCGAGAAACAAGGTCGAGCCGGTCGAGACAAAAAGTGAAGGTAAGCCTTCGTCATCATAAGAGGACTATTTTATCCGTAGAATGCATGACAGACAAAGACCTCGACCCGTATCAGATCTTTTCACGAAACACGATGACCTTGGTGCAACTGAACGAAACAGTATGCTCGAAAATGAGCTGTGACGAGATCCCAGTTGGGAAATCGCTGAATACAACGATTCCGAATATACAGGACGAGTCTGGCGATCTTTTTGAAAGAATGAATTTTATGCGAATTTGCATTGAAAAATATCAGGTTCGATTTATGCTAAAAATGTTGTTTCTCAAAAATGATTTCAGAAAAAGAAGAAAATACCTGATTTTCAAGGATTAACTGAACAACAACGCGCAAAAATGCTCATGAAACTCCCTCGCTGGAAAGCTAAAGACTCGAAAATTACCACGAAACTTTACCGCGGATCTGAGGATGAGATGAGCTACTTGTCAGTTTACACGGGATGGACGGTTCCGGAAATAGAAGCCCTCCACGGCGTTGAGGTTGATATAAGTAAGTTTTTCGGAGGAAATAAAAAATGCTCAAAAAGTAATTTAGAAAAGAAAAACACCCGCTGTTGGGTCCTCCTGGCTTTCATCCTCCTACTGCTCATTGCGTCAGCAGTTTTCCTCCTTTCTCACTTCAAAATTATCACTGTGCTTTAGCTGCCAAAATATACCCGCCTCACTGACATAATAAACGAATCCTATGATATCATACTTGTACTCGGAACGATCCAGGAATACTCTTATTTTATAATCGACTTACTATTCGCGTCGCACAGGTGCAAGGTAAGGCAAGGAGCTTATCTTACGAATTGGGACACATTTTAGTTCGATCTTGGTCTGATAAATTTCACGGGAGTGCATATAACTCGGCTGGAAGCCCCGAAATACAACAAAAAAAACGAGAATTAAAATGAATCTTTAGGACTTAGCCATGCGTCAATAATTGTATCTGGAGAACGACAAAATGAAACTTCATGATAACCACTTTTCTCGTAGTGACTTTGGTTTAAAAGAAAAATAAATTATAGATTATGATAAGTATAAATTAGTACTGTTCTTCATGTTGCGTTAATTTCTTAAAAATCGTATGCATGATAAATCAAAAAAAGCGAAATCCAATTAGATTAACCTGACAGTACGATCTTCCGCTCTCTCGTCGGCGAAAGCGTTTTATTTCCGCCTCGGTATTCTAATGCCAATCGATAGAAAACTATGTAATGCACGTGCTTTCACGGTAGCTTACCTGAGATCTTGAGGGAATCGAAGAAGTGTCGAAATTGGCGCGGTTTATAGATGGAGGATTAGGGATCTTTGCCGGCGTCTAAAAAGGAGGACAACGTCAAGTTCAGCAATCTTTTGACCACGAATCTTTGAAGATAGAGGAAAGAGCCATTACTCACATTGTCCTGTGTCGATTTTATTTCTTCTACATATTCTGGGTACACCGGCGAGTACGCACGTGGCATCTTGTTCCTCTGCTATGATAAGCTGTTATCAATTAAACGACTTCCGAGCTATCCACAAGTCTGATATTTCCATGTTCGACGGAAGATCAATTTCCTACCCAAAATGACGCTCGAAACTTTGGTTGACTGAAGTTTGCGCTTTTAAGAACCTCGTAGAAGAAGTGTGTTCTTTATTAAGGGATTGAACTAGCTGGACCTCTGCGAATGTTAACATAGAGGCTTATTTTTTTCGTTTCTAATATAAAAACTCGTGTTCGCCCTTGTTACTTTCACTTGTTTCGTACCTGTTGCTGAGGTGGACCGGGCGTAATCTCACGCGCTCCATGTCGCTCGCCGGGAAGAAGACATTGATGTTGATCTTGTTCTTGTACCTGAAAGAAAAGACGTCTAAGCAAAATCAAGCGACAAAAATACCATTTGCTGACGAAGCTCCAGATTGTTGCTCGATCCTTGGTCGACGAGGTTCATTCGGGAGTGGATTTTCGTGATCATTTTTTCTTCCTGGATCGTTTGAACGGATGTGTATCTGAATAGCATTTTCGGAATAGCCTTTTTCTACAGAATTATTCAAAATAAGGGTTTTTTTTTAATTGTGGTCGTTGGGCAAATCCGGTTGACTCGTTTTTATCCGGAAGTGAAAGTTGTTTCGAACAAAACTCTCGCTCCTTATTTATATCCGAAATTAAAGCTTAAGAAATGTTGAATTTCGTGATCTTTAATACCTCATTTTCTTCGGCTTTAAATTCGGTGAGCAAACCAAGAACGCGGAGAAGATATACAGCGAGGTTCCGATAGCATACAGGGCCATCACTCCCCAACACACAAATAAGCAGATTCCATTTCGGAAGGTGGTCCGGACTTGCTCATCGATTTCAAAATATTTCTCCTTGGATAAGATGAGGTTGATCTGGTCCTGTAACTCGGATATGCAAAATACGCGCGCCAAAAGAGTAGAAACAGCTGGGGAACGGAAGGCACTCGTATTGATTTAGTCGTACGAGGCAATATAAAGGACAACAGCGAAAAAGTTGTAAAACTTTTTTTGTGCTTGTAAATCATGTGGCAGCAAAAAGTACGATCGATCGAAAAGTATCTTCAATCAAAAAATTATTTATCCGTTTGCAGCTGCACTTAGTTATTCAGTAATCGCGCGATTTTGAGTCCGTGGCCTGTTGTGAGTTGTCAACGGGCTCTTTGAACATGATCGGAAATAAACAACCGGTGAGGCCACTGAGTACTCCAGCAGCAACGATGAAGACGGAGGCAAAAAACTGCACCAGGCAGGTGCACCTGACCTTGCAGCAAACCATTCCAGTTCCCAGAATCGACAGAAACGTGCCAAATAAACCAGTGACGAAGGAAAATAGAAGGAAAGTTCTAGCGAAGAAAATGTAGCTCGGCTCATCGCGGATTTCAAGCTGAAGATAATGTAAAAATTGTTTTCATTGGCACTCTGTTAATTATAAATAAATATCGACCATGAAGGCATTTTAATCTTGTTTTGGCCTTTTTGAGGTCCATTAGTTGCATGATTTAATGATTTAAAAATCAATTTTTCTCGAAATTATCGAGCGCATCTTTCATGTCAGTGACAAACCTTCCACGCGATGTCGTCATTCCAAAAGGCAAAAGTGGTACTTGTATTTGTTGAGGAGCAGATTGAAAATAGACCGATTGAGATTGACTTCTGGGAGTTGATTTGCGCCACTTTCCAGAAAGGGATTATGAGGATGGCGACTTTGACGTGATTTTGAAGCAATTACAGACAAGATAAATCAGTTAGTTCTTACAAAACAAGGCTACAGTATCTCACAATTGATCAAACGGGGATGAGCACCACACTGCTGCTATTCAATCCACGTAGCGCGCAATATTAATATGCCGTGAACTCCCATTCATATTTAATTGTCCGAGCTCTGGATAAGAAATTGCTCTAATAAGTGGCCCGGCTTGAGAAGAAAAGAAGCCCCGTTATTCTTATAAAATTTATAGTGGGCTCTAATAGAAGTCCTCGATCGCAGCTCAAATTATTAATTCGAAATCACGTGCCTGATAAAGCAACTGCCGCCACTAAAATCATGAGCGAGATTGTTTGGATGGCGACGAGTGTGACTGGAATTTTTCCATTGACGATTCTTAACATTTTCGTACTCCTCGTTGTCTCCCATTTTCCTTACCTGAAATTATCCGAGCAAAGCGAAACGCGGGAATGTCTCTTTTTCTTGTCAAAATCATCGTTGTCGTTGATCTCCATATTATCGTTGGAAGAGTCGCTTGTCTTTAGGTGGGTTGCCCGCCATATGTTCTCGCTAAGATCATCATTATTCTCCTCCTAATTAATTAGTGATAATTATTTATGAGGTGCTTTCCGCTGATTAACGACGGAATCGACGCGTTCTTTCACGTCTACGAGTCTAGCTCAAATGCAAATTATCCACGCGAATGATAGGCTATTTACTTATCGTCGATAAGTTATCGATGCATTTTCATCCCCATTTCCATCACGTCAAAAGTCACTAACGTTTCTCTCACGTCTCTTTTCCCACTCTTAGCTAAAAGGAGTGCGGCGACAGCGGTGATGATTGTGCATGCGATAATATATAATATCCTAAGTCGTCATGGCCGCTCTGCTGCGACGTGCATATATGGACACGATATATCCTTATTTCTTAGACGGAGCTTAGGGATTTTCTTATAATACAGAGAATTAGAATGCCTAATCATCTATTTTCCTGAAAGGATGAGGGAGATTATGCATGGTCATGTAAATTAATCAAATTTGTCAGAACGGATTAAGGTAAACCCTTCCTTTGACACCAGAGTATAACTACTCGCCATGGCTGTTGTTTTCTGAGTCACTCTCTTTTTTTTTAATTGTCTGTCAGATAGAAAAAAAATGAAATTTTAAACAATATTGTCTAACGGATTTGTTCGCTGGTAAGAAGGGAACTATCGGGCGCCTTTGCTCGTCATTCTTTATCGAAGAAGAAGTGAGCGCCACGCCATGGGGAGCCGTACGGCGCGCTCCTTCCTAACCGTAGAGCCAGAAAATATTGACATCGATTTTTGGAACGTATCGGACAGACAACGAGTGCATTAAGCATTCTGGAGGGTTGACTCTTGGACCATGACGGCGCTTCCCACGTGGATAAACCGATAATTATTGGACCAGGTGCTGATTTCGGAAAGCCATGAATATATTACAATTTTAATTTCCGCTGTTTAACCGACTTCTGAAGATGGAAATAAGCTGGGCACAGGATTGCTGATCTGTTCTTCCTGAGCACAGCATGAGAATGAAAACTTATCTTTTTCAGTAAACAAATTCTCATGACAATTAATCCGGCGGGGCTGCACTTTTTCTGCTTTACGACTTGAAAACTGCAATAAAATGGAAAAACTTCTTGGTTGTCGTCGACAACTTGTCGAACAACAATAAATTTTCATTTAAAACTACATACTGTTTTATGTATCGAATGTACAAAAAACGGATGATCTAATGAAATTCGGTTCGAACGAGTGATCTCAGTGGGGATCTGAGACTCCCTGAATCGATTTGACAGGGGATGATAAATTCCTAGCTCAGTGAACTTTGAAATTACTCTTTTGTTTTTCAAAACAAAATATCTCTCAAAAAAGCACTCCTATTAAAAATGACGTGTAATGCTCATAATTTAACTCTTATTGGAAGTTTGTCTATAATCTTCCGCAGATAGACCACTATTCTAATCGATGAAAAACATTTTCTACTGATGAAATATTATTAAAATATAAAAATGACTCAGCAGGAGATCTGGATTTTAAGCTTCCCTTAGAGTCAAAGGAGTTAAATATTTAGAGCTGGCTCGAATTGTCTTTGAGTTCTGAAGCGCCGTCGTCTGGGCAACGCGGAAGGAAAATATCGACAGCAACTAAACTAAATGGCTCGGCTCTGTAATTTTTAAGTGTAAATTTCGTTTCAAGAGGTTAACGACGTGCATCAGCAGTTCTATCGGCTGTGATTCAGGAAAATTAGAGACAGAGCGGCATCAACTTTGGAGATCTAAAAAGAAGTCAGGAGAAGATGACGACGAATTTGATAGGGCTCGGAGATGAGCATTGGCTGAGAGAAAGTTTGAGGAAGGATCCGTTGCAAGAATTGAAAGATGTCAAAGCGGAACTTCAAAGAAAGGTAAATAATAAGAGTTTTCGTTGATTTCATTTTTTTTTCTTTGATTTGTAGGAGTAATTTCTTTTCTTGAACGTAAGATTCCTTCAACCGAATTTTTAGACAGAAATGCTTGAAAGAATCGAGCAACGAAAACCAGCAAATACATTTCAACACACTGTTTATCACGAAGTTCCTCGAGATCCCTTGATTCCCAACTACGGGCAGAGGCCTGTATCTGCAATGGGATATCCGTCTGGAAATAATTACCGGGACAATTACCACTCATATCCTGTGATGTACAATAATCAAGCGCAAACTCAACTAACAGAAGAGAATCGAAGGCTAAAAGCTCGAGTTCGTGATCTTGAATCTCGAGTGGATCATCTTTTACGCGGACAAAATGACATTGAATCCGGAAGCAAAACGATGAATACAATCTGGGATGAGATGGTCACTCAGCTGTGTGAGCTGTTTGGTGCTGCTATTGAAGATAAGGAAGATAAAGTCGCTGCAACTACTGTTGTCTTAGCTAGAGCTAGAGAAGTTAAATCAGAGATGATTGAACTTCAGGCGAAAAATGCTCAGGTAATAGAGAGCATTCTTCAACAAAAAAAATTCAAGCGTTTTTAGTTGCAAACAGAAGTTGACCGATCCGGCGCATCTGCTGAGTCCGCTCAAGAAACAATTGCTCGAATGGCGGCCCAAATCACTGATTCGCAAACATCGAGCAATGATCAGAAAACGGAGATAACTGATCTGAATAAACACCTTATCGAAGCTGCCGCTGAGAAAGATCGACTTGAAGCTGAAGTCGCATATCTCAAGGTCGGTTCTTCTTCAGTTCATAAAGCTTAACTTTCTTTAGTCTCGATTAGACGCCGCAAACTCTGCCTGGGAAGCCGCAAAAGAAGAGACCGGAGGTGCCGCTGCGGAAAAAGAAGGACTTGCTGCAGAAGTTGCGGAATTGACACATGCAAAGAATTTATTGGAATCCGAAATAAATCTCTTTGTTGGAAACATGGCGAATATGCTCTCGAAGCCTGATCTTGTCGTTGAAGCAACTATGGACGCTGTTCGCGATCGGGTCAAGACTTTGTATGGAACTCAAGATAGCAGCCAAAGAACGATCAAGATTCTCGAGCAGAAGCTTCTTGAAGGTAAGATCAAACTCTAGGTCTTTTCTTTGACTAGTCTGCAGTACCCTTCAACCCGGTACTCACTATTAATTTCTGTCTCTTTTACGCAAATATTTATTCTGATCAGCTACATTGTCACTACGTTCATAGTCAAATAATGATCGATAAATATTTGCTTTAGTCACTCAGCAACTGGAAAAACAATGTGAAATCCATACCGAAACCTTACGAAGGGCAAAACGACTGGAGACGGAAAATAACCAAGATAAGAACAGATTCAACAGAATCGAGGATGATCTTGCAGCTGCATCTGTCTTGAACTCGACGCTCTCGAATCAGAGGGAGCGTTTCAATGCGTTTCTTCAGGAAATGTTCGACTATGATAACTTCGACAAATTTTATTACCGTAGAATATCAATTGATATAATTCGATTAAAATCTCTATTCCTCAATAAAACAAAAACTTTATGATTCTCTAAAAATCGAATTCAAATAAGGATCTTGCTGATGCAATGAAAGTAACATCTGAAGACACCGCTCGTGATCTTGAGCTATCCACAGATATCCTCCTCGACCGAGCTCGGCAATTAGGTCAATTGAATACTGAAGAGCTTGCGGAGAAATCGTCCGGGTATTACTCCATCAAGCGACAACTCAAAGCTGCAAAGTAGGAGCCATTCATTTGTCTCTCATCTAAAATTTTTTTCAGGGACCAAGTAAGATCCAAAGAAATGCACATCGAGATGATGAGAAAGAAGATGAATCGCCTCGAAATCGAATCCGGTCAACGATCGTCTCTTGCTGTGGATAGAGACGATGCAGTTGTAGCTCTTCAGGTTGTTCATTTTGGTAGAATCATTGAAGAACCGTGTTTTTTAGAAAACGCAAAAGAAAAACGAAAGAATGAAAGTCGAGCTTGCGAACGAACGGCAAATTATTCTTGAGCTAAAAGCAAAAATGTCGGATGTCGGAGAACTTCGAGCGTCGAATATGGAATTGATCGACCAACTTGAAAAGGCCAAAACAGCTGTTGAGAAATTATCCGCGATCCGAGATAGGCAAAAACAGCACATTCAGGTTGAGCAAAGAGTTTTCTCAACAAATTTATCGATGATTTCAGGAGCTGAAAGACGAACTGAAGCTTTCGTCGCATTCAGCTGATTCGGAGCGGGGAACACTGCAAACACACTTACAAGCTCTTACCTCAGACTTGCAGACAACAAAGAAAGCTCTTGATGACGCCATCGCTCGCGAAAAAATGGTGATTTTAATATCTCTCATTGCATCTAAAAGTTTTTAATTAGCTCGTTGAATTCCGCGAAGTTGTTGCTAGAATGCTTGGCCTTGATGTCTCAAGACTTGCTGTCCCAGGAATGTTTATAAATACTATCATTCCATTCCGTTTTTTGTCGCAATCTGTGATATTTTTCAATAATAGATGCTAATTCTAATTCTAAGCATAAAAAGACTACGAAGTTGTCACTCGCTTAGAGCGATTAATTCAAAACCATCACGCAACGAATGCTGGTCTCCATCCAGGTTAAGATCCTCTTCGGTACTTTTATTAAATTGAGTTTAGGCGTGCCCGTAAATACTGCGATTCAAGATCCGAATTTTCAAACCGGGTTTATGCAGGTTCCTGTGGAGGTTGTAACGTCGCAGCAATCAAGGTAAAAGGAACGAATTACTGTAATAATTCGAATATTTCAGCAGTCAAAGACCTAATAATCGACCTCGACGCCAGCGATACTGATAATGTTTATTTCTATTTTTTCTACTGTTGATTTTAAAATCGGTGAAAATAAAAAATTGCCCTTCAAGTGATCATTCTCCGATTACCCAAAATTACAGTGAGTAAAGAGTTTTCTGGAGAAAAGATTTCAAAAAAAATATTTTACGACCTCGGTTGAAACTGCTTGAACGAAATGTCGATTCTAATCCTTTCTACGGTTGACTTTTGAGGAAACTGCTCCTCGCTCGTTTCGCATCGGCTCAGTCGCCGTTTTTATTAACTAAAAATGGGCAACTCTAAGTCGAAAGTTGACCCGACAGAGGGGAAGGATCCAGTTCCAGATGACTTAGAGACTGATAAGCGACAGCCAGAGGTAGATGATGAGCAAGATGATAATGACATCCCTTCAATTGCTGATGGTCCAGAAAGGTAATAGTATATTGATGAAGACTTATTAGTAAATGCGAGTAGTGAGGTCAGTGAGGAGGCTCCATCATCGGAGCAACCTTCTTCTGAAGGGAAACCTCCGTCTTATCCGAAAGAGGACCCACCACCATACAAGGAAAAATCGTCAGAGGAAAAGACAGAAGCTGGCTCAACAGAGGCTGGTTCATCAGCTCAGAGTGATGGCGACAACATTTCTCAGGGAAGCACTCAGATAAAACGAGCTCCTTCCAAATCGAGATCAGAAGAAGAGATCACTCCAGTGTCAGATGATGAAGATGAACCAACTACCAGTCGATCCAAGGATACTGAGTCGATCACTCCTATCGACGAAGACGAGGAGTCAGATGATGATGATGATGAAGAAGAAGAATCAGATGAGGATAATGAAGATGATAAGAAGTCGGATCCCTCAGAAACTCCTGCCGATGCAAAGGAGAGAGAAGATCAAGAAGCTCAAAAGAGAATGTTCACCAACTTTTCTCTTCTTTCAAAGAAAAGCAAAGGCAGCAAAAAGGTAAAAGAAGAAATAGATGAAGAAACAGGTCTTTCTCCCGAAGAAGAGGCGGCTCAGCTTAGAAAGAAACAGCAAGAACACTACAAACGACTTTTGGATAGCTCCACACCTTTTATTTTCGATAAGTCTGCGTTACCCGAGCTTATTGAAGAAACTGTGTCTCCTTTCGACAATTATGATACAGTGGGAGTTACAACTGAGTATCCGAAATGGGCGATCAGCAACTTCAACGCTTCTGGATTAGTCCAGAGTCCATCTGCAATGTCGAAAATGCAAACTAATATGCAATACTTTGCCGTTATTTTGCCATTCATTGATTTGTCCGCTGATATTTTCTCCGCATATCTTTTTTTGAGCTCTAACTTGGGTTTTGAAAAGGCTGTTGGTCTTGCTGTTGCTTTTAACGTTATTGTTGTTCCGTCTTTCCAAATTATGTTTGCGATGATTCGTCCTAACGACGTTGAGGAACAACTGATGCGCGAACTTCCTGACAATCCGTTCATAAGGGTCCCTGTTATCTGTGCTGTCATTGCGCTAGGGTGCATTACGTCTGTCATGTTGCAGTGCTATGAAAAAGTCAAACTCGTGGATCAAATGACAACAGTCGGAGATGACGAAGAAAGTAAGAACGTCAGAGCTTATGGAGGTATTTCTTTGATCCATTTCAAACTCCGAGAAATCGGTATGGAACAGAGTACCCAACTAACTTACAAGCTTTGTATGTTGATCTTCATTTACTTCCATCAAAACCAGGATATCACCTCCGTCCCGCTTTCTACTTATTTCATCTTTGTCGGCAAACGAGTTTGGATCATTATCTCAGGATTGCTTGATGCGTGGACAATTTTCAGTACAATTCTCGATTCGGCGAATATGCTGCACATTTTCCGTCGTGGTCGACCAATGTCATTCGTCAGCCAGTTTCTCCGATTAGTTCACATTACGATGTCGATTTTGATGGGTTCGGTAATTGGGTTTTTGATTCTTCACATTGGTTTCCGAGATGAACGATGGAAATGGAAACGAGTTGATATGGAGAAGAAAGGAGAGAAGCTCTATGTTCTCATGGGTATCCTCCTCTTTATATTTGTGCCGATGTTGACTATGATCATCAACATGATCTCTCTCTACGTAAAGTCTTTCAAGCAAAAATGGATTTCATACGACATCCGAATGAAGTACGGTATCTATCAAGGCGTCATCCAGCTCAACTTCCTCGAAATGCACGTTGGTCTACTCACACCAAAAGACAAAGTTTCACTAAAGACGATCATGACTCTTGTCTATGGAACCGTAGTCGAAATCGTCACTTGGATGTTTTTGCTTTGTGGTATCGCTTTTTACAGGGAGAATGGCTTCTACTTGTACGATGCTAGTGAGCACGTCTACATGATTGACAACACCTTCCCGTTGTACACAGATACGTATTTCCGGTATTCCCTCGGTCAGAAGCCGTCGTTGCTAACGGCCGAAATGAACATTTTGATATCCGACATGCCCCATACGCATACGACAGAAGATTTCATTCACTATCCTTATCAATGGGAGCGCGTTCCAAACGCAACGCACTATTACGACTACTACACACATCCTCGCGTGATGGGTGACATCATCAAAAATATCGACGAGTTTGGTTTCGAGGACATCTGTATTTATAACGATGCACTGCAAAACGTCTGCTATAAAAATGATACCATTAACGAAAATGGACTGGAGGTAGTCTTGAACAACCCTTTCTTCAAGCGTAAATATTTGGAATGTTATTCGTATATTTTCAAATACACTCCGGCGGAGTTCCGTTACGACTTAGAAGCGCATGCTGAAGTTGAAATCAATGCGTACGGTGGTTATTATTACAAGTGGGACAAACAGCTTGCGATGCAGGACATTTATTCAAAACAGTACGATAAGGATAACCTTGATCGAATGACTGTCAACTCCATTGATCAGAATTTCCAGTCGCTGGAAAGTCTTCGCGAAACAGTGACCTACATGAATCTCATGTACAACAAAACAATTTACTGGGAGGACAACTACGTCAAAGCGAACACAGTCATGAAGAATGGCTCAGTTCCGCTTCCGTATTTTAATGAAACTGCATCAATGGTGGAAACGCTCAACTACAACACAGATAGAGCAGTTTGGAGCTGGGGTACATTCATCAGTATTTTCATTATTTGTCCACTTATTGGTGCTCTTTCGAGAGTTCTCGACGCCAAATACTGGGAATTATCTGAGCGAGATGAGTTTCCACTTTGGGTCTGGACGCAAATTGTGCCTATGTGGGTTCGTCGACACTCATCCCTTTGGAAAATCATGGTCAAACTCCTGTTTTGTTTTATTTTCGCAGCGGCGATTTTCTTTTTGAATAAGGTCTTTTCCGGTCTTCTCGTTGAGGAATTTTGTATACAGACCATTTTTGATCCCGTCTGTGTTAAAAACTGCTCAACAGATGCAACTTTTACTGGAGACAAGTACTATGACGTAAGATGAATATATGAAAAGCACAGGTTAAATCTCTTTAGAACTTTGATTGGATCTATTTCCAAGCTTTGGATGGCGTCTCATGCTACCAAAAGATCCCTAACAACTCGCACACCCACGGATTCCTCTTTTCTACCCTCTCAACCGATCGAATTCGACTTCTAAAGAGAGAACACAACGATGTCCTTCAAGTCAAGCGTTTTGATGAGAACTCAAACGGTAACGACGAAGGCGGTGATGCTCGAGATTTCGATTGGGTTGACGGAAAGGACTCACTTTGGAGAGGTTATCACGATATACATTTCCAGGAAGTCGAGACTGCGGTCAAAATTGATACCAAACGAGCGTTAGGGGTCGTCTCTTGGGTGACGAATACTCCTGATGTGCCGCTAAACGTCCATCTTGAACCCGAAACTATTTTCTTCCCGAAGGTAAAAGTTATTAAAAAAATATTCTAAGACTTTTTAAGCCTCAATACATCGCGGCTGTCAACTTAACGAGCGGAATTATGTGGGATGCAACGGAGGATTTCGGAAATGACAAGGAAATTATTTACAAATTTTCACAAAGTTGTCATGTTCAATATGGCGATATCTGGCTTGGATTAAATACTGATGAGGGAGAGATGTTAGCGAACGGGTTAAAATTGAGTAAATTGAATAGCAACTTGAATTTGCTCATTTTTAATTTTACACTCCGAAAATTAAATTTAACTTTCAAATAACCCAGTGAAGCGTTTGTTCCGTTTTCAATCGTTCGAATGGGCCATTTCCCGATTCGTAAAATGGCTGATGCTCGACATATTTGTGATACTCACACGTAAGTAGAATGCAGTTAAATCGAATAAACGAACAATTGATTAGCCAACATATTCTATACTGCCTTGATGATGGTGACGAAAAAGTCGTTCCAGAGTACCAAGTGCGATGTTATGTTATCAACCACGATTTTACGGAGTACTTTTTGATTCCTAACAGAATCATCCCTCGGGATCAATCCGAGTACGAGATGGCTTACGACGAGCTTCGAATTGCAGATGACGATGTTATCATTGTTCAACGAGCAAAGAGAGTCATTCACTTCAACTTGATGCGATACATGAACAACACCGAACACCATCATCAAAAGACATACTGGGATTACCAGTGGGAATGGAGAAATCAGTACACGACCTGCCACAACCGAGTTTGTTATATGTTGGCAGAGAATGTTATCCAGTCCGCTGGAGGTAAACGAGAGAACAGAAATGGCTTGATGGTCTTCAACCTCGACGTTTTCCCATACATTCAAAAGCGTATGCTTCATCCTGCCGCTGCTGATATGATTCCCTCTCTTGATCGAGAAATCCAAATGCCTCTTCGTTTAGTCCCTGTTTATCATCGGCATAATGTTCGTGATGATTTGATGCCTCTCGGACAGATTCAAGGTAATAGGAGAGTTAAGCATTGAAATTCTTAAAACTTTGCAAAGGAACTGTGTACATTCGCGGTGCGGATACCTACTTCATGGGCATGAAAATGAAGGAAGAAAAAATCTATTCTTTCAACTGCTCCTTCGTCTCCTCTGCCAGTCTCAAAGTCACAAATGACACGCGATCTCGACTCCTCACCAAGTAAGACTTTCAAAATTTATCTTTGTTCTTGATTATTTTTTAGTTGCTTCGAGTATAAAAAAGAACACAAGGGCGTTAACGACACATTCGATTACTTGCAATACTCTACTGATGAGACTCTTGTCATCGATCAGTACAACCTGAACTACAGAAAGTTTATCTCCTATCCAAAGAGGAGAAAAGGTTGGCTAGCGCGTCCTGAGATGAGACTTGATGCTGTACGGGCGGATGTGAAACGCGCAAAGGAAGATCGAGACAAGTATGAAGCTTTTTTCCTTGAACAGCTTACAGAAATCTTTTAGCCCGGACAAAACAAGATGTTACTTCCAGCGACCGAACTGCACTGTCACTTGCGACGATTATGAGAATGAGAACAGGCTGTTCAAGGTTCTCTTGTAGAATTTTAGATTTTAGATAGTATAATTTTGTCTAAAGGTCTGTAAACACGTGGAGCCAGATTGGACACAACCTATGGAAATTCTTGGTGAATCTAGTATTTACGACTTCCCTCATAGAAAACTTCCGTACGATAGGGCCTTCAATCGACATTACATGGGGAAGTGTTGAGAGATAATCAAACTTATCTATCAATATAATTCTGTAACGCTATAAAATAGAATAGCTTTTTTCAACACTAAAAAGGCATGGTCGAACAAAAGACAGAGATGACCTACTGCTCGGCGACAACGAAGACTCAGCTCAAATATCGATACCAGTCTTGCATCGGTACTATCTACGAATGGCGTCATCCAAGGGAGAGTAAGAGAGAGGCAAAGACCCAGGGTCAAACGGAGCTGACTTACGATAAGCAGCGTAAAGACGGAGCGTACACGATTTTCCAACTAGGAAAAGTCTGCAAGCACAAGAAGCTCAATGCATATCCATTAGGAATGATTTCAATAGATACCTCATAGATGAAAGTATACATTATTTATCGAGATAGCGCCATTCGTTTTAAAAATCCTAAAAAGTCTGCCACTCACCAATGCCAAAGAACTTCAAAAACTGGACATCAGAGCCTCGATATGACGAGGTCCACAAGAAGCATATGGGAGACGGGCAGAACCACACAATGATGGGCAAGCCGTGCATCGAATGGGATCCGTTTTGGTACGACAAGCATTGGGATCGCGAGTTCTGGGATGTTGACGCGCATCCAAAGATGAACTTCAGCTGGGCGATGCGGCTCAAGGACATGGGCATCTTCTACAAGAAAAGCCACAACTACTGCTCCAACTTCGACAATGATATTGGCACTTGGTGCTTCATCGAAGGCGGCGGCTGGGACTACTGCTGCGACAGGACCGATCTCGAAGTCGACCACATCGATACGCCGATTTGGAAGCTCTACGGTCTCAGAGGAACATACGAGAATCTCACAGAACTCAGACCGGAGCCTTATCTGTAAAATTTCCTTACTTTATCGAAAATATTCTTCTTAGTTCAAAAGTTCCATTTTCAACTGTTCCACTAGAAATAAACGCGTTAGAATGTAAAAACGAAATAAATTAATTGAAAAGCGCTGCTGTGAAGAATAAGCATTTTTCAAACTACGATGAGTCATTCTACTGGTTCGGTCGTCTTTTTTTGCGTGGAGGAAGAATTTCCGTGTGAAAATCAAAATTAGCAAAGAAAGATTGAGAGAAAAAATGAGTTGAACCGGTACTTGGGTTCGCGCGCCGGTGTTTTCGATGCAGACATAAAAACACATTTTTATCTCGAGAAACATCTCGTCTTCTCTCGGCTGCCACGTCAGTGTGCTCGTTGAGACTTTCTTTTTGGGCCTCATTCGGGCTTTTCCGCGTGCAAAAGAAGGTCGAACCAGAGAAAAATCATGGACCACGACCAAGCTCAGTACCAGAAGCTGGTCGCTGCTGGCAACGTTTCCGCGGCCTTCAAGGTAAGATCAAGAATCACGATAGCTTAGAGCAGACTCGTAAAAGAGTTCTAGTTGAATGTTGACGATCAAGAATATAGTTTGATAGCAATTTTAAGATGGAGTTCAACTACGTGACGAAAACGGCAAAGAAGCAGAACCCAGTCGACTACAAAAAACTCTCTTCAGTCGTTAATAACCTCATGGAACTCTATCTGACGGTTACCAACATTCCCAAATATGCGAGTTCCATTCCAGCCATCAGCACTCGCTTACAGACGGACCTGTGGGAGCTTTACAGCACAGCGGCTCACACAACTCTGATGATGACGCTGGATGATGACCTTTGGATTGACGGGCGAAAAGCGTGGCTGAAGCTCGAGCGTTGGGGAAAATCGAAACGGGTAAGCAATCAGAATATAAAATCTACCGGTTTCTCGCGGGTGTCGGGGGTTCGTTACCGCCCGTGTTTTGACCTTCGTAGAAAGGTCGCTTAGATAGCTATCATCTCAATAACATATTTTTCAGTTTTTGCGCGCGTTCTTCCACACCTGGGAGTTGGCGACTCACCAGCAGTGTCGCCGGCTCTACAACGACTTCCGCGAAGACATAATCCAACAATCAAGCGTCCCTGGGCTCGGCCTCCGCCTCATAAATGAATTTCTACAGTTCATCGACGAGAAATTCAAAGTGCCAGCGCTCGACAAAAAGATGATGGACTTCGACGACAAGAAAGCGCTGGGATCGCCGATCCGAGAAACTTACAAAGAATTGAAAGCGTTCATGAGCGCATTAAAGCAAGACATCTTCAACCGCTTTCCAAATGGAAAGAACTGGAGAAAGCACGAGTTCGTCTGCATGGCCCGACTGATAAAATATATGAGCAAATGTAAGTTTCTCCAGTAAAAATTATTTCTCAAGTATAAATTTTAGATCTCACTCGGAAGTTCATCACGCCTTATGGCCTTATTGGCGGTATCGTCGAAAACGACATCCAGGAGATCATCTACGGCTTCGCGCAAATCTGTCACAATATCTGCCAAAACCTCGTCACACTGCCCGAAAAAGACTCGAATGTACTCCTCGCTCTCGAGACTGTTCTGATTCCGCTCAACGAATCGATAGGCCACATGGCAGAAGCTTTGAGTAGATTCACCGGTTCTAGATTCAAACACCCTCACAAATATGCTGCCTTCTCAGTCTACAGCTTTCTTCGAGTGCTCCAGACGATCGCTAAACGAAACGATCTTGATAAAACGAAGCAGCGCAAGATCGTCGAGACCGGGCTCAAAAATCTCGAAGGCTCTTTCAAGTACGTCTACTCGATTTCCAGAGACGATGATAACTTCACAAATCTGGAGCATTGGAATCTCATCGAATTGACAATCAACGAGCTCGCCATTACTTGCGAAACGAACAATCTTTGCAGCTGGAAAAACTCGAACAGCGTGAGAATCTTCAGAGAGATGGAAATCGATCTTCCTAAGAACCGCCAACTATCAAAAATGGACATCGTCTACATAAAGTTATTTCTCACTCAACTTTTTCTCAGCCTTATCAACGATGTCGTTGTTCCGAAAATTCGCTCTTCGATATGTTCGAAGTAGAGAAAGAATCACGCGCCCGATTCTTGAGCATATTAATCAGCACGCTGAGCGAGAATGGCATCCCGCAGAAAACTGAGCCCGTTGTGCTAATCGTCGATACCCTTCTTGAGTTCGGAGACGTCAAGAAACTTACGGAAGAAGATCAAGACCTACTCAAGCTCGTCATTTTTCAATTGCAAGAATTCTTCCCGAAGGAGACGAAAAAACTTGCGTCGATGAGCGGATCCGGCGGAGATGAGAATGACGAACTGACGACCGTCTGGAAGATCCTGTCCACTTGGCAACGAGATCTTCAAGGCGCGTGGAGCAAGAAAATGGAAAAAGTCACTTCGAAGCCCCCTTCACTCGACATTGAAAAATTATCCAAGATCAAGGTCAAAACAGAATTCAAAAAGACTTCTTCTGTGTCGCAAGTATGCAACTATGTCAACACGTACTACATTGCGGCGCAACTTCTTTTGATTCTTGGAAAACGAGAAGCTGGGAATACGATCCTGAAAGGCCTGCTTACTGCCCTCGTCGACTGGTATTATCCGATGACAAAAGTTTACGCTTCTGTGAGTGAGCTTCTCGGTGATCTTGTGATGGACTTGGGTTCGTCAATTTGGGTTGCGCGACGGCATTCTCATCTCTCTACCCAGCCCGAATACGACGACGATATTCATAAGACCCTGAAACGAGCAAATGTTTGCCATATGACCTCGAAAGATAAGAAACATCTTGCTTTTGGTTATATGATGTTCCAGGATGGCATCCCAGAGACCAAAAAGAGCTCCATTGGTTGGAAAGATGAGTCCATCACCCAAATCATGTTAGAAACCTCTCTCTCTGGATCTTCCGGCTGGTCAGATTATCATGACAAGGCCTTTGGTCATGTGGGCTCGATGATAACTGCGAATCAAACAAGCGGCCTTCGTTATGCCATTCAACTCATCATCACTTTCCTGTCGAGTGCATGCGATCGGCAATTCTACAAAACGATCTTCGCTTCTTCGGCGAAGGCCGAGGGTTCAATGAAAGTCCAAAAAATTGGAAAAGAAATCATTGCGACCCTGCGGGCGCTTGATAAAACCATCTGGATAAGTGTCGACTTCATCGATGATCTCATCAAACGAGGCATGTCGATCGAGGCGAGAATGTTTTCCAACGAGCTGCTTGTTTTATCCGATATTTGGGGATTGCAGACTGCCAACATAATGGGGAAGACACTTCAAATACGAGCACTGGAGCTTGAAGGTCAAACGCGCAAGTGGAAAGACGAAGTTCCAGCGCTTTTAAAAGTCTTCGATATCAACGAAGACAACCCATTTATGCGCGAAGTCAATCCTCAAGCAAAAGCACAGGCGATCTCACTTGACCCGCCCCGAAGAAATTCTTCCCAAGTCGATCAAACAAACTCTCATTTGCCTACTGCGAAAGTCAAGGAAGAGTTCTTCGGTTTCACCCCTGACTCGCCGATGGCAAAGAAAATAAAGAAGAAAACAACAACGGAAACAACAAAAGCCTTCACATTTCAACTTCCAGTTCTTCCTAAAATTGGCAAGCTTGATCTCGATGTTGCACGGAACTATGTTATTGCACTTACAACTTTGTTCCGTGTTCATCCAGATCCTACTCGAGCTGTCAACGCTGGCCTGTTCCTCTTTAAAGAGATCGCTATCGCTGGTCATCAACTATCGCAGCTACTCCTGGAGCTTGCATACGTAATCGTTCTTCGCGCGACGGAACTCGATAGACCATCTGACGCTGTTGAGTACGTCAAAAATGCTCTCGAGCCTGTCCGAAACTCCGAGAAAGTCAATCCAAAGAAGTGCGGCCGATTCGCGAAATTGCAAGTGGCAATCGTCATTTACAATAGAACCTTCGACGCGAACAAGGAAAATCTTGAGCTAACCGCACCGTTTCAAAAAATGGTCATCACCAGCGATGTGAAGACGCCCGCTCGACGGGGTAGAGTGAAAACAACTGGCGATCAAACTCCAGCGATTACTCCGATGAAACCGGTCAATGTGAAGCTACAGAGAATGAAGAAAGAGAAGCTTCGAATTTTCAATGACGACGCGGCGATATCATTGGCAACTCCAAAGAGCGCAAAAATCAAGAAAGAAATCAACGACGCTGAATATAAGCCTCGAACTCCCGTTTCGGCCACTCGAACAACTCGGACTACGAGAGCTACAGCTCGTCGAATGAAAGTAGAAGCCGCTGATGGAGATCGAGCCGGGGCCACAATTTTTGAAGATCCTGAAGAAGAAGCGAGAGTCGGACCGATGGGTGATATTCCAGATCTGTCTCCCATCAAAACGAGCCAAAAAGATAAGACGGAGGGTGTTCGTCTCCAGAATTTCGGTTCACGACCAGTCTCTCCGATCGAGTCTGAGATCAACACGATCTTCAGTACTCATACTGGAGCAGGCGATTCGCCTCAGCTGATCTCAGAAGAGGCCGTTCTGGATGAAGCTCTCGCGACCGCCAAGGAGAACAGCGACATGGAGACCATCAGAGCGATCTACAATCTTCGCATAGGCCAGATTTTGCGCCAGGAACAAGTCGCACAGAAAAGCACGATGGTCTTGAGCAATTCATCAAAGCTAGCCGCGCTTCACATTGATGTTAACGGCGTTGGAGCAGTTCTTGACACGCAGTACTGCGCTCATACTCGTATGTCCAACAATGTCAGCTCAGTTCCGAAAGAAAACTTCATCCAAGCAGAAGATCTGTCGGAGAATATCAGGATTGACTTTCCTTTTCTGCGACAGGAACTGAATGATAACGCCGTCTTGGTGAGCTTGATTCCAGATGTTTCGAAGACACTATCCTGCACATACGAAAATTGCCTCGCGCTCGTCACTCGTTTGGAGCCCAACGGGAAGTGTATTTCGATCGGATTCGATGGTCATGCATTTGCCAAGGAGGCTCTGCGAATGCGCGACATGTGCGACAAGATCTCTGAAGAGCTTGGCAAAGATGTCAAAAACGCTACCAAATGGTGGAAGGTGCGCGATGAACGAGAAAAGTACTGTAAGGATTTAGTGCTGTCTGTTCTCCCAGGTAAAATATCTTTTCTTTGGCTTTAATAAATATTCTTTTTAGATGTTCTTGGTCCGGCTCTTGCTCTATTCACATTCTCCAAAAGCATCACTTGGACCAATGCAGTTCCCAAGCCCAAAAACTCTCTTCACGCCGACTTTTTGAGCCATGCGATTCGGGCTTGGTCTCATTTGAACACTCTCGGCAAGACGAATGTCGCTGGACTCGTTGGAGTGACTAAACTCGACCTCGATCGTCTGGCAAAGAACCACGTCTTTCAAGAATTGGAATATCAGCGGACAACCGCTACATATCTCATCCTCGGACGAGTGGTTCAATCGATCGCCATGGAACGGATGCCCATTTGTCAGGGAATTCGAATGTCAAGGTACGAAATTGTTGCTTTGAAGCTTTGCCATAGCTTATTTCTAGGATGCTCTCAGTAAGACATGCGGAGTACCTCCTTCGACAACCAGCGAGCAAACGGTCTATGGACATCTCCAATCTACTCTACGTCGTAGACAACCAGGTCAACCTCGCGAGTTCGGCCGCGACAGTTGGAAACTTCTTCAGGAGCGTTAAGCAATGGAACGGTTACGCGTCCGTCATGCCGAATTCATCCGAGTTGATTGAGAAACTCAATAAATTCGACCTCTACGTCTTTGCTGGGCATGGAAGCGGCTCCGACTGCGTTGGCGGCTGGGGACGTGTGATCAGAAAAGGTGTAAAAAGCACCATGCACCTTATCGGCTGTGCTTCCGGCAGACTCCGCGATCATGGTCGAACTGAACCGAGGGGTGCAGTGACAAAGTAAGTTTGAAATATATAATATATTGCTAATACTAATTAATCAATCCAGGGTCTTGGACTCAGGGTCTATGTCAGTAATGGCCTTGCTCTGGAGCATTACTGACAGAGACATCGACCGATATACGCTGCGCTTGTACAAAGACTGGTTTAGCGCGGTTAGTAACTCGTCTAAAGAAACAGGACCGTGCCTCTCCCGATTCATCAACGAGTGTTCACGAGGTAAAAAAACTCTTTTTATCATCAAATTTTATCCAATTTTTAGCCTGCAAGCTGCCGTACGTCAACGCTGGTGCAACTGTCAACTACGGGCTAATCCCTACCTGCCACAACATCCCTGAAGGTTGGGATAAGGGATTGCCCGAACAAATTGACTACAAAAAGTAACTGGGAAGATTATCAAAATATGTTTATAGTTCACATTTTTTACTGCCACACATCTTCACTGTCAAACTTCACCGTTCCAATTAATACAAACTTCCCAGTTATTATATCGTGGTGGTTTGATCTTGCATTCACGCAGATGAGCATGGAAATTATATTATGATCTCTTTCATCTAGCTTTTGTAGGCGTGGTTTTACGAAAGAAACATGCCATTTGTATTGTTTGATCGTGATTCTAAGTACATGGTCAAACAAGAATTCGTCAGATCTCTAGTTAACGTTAAACAAAGCTAGAGAAATGATCGATTTCAAGCATGAAAATCTGTATATCGATGAGTTATCTGTGGAGACCTTTGCGGAGAAGATAGATTTAGAAGATCCTGTCTTCGTTTATTCCGAGAAAGCGCTCGTTGTCAATGTTGAGAATTACTTGTCAGGACTGAAGGCACTGAAATGCAAGACTCAACTGAATTTTTCGATGAAATCTAACTTCAATCCGGCCATTATCAAAATTTTAAAGGCAGCTGGTGTTAGCGGCTTGACAACAGTTTCAGGTGGCGAGCTTGAGTTGGCCAAGGAAAGCTTCCAATGGAAATTGACACGTCTTGAGAGTTCATGTGTTTTAGAAAATATAGTTAAATTTTGATGAAGCTACGAGCTATCTCTATTCGTGTGTGATCCTTAGTTTGACGTTGAAACAAAGAGGAATTCCCGATTTCTAATTGTTTTAATATTGAGAGGCTATGTTTGAAGCCAAGTGAGCAACTTGATTACAAGTCAGATAAGGTTATATTCAATGGGAATGGTAAATGTTCAAGTGAAGTGCAAACCGCTATTCAGGAAAGTTAGACAGTTTCTATATTTATGAATTCTCGCTTATTATTCATAGAACTGATAACTGAAACCTAAATTGAAAGCGAGGACACATCATTAATGTTGATTCTTGGTTCGATTACGAACGAATATCTGCTTTATCGAAAACACTGGAAACAAGATGTCAAGTCCTCATTCGGATTAATCCCAATATCGACCCGAAAGTGCATCAATACAATACTACAGCTTCCGGGAAAGCCTGTAAGTTTGGGGTTTTGCAAGAAGACATAACTGGTCTCGCAAAGAAGATTTCAGAAGATGAGAAAATGAGCTTGCTTGGCATTCATTGTCATTTGGGAAGTACCATCAATAATCTTGAACCTATCAGGGGCCGGGTCAAATAAAGATTTCCAATCTTTAATTTCTGAATAAAAACTAGTGTAAACATAAAAAACCTTTTCTCATTAAAATTAAAGAATCGGAACGAAGAGAATGTTCGAGCACCTTGAAACTCATTATGGAATCAATCGCTGATTTCCTTGAACCATCCAGGTAACACTTGTTAGTACTAAAACCAGTACATAATGTACTAAACAACGTCAGATGAGTGAAGATAACTTAATAATTTAGAAAAGTAGTGAATGTTGGTGGAGGTTTAGCAATTAATTATGAAAAGAAAGCCCAAGGATATCCTACACCACAGGTACTTATCCTTAACCCCGGAACGCATGGCCATTTTTGCAAATTTCTGACCATTTTTAACCCAATATTGTCGCGATTTGGGAATAAAGAGAATAAAAATCCGGGTTTATATATTATAACCGGACTCTAAGCTACAAAAATATAACTGGATCGTGGTCATATTATATGTGTATATCAAATATAATATGGGTTTTTTGATTAGCAAAATCGTATTACCCAAAAATGGGTCGTATATGCGTTCCGGCGTTAACTAAATAATGAAAGGAATATACGGAATGCTTCAATAATTTCGGCGAAGACTACACGCTCATCTTTGAGCCTGGAAGATCTCTGGTTGGAAGTACAGCCTGCTGCATCGGGAGATCTCTTGGAGTCAAGAATGATAACATTCTAGTAACGAACATGTCAATGACAGAATGCATTCGACCTGCTCTTTATCAGGCTTATCATCAAGTGACATTGGCGAAAAAAACCGACAAGAATGACGCTAAAATTTACAAGGTCGTCGGACCCGTCTGTGAATCTGCTGATTTTCTGAACAAAACGGCTCAGCTTCCTAGCGAAATTAACACGAACCAGCTGGTCATTCTTTGGGACGTAGGAGCGTACTGTCACGTACTGAGCTCCAACTACAATATGCGCCCGCGAAGAGCTGAGTTTCTTGTAACTGGTTGTGAATTCAGGAAGAGTTCATTGTTTTTCATTGAGTTTTTACAAGAAAGAAAACGCATAAGTAAACCTTTTAAAAGGCAGATTCGTCGACAGGACACGTTTGAGGACATGATGGCCACCTTCTGTTGATCTTTGCTGTTTTCTCGATAAATAAAGAACATCATAGAACTTCTTAGTCAAACATATGTCAGTTCCGTCTCGCGCAATTCTGCATCATAAGCTTCGTCGTAGACAATAACATCTTTATTGAAGCTTCATGATTGTTACTTCCGATTATTCAATGGTTTGAATGAAGCACTTTCCTCTCGGATTCATTGTTGCATCTGTGCTGGATCCACTCATCAAATCCAAATCCTGGGGCTTTGGTGTCGGTGCTAAAGATAAGTTCGCAATATAATTCTTTGAAAATAGAAGATAAAGGGTTTATTTGAACTCTTTCTTGGGTTGCTGAGTTGTTGCAAGAATTATGATAAACGCTAATAAGGCTAATGATAAGGAAGACGATCCCCAGGAGTATAAACCATAACGACTGAAGAAGTTTTGATTTGAAAAAGCGTTCCACAAATACCTGGGAAAGAAGGGAAGCAGTCTTTAGTGGCTTTGGAAGATAAATGAAGAATGAGTAGCCAACCATTCCACAACAGAACTATTTAATTCATTTAGCATGAGTAACTTCAGTATATCTTGCGGTTCCTCGGCCAACCGACTATGAGTCGATGAGATGAGCTTGTTTCTGACTTACTGTAAAAACACCACATGTTAGGCTGAGACACTTTGTAGCATCGACGGATGGCGCCGATAATGGTTCATTGTCGATCTCTAGTAAAACTTTTTAATAATTCAAAGCGTACTAGAATACACGCGAGAACACATCCTAAAACATAGAGTCTATCTATCTTTGACTTATGTTGCGGAAAAAAACCTTTAGAGTTTTTCTTTAGTTGGATATAATTTCTGCTCATTTCAAGGAAAAATCTGGCAGGTTTCGGGGAATCAAAAATGGACAAAGTCTGTTGAGATAAGACCGCTTAGAAATCAGCTAAGGACAATGAGTTGAAAAAATATAAACACGCAGGATGCTGACATATGGAATAATAATAAGATTAAAGCTCAAGATAAAGGCACTCTCTAAAAATCAACAAGGACAAATAAGAAAGGTTCTATACCTGAAAGTTCATCTTCCGAATCTGTCCAATACTCTTTGATAGATTTTACTCTCTGAATTGTCTTCTTATACTGTTGCAGGGGACTTTCTCTATTAACGACTCTTAATGGACTGAGCCGGTCGCGAGATTTTAGGCTCATCGCTTTCGAATATTGGAAGAATATGAAGAGCGCATTTAAAAATCTTGTGAAAAATTTGTGACCAACTGATATGAAAAAGAGGAAATAAATTGCTCCTTGGTTTTGGCCCAGAGACTACTCTGTTGCTGACATTAATAGTTAACTTGGCGCTCTGAGGGCCATCATCCGACAAATTTGAACGAACAACACTGTTGTTATAAGATATAAGTTTTAACCTTGAAAGTTTAACTCGATTCAAATGATTTCTCTCTTTCGAACTGAAACATGAAAGATGAGCGTTACAAATTTTGATAAAACAAGGTTCCTACGATGTTTTTAATGGGAATTTCACGGCATCAAACGGCGAACATGAATGGTTCTCTATGAAAATAAAATGTCATCACCAAGAAATAATAAGTCACGAAAGTCTACTCATGCGTTAGAGTTTATGCAGTTTGATAACAAGCGCTTTTGGAAGCTCGTAATTACAGGAACTGTCTGTTAGACTACTGTATGTTCTTCGACAGCTTCGGAAATTTTTCAGCGACGCGAGATACTCGTCCGTGAAAGGGAACCTTCTTTCTCGATATTTTTCGTGCTAGAATTTTAGTTAAAAATGGACTTAATTCTTACTTAAAAACCTGGATGAATAAAGTTATGCTGGCAGTCATATCATCAGGCCAAAATAGTTTGTTGTAGTGTCCATCATCATCAGTTAGCGTACTCAATGGATTGAGCGCGGTCGTTCCGTTCCAAAATTTCTTGAAATGAGAAGTCTCATAAGATTGTTTTTATGAATTTGAACCTCTTGAATGAACACTTCAGCTTTTGGAATTCCCCGGCCCTTTTCATCCTCGATTTTGCCCCTAATGCCCATGTATCCATGCCACTTTTAGTTGGTTAATATTTATGATCTAAGGTTGCTTTCAGAGAATAAAAATAGTTTTTTAACCATAGCATGAAGTCAATCATTGCATCTTTCGCATCTGAATAGATAACAGGAAGGTTCGCCTTTGAAGTTGTCTTCTCGCAGCCAAGCTCGAGAGTAAAAGACATCACTCCTTCCGCAATGTACTCGAAGTCTTGAAGTGTGCCGATTGTCGAATACCATGCAGCACCATTAGTTATTCCCTTCTCCGAAAACTCATCAGCTCCATGCCTAAAACAAACTAAAGCTCGGCTTCTAAGCAGTTGATTAAATTATTCTCTATCAAAACTTACATGCAAGGCTCTTGTTTTATCAACGTCTTGTGAAGCTTGACAAAGTCCCTGGAAATCTTCTTGAAAGCATTGGCATCTTCATTTTCATGAGCCTCAGCCAAAGGGTGACGCTTTGAGGTGTCATAAGGATAATTCACGACCTTGCGCGCGTTCTAGTCCCCTGGTAGTCACTTTTCGCGACCACCAAAATAAGCAAATGCGGTGTCTCCAAGGAGCTCACAGCTTTCGATTATTTTCGCGCATGAACTGCTTTAGAACGCGCCCCATGCACCAGAATGAATCATCGCTGAAATCAGTTTATAAGTACCAAATAATGCTTAACAAGGCGGGGCGCACTTGATTTATTAAACTCGTGGTGAAATTTAAGAGCCTACCGGAAAGTACAAAGTTCCGGCTTCGTGTCCACTTTATTAAGCTTAGCGTTTCCTCTTGCACGTTTCCGATGCTGAAGTTTTGTTATCAAATACAGGAGAATAGGCATAAGAGGTTCAAGTTCTGAAATTCATTCTCTGAAATTCAGAGTCTGAACTACAGTAGTTACTTACGACCAGTAACTGCTTGGTATTGGTATATAAACCTAAAGATAGATATGAGTTGGCTTATTCCAATGCTACCTGATTTCCAGCACCAGCAAAAACGGGTGATCCCGTTTGAGCAAAACGCTCTCTTGTTTTTATGATCTCTTCTATGAGCAGCGGGAAATTGCGATTCAGATCAACACGATTCCGGTTCTGGCGGCCACAGGTCTCAAATAGATCACCATGGTGGCGAACATAAATCGGACATTTCGCGATTCGCGTTCAATCACTTTTTATGTCGTGAAAGTTCATTAAAAGGGCGCCAATCTCATCATTATGCATGACATTGTTTTTGGTGACCTGTTCCCAGCAAATTTTTCCATTTGAGCGGTACGTAGCTCGAGCACGTAGATATCCGTCTAAATAATTAAAACCCACTCGATGCGACATATTAGAACTGACCTGGATTTGCGGAAATCAAAAAGTGCAATTCAAGGCTTTTTCTAAGGAGAGCATATTCTTGTGTGCCGTCTAAAATGTCTCTTATCAGTGGCAGAAGAATGAAGATTCCCTAAAATGATCGATAGAATTAATTGAAAAGGGTTTATTTCATTTAGTGAATACCTGGTCTTCGTTTCCGTGAATGTTCCCCATCAGTCTTACTTTCGGCTTTGCATGTCTTCTTGTCTCTTCCGTGTCTGGCTCAGTAATCTTAGCGACGGTTTTCGGAAGCATCTGTTTTGCAAGGGTATTTTAGAGAGGGAGCGAAACTCGAACTTCTTTTATTCAAAATTTAAAACCGGCTCCTTTACGGCGATAAGAGGCAAATTGCGAGTTGAGCTTCCGATTTTATAAATCTTCATTGAGCTCGAGCCGTAGAGAGTTATCAAGCAAGTCAAGTAGCGTTCAACATAAATCCAGTCTTTGAAATGATAGAGCGTTTTCACTCGCCGTCGGCATTCTTCGCTGTTAACTCCCTGAGTGTATGGAATTGATTTTGTTTCTATTTTTCTTTCAATCGACTCTGGAAGACCGTCACAGTGAAATCTTGATTTTCGACGAGCTTGACCATTTGTGAAGACAGTGTGCATCTTTTTAGTTAGAAATTTCTATCTTCTTTTTGAATTTTTAGATATTTTAACTTTTTCATTGGATCGAAAATGTGCCGACTTTTACTTGAAATTCTCTCGCAATTCCATTTATTGACATTATACGACTGAGTGAAAAGATATGTATGCTCTATCGAGGGTTCTATTTCTACGTCTTTCGAATTATGATAATCGCTTTCAATAGAACCCGACGCCAAATTTGTACTGCAGATGTTTCGTTGACATTTGGGGAACATTAGCGCACAAGTCAATTCACTTAACAAATTCCTTTACGTTTCTTCTGCGAGTTTCTTTCGCGTTCATTTAAAGGGCAGAGTCGGAATTTAAACCGGAGCAATTAAAGAAACTGAACTCGTTCTTATCTATTTCTGTACTTTTGTAGTTCAGACGAGTTAAAAAATCAGTGAACCTTTGTTCGTAGTCGAGATGCGGCAAGCTTTCGCTGATGATATTGAGTCGAGCTTCGGCATCTTCGATGGACTCGTCTTGGAAGTAATTTGGGAAGATTATCCACTCGCTTGCTTTTAAATACCTTCCACAGTTATCCCCTTAAAAATCCGTGAAAGCTCGTCGAATGTGATTTTCTGTCAAACCTAAAGTGTTCACCACCAAATCATGATTGATGCCAGTATAATGCCAGCATTCGTTAGCGCCTTCTCTCACGCAAATTGCTCTAACAAATGAAGAAAAAAGAAACGGAAGAAACTTCTTGCCCATCTTGAAGACGGCGAGATTTTCTGGTCTAGCCAAAGCTTCTACAAACGCGTATTTTCACTATTGACCGTAAACAAACATACACCTTGTCCAAGTACGATCCAGATTTGATCTGGTCAAGTTTACAACCTCCCAATAAAAATTTCCGTCAATCAAATCTCCCGTCAAAAAGATACGGTTTAATTTTCAGCCCTCGTCGATAAATGATATAATCGCCTAATTTACTGCAATTTTTTTGAATTTTTTCAAAAATCGAGGCAAATCCTTTTGACTAAAGTCTTTGTTACCATCCAAGGGGATAATTTGCAATTCTTAGCTTTTCGAAACATATTGAATTGTCGTATTTTCAGCCAAAATAGAAGTGACATCGCCTATAAAATTGGTCAAATTACGATGCGACCCAGTTCAATTTGGATGGATTCAGACATTTGAGCATTTTGCTTGTCAAATTTTGCAATGGACCCTTCGTTCTTTTAGTAGATTTTATTTAAAAGCTATAAATTATATCAGTTCAGAAAAGATACAGTCTTGAATTTTCTCTAAAAGACGGTGCTTTGGTTGCGTTTCTCCGGATTTGGTGATTTTAGAAAGCAGGAATCATAGACAAACTATAATTATGCAATCTTGATTGATAGATGCGATGTGTCTGTACTACTAATTATGAATTGATTTAGGCTTTGTGGTGACGTTTTGGTGAAGAGGGGTGGCGCCAGAGCGCTCGTTTACGGCACCAGCACCTCCATTTTCTCAATTTTGCCCCATCATCCGTCAGTGGGGGAATCGCCTTAACTATGAACTACTGAAAAACACAACACCTGTGTACCTTTTTTTTCTTAAAGAGATAAGGAGGAAGAAAGAAGACCTTTAGTTAGAGAGAGTTTCGATAAAGAAAACAGAAACAATGCGCTACTGCGCCATATGGTGGTGTCTTCTAATTGGTATGTCGGCGGTTTTATTCTTATTTTTAAAATTGAGTAAAGTGGCACTTTTCAATACTGCCAAAATAACGAATAAATAGATCAAGCTGCCAAATTTTGATGAACCATACTTTTACTAATGATAAAAATTAGATTTCTAAGATAGAAGACCGGCTCCTTTAATAATCAAAATGTTTTCATTAGAGCGTTCTTTTAGTTAAGAAAAAATCATTTGAGCAGCTCGAAATTTTAGCTTGAACATATTTTTTGATAGGGGCACTCGACGCTGGTGATCCAAATAGATCCGTCGAGGAAAAAACTGAGGACATCCTTGAACGACTCTCAGAAGCAAATGCAAAAGAAGCAAAATGGAAAAGAAAACAAGAGAAGGCGATGAAGCGCCTGGAAAAAGTAACGGGAAAGCTTTATGAAGGTAGTTCTATTTCCCTCAAATCCGCGGGGGTAAATGATGGTGCGGCGATTTTCGAGGGGCGACCGGATTTTGTTGAGCTTCAGCAGGACGTCGAGCTGGAACAGACGCTCTTTACTGATGACGAAGCGAACAATGACAACCACATTCTTCTTGAAGACGATATTATCATTCCGGTAGATCATCAGCCAAGGAACGAGGAAGAACAAATCGCAACTATCCTGAACGCAGTCAAGGATCCTGCTCGACTTTGGCCAAAAGGAAGAGTTTTGAAATTTTTTTCTTTTTCAAAACCATAATATACAATATTTTTTCGTCGATGTATATTTTTGAAGGTTTCTTAAATCGATCTACCTACCTAATTATTAATTGCTGGTTCGAAATCAATATGGATTTACTATAGTCTATAGATAATCAACGGCCAGTCTTCTAGAGTAACTAACTTACATCTGATTTTTGAAACTAAGTTCAAAACTTCCACCAAGATCGCGATGGTATCGTCCGCATTCCATACCTCATGGAACGAAACAAGTACAACCAGACCTCCGTCAATCTGATTCAAGAAGCCATGGACGTACTCCGCAAATACACCTGTATTTCTTTCGAGCAGAGACGTAACGAAAACGATTTCGTCCGTATTGCCCCCGTTCAAGGTTGTGCTGCATCGGTCGGAAAGCGAACAGGAAGAAATGACATCTACCTTGATCGTAAGTAAAGAAACGTTAGCAAGCTGAAGCGGGCGATACTCACCTTCAAGTTTCTAGCAAGATGATAATCCGGAGATAAAGCCTAATTTTGTCAGACTCAGGTGTTTGCTTGGGGCAGGGGATAACACTTGTTTAGAGCCCAATTGCATGAAAGTGGGCATTATCATCCACGAGCTGCTTCACATTGTCGGCTTTAACCATGAACAGTCAAGATCGGATCGAGACGACTATGTCGACATTATTTTCGACAACATTGTCCCTGGCTCCAACTATAGAGTTAACTTCAACAAGGCCGTCACGAACAACCTGGTCGTCTACGATTACAACTCTGTCCTTCACTACCCGCGCTTGTCCTGGAACAAGAAGCCGTATCTCCAAACAATCGTTCCAAAAACGATGCCCAAGCCTAAAATAGGTCAGCGAGACAGACTCTCGCCTCTTGATATCGAGGAAGTTCGCGGGCTCTATTCATGCTCCAAATCGTCTTATGCGTTTTGTGGTGGTGAATTGGATACTGAAGGCACCTTCAAAAGCAATAAATTTCCAAATGGATACGAGGAAGGAAAGTTTGAGAGTTCATTCGCCCAGTAAAGTTAACTTTTTAAATCGTATTTATTTTCAAACTTAAAAAGGCGAACACTGCACCTGGAAACTCACAGCTAGAAAGGGTGCATTCGTCGAGCTGACTTTCGACGTGGTCGATTTATATGAAAGCTACACTTGCGAAGATGACGCAATTATCGTTCACGATGGAGATTCTCCAAAAGCACAAGCCTGGAGAGGAATCTGCGGACAAAAGACTAATCTCAAAATCACTTCTACTGGCCAGTCCCTGTACGTTATTTTCGCCACAGAACCGGGATGGTTTCCTGGAAAAAATCCAGAATATGAGAAAAGAAAGAACAAGCGAGGATTCAAGGCCAGCTTCAAAACTGTTCACTGGCCTGGTGATGGCCCACCACCGATTCAAGGCAACGACTACGGTCCTAAGACAGCGAAAACAGAAGATGACTTTTTCTGCGACTTCCACTACAGCTACAGCAAAAAGAATGATGCGGTTTGCGGGATGGAAAGCGAAGGTCTTATCGCCGATTTCAAATGGGAGGTCGGGCGTGGCTATTCTAAGTCTGACAAAACGGGCTATCAAAAAAGCAGCAAAAAAGACAGCACTTCAAAAGCTGGTAAAAATCTACATTAGCATACTGTTTCATACTATTAACAAACTTTATATTTATCAACGTATACTAACTCGGTCCACATATTTTATAAAGAACGACCCTCAACAGACGCGTTCAGGTGCAGATGAAGGTAAATCAAAAGCTACTCAAAACGCGAATTTTTATGTTGAAAATCAGCTGCGAGATTTTCAATAAAATTAAAATTTCAGTAAAATGAAATTATTTTTTTTCTGAGAACTGGCGGTATCTCGGAGTTATGATTTCAGTTGAATCCAAGTAACCCTAGAATATTTTGATTTTCAGTGAACTATGACGACTACTCCTCTTCTTCGAGCATCAAATTCTCAGATGTAGATTTAGGCTACAATGGTACTAGTAGTTCTGATGACGACGAAGGTAAATCTGCGTAAAAAGGCTCGATTTCTTCTGAAGACGAAATCATAAAAGCTGGAAATCTTACGCAAGATTTTCTTACCTTTATTTTTGAGCTGAACATTCGCGGATGTTCCATCAGCAAAGGGTTAGTCGCTGCCAACGACTTATGATAAACAGTTTATGTTTAGTTTCATAATGTGTTTAGGATAATCGTTTCGATCAAAAACAAATGTTTTTACGAGTAGAACGGGTACATCAATTAATTTTCGGAGCTAGTATTTTATCGTTGCGGTAAAGATACGGTGGACTTGACCACAAGCCGCTTTGACATAAACACAGAGACACTCATTCAACGGAATTGATTTCGTAAAGTTTACGCTTTTTTCATGTTATGAATAAAAAAATTATCAACTGGGGGTCAGTCCGGAATAATGAGTATCCCCAAATTTTTATGTTTCCTGTTTTCATAATTCTGAAGCCGCCATGCTCGTTTTTCTTCTCTATCCACTGAGATATGCGAAGCTGGAAGTTACAATCTCAGATTGTAAAAAAAAACATCTGCAAGTTTTTTACAAAATTAATTTTGAAATTGCCTTTCTAAGGTACTGCATGCTTGGTGTTATACATTTGTTTTGCATTATTTTTCATCAACCCGGTCAATTTTAGATCGATGGCTTTTCTTCAACAGCAAGGATCGGCAAGTGGCTGACACAGCTTCAATTATGACACCGTGGCTTAGCCCGACTTCCAAGTGCATTAACTTTGACTATCTCATGCACTCGACTGATCAGATGGGAACGTTGAATGTCAAATCCGTGGAGATAAATAATCGAGGCGATATTGTCCCGTCTCTTTTGACTGAAATTACAGGCAAACAGGGGATTAACTGGAAGAACAAGCACCTCAAATGGGAACGTAAGTACCTCGTAAAAGAAGATCCTTTTTCTAAGTAAGGCATTGAATCCATCTGAATTTCGTTCAAAAAGAACCTAGAGCTAGAACTGCCCTCATCCGGTCTCGCCCGGCTCAGAGATGACTCTGATAAAATTTCTGGAGTGGCCACTTGGTTCCGTGATAACTTTCTAATTCTCCGCGCCCATAATTATTACGAATTCTGGAATTTTCTTTACGTCATAAGACGGAACACTGGCGTTCTTCAAAAACATATTTTTCACGTTTGCGGTTTTAGCCACGATCACGAACCTCGACGCAGTGAAGTTTATCTTTGAGGGTTGGGTCTATGGAGAATGGTCGGATATTCTTATTGATAATTTAAACATCACCAAAGGAATGGTTCAATTATTTTATTTTATCAATTTATTTTACAATCAAAGTTAGGTGAAAATGGCAAAACCTGAACCTCAAAAAAGGATGTTCCGCTGACGATTTGGAACTTGTCGAGACATACGAGTGTGCTTTTGAAAATGAGCATCTTTGTGGCGCAACCCACGGCGAAACAGAGCAGAAATGGAATCTGAACAAGGGACAGACTCCAAGTAAATCAACAGGTCCAATCGGTGATCACACAACTGGTTCCGGAATGTACCTCTTCCTCGAAGCATCACAGCCCGCCGTGAGAGGAGATCGTCTTCAGCTCAAGCTTCCGCCACTCACTGAGACAGAACACTGTCTGTCTTTCTGGTATCACATGTATGGCCAAGAAACAGGAAGTCTACGAGCAAAGATCAAACTTGGTGAAAACGGACTGGAACGTGTACTGTGGGAGCAAAGTGGCGAACGACTTGATAAATGGTACCGAATGGAGGTAGAAATCGAGCCGAAATTTTTCTTGAATGATGCTGGAAAAGACAGTTTCTCTTACGGAGAGGAGGTCAAAGAGGATGCTTACCAATTTGACCCGACTATTCTCACATCATCAAAAGGGTCATCATCGGATGGGCTTCCAATTTATGATTACGAGACAGAAGATTATGAAAGCAGCGAATCGGAGATGTCCGAATCCCGAAAACGACGTCAAGCTTATGACAATGATGTTGCCATACATCACACCGGAAGTGATGGAAATGGAGCAACTGGTATTCTTATGACCGACGCCGATTTTGCTGATATGCTTGAATACATCCAGACGATGCAAGACGAGATGCAAATGGACGCCGTCAAAAGAATCGCGTCCAAAGCTGGCAAAGGTGTTTTCATCACGATCGAAGGAGAGCGTGGTCATGGTTACAGAGGCGATATGGCCATCGATGACGTACGAGTCACAAACTCAAGATGCTCAATCTGGACGGATTGGACTGGATGGAATCAATGCTCGCATACTTGCGGTGGCGGTGTCCAGATCCGAGAGCGAGAGTGCACTCTGAAGAATATTGAAAAGTGCAACGGAGACTTCAAAGAAAACCGCAGCTGTAATATGCATCCTTGTGATGGTTGGTCTTGCAACTTCAACAAAGGTCTTGACGATAAATGTGCGATGAGACAATCTCCAGGAATGGCAAAGCATGATTGGATTGTTCATTCGGGCTACACTCCTACTGAAGGAACTGGTCCACAGACTGATGTGTCTGGAAAAGGAGGTTATATTTTCCTTGAAGCTTCCAAACCTGCCAGACCCGGTGATAATGCAATGATCGCGACGAAAAAATTCGAGATGGACTCTGATTACTGTCTGAATTTCTACTACCATATGTGGACTACCAGTACCGTCAGAAGTCCAATGGGAGAGTTGAAAGTTTACATGATCAGAAATGGCCAACGACCCGATAAATCAACTATGATTTGGTATAAAAGTGGAGATCAGGGCAAAAACTGGATCAACGCAAGAATCAGTGTCAAAAAAGATAATAAGGGACCGTTCATGTTCCTATTTGAGGCAACTCGAGGAAATTCGTACAAATCGGACATTGGTCTTGATGAAATTTCCTTGATTCCCAGCGACTGCAACGCTGTCAAACAATTCGATGAAAACAGTCTTGAACAACGTGTCGAAGCACTTGTTGCTGATTTGGCTCTTCCAAAAGGCCTTGAAATGTGCGACATGAACAAGAAGAACATTCATCAATGCGGCTGGAGTCAACTGGGTGGACGAATCGATGCAGTAGATTTTAAACGGACGGCTTCTCGTACTCCATCTGACGAGACTGGGCCAGAAGCTGGTCGCGGACCCATCATAACTAAAAATTACGACCAAGCTGATCAGTACTTGTACCTCGAGGCGTCAGATGTCGAAAATGGACAAGGAGCTCGAATCAAATCTATTCCCATGGCATCGATTCCGTACTGTGTATCCCTCGACTATCACATGTGGGGATCTGGAACTGGCTCCTTAGCTATCACTGCTCTAGAAAAAACGCAGAGCCAAGTCTTGGATATCAAAACTACCCTCGAAGGCGAAGAAGACGACGAAGAAGAAGACGATGATAAAGCTTCTCGCAGAGAACTCGTCGTACTGAAAGGCGACAAAGGAAACTTATGGAACAACTTGAGGTATAACTACAGACCAACAAATGAGAGCTTTCAAGTTGCCTTTGACGTTTTTGCCACGAGAGGGGACAACTTCAAATCTGACATTGCCATTGATAATCTTGTCGTTCGACCTGGCCCATGCATTGAAATTGTTTCTGTCGGAACTGATGAGTTCCACGTCAGATGGGGCGCCGTCGAAAACCTCTTGACATTTGAAGTCAATGTCGAGCCTCCAATTCAAACACATACAAATGGAAACACTACAGTAACAGAAATCAAATTCATTCGATTTGTCAGCCCAGATACAGATTACAAGATCACTCTCAAAACAATCACTAAAGACGGTGACAATATTGAAGAATACAACTCCGAGGCCACCTTCCGCACACTTCCAAAACTTGGCATTATGCTAGCCGCCAACACAAAATCACGCTCAACACAATTGATAAGATTGAAAAACGATGATTTTGCCGGCTATGAAATAACCGTGTGGCCGGAGTCAGAGAGTTTCAAGAATGGTCTTTACATGGACTTGAGCATTTGGGAGTCGTTCGAGGCTGCCGGGATCCCCCAATGCGGCGGTCGCGGTGAAAACTGTGTTCAAACGGCTGTTGGTGGTTTGCGAGGTGGTTCGACACATAACATCAATATTCGCGGTATTGGAAAAGGCGGTTCTAACTACAAATCAAACATCGTCAAAATCGTTGTCTCAACTGGTCCACTTCCTCCACCGCATGCAGTTCGACCGATGACGACTGAGTTCCAACTTGGATGGCAAAATCCAAAGGGGTCTAGGGGAACTGTTATCAAAATCGATCCGAAACCAGCTCAAATGTCAAGCTCGATACTTCCACCAACAAAAGACAACTTAATTATCAAAGGCCTTGAACCAGATACGGAGTTCAACATCACGATGTTTGTTATCGGTTATCTTCCTGTCATACCCAAGTCTGCACAGGAGTTCGAGCTTCTTGTCGAAAAACATGCGTTAACAAAACTTTCCGACGAGAAGACATTTACCGTGAGAACAGGGCCCGAACCGCCAAAACTATCAGTTGTGGAACAACGAAAGGATTCAGTCAAAATCGACTGGTCAGACTACGCTGAGAGCGACGAAGCGTCATATTTAGTTCATTTGAACCCTTCAAATGGTCAATTATTCGAAAAAGCTCAGGGAGTCAACCGACCTGTCGAAGTGATGAATAAATTCTTAACAGTGGGCAATCTTCATCCTGATATTGAGTACACGTTGACCCTATCTGCCAAACTCGATGATACATACACAGATGAGGTCCAAATCAAGTTCAAGGCCAATTGTGAGCGGTCTCATTATCAAATGGATTCAAAAGAAACAACTAAACTTGGACCATACAATTTAGGAGATTATTGGACTGTCTGTACCTGGGCTCGAGCAGCGCCATCAATGCCATCAGTTCTCTCGCTTATGCAACCCTCTGCTTCAGGCGTATCATCAGTACTTTCACTGTCAACAACAGCGAGTGGTTGGAAAGTAAATGTTGGCGGAAAGTCTGCAGAAAAAGAAATGTCAGTCACTGATCTCTCTTTTATCTGCGTGACCCAGGATTCCGATGAGCAGGAGCATCGGATTTTTGTGAACTCTGAGCAAATTGAAGCCTCTTCAAGTGCCTTTGAAAAGATCACGGGAGCAGCCGTATTTGTTGGTCAAGGTCCTTCCACCATAATTGATGCTAATGTCTGGCCTTTTGTTCTCAGCGACACTGAAATCAACATTCAACGAACTAGCCCGATTCAGTGTATTTCTGGAATGATTACACCATCTGTCATTCCACCATCAACTCATCAAAGATCGCCACCAAGACCGGAAATTTCTGTTGTCTCGACAAGTTCCTCTCAAGTTGAAGTCAACCTAGAGTCGAAGGGGTTGATCACTTCCATGTTTGTTGAGCTCAGCCCTCCATCTGCGCAATTCAAAAACGGAATCAAATCGGGAAGTGACGATAAAATGATCATCAAGGGACTTGACAGCGATACCAATTATTCTCTAACAATTGTTTATCTACTGGCTGCACAAAAGTCAGAAGCTGGACAGATTCTTTTTAGAACAGCGACAGAGAAACCGGTTTTAACTGCACCATCAGTCGAATCGTCCTTGATTTATCTCCAGTGGGACGAGATTCCAGGTGCTATCGCTTACGAACTGGTAAGCTCAGAGGCACAGTTGAGCGAGCGACTAAATGAGACGTACTATCACGCCGAATTCCTGAATGGAAGCACTGAGTACACTTTTGAAGTCAGAGCAGTCATCGATGATGATGAAAATATCCGCACTGATTATGCAAAAACGACAATCTCTACAGTTCCATCTCTAGATAACTTCTCTGCGAAGGCACGATCGACATCACTGAGGCTAACCTGGGATGTTGCTACCAAACCAGACTTCTACAATGTTTTGATAAATCCACCGATTCCCAATTTTGATGGATATATGGTCGAGCTTGAGAGTCCGCTTTTACTTGACGGTGCTAGTCCAAACACAATCTATTCGATCGTTATGACTGCCACTTATTCATCCAGCGGAGCTTCAGGTTATCAGGGAAAGACAGACAAGGTCTTTAGTATTCCCAAGACGGCCCCACTTCTCGAAAACTCGAGAGTCGCCCTCCTGCAGTCATCGCAGATCGCCATCGCTCTCGGTTACGTTATGGGTGCCAAGGATCTGCGAGTCGTCGTGGAACCACCAATTGCATCAATTACCAACGGGCTCCAAGGAGGCTTTGCTAACTTTGTTCGACTCACTCAAATGATCCCTCTGACCAAGTACGAGATTGCGATCTCAGCACTTGTCGCTAATGCTGAAACCGACGCTGTCATTTTCACTGAAGAAACTGCACCAAGCGGAAGTGGCGTTAATATCGAGGAGATAACGTCTTCTTCGGTTCAGGTATCCTGGTCTGCTGTTGAGCACGTGATTCGATATCGAGTGATTTTGAAGAAGGGATCACAAACTGTCTATGATGCTTTCAAAGATGCCAATGAGTTGAGCATTGTTTTGAGCTATCTCGAGCCTGAATCTTCGTACAATGTCTTCATCTCAGGAGAAATGGAGAATCAAGTGAGAACTGATCCAGCTTCGCAAAGATTCACTACATTGCCCCAAGTCACTGGAATTTCCGCTAAACATATCGCAAGTACATCGTTCACGGTAGAATGGCCCGAAGTTGAAGGCGTGACTCGCTGGGACTTCAAAGTCGTTGGCGAAGTGACGATTCACCTCAGCGGTATGCACTCCGCCACCGTTACAAACCTCCTGCCTGGAACTGATTACAGTCTCTCACTCGTTGGTATTTTCGATGAAGTCCGACGGACAGACATTTTCTATAAAAATATTATGACAGCAAGCGCTGCTCCTCAAGTTGACATTACGAATGTTCAGTCAACTGCATTCAATATTCTCTGGAAGTCTGTTCCAAATGCTCAAGGATACGATGTCGCGATTGAGCCGCCAGTTGACGACTTCGATAATTCTCTCGTTGATTCTAGCACGAGCTACTTATCAATTTTCGAAGCTGAGCCAAATACTCAGTACACAGTCTCTATCAAAGCCATCTTCAACGAAATCGTCGAAACGGATCGAACCGTTTTGAAGACGCAGACTGCGTTCACCCTCGAATCTCCAAAAGCGGATTTTATTGGAAACACGACTGCATCTATCTCTTGGGTCGATCATCGCCATGAAGAGGAGAAAGAGGCTGAGAGGGAAGGATCCGCCGATCATGACGACCACCTTGGCGTTATCAATTACTTCGTCAGCATCAACCCTCCTCCAATTGGTGGAGAATCTCGAAACTTGGCCATGGACAGCTCTTTCTCTTTCACCAACCTCGAAGAAGGCACAACCTACGTTGTGGAAGTTATTGCTGTTCTCACATCTGGCGCTCAAACTGACATTTCCGACTTCGAGTTCACTACAAATGGAAAATCTCGAGAGCTTGTAGATTCTTCCGTTCAATGTGGATTTGAAAGTCTTGAGCGAAAGTCCTCTTCTAGTTGTGACTTTGAAGGAGGTTAGTTTTTAAGTTTTATCTCAGAAGTTAATTCCTTTGTAGGTGGACTTTGCGGATGGACGCAGAGCTCGAAAAGATTCGGATTCTTCCGTTGGCGTGTGGACACTGAGAGGAATACCCTAGAGAAGAGTAATATAAAAAGAAAATTGAATTTTACCCCATCAGACGGTATACTGCATGACGGAAACAGCAAAATAACTAACTCCTCTTTCTAACACTACTTACAACAGATACCAAGACTCACATTAACTAACTATCATAACCGCATGCTGTTGCTTCCTGATGATGATCTCACCACCGAAGTATCTTTTTCGAACAGTTTTTATCTTTGTTTTATAGACAAAATCTTGGTCGCTCCGTTGAACAGAAACGCAAACCTCAATTCTGCTAGAATCATGTCTCCAGCGCGAAAAGGAACTCAGTGTCTCTCCCTTCGAGCCCTCATCTTCCAACAAACCTCATTAAATCTATCAGTCAAGGTGCGCTTCGCGGTAGAGGGCGAGGAGAGAAAACGAGAAGAGACCATTATTTCCTACAATGGCAATCAGGGTGGAGACTGGTTCAATGTCCAACAGACTGTATTCATGCCGCCGACGATTTCCTATCAAGTAAAGTCGTTTATGTTTATCATTATCAAACCATCACTTAGGTTGTCATCGAGGCGACAAAATCAGAAGGAAAAGGAACGCCAATTGCTATCGACGATCTCAAACTCGAATCAGGTCCCTGCTGGTCCAAGGACGAGCTCTAAACAAACTTACTACTGCCCTTCAAGTTTTCCCAATATTTCAAATTTTCTACTGTAAAAATCCTTTTCCTTCCTTTCTGTAAAAGCCTAAAAACTAAAACCGCACCAATCTGTAACAGTACTGAGTACAGATACGTCGTCAACAACACGAACAACCGAAATAAAATTATCACGAATTGCGCGTGTAAATTATAAATATATGAAAGTGTTTATTTGAGTACATTAATTACAAATTTACAATTTTGAATGATAAAAAGCAGAATTAAATTTACTTTTCGACGCTGATGCCGCAAACTTTGGTGGCCTTCCATTTTGGAATCGTGATGTTGGTAGCTTCTTCGTCTAAAAACAGGTCACGTAATTGACAAAATTGAGATTTCGTCAAAGGCCTATTTCCTGTGACGGTTCAAATTTGAGTTTTGAAATCAAAAATAATCATTTAGAATGTAATTTCTAATGAAACTTACCATCAACATCCATTGGAATCTCAACAGGAATGTATTCACCATGCTGTTCGCAGCAGATGTTGAAAATATACTTTCCAGGGCCATTAGGAAGATTGTCGTTCCAGCTTCCTACAAAAAAGTTCCAGTAATTCTCTAGAACGGGAGTTGTTTACCTTGGTATCTATGGTTAGCATGGACGAGTTCGCCGGCGCCTTCTGCTTTGCCCTTGACCCAGCTGCCAGTGTAGCGGGACTGTGTGTCAGAGTAAATGTAAGTTCCTACGCCGTGTCGCTGACCATCCTGAACATGATGGTTTAGAAACTTAGAAAGAAAAAAGAGGCTAGATTTACCTGCCAGTGACCCTCGAAAGTATCTCCGTTAGGATAAGTGTAAGTTCCTTTTCCATTTCTATGATCATCGGCGTAGTCGCCCTTGAAGACGGAACCGTCGGGGTAATAAAACGTGCCGCTGCCGTGCTTCTTGTTCTTATCATACTGTCCGACGTACTGGGCGCCGCTCTAAAAATAGTAAAATATCAGTAAAGTGAGAGAGAGTACCTTAAATTTGTAGATTCCGTTTCCATGTCGTTTTCCATTTTCATAGTTGCCTTCATAATAATCACCATTTGGCAGGGTAGCCTAAAATAATCCCTTGCTTTCGATGAACAAACCTTATGAATTACCTTTCCATGGCCATGGCGCTCTCCGGCATCGTTTCGTTCGCCTTCGTACTCGCCAAAGTAGAAGTCGTTTCCGTCTTCAAGATCGATGGAACCCAAGTCAGACATTTTGATCTTTTTGGTTTATTTTTATAACTGAGCCGGGAATCGAAAACAACGCCTCAGGTGCGTGCGTGTTCTAGAAAAACCATAAATATTCAAAAATAACGTTATGATGATTTAAAATTGAAAATATCAAAAAATGTCTTCATCAAAATACACTTTCTGAACGAGGACGTGTCAAGTTTTACGTCACTGAATAAATTTATACACTTTAGACGTCAGAAACGATGTTCTTTTTGAATTAGCAGAAGTTTTCATGAATCTTTTTTTCGCTGATAAGCATATCAGGTGGAAATTGAATCAAATTTCCATCCCTAAAATAATTATCTCAACAATCGCATTACTGGAAGGCTTAGATTCAAGTCCACGTTTTATTAGCTTTTAAATGGTTCACTACTGCACAAAAACCGCACGATTGTTTACCAGCCATGCAATCGCTAGTGGTGGAGCACTATTCGCCACCGCCGTGACAAATCCGGCGCAGAGCACCAGCTCAGAGTTGTCGAATTCACTCATTAGTCGCCCAAAAAGTTTAATTAGAATCAGACACAAAACCCGACGTAGAAGGGATGAAGATTTCTAGCGCAGTTTTGGTTGCACTAAAAGCGTCCATTGAAGCTCAGAGCGATGCTGGAGATAACAGAGACAATGTTTACAGTATGCTTAAACGGTAAGTGACGAAGAAGGAATCTATTATAATGAGATTTTAGGCTTTTGAAAGTAAATGGCTGGCGTGATGAAGCTGACCTGCCTTTGAATCTTTTGCAGCAAGGTTGCTGGCTTCAACTTCTCAATCCTCCAGGATGGGAAGCTTCCAACAGAGCTGAGCCCGTAAATGAAATGGACTATCTCGGCCGAGCCTGGTACAAATGTCACCAGTGCACTACTATCGACGATTCCATTTGCCTCGGTATCAGTCAAAACTACGGTTCTCCTCTTTACGACCGCTCAACTCGATCGTATACTTGTCCGGGCGTCCCTGGCACATGTGAGCACAACGCTTGCTCCTGCGATGTCAAACTCGTGGAGAGTATCTTAACGATCATGACCAGAGATGGCTATCACAGTGAAGCAGACACTGTTGTTGGAGGATTCGATCCGATTGCGCGTTGTGTCAAGAGTGGTACTGGCAACGGGTCTGGTGCTACTGATAGCTGCTGTGGAACCTACCCAGATCGATTTCCGTTTCACTCGGAGAACGGGGCTCGTGCCTGTTGCTACGGAAAAACATACGATGCTAACGCTCTTTCCTGCTGTGCCGACGGAACCATTGATATGGTATGCGATTTGACGGACGACCCATGTGATCCGAACCCATGCATGTACGGAGGAACTTGTAACGCAGGACAATATGGCACTATTTCTTGCACTTGCACAGACAAATACACTGGGCAGTTCTGCGAGACGAAAAAATCAAAGAAAAATCGACTTATTTTGGACGAAGAAGGATCGGGAGAACAAGAATCGGACATCACTTCTGCTCTTTCGAATGGAATGGAGCGACTTTCAGAAAATGACTTGTGCGAATTTGTCAAGTGCCAAAACGGCGGAACATGCAATTTGGGACAATGCGACTGCCCAACTGGATTTTCTGGAGAATTCTGCCAGCGAGATCCTTGCTCGATTTCTCCTTGTCGCCATGGAAAATGCGTTGCGATCGGGGGAGAGGCGATTTGCGAGTGCGCAAAGGGATACTACGGTGATTTCTGTCAGATTTCTGCTTGCGATGACTTTGATTGCGAAAACGGCGGCAAATGCATTTTGAATGAATATCATTATCCAGTCTGTCAGTGTCCAGAAGGCTTTGAAGGGACAAATTGCGAGCAAAAGATTGTTCCTCCAAATCCTTGTGATCCTGATCCTTGCTTCAATGGTGGCGAGTGCGTGGCCAACAGTGATGGATTCACATGCTCTTGCACAACTGGGTTTATTGGTCGACTTTGCGAGGAGTCTGTTCCCACTCAGGTGATTAAGAATCATTCGCGGCTTGTTCTTACTTATTTAGGTTTGGTGCTATGAAAAACCAATGGATATCCTCTTCGTTGTCGACAGATCAACTTCAATGCGCGGCGAAAGCAACTTTTTCGATGCTTCAAAAGCGTGGATTGAAAATTTAATCGGGGAATTCGACCTCGATCTTGTTCAAGTAAAAACTTATTGAAAAATTTCCAGTGTTTAAATTTTTAAGGTTGGTGTTGTCACTTACGCCGATAGCGCCACTTTGGATATCCCGCTAAAGAATCATTCTCTTGCTAAGGTAATACCGACTTTTGAATTTGTTCTACTTTATCATAGATTGTGAAAAGAATGGACGCAATCGAACTCGATGAAAAAGTTGGATCAGATCTGTCTGATGCGGCCAATCTTGTCCGAAAGGTTGTTGGACGGCGTAATCAAGATTCCGACGCAGAAAGCATCGTCATAATTCTCTCAGGTTCAGTAAAAAATCTGTATCGCTCTAACAGTCGATAGATTTCTGGGACTCCGGCTTCAAGACACCGGACTTTTTATCGGACACACCATTTGGCAGCCTTGCTACTCTGAGAACATCTGTGATTGCCGTCGGTCTTGGGGAAGAATCCAACAGTGCAATTGGCCAAATAGCCGCATTGAACCAATCCGAAAACTTTGTCAAGGTAATATCTGAGAATTTTTACATTTCCAAATATTTTATTTCAAGGCACAATCACCGGATGACCTCATGACTCCAGAATTTCTAAACGAGATCACTCGAAAAGTCTGTTATTCCGATGGACGGGAAATGGATGGCATTTGGACGGAGCTCGAAAGTCAACGATTTGATGAAGAGTTTGACGTCGAGACTTTCGAGGATTTACGAAGAGAGTCTTTAAAACGAGACAGAAAACGCATTCGGCGATCAATTTCTGATACATCTGCGTAGACTTTGCGCCAAGAAAGAAAAACGTTTTTGTACTTGTAAATAAATAAATGTTATTTTATTTTTTTGTTGACGTCAAAACCAGGGTTAAAAATCACCTAGTTTTTAGGCGAGGTGAACTAAGCATCATGAATAAGCGTCATGAATAATTAGTTAGTTTATTTTGGAAATATCGTCAGTATAAGATGCATTTCCGAAATGACATGTATTGAGTTTAAGCAGTAGGTCTGTTTTATATTAGTGTAAGAAAGATCGTTTTCGGAAGTTGGAAGTGCAGTGCGAAGTTACAGATTATACAGTTTTAGAATACAATATGTGCAGTTACAAGCAGTTGAGTTTCTTATTATAAAATTCATTCTTTAGTTCATAAATCGTCTGCAGTTTGGTGCTTGGCATCCGCACTGAATACGCTCAGATCCGAGATCGCGATCGAATTTGTAGTCGTAGGTCAGTTCTTCGCCGAAGTCGATAAATCGGCCGGCGATGATACAGATGTGCTTTCGCGAATCGACAGTGATGATCTTACTCAAACAGTTGGGACCACACGAGTGGTTGATAAAACGCGCTCTGCCACCTTCCATCGTTGCGTCGACAACAAAATCGTCATCGACTCGGAACCTTGAAAAGAAAATCAATCGGATTTTAGCAAAAAGTACTCACATGTATGTTCCGATGCCTCTGTCGTCGTAGTATTTTTCGCGCATGTCGCAAAGTTCTCCGCGGATGACAGTACCAGAGTATTCAATTACCAACTCTCCGGGCTCGTAAGGTCGACGTGCGAACAATCCTCGTCCGTGAATAGCCGATGGCAGGACTTAACAGAATAATTGTCAAAGTTGATAGTGATTTTGTACCTTGAAGGGAGTTTCTACTAGTTTCCACCATCTTCCTGAATCTCATCGTCAATGGCAAGTCGGTCTCCAACGTTGGCCGGAAATTCGGATCATGGGTTAGCCCAGAACGATGCTTGGAGTTCAGGAACGAGAACATATCTGAAGGATTTCGCTTTCCAGACCAGCCTTGTGCCCTCCAGCAACCCTTCGAATTTCTCGTCACAGAAATGCTCTTCTCGTCACGAGGGAAATGGACAGCTTTGTAAGCTCCAGGGATACTATCAGCTAGAGGAAGCTGTTCGAGAAGGTATCGGACCATATCTTTTGAAAAACCAAATGCAGCAAACACATCTGGGCGTGTCGCTTTCGGAGCAGATCCTGGAAGACGGCCTGATGTTGGCAACTCGTCGATAATTTCATTCCATAAACTTTCAAGATCTTTTCCGGACTTTCGAACACCATCTTCTGAAACAATAGAGAACATCAGATTGTATTCTTCTACTTCATCAACTGCATCAGGGGTTTCTGGGCGCTCCACAATTTTCAGCTCATTAGCCTTTTCTTCTACCATGAGTCTGTCTAGCAAAATAGACCCGTCAAAGTCATCATCATGGCCATCTTCAACAGAACCTTGAACAAGCGACTCTTCGAGCACGATGGGATCCCATATAAGCGGCTTCTGCTTCGGCGCTTTCGGCTGCTTAGGTTCTTGCTTGAAAGGAATCGGCTTTGGCTCTTCCTTAATGATGCTGAATGATGAGGGATCCATGCACAGTTGTCTTCCTGTAATTGGCATTGGCCCGTTACGGACTTCAATCAGTTGACCGTTGATGAGATTTAGTCCTGGTTTGAGCCCTTGATTATTTGGCAAAATAGTTCCAACTTGGTATCTTTGAAATTGCTGCGGGCGACTCTGCTGTTGACGAACCGGACTTCTACCGACCACTTCTATTCCAGATTGTCTTCTAGGTGGTTGTAGATCTAGATCCCACGGTTTTCTCGCTGATGTGGACGAATCAGACTGAGGGGGAACTCGCTGAGATTGATTAGCTGGTACGATTTGAGCAGGCCGAGGCGCCAAGGTCATCTGTGGCTGGATTGTGAATGTTCCATTTTCTGGATTATAAGCGCTGAAAACATGTTGCTGCTGAGCACGCATCGGCTGTCCACGCGGCTGTTGCAATATGTTCGGCCTGTGCTGTTGAGTGCTCAATCCTGGCAATGGACCAGCGCCTGGTGCGATCCTGTATTGCTGATTTCCAAATACCGCAGCCTGCGGACCTGGTTGTTGACTTCGAACAGGAGATTTTGACTGACGTTTGTTCAACTCACTTTGAGTTTTAATCGCCTCTTTGATAACTTTCTTGTGGTAACTTTCATCCCTTGGCTCGCCTTTTACGTAAACATTTGTTTGATGCCGAGGAGCTTGCTGCTGAGGTCGCTCTTGATAGGTTGGCGGGGGCTCCGCCTTCACCACAATGTTTTTGGGTGCATTTATAGGCGACTTCAAGTCGTTCTTGATTTGTTGCAATCTGTACTCGTCGATTTTAGGACTTCGACCAACGTTGAAGTATCTCTGAGGAGGCGCTTGTGTAGAACTTGACGGCCTTTGAACATCTTGGTACTGAGGTGGCTTTGGCTGCTGAAGTACTTGTTGATTGGCAAAACTTGCAATCTGCGAGTTTTGATTGACGGGTGAACTTGCGACTGGCCGTTGCTGGAAATTACTCATCATCGTTTGTTGCGGTTTTTGTTGCTGAACAGGTTGATTTGCAATCACGAATCGCTGGTTGGAATTGATATAAGTTGGCGTTGGAGCTTGCTGTGGGTGCGTTTGTATTCGAATAAAGCGTTGTCCATTGTGGAAGAATTGCTGGTTAGGTGCTTGAACAAACTGTTGCGCCTGTGGCGGCTGCTGTTGAGTACTCTGCTGTCGCTGTTGAGGGGTTGATATCGGCTGATTTTGGTATTGTGGAGGGGACTGAAAGTTTTGAGGTGGAGATTGGAGATTATGAGCAGAACCAGGCGAACGATTCTGACTGTGAAACGGTTGCTGAGGTGGTGAGTGAAGTCCAGGAGACATTTGACGATGCAAAAGACCTTGATGTTGTTGATGTCCGCGGAACTGCTGCGATTGTTGCTGCTGCATGAGGAGTCGTTGATGTTCTTGCTGTTGTTGCATCATACGCTCATGCTCAATTCGTTTTCGATGCTGTTCTTCGGCGAGGCGTCTTTCTTCTTGTTGTTTTCGAAGAAGTTCTTGTCTTTTTTGCTCTTCGCGCTTTCGCTTTTCCTCTTCTAGTCTTCTCCTTTCTTCTTCTTCCCTCTGCTTCCGAAGCATTTCTTGTCGTTTTCGCTCTTCTTCCTCTCTTCTATGCTGCTCTTCAACACGAGCTTGCATTTCACGATGCCGCTGCTCTTCTAGTGCCCGCTGCTGTCTTTGTCGGTGCTCCTGAAGTCGCTGCTGCTCGAGCATTCGCTGATCTATTCCGTACGAAGGAGTTGGCGTTGGAGCTCCAAGGGTACCGAGTGGAGTACTCAGCATATGCTCGCGATTGTCAAAAGGAGTGGCTGTCAGGCGTTGTGTTGGCGTAGGAGCTTGAGGATACCCATGTGGTGTTGACGATCCCATTCGTTGAGGCATAGGACTCGGTGTTACGACACGTTGAACATTCATAGGCTGCCCCTGAGAGTTCCCAGGAGTTAAAAATATTGGAAAGTGAGATGCAATTTGTGAGGTGACAGGCTGAAAATTCTGACCATGCTGCTGTTGCGGCTGTCGCTGATGGGCTTGATGATACTGGACTTGTGGTTGTTGGCGTTGTTGCATCATCGGCTTTTGGCCTATCACTTCACCTTGCGGATTGACGACCTTAGATAGCAAAGTAAGAAATTGAGCTTAAAAAGGTGTTTTACCTGATAGTATCCGGGAGGAGCAGAATGTCCGCTTTGGGAAGAACCTATACGCTGAACGTTACTCTGTTGAGTAGATGAAGCTTGATTGTCCTGTTGGTGAGTGACTTGATTTTGCTGATTTGCGCCGCCAGGAAGAATAACAGTTCCTCCTTGAGCAACGTGGATGTAATTCGTTTGCTGCATTACCGGTTGCATTCGAAACACTGGTGAAGCTAGAGTTTGTTCCAAGGACTGTCCTGGTGCTGTTTTAGAATTGATAAATCACCGATGAAAATGTAAGAAAATGATGAAGGATAAAATCAAAGATGGAAATTTATAATAATGATCACCAAAATGAATCAGATGTGAATTTTACCAATTGCCTGGTGGCATGAGAATCGGAATGACCGTTGGTCTGCTATGAGTGTTACCGTTGGGCTGATGTTGATTTTGCGCCATCTGTTGGTGATACATCGGCGGAACTTGCGGCTGTCTTGGCGCGTCATTTAACCCATCTGTTTGTGGAAGATCAACTTCCATACCAGATCTGCTCGATGATTCATCGGACGAGTCTGCATTTCCGTCTAGTTGAGGGACTTTAACTCGCCTGCCGGAACGTGTTTTGAGATTCTCAGCTTTTTTCTGGCATCGGCGAGTCTGTTTCGGAGGCGATACCGGTTTTCTTAAAAAGTGTTAGTTTTTATTCTCGAACTGGACAATACTTTGGCTTCGTCGGCGTTCTTCGCTTCGATACCTTCCTCTTGGGGTAGCTCCACTGGTACTCATTTTCAATAACTTCAAGCTCAAGCTCATCAAACTTTTCAGGTTCGTTATATCGTTTGAGATATGCCAGATTTCTTTTGCAAAGGGACAATTCAAGATGTGAATCGAATGTTGCTTTGCACATAAAAATGAATCCACAAGTATCGCATGATTTGTGAACCTAGAGAGAGAACCTCAAAAAAAGTTTAAGAATCATGTTCAAACCTTTGAGTGCTTCACAGTGATTAAAGCTGCGTAATGATATGGATGGTTGACTTTCATATGCAGCAAGATCTTCTCGATGTCTTTGTCAGTTTTTTCGCAATCCTTAACAGCGCAAGAAAGGCTCTTAACAGCTCTCCCAGACCTTCGTACAAAGCTCTGTGTCAGCTCCTTCGCCAGTAGTTCCGATGACTTCTCCGACTCCTCGTCGTCCATTTCATGGTGTTCTTCAATACGAAACATATCTTCCATGTCATTTTCGGGCTCCGAGCTAGGAGACCAGTTGTCTTCAGCGTCTGGACTCGCCGAGTCTCTCCGAGAAGCTTCTTTTTCAGATGAGGTCTCCGACGATTCTAAATAAATTTTAACACCTGCAACGCATACAAAATATCACCAGAAATGATTCTACTCGATTCTACGGGAACATCAACACGAGTGAGGACAATTGTCAAGTTACCCATTTGGGGATTCTTTTCACAATTGTCTGATTCAGACTTGCCACCGGATGAACTACAATTTTTACCTATCTCTTCTTCAATCTGATCGTCATCAACACTTGGATCGGACTGTTCAATTGCCTCTGGTTCTTCTTTCTGATCTTCAGCGGCGACTTCATCTTTATCCACGGAAGTTTCTGAGGGGTCATCATTTGGGGTCTTTAGATCTTCTCTGGTATCAAAATCGACGGAAGGGCTTTTGGGTTGCTCTTGATCGAGTTCTGCAATGCTAGTTCCCGTTTCACCAAGTATCTCGGCTGATGTAGGCTCATTATCTCTCGTCTCTACTGTATCCGGCTCTTCTTCTTCTTCTTTTCCAACTGCTCCAGGTGGCGTCTGAACCCCCACTTCACTCGATGGCTGAGGTGACTCGTCAGAGACCATCTGAGGTTCTTCAGGAGAAGGAGAATCGTTTCGTTCTTGAAGAAGTGTCTCGGGATCGACATTTTCCATGACAGTCTTCAAAACACCAGCCTCATACTGAGGTCCTTCTTGGACAGTCTCGGCTTCAGTCACTTCTGGTTGCTCGATTTTTAGCTCCTCAGGAGAATCAACAATTGTAATTACTTCTCTCGATTCCGTGTCCAATGTAATCGTCTCAAGAGATTCCAGTGGACTCAATTCTTGAGTGTTTTCGACAAGTGGCTCTGACTTTGGCGAAGTTTTCTCGTCACTTTCCGAATCAGAGTCGAGACTAGTCAATTTCATCCTTCTTGATCTTCTTCTGATAATATCATCCTCATCTTCATCATCGGATCTCAAATGTGTTCTCACATCAGAAAGAGACATCATCTCAACGTTATTTGGCCGATCTGAGTCTGGAGATCTTCCTTCAAAGTCATCAATTATAAGTTCAACTTCGTGCAATTCCTCGTCGTCACGCTCATTCTCTTCGTCAGAAAAATCTTCATTTTTCTTGCCACGCCTGCCTCGACCGCGTGTGGTTCGCTTTGGTGCATTCTTAAACTTGGACATTCTTTTTGATTGAACTCGGAGTGGTTTTGAAGGCTGCGCTGCTTGCTTTTTCGGAACTAACTCGAAGCTTGTGTCCATTGGATCTGTTGTTTCGACTTCCTCCAAATCATCCTCATCATCAGTTGGTACCTTGAAGCCATCAAGCTCCTCAGGAATTACGACCTCTTCGACGAATTCTTTCTTAATTTTATTTGCCCAAACACGGACACTTCTTCTATTCAGCATGTCCTCTGTGTCTTCATCGTCCGTTTCTAACACCTCTTTTTTGACTATTTTCTGTCGCCCTCTTCGCCCCCGTTTTTCGGGGACCATCTGCGCAGATCCTTCATCGGCGCTCCGTTTTCTCTGAAAATATTTCGGCGGTGGTGCGATCTCTTCCATATCAACTTCTTCCCATTCAGGCCATTCGTCGAAAGTGTAGTTGATCGCTTCGCAAGTGATAGGAGTAGATGCTTCTGAAATATCTTCCTCTGGAGGAATGATCAAGTCGGGTTCATGCACGATAGTTTCATTCACATAAACTGCTTCCGGAAGCGGGTCGTATTGGATTGATACATTCAAAATGTATTTAGTCAGATTGCCAGGATTTTTCGAAGACCAAAACCATCGGATGGCTTCATATCCTTCTGGACAGAGAGCTTCTTTGTAGCGCTGAGTACATTCAGGATGGATCTTTCCGAGATTTTTAACCGAAAGGCCACCTAAAGCGATGTATGCATCTTCAGGTCGAATTCCATGCGCCCATTTTGATTTGTGATGATGCGCTTGATCGTTGTGATCTGGCCGAGCACGTCCTTTTCGTAATAGCATGTTCTCGACATCAGTAAAAACTTCTTCAAGTGTGATTTTCTTTTTCTTCAGACTTCCATACGCTGCTCTTGGCTTTTTTGGGCGAGGCTTAATTTCATCTGATGCTTCCGGAACTTTAGCATTTGCAGATTCATTATCGGAAATATCGAAATCGGAGTCTTCCTCATTATTTTCCGAAATCATGCCGGGCGACATTTGATCAATATCAATCAGTCCATCTGTTTGAGGAACTTGAGTCTCGGGCTGAATAGAGGGCTGAACTTTCGAAGCAATCTGTGTCCCTGGGATTTGTTGCAGTGGCGGTGGAGGTGCATTCCGTTGAAGTTGTGGCATAACTTTCTCGCTATTCTGAATTGGAACGCCTTGGATAGGAGATTTGTTGAGCATTGGCATTGGCTTGGGCGTAAGGTTAGGCGGATTTTGAGGTTGAGTCGTAATAGAGCTGGTACTTGAGCTGGGCAATAAGTTGGAAGAGGTTGAAGCGGAACTTTCTTTTAGGTTTGTTGAAAAATGATTTACTGAAGTTGGTGTGCTACTAGGTCCTTCGTTGAAGAGAGTTTCAATCAGTTGTGAGAGTTTGTCTTGTCCAAACTGCTGAAGTTCTGGCTTCTTTGTCATGATATTCGAGGCCATCGCTTTCGAATTCACTTGTGACTCGAGCGGGATGATCTGCAGCCTCTGTGTAGGCTGATTCTTTGGTGGGCTAATTAATTTCTGCATTGGCTTTGGGCTAGTGTACAACTGGAGTGGAGATGCTGGGACAGGAGTAGATTTGCTTGGGGATGCTCTGAGTAGTTCCTTGAGCGTTGAGTTTTCTGCAGACTGAGCTAATGGTGCTTTCTTGCCCACAATCAGCGGTGGCGGCGAAGTCATCATTTGCTGAAAGGCTTGCGGTTTTCCGCCAGATGATGGGGATTTAGGTTTGAGGTTTCCGTTAGAAAGGATAGGGGCAACTTTTACTGGAGAGGTCTGTCGGTCGAACGACGACGGCTTTCCGGTCTTCGGTGCGGGAGTTATGCCTGGAGTAACTACTGTTTTACCCGCGTCAGTTTGTTGTGTGACCGGCTTGACGTCAGAGGGTGGGACGTTCTGGTCTTGCGATGGCATTTCCTGTCTTATCAAGTCGGCTAATAAATTTGGAGTCTCAGCTCCCTGTTCTGTCGACTGCTTCCTCGCAAGAGAAGCTTCCAATACCATGTTTTTCTTCGATTCGCAGCGGGGTTTATGGCGGCCACAAAGAGACGACATCTTGTCCATCACCAACCAGCCAGTTAATCTTGCGCAGAAGAAATGCATAACCAAGTTACAGCCCTCTTTACAGCATTTGACGGATATTGCTGTGCGTATACTGTAACCACAGTGGCGGCAGGAATCTTCTTCTCTTGATGCACTTGGGCCAATTCCATGTGAATATCCTCGAATCATAGGGGAGTAATTTCCCTTTGTATTCGCTAGCCTTCCTGCCCAAAGAACACAGGCTGCATGGGCCCACTCATCCTGGCCAAGGTAGATTAACCGAGCGTAAGATGGTTTTGCCGTACAAAGACAACATGCTTTTATCGGGATTTAAAGATCAAGTCCTTTTTAACTTAGATTTAAAATTGAGAATCTTTTTATCCCCGGACCTGGTGAACGATAGAGTGAAGTTTGATACTGAGGTATTTCAGGCGCTTTTCTCAGGTGAAAGGTAAATTCAGGAGGAAACTCAGTTTCAGGCAGCGCAGCGACTTGAGCGTCATATTTTGGAAAGATTTCCTCTAGCACATTCTTTGAGTGCTCAAATTTGCGTTGGATCTCGTCTGAGCGAAATTTCTCTAATCTACGAAGTTCCTTGATCTTTTTGGCAAAATCTTCTATTGAATCGAACTAGAAAGAGCGTTTTAGAATCAAAGATGATTTCTTTTTGGTACCTTGTCGATATTTCTCTGGATTTCGGAGATTTCGGAGTGGCCACTTTTGGCCAGTTGCGAAAGAGGACTGAGGATTTGAAGAAGACTTCTTCGCCAAGCGCAGAGAAGATGATTCTTCCACGAAATGCTCGCATCGCAGTTTTCACAAAGAAAGGTCTGACGTTGTGCAAAATTATCTAAAAATGGGATAATAGAGGCTGCTTATTGAGATGCATTACCATAAAAATGAAGAATATCGTCGGAGAGGTCCAAACAACAGGATTTAACGGAGGTTCGGCAGCGGTCGCATTGGTAACTAGGTTGGCAGTTGGGTAGCGGGTCGGATAGACAGAGCTCGCAGGTACTTCGTGGCGGCTCTTCATGATTAGGTCTGAGGCATTCGGAGCAGGTCCAGCCGTTTTGACGGAACTCGCTCCGCAGCTGAAATTTTCTCGTTTGGTTTTGTTGATTTCGAGAAATCATACTTGGGGGTCTATACAACGCCTGTGGATAATCTTCCAGCAGGTCTTGCAGTTGAAGGTCGATATCGTCAAAACAGGATAGGAACACGAAACGCAGCTCTGTCGACAATCGAGACAGAGCCAGCGGTAGGTCTGGCCGTACTTTTCTTTAGGATAACCTTTAGCACACTCGTAATGATAGGGCTCGGCACAACCAGAACACCAAATCAAGGGGTCGTTGTCGACGCCAGAGCACGAAATACAAATCGGACCGGGATAAACCGCCTCCAGCTCATCTTCGTCCTCCGAGCTTGAAACTGCCCGCGGCTGCAAAGGAAGAAAAATTCAGTCATGGTCGAGTAAGAGCGCAAGAATTACCTTGAGAGGTTTAGTCAGAACAATGGGATTGGGAATTGAAGGATCATATTTAAAACAGCGAACGGACAAATTGTGGGCGACTTCGGGAGCATGAGAAATGCGGGGCTAAAAATATGGAAAATAGAACACAAGAAAATTAACAGTTTGTTTTGATGCAAAATAAAGACCAGGAAAAACGAAAACTGTCAAAAATAGAAAGCCGTAAATTTAAAATTTAAATTTAATAAAAATTTATTGAAAGCGAAAGTTGAATCAAATTGAAAGCTTCATGAAATCATCATTCCAAATTGAATTTTGACGGGGAAAATCGATTCCTCAAATAACTCGATCGATTTTATCCAACTTTTCATAAAAAGAAACATGTTTTCTTCAATTTTATGTTCAATAACATGAATTTAAAAATTGGTTACTAGGAAAAATTGCTCAATTTTAGATTAAAAAATGTATGTCATCAATTTTTGAATAAAAAATAATAAAAATATGATTTCTTTCACATCAAAAATAGGTTTCCGAGGGAAATTATCAAGTCAAAATGTCAAAAATCGATACTTACAGGAGCATAGGCAGTTTTGATTTCAGACTTTAGTCCGACTTCCCTCTGTCTTCGGCTTCTCCTGGTCATTTCTCTATTTATTTCCTCGTTATTTCACTTGTTTTCTCATTCTTTTTGGAATTGACGGCTTCTATTTTTTCTTTTCTTTGTCTCTCATTCCTTCGCCCTAGAATAGTGCGAAGAGCAGAAAATGTGCAAAAAAAGCGCGGAGTGAACGGGGTGAATGGGTTTTTGGGTGCGGATTGGCCGCGCTACATCGCCACAAAAGATCCGCCCCGAGACCCGAGAGATGACTCACCAATTTCGCTTTTTTCTTCCTCGCGAAAAGCGAGCAACTCGGCTTGAAACGATCGCCACTTTTTTTTTAATAAAATTCGAAATCAGCGAGGAATCATTCGTATTCAGAAGAGATTTTACGAAAGAAAGGAACTAATCTCATATTCTTTTTCCTTGATTTTCTTGTTTCTATTATCGATTTCTTTTTTCTTTCTCGGATTATCTTCTCTCATTGAAAACAATTGCTAATGCTGATTTTGCAAAGATAAGTATCAAAGTTGAGTTGCCTTATGATAGTTTTACGCAAGTTGCTTTGATTTGGTTATCTTCCGTGATTTCATCCTGCTCGATTTTTTATCAACGATAGATGTTTTCATTAATCCATGAAAACATCTGTATTCGAATTTTATCTCCGTCATGGATCACGGTAATATATTTTCCCTTTTTTATTCTTTAAATTTTCCTACAGTAAGAAGTTTGAGCTTCTGAAGACAGAAAGTAATTTTCCTAGCACAAGCAACACCACATAATTTAGGCGATCGGCTTCGCCAAATTCTTAACAAACACTGTCGCATTCTTGAGGTCGTTAAAGTCCTTGACTGGTTTTGTGCAGTTCTTGTCGAAAAAAAGCTTCAACGCGGCAGAATCGCCACCCCAGCCGAAGAGATCCGCGGCAAGGGATTCGACTTGTTCTACCGATTTCACCTAGAAACTTATCACTAACAGTAATCAACGAGAACTCACCTCGTATCCAGGATTATTCAACACAACAGCAGCCTTCGGATCCTGGACCACTCCATATCTATCGTTTCCAACAAATTCCAAATTGACAAAATCGCTCTGCGCGCTAGAATCGCCGGCAGATTTCACTACAACCTTCTTCGCTGGCCGTCCCTTGGGGTTCTCCAAAAGGGTCGTTACTCCGGCACTCGCGGAATTTTTGACGCAAAGGGGTACTGGTGCGCTGGGGTCAATGGTTCCATGAGCGACTTGGAGATTGAGGACTGTCTTGGTTTTGAAGAATTCGCCCTACGATGAACGATTTTTACAAGATGATGGGATTTTGATTGATTACCTTCATCTCTTCTTTCGATGTAGCAGCAATATCTGCATATCCAGGGCAGTCATTCTTTACAAAAGTGGCTCGAATGGCCGACTGGATCTTCTCAAAGTGCGAAGTGATGACGTCATCCAAGTAACCTTTGGGCGTCTGAACAATACTTTTTATCCGTTGCCGATAAGGTCGTTCCATACCTGGTAGAAAACTGTAACTTCATCAGTTACGACAAGTTTGGCCTTCTTCTTCAACTTTTGTACTCTGTTAACGACTTCTCGCGAGACTCCTTCGTCGATCATATCTTGGCTGAGGGAGATATTGAGAAGGACTAGTAGAGACCCTTCCGAATCAGCTTCGTATTTGACAGTTCCCTTTTAGAAATTATTATGAGTAAAGAATGAAAAATGGAGAATTTTCACCTCTGATTTTGCGTTAAATTGAATTCTGATTTCATCCTTGGTGATTTCATGGCCACCAACAATCATCTTTCCGTCAGCTCGGAGCTTCTCGATCGCATTAGTATCCATCTTTCGGATCTCAGCGAACAGAGCTTTAGCTTGCTTTCCAAGTCGTTTTCCAAGGATTGGGATTTCCGGCTCAGCCTTTAGCTCAACACCGTAGGCGCTTCGATCAGCGGAGAATGTGACCTTGCGGACGTTCAGCTGCTCCATTATGTAAGTTTCGAGGATCTTGAGCTCGTCAAGCTGAATTTGTTCTGGTCGAATGACGACGATTTCTGGAAGCGGGTACTTTTCTGGGAGAGTCTTTCGATCTCGGAGAGCTCGACCGATTTGAACAACGGTTGTCATGTTGGAAACTGCTCGTTCAATGTCGATTTGGATGAGAGACTCGTTGACTTCTGGCATCATCTGGAAGTGGATCGAACCGTCTTGGTTGTTGGCAGGTTGAAGTCGTCGGAGATTCTGGTAAAGATGCTCGGTCAAGAATGGAGTTGCTGGAGCCATGAGCCTGTTCATCCAATCGATGACAGTATAGAGCGTGGTCAGAGCGTGGACACAATCTTCAGCGCCAGTTTCACCCTTGAGTCGTCGTCGGTTGAGTCTGACGTACCAGTTGGTGAGTTGATCGACGAATTTCAAGAGCTTAGGAACGACTCTGTTGAGGTGGTATGTTTCCATCTCCTCTTTGACGGATTTGATCAAACTCTGAGAGTAGGAAAGAATCCATTTGTCCATGATGTTGTCGGAAGTTCCAACAAGTGCTGGGTCGTAGGTAAAAGTGCTATTCGTATCGATTTGATGTCGGAGAATGTTTTGGACGAGGAATCTGTAGGCATTGTACCACGGGAGGAAGACGTCTCGGATCATTTCTTTGACCTCCTGTTCCTTAAAGCGCAAATCGCCACCGGCAACAGCTACGGAACTGATGAGATACAGTCGGATAGCGTCGGCACCATACTTGTCAAACAGTAAGTTTGGATCGGGGAAGTTTCGCTTCGATTTACTCATTTTGTTTCCATCTTCAGCGAGTACCAAGCCATTGACAATGACGTTTTTGAATGGGGGTTTGCCGAAAAGGTGGGTAGAGAGCACGATGAGCGTGTAAAACCATCCTCGGGTTTGATCGATTCCTTCAGCGATGAAATGAGCGGGGAAGGTGTCTTCGAAGAGCTTTTTGTTTTCGAACGGGTAGTGCTTCTGAGCGTAGGGCATGGAGCCAGACTCGAACCAGCAATCAAAAACTTCTGGAATTCGCTTGAGAACACCTCGGCCGGTTTGAGAAGGAATAGTGATATGATCGATGGATTCACGATGAAGATCCGTAACAGTAACACCTGATAGTTCAGCAAGTTCTTTGATGCTGCCGACGCAAACGATCTCTTCAAGATCTTCCGAAGCCCAAAGAGGGATGGGGGTTCCCCAGTAACGATTTCGAGAAATGCACCAATCATTGGCATTCTTGAGCCAGTTTCCGAATCTTTTCTCCTTCACATAACTTGGCACCCAGTAAGTTTCATCGTTGGACTTGAGAAGTTGGTCACGTGCGTGCTCAACGCGGACGAACCACGAAGGCACGGCTTTATAAATAAGAGGGGTGCCAGATCTCCAGCAGAAGGGGTAACTATGCTTGATCTGTCCTTGTTTGATGACTCGATCTTTACCCTTCAACGTTTTGATGATTTCTTTATCGGCGTCTTTTACGTGCAGTCCCTGGAAATCGGCAACCTTAGAGGTGAATTTACCGGAGTTGTTGACAGGGCAAGCGGTGACACCGTCTTTAGTAATGATGTTGTTTTCGATTCCAACTCGGAAATCGTCAGCACCAAAGTAAGGGGCTTGGTGGACGACACCAGTACCAGAGTCGGCGGTGACGTAAGTATCACAGCAGACCTTGTGAGCATTCGGGAAATCCTCGACGAAGTAGTCGAACAGTGGGACGTATCTTTTGCCTTCGAGTGTTTTTCCTTTGAATTTTTCGAGAACTTCATATTCAGTGTCGTTTTTGAAGAGCTCGGAGAGACGAGCTTCCAGGACGATGAGCTTTTTCTCGTCTTTCTTTTGAAGAACCTTTACGTAGTCCATCTCGGGGTGGACACAGAGTGATAAATTAGATGGAAGTGTCCATGGAGTAGTTGTCCAGGCGACAAGAGCGACGTCGGGCTGATCTCTAAGAGGAAAGCTGACGGAGACAGCTGGATCGTTGACATCCTTGTAGTCCTGGCCAGCTTCGAAATTGGATAGGGGAGTGTTACAAGCAGTGGAGAAGGGCATCACCTTCTGTCCGTGATAAACAAGGCCCTTGGTGAAAAGCTGCTTGAACACCCACCAAACACTTTCCATAAACCATGGGTACAGAGTCTTGTAATCATTTTCAAAATCAATCCATCGACCAATTCTGTCGACAGTATCCTTCCACTCGCCACTGTAACGCATCACAATTGATCTGCACAGGGCGTTGTACTTGTCGATTCCCATCTTTTCAACGTCTTCAGGTCCCTAACAGATAGATTTTAGTTAACAGTTGATCGATTCTTAGCTAGGGAGCTTACAGTAATATTGTTAGTCTTGTCGATTTCGTGTTCAACTGGGAGACCGTGTGTATCCCAGCCAAATCGTCGCTCCACATGGTATCCATTTTGATGCCAGTAACGTGTCACTGTATCCTAAAGAAAACCTCCTCTTAAGATCGAAATTTAAACTGTCAATAAACCTTGATAGTTCCCGCCAAAAGGTGACCGTAGTGGGGCTTTCCAGTCGCAAATGGAGGGCCATCATAAAATACATATGGCGGCTTGCCTTTCGATTGCTTCAAACTCGTCTGGAAGGCATCGATTTCTTTCCAATACTGTAAAACATAATAAAAAAGAGACTTTTGCGCTGAAAATTACTTTTAAAATTTCCTCTTCTGTTTTTGGAAAGTCAATACTCTCCGGGACTGGCTCGAGTCCGGTCATTCTGAAAAAGTATTTTTTTTTATAAATCGTGAGTTTATTTTGATCGTCACCTATTTTTCATATAGGTAGAAGATATTCTTCTGGACAGTTTGTGAACGTGAATAGGAAACAACCGTCTGCAGTGGGCTAGCGCATTGAGCATACAAACTAACTCTGAAATGATCAGCTCGCTAGTGGTGTAATTATTCATAACTCGATTTATCAGTCAAAGAAGCGGGAAATAAGTGAATTACTGGAATAAGATAGAAATTGAAAAGGGTCCAATAAGGTAAAGAGGAAAAAATTAGGTACAGAATATTAAAAGTCCGCTCCAGCTTCAAGCTCGATGGAGTTTATGTCGTAAATCTCCGTCATGATTGCTTTTCCTCGAGCGAGAAGCTTTAAACTGCTCTGGAGAATTTCGCGGAATTCGACGCACTTGTAAATTTCATCTTCATCTCTTATTTTGGGCCTCTCTTCTGGGCTAAAAAGATTTTGAAGATAGTTAAACACGACAAAAGACTTACGAGTGTCTCTCTGATTTGTAATCTTCGGATTCATCAGGCGGCGTCAAATACATCTTTATCAGCGATATCAGTTTTCCAGGGTCTTTATCGTTAACGTGATCTCTATCTCCATGCTTGCTATCAATCAGTGCGTACACATTATGCTCAGTCATCACTTTCAGTGGTATATTCAGCAGCAGATCCAAATCAGACTTTCCCAGCTTCAGATTTCTAAGAATTTTTCGAATTTCTTGAGGCGGATTGGCAGAGAGACTGGCAATCGGATCGGTTTCTGGAGCCTCTTCCTCTATCGGCTGATTTCTAAGATTTTCCAAAATATTACGATTTTGGCCAAGAGCTTTGAGTGTAGCCGCCAAATTGCTGCCGATATTTATTTTGCTCAGTTGTGAGGGAGTAAGATTCATGTCGTTTTTCTTCTCTTGCTGTTTGGCTTTACCTCTCTGTCGGCGATTGGGAATGAATTGCCCGACATGTGGCGAAGGAGAAGGCTTTTTCGAGACGCTCCTCGATCTGGAATTGGTTGAACCGAGATTCCATCCTCCAGAGCTACCCGCTGATCCAGATTGATATCCAGAAGAGGTTGACATTGGAGCCGCGGGTGGATTCATCGGAGATGCATCGAAGGGATCGTCTTCAATTGTGTCGACCATTTCGAACTGGTTCATTTCTTGATGAGGCTCTTGGGGATCGTCAGTATTCAAGATTCCAGAACTCGGCGGGTCTATCGATTCAATCGAATCATTCAGCGCCTCACTAGCAGGATCCCAAGGTCCTTCCATCGGTTCCTCAAAGTCATTGAAATCAGGCTCGGGAGTCCTCGTACGCATCTTTTTCTTCTTGTCATTATCGACCCATTCGTCGATTTTAACCTTCCATTCAAATGCGCGTTGATGGAAGATCTTATTGAGCTCGTATTTCTTGGTCGTCTCCGGCGGCAGCATACTCGCTTGTGTCTTATTGTCAGCATTTTCGACGAAATAGAACCATTCACGGCTAGATTTGTAAGTTGCAATCCTTTTTTCCCGCTGTTGAATTACTTTTCGGTCTTTTTCTATGGACATATTTTCAGTAATGCCGCCGAGAAGATTGACAGCGTCGTTTGATGGAGGGGGAATTTTTGGAGCTTTTACAGTTGCTCTCTTGTCAGGGCCGAAATAATCGTCGGAAACGGTGGAGGAAAGGTGGCTACTCGATTCTGATGGAGGGCGAGGCTTTTTTGCCCTTTTCGGGAGAGAACTAGAATCTTGTGGCCGCTTTGCACTGTGAAGTTTGATCGGTTCCTTCCAAGGAATAGACTTGACCCTCTCTTCGCTCGTAGACTCTATCCTTATGAGCTCGAAATCTTCGAAAATAGAGACCCTCTGTTCAGGCGTAAATAACTGGTCTTTGAAAATTCGATTTGTCAACAAATAAGCGTCAACTCGTTTTGTCCCTTCTTCTTGATGAAAAATTGGCTGCATGGTTATCGGACTCATGTTTTCAGTGCTCTTGGCGATTTTCATCGTTGAAAAGATGACGAAAGCAATTTTCGGGTTCTCCGGCCAGATGCGAGCCAACGCAACGCCATTTTCTCGAAACTTAGTGTACAAACTACTCTCGTCCATTTGAGGCAAGTTTTCAAGAATGACCGCTCTGCTGACTCTTGAACACTTATCGTCGCCGAAGCGAAAGGGAATAACGAGTATTTTCATGCCATTTATGACTTGGTCTCGTTTCTTCAAAGCTGCCAATGCGCCAGACCACTCGGCAAATTTGACAATGATAGGAATATCTGCTTCTTCTGTTCGAGATACTTTTTCCACCGCACCAAATTGCGCCATATGCTCGGAAATAGCGGCAGAATCGAAGTCTCCGACGAGGCCATAAATATTCACCGTCTTATCGCACGCGAGATTGGAAAGGGAGTAAAAGCACGCGTCGTCAACGCTCAAATTTTCAGCCTCTTTCTGTCGATCGAATCTCTCTTTTTCCTCCTTGACGATTTCAAGCTGTCGCTTGCTCAAGCTGTGGTTCGTCATAATTCCGTCTTCGACAAGATAGTATTTCATGATTGAGATGCAGCTTGGTTTCCCCGTTAGTATAAAGTTAAAGCCAGGATGTGGGGCTAACGTCAAGTCATCCAGATGGTCGTCATTTTCTTCCTGGTGTGCCAGAGCTACCTCGCAACTTCCACTGGTGATTGTGCTTAGGATTGAAAGACGACTCTCTTCTGGAGCAGCTTCAATTTTTGAAAGAATATACTCCCGCTGGACGCCGTTGGAGGTATAGCAACGAGGCTGGTATGGTTCGTAAATGTCAGCCTAGAAAAGACAGTAAAGTTTGATCGATAAATTGAATCTTACGTTTGCGTTTTCCAAGTTATTGCCATATGCATTTATAAGCTTATTAGCAATCCGACGAACACTGACAGCCAAGCCAGCGTCATCTCCCTGAATATGCACCAAGCGTTCCGTGGAATCTGGAAGATCCAGTCCACAAGCGAGTTTTGAAAAACATTGCTTTTGAAAACCTAAGAGATCAAAATAAGTTTTGTTTTGATAAAAAAAATCCCGGATTTGTGGTTAGAGCGAGCGCTGACCTTGGAATTCGACGTTGCCTTTGCCGAACACACTTTCCCAAAATTCATGGCGGATGATAACACTGAGAACCAAATGTTTACTTTCCGCCTAAAAAACTGATGAACGCGACACTACTGTAATACTACCGCACCTGTCGATACTTAGGTAAATTCTTGCGATGATTTACCAAGTCACGCATCACCGCTATAACAGTATTTGAAAGATTGGTCGAAGTTCCAGTTAGTTCAACAAGTGTTTCGCCATGTGAAAACTTTGACTGTCATTGGATATACATAATTAACGCGCTTGGGAGTCACTGTTGCGATATATTTAATATAATATTATAGTGTATAATATCATATTAAGCAGTAGTGAATCCACGACAAAAATGAATCCATTCCTTTTCAGACGGAGGAATATTTGAAACAGTCATTGAATTCAGCACATTGCATTTGACTTTCTTTTGAACTTTGACAAGCTTGCTACGCGAGAACTCGTCTGCAACTCGAGGAAGCTAAATAACGAGGTCAAACGAAATCTGACTGTAATGAAATGATGCTTGCCAATTCAATGCACTAAGTGGGTAATTTATTCAGAAAAAGTGTCGAAAAATATGCAATAAATCCACTATTCGAGCTTATTTAAATCCATTTGATTTTGCAATAAAATTTAATCAATCAATGGATTAAAAATACGTATTTAAAATCGCCCGAATCGCGATCCGTACAGGTTGTGTCTCCCAGGAAACCAATTTCCGCTTCGATAGAGATCTAAGTAAATGGAAGTTGCTCTTCTATCAATTTTACTGCAAAAATTGAACTGTTTACGAATATTTATTGCGCGAATTTACTAAATCATGCCTTGTTCCACTAAAATGCCTGAGAAATGAAAAATGGTGCCCTGCTCTTTCCTAGACAAAACAAACACTTTCATGACCATCCAACACACCTGCCACCCATAAGATTCTTTGTCGCATCCGAAAAGAAATCTCAGCGTGACCTCCTCCGTCGACTTAGGCTCAGGTTCAGTTCGCTCGCTATAACCACAAATGTAAATATCCGGATTTCAAAATAAAATTGACAATAACACACATACACATTGTATCAGTAGAACTCAATCTACTGATATCATTCCTAATAGTTTATTGGTTTACTATTTTTTCCCGTACCTTTGAATCTCCGGAGGTACTTCCGGAGTAGGTGCTCTTACGTCATCCTTCCCATGACCAGGATTTTTGTAAGCTTTTGCGGGATTTGATTTGAATTTATCCAATCAAAAACCAGCGTTTAAAATATAAGCCAATCAGATTCATGAACATTAAAGTTCGTGGGTGGCTGATTTTTCATGCAATACAAGATTCTATTATATATTTTAGTATATTTTCGTATATTTTTCACCCTTGTTTTTCATATGATATCGATAAAAATATCATATCCCTTCCGTTAGTCATATTCTTCCTTCGTTCAGCTTCAAGCTCCATTCGTCGGAACTCATTCTTTTCTTTGAGCGCTTTTCTTTTCGCTTCTTGTTTTCGCTCCTTCTTTCGCCTCTCAGCGTCAGACTCCTTTTTCTTTTCATTTTTCACTGCTACTGGTTTTGGTTTTTCGAAAGATTTCTTTTCGTCGTCGCTGGGATCTTCAGACTCAGAGCTGGAAATAATCGCACGTGATTTTTTCTTGCCTTCGGTTTTGATTTTAATTTCCTTTTTTGGCTTCTCGGCTTCTTTCTTAGCCCTTTCTGCGCGCTTTGCTTCTTTTTCAGCTTCGCGCTCTCTTCGCTTCGCCTCGCGCTCCGCCTTCGCTTGTTTTCTTCGCTCTAGCGCCGCAGCTTTTTCGCTCTCTTCTTTTTTCAGCTTCTCCGCTTCTTTCTTCTCAAACGCTGCGACTAAGTCCTGACTTCCTTCCAAGTTCTCCATCGGTTCCCACGTGTTCCATTCGTCGGAGTAATTGACCCATTTGACCAGGTACTGTTTTTTCTTCTTCACGAACCTCGATTGAAGAATACTCTCGACTTCGTACTCTTCGTCCTCGTCTGAATCTTCGCTGGAATCTGAGCCCTTGTCATTGCCTCCTTCCGCCTCCTTCGCGTCCACAACTTCCATTTCCTCCCCGACTTCTTCTTCAATTATTTCTTGGCTACTTGGTTCATCCTCGGTATCTGACATTTTATCTGAAGAACAATTTTCATCAGATACCGTTTTTTGAACGCTTGAATAAATAATGATATTGTCTGTACTCTGCACAGAAAAAGGTATAAATGTAGGTAATTCTGTGACTACCGGTATTTCGTAAGTTTTTGCTTCAGTAGAACAGATTATTTTTTGTCTTTTTCGTATAAATAATTGAATAGAACGAATCCCCATTTTTTTAAACGAGTGTGGTTAAAAAACGCCCGGCTGAACTTCACCACGGTTATCATACTGATTAAACTCATGCCAATCTCGGGCGATGGGAGCGCTAAGTAGCTCTTCGGGGATTCCGAAGGACTCGCAAATGTCGGGAGAAAGCTCCGAAACTGAAGCCGCAAGAGAGTTGAATTCGTCGCGGACAGCTTGAGCATTGTCAACTGAAAGAAGGCCGGAGAGGATCAAGTCTGAGAGATTGTTTTGAATCGTGTTCACGGCATGAAGCTAGAAGTACAATTTCAATTTGAGATAGTTTTTGACGTCTTTTACCTTGTAGATAGCGTCCAAGACGTCCGCAGCAGCAGGATTCTTGGCGATAGCATTGATCATAGATTCTGAAACGATTCTCTCTCCGTACGCATGAGCTGCTGCTTGTACAAGATCCTGATTGAGGAGCGACCAGGTTTCGAATATAGCGCCCTTGCCAGCCTTCATCATTTCGCCACCAAGAGCCATGAACTTGTTGACTTCGTTTGCCTCCATCAACGCATGGATAAACTCATTTGATTTCAAATCGAATTCCGGAACGACGACTTTTCTTGGCTTGAAAAGGCCGAGCTGCTCTTTGGCCACCTTGTTCATCAAAACAGAGTTGTCGCCTTCAGCAGTCATGGCAGCGTGAGCAAGGCCAATCATCGTGCCAAATCTTGAGCAAGAAAGATAACCAGCACCGCCGCATCGTTCACGAGCAATGCTAGCCGTTCTTTCCAAGTTCCAGGAGCAAAGAGGCTTGATGACGCAGCAAGCCGTGACCATGTTCATCACCCTGACCTTGTCTTCGATCTCTTCTGAGTTGATCTTGAACCATTCGTCTTTGACATCGTCGAGGGCGATGCCAAGAGAAACTGTTCGAGCGAGAAGAGGGGCAATCGCTCGTTGCTGAAGCTGGTACTTCATTATTGGGAAGTCAGACTTGCCCGTCGGACCCACTGTAAGTCGAGTAATTGCATATCGAACTGCGACGGAAAGCGCTGCTTTCGCGCCGCCCTGAGACATGGCGGCAATGCAAATTCTACCGGAAAGAAGCTGGTCGGCAACGGAGAGGAATCGACCGCGTTTTGATTTGATCGCTGAGTGGAACTTTCCGTTTTCGTCAATGTCGGAATATTTGTTGAGAAGATTCGTTCTTGGAACTTTTACGTTTTTGAACGAAAGTAAGGCGTTGTCAACGCCATTTAATCCCATTCGGTGACCCATGTCGTTGATCGTACATCCCTCTAGGGGTGCTCCAGCGACTCCTAAAGAGAATTATTGAAGGAAAAAAGGAGGAAGATCTCACCGTCTCTGATGGGAACAAGAATAGCATGAACACCGTGATTTTCTCCATCAACATTGAGCTGGGCAAAAACAACGCAGTGCTGAGCATGAAGAGCGCCGTTGGTAATCCAGTACTTGTGTGAGAGCTCTGTAGGGCAGTTGATGGTGATTGTGTCGTCTTCTTTATTGTAAACAGCAGTGGTTTCCATCTCTACAGCGTTGTTCCCAAAGCCAACTTCTGTCAAGCCAAAGCAACCGATGTCCGTCAAATTGTCGATTCCATCGAGAAGGTGGTGGTGGCGCTCAGTTCCGAGGCGGAAGACGGTTCCTCCGAATAAGTTGAACTAAGAATTGAATAAAGAACATGGTCGTCAAAGTAAGGGAAAGATCATTTATTAATTTACCTGAACAGTCATTTTCGTGGTGGTAGCTGGATCGATCATTGCCATCAACTCGTGAGCGGCGAAAATTCGATGTGGGTTGGTGGCAAAGTCCCTGACGGACAAAAAGTCATTTGAGCAGACCATCTGAAGCCGATCCAAAGCAAGTTGGCGCTCTTCATTGAGAGTAATCGCATATTTTGGGCGAAATGTGTCTTGCTTCAAAAATTCGCGGAAATTAGCGCGCATTTCGTGATTGTCGTGGTCGATGATTTGCTGGAGGTCTTTGACGGGCACGGCTTGAATGGAAATAAAGAGAGTGTAATATGAAGCAGAATAAATACCTTTAGACCATTGAGCCCGAAGGGCTGCAGGCGATTTCGAAAACCGGATTCCCGACAATCTCGGCATTTTTCTCTTGGAAAGAGCATTATTAACACTTTTTCTTCTAACAAACTGCGAACTACTGTAACAGATTCTCAATAAAGTGGGAGGCCTCTGATGCAAGATTTCAATGTTGACTCCGCTTTTGGATTTTTTTCACGGCGATGAATGAGTCTCAAATACGATTGGTTCGATCTGGGGCGCGAAGGCGCGCGTGGGAATTTCGCCTTTCGATGGAAGAGAATTCTAGTGCTCTCATGTTGAAGCTCAATAAGTTGACTTTTATTTAACAATTTATACAGTTTATAAATAAGCTTCGAAAATAGATGAATTTCAGTTTTGAGTCAGAATTTTTGACAATAAGTTTATAATGCAAAGAAAGCAAGGTAATTTTTCAATCAAAAGGGTATTCTCAGTTCATTTTCCATCGGTCATCAAACAGATTTCGGAATTCTTCCGGCATTAATTCATCAAAGTTGATCTCGAAGACAAATTCCTCTTGTATATAAACTGGAAGTTCGCGAAAAACTTGTTGTAAAACTTCTGCACTTCTATTTTTTGTCTCATCAATGAAACTGCTGCGTTCTTGATTTTCAATTTCAGTATTTCAGCGCAAGCATGTTTGTCGGAGACTTTGAATACTTCAGCACATCCGATACACCTAAATATTTTCACTCTTATGAAGCTTCATTCTAAAATCTACCTGTATATTCTTGAGCATCCGTATTCCTCGTGCTTTTTAAGATTAGGATACTTGACAGTGGTCTGAATTTGATTTCTCAAAACTTTTAGCGAATCGATGAAGTTTACCTGACAATCTGGCAGTGAACATTTGTACGTCGTCTGATTCAACTTATTCAAAAAGAACTCCGATGGGTTCTCTATTATACGATCCATGGCGAAATTGTAGAAGTGTTCTCCAAGCTTAATTTTCTCCCCCAGAACATGATGTTTATAAAAATCATCAGCTTCTACTAAAAACGTTTCGTCGCAGCAAGGATATTTCACCATTGCAGTGAAGTATAAATTATCATTGACTCCGACTCTATTATTATACATAATCTCGTCTGTCTTCGTTGTGAAACAATTATAGCAAAGATATTTCTTGCAGCAAAGTGTAAACTTGGGATCAAGCAGTGGTCCTTTGCAAATGCAACACAGGAAGTTCTCCGGTGACCATTCAATTGGCTGCGAAGCAAACTTAAACTTCATCTCTTTTTCGTCTTCCGAATCCATTGTGAGATTCATAATTTGAATGAAGATGGACCCGAAAGGAGGCTCTTTTATAGCCAGCCAAATTTATCACACCCGATCTTGATATTTGAAGAGAACTCAAATTTAAGATTTTCATCATTTATTCGAAAAGACAATAAGGGAAGGTTTTATATAAATAATTAAGTCTTCATCAAAATCTTCTATTCTTTGTCAGCGGAATCGGTTCGCTTGATCTTTATATGGTTTCAAATATTTATACCATTCCATTTTTGGGATCTTTTTTGAAACCAACATTTATTGTGTGCTTCAAGATTTGAGGAGACTGCTGAGCAACGTTAATTTCCACTCGTGTTGGGCTTCCTTCTCGTTCCAAAGCTTCCATTGAGACAGAAATTGAGGATTTTCTAGCGATTGTCACAGGTTCTTCGGCTTTTGAGGCTTCGTCCTGGAGTTGGTCAACAATTCTTTCTGGAGTTGATGGTCGGTCAGCTAGAAATTGAAGTTTCTTTAGTATTTGTTGATCTTACGTTTTGAATAGATGTCCGGGACATCATCGTCGATGGACTGAACCAACTTGTTAATTGATCGCTGAGAACCCTTCAACGACGCTTCCCGAGAGGCTCTAGCAGAATCAATGAGTCCGTGAATGTCATCTCCTGGCTCGAGCTCGTCTGAAATTCATGTTGACAAAAGTGAGATTTTTTACTGGTACCTTCAACGAAATCGTAAATATTGTCACCAGGCTCTGAGGATTGATCGTTCTCCGGGAAAAAAGTTTGCGAATCCGGGGTTTTGAGAACAGCTGGAGTCATGACGGTCGGTGATGGTTCATCTGGTCGCGCTAGAATCGATTAGACCGGATCGTCAAATTTTCTTTACCAAGTGGCGATGGAACATTGAGAAGCTCGTCAGTAGAGTCAGTTGAAAGCTGACGGACTTTGATTTCATCATCAGAGACGTGCTCGAGCTCGTCATCAGTTGGAATGCTGATATCGTCGTCGATGTTGTCTTCGATGGAGATTTTCGAGCTCTGAGAAACCTGGAAAGGGTCGGAATCGTCCTTTTCAGAAGTATCGTTTTGCTGGTCGATCTCAACGATTCTTGTTGCCTCGAGAATGATGGAGTTTATCATTTCTTCGGCGATCCGATCGATGAACGAAGACTCGAAATCTCCCTTCAAAATATTTTAGTATCGATATTTTTGATCTTTTCAAACCTGTAGTTCAACAACAGGCTCCGGTTCAGCAAATCCAACGCTTTTTGGAATCTCTGGCTCTGAGAATGCGACTTTGGGAGTGACAAATGGTGCTTCAACGACAGTTTCTTGCGACTTATCTTCAGTTTCTTCAGATTTATCCTCCGATTGCTCCTCTTCGTTTTCGAATTCAATGCTCTTGTCAGTCACGCTATCTGCTACGATCTCTTCCGAGACTTCTTCAGAATCCTGTTTTTCCATTTGAGGCTGAATAAAGTCATCTCGCGCTGTAATTGGCGCTTCTGAAACTTCATAAGCGGGTTCGATGACTTCTGGTTTGACTTCTTCTTCAGTTGCGGTTGCTTGCGGTTCTGATTCCTGAAGAGCATCAATTTGTGTTAGTTCAGTTTTCAAAGATTCATTTTGAGAATCGGTCAGTAAGTGCACGCTGGTTTGGTTAGAGACAACTTGTTCCTCAGCGACAAGTTCAGATTCTGGCTCTTCATCCTCCTCGTCTTCCTCTTCGATAGTGTCTACGTCAACATCAAGTTGAACTTGAACTGGTACAGCTGATTTAGTAGGAGTTGTCTCTGGATCTTCAAGATTATCGGATGACGGTATTTCTTGACATTCAAGCTCAAGTTCAGCCTGATCCTCGTCCTCCTGCTAGGGATGATTCTCATAGAAAATAGTTGATTGATAAGTGAGAACATGGGATGTTAGAATGGTTTATTGGTTAAATATATTTACAAGTAAACTGTGATGAAAGAGGTAGTAAAAATGTGGAACATGCGCGTTTTCAATAATAGTCACGTGTTCCGTGTTAATTCTTTTTCTTTGTGAAGGGCTGTGAGAAGGATGAAATCAAATTAGTTTAGTTAGCGATGTGAATGGTCAAATAATATGAAAATAAATGAATGAATTAGTTATCATCCCTTTACTTTGGGAGAACAACCTTTGGGCTTTCATCGCCAAGTTTTACAGCGTAGAAGCTTTCCAGCTGCTTCTTGTTCTTTGCCGTGCTGTATTCACTGTATACGGATGTGATTTCATTGTCGAGTTTGGATCGTTTTTCATCCGGTTGAGACTCTTCTTCGACTTCGGGTTCAAGAACAACTTCGGGCTCAAGTTCAATTTCTGGTTGGAGCTCAATTTCAGCGGGTTCTGGGGTAAGCTCGAGCTTCGGCTCGCTTTCAACACGGCATCCGAAGGAACGCTCGACTTCTTCATCTTTAACTGTGGAAACAGGGACATCAGCTGGTTCAAGCAGCTCGAGGACATCTTTGTTGATCATTTTCAATCGCTCGTCCAAAGTCATGTCTTTTGGATCCTTTGGAGGCTCCGGTGTTGCTTCTTTTTGAGGCTCAGGTGTCGGCTCTTTTGGCGGCTCAGGGGTTGGCTCTTTTGGAGGAGGTGGCGTTGTTGCTCGAAGTTTTTCAATAAAAGTTTCTACATCTCGTGGTAAAGCTACTTTTGCCTCTTCACCATCGAGGTACTGGTTTTCAAGAGTGTCTAGTTGTCGCTCCAGCTGTTCTAACTCTTGCGCTTTTCGAATTTCCTCCTCGAGGGCTCTCTCTTCATCAGATAGTGACAATTCCTCTTCGGGTTCAGTAGGCTCTTCAGATTGAACAGGGGGCTTGAATACAGACTTGAAAAAGTTTTCGACTTGATCTTGTGTTAGATGTTCGAGTGATTCTGGTTCTTCAAGATCATCTTCATCCTCGTTTTGAAGGTCAGAGGAATCCAATTGATGCTTCTCTTCTTGAATTTCGTCTTCTTCTTGAAGAATGTTGATCTCTTCACCCGATCGAGTCTCTTCCTTAGGAATAGTTGCTGGTCTACTGTAGTCAAATACGGGGAGGTATTCTTTCTCGTCATTGTTTTGAAGGTCTGGTTCATCTAAGGTAGCCTCGACTTCTTCCGCGACATCATCCTGCTCTTCAAGTTTTCGAGTTTCGGGAATATCGTGAGTTGCAATGACTTCGGGTTCTGTGATCTTGAGTGCAGCTGGAGTTTCATTTTCATAGTCAATCTCGTCATTATTTCCCAAATCTCTTTCAGTATCCAAATCTTCTTGGGGTGCTGGTCGACTGTAGTCGAAGACAGGAACGTATTCTTTTTCATCATTGTTTTCAAGGTCTGGTTCTTCTTGGACAGCCTCGACTTCTTCTTCAACAACATCCTGCTCATCTAGTTTACGAGTGTCAATGATGTCTTCAGTTGCAATAACTTCGGGTTCTGTGATCTTGAGTGCCGCTGGAGCTTCATTTTTGTAGTCAAGCTCATCGTTATTTTCCAAGTCTCGCTGAGTATCCAAATCCGTTGCTTCTTTTTTGATGACATTTTCAATTACCGCGCCAACTGGTTCTTGCTCATCAAGTTCTCGAGTTTGAACGATGCCCTCGACAATTTTTTGAACAATTTCTGGCTGTTCAAATTGAGCAGATGAAGGCTCACTCAAATCAAAGACAGGCTGCTCATCTTTTACTTCTGGCGACATGCTGTATTCAAAGGTTGGAGTTTCTTCCTCTTTCTCAAGCCCAGCAACGACTTCAGAAGAAGGCTTTTCGTCAACCGGAGGAAGATCTGGAATAGTTTCAGTCGGGATTACTTGTGTACCGATAAGTTCTGCTGGTCTATCGGAAAAAGACACGCGCTTTGCAGGTTCTTCGTCAGCAGAAGATTCGTCGGCTGATGATTCTGCGTAAAGCTCCTCAGCATCCTCAGTTTTTTCGCTTGTAAAATTATCAGGTTCTTGTTTGGTCGCGGCCTCAGACTCCTGCTCTGCTTCTGTTTCTTTCTCTTTTTCGGGTTCGAGATATTTCTCAACTTTTCGTTTTTCGTAAACATAAAACTCGTTATCAATTTCCCACACTTCTACATCTGGAGTTGGAGGTTCAGATTTCTTTTCCTCGTTGTCGTCTTCTCGTACCTTCTCTACTGAGACGGAGAGCTTATTTTCATTCAAGGTTGACTCCGTTTCTTGAGGCTTGTTTTCTTCGTTTTCTTCAGTTTCTTTGTCCGACTCAAGCAAATCATCCGAAGCAAGAACTTGTTTGACCATTTCAGATGCGAATCGATCAATGTCTTCATCATTTCTTTCTTCTTTTACTTTGTAGATTTCTTCTTTTGGTTCAGGAACTTGGTCAACATCAACGTCAAGTGACAGCTGATGCGCGATCTTATCAAGTGGACACTCTTTCTCGACAGCCTCATTGATGTTCTCTCTTGAGATAGAGCGGAAAAAGTTCTCAACATTTTCTGCAGTTGGACGGTCAATTTCAGGCTCAATGCTTTCGGCCGAAACAGGTTCATCAATTTCCTCCTGTTTGTTTTCCAAATCGATTGTCTTTACGTTTATCTCATCAGTTCCGATCTCAGGAATGAAAATTTTCGTTCCAGACTCATCTTGCTTGACCATAATGAGATCACCAGCTGGAGCGGGTCGGCTGTAGTCATAAACGGGGATATACTCTTGTTCGATGACTTCAAATGGTTCATCGTTGTTTTCGAGGTCAACTGCGTCGTAAATGGGAACAGGGGCGACTGGATCCTCAAAGTCTTCAGCGAGAGAAATTTCTTGGATAGGTTTCCCTTCAGGTTGAGCAACTTCGACAGTTTCAGTATTTTCAGCTTCATATTCACACTCGTCATTATTTTGGAGATCTTGAGCTTCCTCCTCAACGGACTTATCATCCTTATCAGTCTCCGAATGAACGACTTCATAGTCGAAAGGCGCCGGTCTGCTGTAATCAAAAACAGGAACATGTTCTACTTCGGATTCATCTTTCACAGTTTCGGAGTCGACGATTTCTTGGTCGAATGGCGACGGTCTGCTGTAGTCAAAGACAACCTTGTAGTTTGCAATGGGGTTTCTTTCTTCTTCTGTTGACACTTCAGGGTTAACAGCATTCTCTTGATCAGGAGTCGCGCTACTCAAATCGTTGAGGATTTTACTTTCTTCCTCTTTGGGTTTCTCGACTTCTGAGTCTACGACAGTTTGGTCGTAAGGAGTTGGTCTGCTGTAATCAAAAACAGTTGAGTATTCCTTTTCCTCGGACACAGCTGATTCAGGTTCTTGTTCGAAGACTTCTTTCATTACCGGTTCTACTTTTTCGACTTCAGAATCAACAATATCCTGATCGTAAGGAGACGGTCTGCTGTAATCAAATACAGTTTTATACTCTGCGGGCTCTGGTTTTTGAATTTTTTCGTCTTCATTGGCGAGTGAATCGGAAATTTCGACAGTTTTTTCAACTTCGGATTCGACAACTTCTGGGTCATAAGGTGAAGGGCGACTATAATCGAAAACAGTCGTGTATTCTTTCGTCTCAGAAATTTCAATTCCTTTTTCGACAATTTCGGGAGTCTTTAGGACTTCAGAAGCAACAACATCTTCATCTACGGGACTGGGTCTGCTGTAGTAAAAAACAGGCGTGTATTCTTTTTCTTCTTGTTTTGGTTCTGCATTGACATTTTCCTGGGAAACAGATCGGAAAAAGCTTTCGATATTTTCTTGGGTGACTCGATTATCATCTTTCGGAACCGGAGATGACGACACATCCTCTGTTTTTTCAAAGACTTGCTGCTCATAAAGAGCAGGACGGCTGTAATCGTAAACTGGCACGTATGCCTCAGGATTCGGAATAAACTTTTTGAAGATTTCTTCCACTACTGCGTCCAAAACTTTTTCTTCAGCGACAGGTTGGTCACCCTGAACTTGAGTTTCTGGTTCTTCTTCTTCAGCCGATTGATTTTCGATGGGCTCAAATTCACTTCGACCACTGTTATCAGCCTCTTCTTTTGGAGTCTTTTCTTCCTCAATTTCGATTTCTGGTTCATCGATTTCTCGAAAAGAAGTTTCTCCTTGATTTTCAAAATCATCAGCAAGAGTCAATGCGAGTTTGTCAAGAGTTTCTTTGCACTTTGATTCTTCATGGAATTGAACAATAGGTTCCAAGTTTTCAGGCACCATGGCTTCGTCCATATTGACATCAAGAGACAGATGTCTAATCATGCTTTCAAGTGGATGGTAAGCTTCTCGTGAATCAGGCTCGGAAAGAATGTCCATCTCTGTTGGGAATTCCGACGCTTCAGTTTTGTAGAGATCCTCAACGTCAGTCTGTGTGCTTTCTAAAGCTTCAGATTCATGGTCGGCAATTTCTTCAGGGAGGTCAGACTGGGGCTTCTCGACGATTTCATACTCCTTGGTGATGATCTCAGAGCCATCTTTGGGAATGATTTCGATGAATCCATGGTGAACGATGTCTTCTTTTGAAGTAGCAACAGCTTCAACTGGTTCCTCAACTTCAGTAGCTTCGGTAGAACACTCGATGATTTCTGAAACAGTTTCATCGGTTTTCTCTTTATCAGCCTTAGATGTTTCTTTCGCAACATCTTTTGAGGAGTCATCTTTCAGCTGGTCTTCATAATCTTCGATCAAATTACCGGGTTCTCCGTCATCTTCTGTGAATTTTGGTTTCTCTTGAGCAGGCTCAGCCGTCTCATCTTTTTCGGTGTCAATGACGTTCTTCAAGTGAATTTTATGAATTGATGGAGCTTGTTGGTCTTCCATGATGCCACAATCCTCTTGTTGAAGAAGATCCTCTTTCTCTTCTCCTTCAAGCTCTTCATCAAAAGAGTTGCTATTGAGTCCACCTTCGACGATCTCATCATCAACCTCCTCATCTTCGAGTTCATCGTTTCGGGAGGTCTCGTTTGAGAAGATATCTCTGCTTTCAGCGGAGTCGAATTTAGTTGATGTCGGAACAGATGATTGAGCGGAGAAATATTCTTCTTCAAGATCGTCGTAAATTATTGGCGCATCGGCGAGAGATGAATACTGAGGTCTGAAATTTCGAATAAGAAAGGAACTGATTTGTCACTACGGCATTATTACCCGATTGATTTTGGAGCTGAGGCCTGCTCAGCAGGTTTGAACTTCTCAACGCTGCTACCGATGTTCTGCACGTAATCGTACTCATCTTTGATTTCCGTCTGCGCGCGATTCGAGGATTGCTGATTCTCACTCGTTAGTCTTTTTCATCAGTAATTAGTAAATCAAACTGCAAATTTTTAATAGCTTTCGTTAATTTTGTAGAAGTCATGTTATATGCGTGTGAATATGTTTTTTTGTAAGATTACCTGAGCAGATTCAAAGGGCTACAAAACGAAATTTATGTGATGATTGGTGATGGATATAAATTGCGATTTCGCGAAATTCAAGTGCGCGAAATTCAGGTCGAGAACAAATGATATTTACCTTGGTGACAGCTTCGATGGTGGCTTCCTATAAAATGATAAGTTTGCATTTTCTTTGGTCACGTTTTCGCTTACCAGATTTGCCTGTCGAACAGAATCTAAGGCAACTTGTGAAGATTCAAGCTCATTCAATGCGGCTTCAATCTCCTTGCCGACATCAGCCAAATCCTCGGCCTCTTCTTGAGCTTTTTGATATTCCTCAAATGTTTTGCCTTCGATTCGGTCTTTTAGGGATTCCTGTCGCTCGACAGGAGCGATGAACTCTTCCTCTATGAAGGCTTCAACTTCTTGGGTTGCTTCTGTGACTTTTTCGATAGGAGTTTCTTTGGTGTAATCGGCCAGAGTTTTGCCTTCGATTCGATTTTTCATAGAATCTTCCCGTTTGATGGGCTGGATGAGGGTTTCCTCGACGAAATCAGGAGTAATAATCGTTTCCCCTTCGACTTCATCTAAAAAACATTGACTTCGCTGCGTAATGTTTTTGCAATTTGCCTTTTTGAATATCAATCTCCTCAAGAGCAACCCTTTTGCAGCTGTCTGATAAGGCGTCAGCAAAGTCGTTGACAGCGTTCGCGTCGATCTGAAGTGATTATTGATTCAATTAGCATTTAGGAAATACGGTTCTGAGCAATCTAGTACAGTGAAATTTGATTCTCACGCCTCTAACCTCTTTCTGATCATCATCAACTGCGATGTCAGCAGAAGTTTGCTGAGCCTGCTCAGGCTGATCGATCACTTGTTCAATCACTGGCTCGGGTTCTGGTTCGGCGACTGGTTCAGGTTCGGGTTCGACAATTACTTCGGGCTTCTTTGGGGTTGGGGTGATCCATTTTGTCTCGGAAGAAGTTTTGGTAAACGGATCTGGTCGAGGCCCTCGCTGGTCAACTTCTGTTTTTGGTGGAGTTGCTGGCTTGTTTTGTTTCTTTTTCAGGTCAAAAATAAGTCACCTGTCACTCGAGATTCTAGTGCTAAGCAGGTGTATTATGCGTGTTACTCGCCATCAATCATGTCAGATTTTAGTGACCTTGGCTTTTTCAGGGCTAAAAAAATGAAAACTGCTGTGGTCAATCCCAGTACTAATCCAGCTCTTTGTTTGAGCTTAGAGACATTTCAAACAGCAGAATTCCTTCGATCAAATTATGAAAAATTTTAAAAGCTCGTTTCCTTAAGATCTCCTGGCCCATCTTCTCTTAGGTTTTAGACGAAGGCGGAAAAAACGAAATCAAGGGCGTGTAAGAGGAAAAATGCAGAGGTGCTTTTGATTTTTGGCCTAGATTGGCACTTTTGGCGATAATATTTGGTGACCCGATTCCTGTGCTGCTGTCTCTTTGGGCTGGCGGGGCGACTAAAAATGCGTTTTCTGATGACATACGACAAATTCTTAGAGTAGGAATAGTCATTGTTCTAACAACTCAGTCTGAGTTCGACTTTTCCAAAAAATTCGGACATATTTTAATTTTTTACATTTTCATTACCTCAATTTTCGCCCGTGACGATACTGGAGGCTCTTTAGTCTTCGGCTTTCCTGCACAGTTTCCCATATTTCTCTCTTACTGTAGTTGCGTCTGTTATTCAGGGAGATTCAGCGCTATGCAAGTAATTAGGAGATCAGAGATCGCGCTGAAGAAAAAAATTGAAGACGAGTCAAAGTGTCACCACTGAAAATAGCCAACTGCGCTTACCAACCTACTGTCAATTACACTTTACCCTCTCCCAGAATGATCCAAAAATATCTCGATTCTCTTTAATTGAAAAAAAAAAATCAGAAACGGAAGGATTTTTATTTGATTTTGTCATTATCTGCATATATAATTTTCATGATTCGATTTCTTGTTATTGTGATTTTAACCTTCCTTGTATTAATGGCCATTTTTTGCCATTACGATAAGACAATTCATAGCCTATGGAACTTAAGTTTTTATAACTTTGTAAACTGAACTTTGGATAATTTCCAAAAACTGGGGAAACCGTACCGATTCTTTACCGGTGGATTAGGCTTGGCGGATTTGCCGATGCGTATGTTGTGTCGAGAAGGGGTTAAACAGTGTATCGAGTATCCCAGTTACATCGTGTTTGTAAAGTGAGCCCAGCTTGATCCCTAGAAAAATCCGCCCAGCTTCAGTTTACGGCAACAGTCTTTTTGATCAAGTGCCGCTTGAGTGAAACTTCTAAGAGCATATCTATGCTCTAGCAATTTCCTCCCAAGACGCGTAATGTTTGATCGACGAAATTGAATATTCCATCAGGTTGTGGATATATTTTCAATATTTTACGTGCGCCCGATTGTGAATTATTCACCCAAGGAAATCGGGAAGTATTCGCATTGCATAGCTAGAAATAATTGCATTAACAATTCATCTTCTGGTCAAGGCCTATCGGATAGATGTCCTCATTTATGAGATGAAATTATACGACAGAGAGTACTGTTCTTATATCGTATAGATTCTATACTATAGAACTATTCTTTTTCCAATAGAACAACGCTTGCTCGTTTTGATCACTTGGCCGGAACAAGAACGGTTGGGATTTTATCGAATTTTTTGTAATAGAATTTTAGAAATTTCATCGTTTCTTTAAAAAAATAAAGTTAAATAGCACATCATGATTTCAAATAAGCATAAAACATTCACTATTACCGAGAGACTATCGATAAGAAAGGGTGGAAGTCCGATGAGTTTGCGGGTAGCTGGCTCTCTCGCGCCGCCAAAACGGGACTTTTTCTTCGCGACGGCTGATCCCTCGAGAAGGCCTCATTCTCCTACCCGTAGTCGGTAATCGATAGCAGCACTATCGGTACAACAATACTACACAAGAGACACAAAAGAGATAGAGAGTAAAATCATATTTATATTTTCATGTGAATACGTAAATTTGTTCCAAGACGAACCATCCTCAACCATTTTGAAAGAGAGAAGGACCAAATGGAAAACTCTTTTTGCTTGAAATTATTCTGGGAAGTTTGAATTGGCAAAGTGTAGAACTCACGCTTTTTTGTTGCATATCCGGAAGCGTGGACTATACTGGCCAAAGACGAAATTCACCAAAGAATCGACAAAATAGTATTTTTCGTAAATTTACGAATTTTCGATCAATGTCAGAATTGATCATGTCTGTTAGTCTAAAATCATCTAAATGGTAATGATTTGACTTGATTTATTAAAAAGAATCTGTCTTCAAAATCACAAGAACGATCCTTGATACAATTTTTATGAATTAATGTATCGCTTTAATTGTGTGATAATCGCAGTTTTATTGAGTCTTTTTCTTCTTCAATTTTCTTGGCCCGTCTCTGATCCTTTCTGCAACTCCTGGAAGGCAGTAAAAGCTAACCATCCTTAAAATAATTTTTCAAAGAATGAAGAAATAACGATCGTAAATAATCCTCAATAAATAATAAGCCTTACCCAGCAATTGCGTACGCGAAGACGCAAATAAAACCACCGTAAGCTTTCAGTGCGCACTAACAAGGTTAATAAAGCCACTTATTGGCGACCGTCATCGAACAAACATTGCACAATTGAAAATTATAATTGCGATCTCGAGAGTGAACTAAAATTGATTTCTTACAAAAATGATTAGGCTTCTATGATTTCAACCAAGTTCCTGAATGACGATGAAGAAGATTGAAACGTTGATTCCAGCCATTCTAGTGTCGGAATCGGATTTTAACAGGACCCACTGATAAGCTGAAAATGACAATTATTAGCCAAAAAAAATAAAACGGTTTCACGCCGAACCCTAACTTACCGAATCCAAACATGACAGCAACAAAATAAGCTACTGTGGTAATCCTTTTTCGAGTTTTTTTTCAACATTTTCATCACTGATTTTAATAAGTTGACAAGTTTAACTCGTGCCCATAATACGCCGTTTCCTCCATGTGCCCCAAATGTCTCTCCCAAAATGGACCTTCTGTGGACATTTTTTCAAGTTTTGAATTTCCAAAATCAAGTTCTCCTTTTCGGCAAAAATGAAATGTTTGATGAAGAATCTGCAAATTTTTTTCGTTTGTTTATTAGAAGTGCTTTTGGTGAGTAAGAGAAAAGGCAAATAGAAGTAAATTTGGTTAGTAGCAAAAATTTGGCAGCGTTAGTATTTTTATGATACAAAAAGAGTGCTCCTTCAATTTTTCAAATTATTGAACCAACTGGACTCTCACAGCGGGCGAATACGAAGCAACTTTAACAAGGGTTGAGCATTTTAACGATATTTATTTGCAGGAATTGACATTCTAACACTACTATTATCTACTCTAAATGATTATACAAACCAAAAATTTTCGTCGAAATTAAACACCTGAAAATACAAATTAACCCTCTCCTTCCACCAGTAGGCGAATAATCAGATAGCGTAATGGAAATTTCTGTAAACTCGCCTTCAAAATCATTTTCAGTGTCGCCGCCGTCAGACTCCTCTATCATGTCGAAAGCGATGTCCATTTCGTATTGTTCTTGCGCCCTGGAATTATTAATAAATGCTTATCAACTGAGACAAGTTTACAAGTCATCTTCTTCTTCTGATCCAGACGATGAGCCATCATCTTCGTCGTCTTCTTCGGCAGCTGCCGCGTCAAACTCTATCACAAGTTTTCAAATCGCTCATGAGATAATATAATTCGTGAGAAAAAACGGATCGTTTTTTAAGAAAAAAGACGAACTTGAAAACTCGATCCCATATTCATTTGAACTCTCTCATCATGTTCTTCCATGTGTAGAATTCTCCACTCATCCTTTGGTCTTTTCCATGCACTCTTGAGGTTTTCAAACGGACTAAGGTGAATTTCTCAGCTTTCAAGTCTTCTATGTTGGCTTAAAAAACCTCCCTGCTCGCCTGGCCATTTTGGAAGTAAACCCTCTGGTGGCGCCTTTCATAGCCGTAATTATTCACCATTTCTTCCTGCTGTTGAAACGATTGGTTAAACTTTTGCACAGCAAACCACTCTAGCAGTTTGTCGTCTTCCCAACCCATGCACAACAAGAGACACGAGTCAGACGAAAAGGTTCAACACGATTTTAAGCGAAAGAGGTTTCTTTTGATAATTTTGGAAAGTGGAAACAACAATGTTTTTAATATTGAGAACCTTTGACAACACAGCCCCATTGTGAACATTCCTTGATCATCCTTTTGAGTCTTTTAACGAAGGAGCTGAATTTTTTATTTCAACAATGTGCAATGATAGACAAAAAATAGACCAGAATTTGAGCATAGACGGCAAGCAATTATCAGTAGCTTCAAGAATTTTCGAGGGGCTGAACCGGAATTCAAAAGTGCATTCACTTTTCGGCTGAATAAAACCACGTGCTGTTCATTTATTTAATATCGACTGGAGTTTTTGTCAGATGAGCGATGAACGAAAATACCCAAGAACTCCTCGTCTGTACAAAAGTAACTGTTCGAGAAAATATTCCAGAGACTCTCTGGCAAAAACGGTAGTGCAAAAAATGTGAATCAAAGTTGCTATTATCAATTCCCAAAAAAATCTTCTTATAATTATTTTTTAATTATCCTTCAAAATCAACGAAAACAACAAAAAAACTTACAATGGATGGAAGCAAAGCCATCCGTCCATCAAAGTCCGTCAAAAACAAGAGAAAAAAAATAGATTTTTTTTTGGAATCTTCTGTTGCAAGTGAACGCTTCTCTGTTTTAACGCCTCTTTATGAGTCTGTATCTGGTTGTATTTTTTACTTGTAGCTCTCTCTAAAATGTAAATGTGCTGCAAGAAGAATGTTAGTTTTGAAATAAGCTCTAGGAAGAACGTGTAACCGACTACAGAAGGTGTTAGTTATTCATCAAAACACATGCACGCTTAAGGGTGTCACGGTTCATAATTAACAGGGCAATTGAACAGACTCCAATCCCAGGACGCAGAAACAATTCAAGAAGAGGTTCAGCCCTCAAGCCCTCAAAAAAGTTTGACTGTGAGTTTACTGTCAGCCAGACAGTAAGATCAGCGCATCTGTATTGTCTTGAACTCTCCTTTTTAAAACATCAAGTCATTTAAAATGAAATCAAGAGCAATTCGCTTTCAAATTGTTTCAAAGTTTTTTGTGCAAAAACAAGTTAAAGAGTGGCAGTTTTCAAGATATAAGTACTTTTTCGTCTTTAGAGCTCTTTTCGTCGAGTAGACAGTCGTCCACTGATCGAGTGAATGTCAAATTTTTCTTCTTGCGGGTTCGAATTTTTCTGAATATCAGAGCGAGAAGAAAGATCAAGCCGAGACTTCCAATGATGAAATAATTGATGATTTCTTGCGGTAACGGTTGAAGATATTCTCCTGAAGTATTCCACTGTTAGAAAATAATTAAAGGGGTTTTCTTTTACCTTGAATAATTTTTCCTCTTCTACCTTTTTTATCATAAATAATTCCGAAAAGCTCGTCGCGCAGATTTTCCTGCCAGTCGATGTTATCTTTGTGCTGGAAGACAGCAAGGTTACTGTAATTTGCTAGTTGAAATAGGGAGCTTACGATTTTGTTGGAAGGATTGAGATTTTCGTAGAGCTGAAACATGTGCTGACGACATTCCTGCTCGCCAAAAAGTCGAGCGGAAAAGTCAATGAGACAGCGTGGTAGCTTCACTTTTTCAGAGCTACAACATATCCTAGTGTAACAAATAGTGAAACGACTAACACACATGCGAATTGCTTCTTACTACATATGTAAACATCTTCGACATCTTCTAACTTTGATACCAGAAAATGTAAATTTGCATAGTTTGCTAAAGTTATTCCTACTTATTTTGTTTTTTTAGCGATTTAGATGACTGAAAAAATATTTGATAAACATGAATTGAAATTTATATTAATCACATAAAACTATAATGACAGATACATGCAAATATAAAATGATGTTTCACTGATTATTCAATTTATAAAGAACATTAAACAAATACGAAGAAAACGCCGAACACATCAATATTTTACCTGAAATAACACTGGACGATTTTCATACTTCCATTATTTCCAACATGAGCCTTTGCACACTCGTAATTAGCATACTCCCGCCACGAGTTTGGATTCCAACCCATCTTCTGCCGCGTATATTCTCTCTTTTTCTCTTAAAGTTCGGCGTTACTTTTAGAAAGTTTAATTGCTAGAATAAATTTTTAATTGAAAATAATTTCTCAAAAAGAGAATTTAGACTGAGTGCTGCATAATTGATGTTCTGGGAACTTGATGCTCGAACATAATGTTGCTTTTACTTCTCTTTATTAAAAATTTTTTCTTTATATTTTTTCGTCTTTAGGGAGAAATCTTACCTTTTTGAGCCTATTTCTTTCGTTCTAAGCCATTTTATTCCTTTATTTTCTCCTTGTAAGAATAAACTCTCTGTTTTATGGCTATGTTATGCTCAAGAACCATGTCAAGTATGAGAAGGTAACCACGAGGGGGCGCATTTCCGCGCTACTACCTCTCTCCGCGCCGCTAAGACCTTGGTCTACTGACATTCTATTGACATGCCAGCTATTTCCAGCTGCATTTTTCATAGATGCTTTTACGGATGAGCGTAAAATCTTCGATTAATCATCAATCAATTATGATAGCTATGGATATTTATTTTGTTTGGTATAAATTTTGCTTTGAATACATAGAATGGAACTATCTTTGGCAGGTCCGGAGTTTTTGGGAAAGAATCATCGACTCAACTCTTCAGGCATCATAATCGAAAAAAGCTAGAAAAAGAAGAAACTTATATTGGAGTAAACATTCAATACCTTCAGCTAACAAAATTTTCTTCTCATTCGGACTTCCGATGCTTCTCTTCTTTCGGGTGTTTCCAGAATTTCCGGAATTTCCGGAGTTTCCTTGTCCTTCCGAGCAGTCTGCCTTGAATTTATGACTGTGGCAAAGCATTACTCAAGAAAAAGATTTTCACTTCACGTGACTGCCGTAAAGTTCATAAATTACGATCCTGGTTCTTCACATCCGTCTTCGCCCTCTAAAAGATCGGATTACAAAACTTCTAACAGATTACTAAATTGGTCCACCATCATGGACAATTTTCAAGATTTGGAGTCCGATATTTTTACTTACTCTCGCAAATTTTGACTTCGCATTGAATTCGCACCGTGTCACTACAAGAAACGTATTCAGTAGAGAAAGATTGAGACTTTGCTAAAGTAGCTTGTCCCGCATAAAATCTGTGTAAATGTGTGGCCCAGGCACAACTGACCCCTGGAAAAAGGTTTAATTAGATTAGAAACGCACCTGCCGGGAAACTTAAAAGTTCTTTTTTGAGGCTTTCGAACTACTATTTATGTTTAAATCAATCGGATACGGAAGTCATGAAGGAAGTAAACAAGGTTGTAGAAATATGCACTTTTCTTTACGAGAGCTTCTGATGACTCAGCAGATAATTACGAGCCTATTCCTGAATTGGAACTCTTTTGAAGAGTAAGTTGTTATTATCGGCGAGTTGGGACAACCAGATGTCTTTATAACCGTTAATTATTTGATATGATGCAGGTTCGTGAATGATAGTGGTCTATCATAGTCATTATATTGATTTAATATAACCGTTCCTCTTCGCCCAGAATCACCATCTGTTTGAATTTCGACGACTGCCAATTTTCACCATTGTTTCCCCAGCACCTATCCAGTCGGAATTCGAAGGTTTCGTTAAACTTGACGTGGGTTTGATCACACCAAATATTTTATGATTTTAATCAGGTGCATAATAGTCTATTATTAATAGAATCTATATAATAATTCAATATAATATGATTTTATTGGAAAAAGAAGAGGTGAAAAAGAGCGTATAAACTTTAAAGTGTTTAGAAATAGGGCATATTGTAAAAATCTGTGATAGCGTTGAGTAGCTTTGATTGGATTAAGCTCGGTAAAGACCGTAAAAAATAAAATTTGATTTGGGCTCAAATGTGAGTAAGCAAGGTTGAGCTCAAACCAAGACCTTCGCGCTGGAGGCCGTTGTTTTCACGACGACTTTTTGAAGCTCACCAAGTCTCGGCGCCTCGCTCTTGAAGTAAATTCACGATCATTGGGGAAGTTTCATTGTTAAGGGTACCTCTAGGCTTTGAATTTCAAGAGCTAATGCGTTTATGTATCCAGTGCTGTCAAAAGCATCGCTAAATCAAACCTTGAAACGCACATTTTTGATCATGAAATTTACCTCGATGTATCGATATTATACGTTGCTGCATCAGTTTCTTCGTCTTGAACAACACAACGGACATTCCACTCGCCCGTTATAATGGTTCCTTCGTTCTCAAGCTGCGCAATCCAGACTTCATAGAATGAATCTGTTCCATCTTCCGGATTCTGAAGCTCTATTCCTCCACAATCACTTTTCCGTGTTGTCAATTTTTATTGGCAGTAATTATCAGCTTTGTGATAAGCTTTTTATTTACGGTGTCACTCGATAAAATTATGATGACGGAGTAAATCAATTATTTCTTCAAAAGAAACATTGACTTTACTATTTTGATAGTCCTAACTTTTTGGGTCATCCAAAGTACCTTTAGTACAATACCATTTTGAAATTTAGCAACTCTTCCTGTGTTGAAAATTAAAGTAATCGGCGTTGACATTCTCTTGTTTCTCGCCATTCAGCCAGTAACTTGTTTGTCCGTTTTGTTTTTCATCAGTGCAGGTCGCATTTACACTTGCATCGAAGTTCTCGACCTCAGAAACTTTGTACGATGTTATGATCCACTTATCCAAATCGTGGGCCTCTTCCGTCGTGATATTGTTGTAGCACTGGGGCTCAACGATGATCGTGAATTCTTGAGAGATGGATACATTTACGGAATGAGGAGTTTAGTTACCTTCAAGATTACATCTTGTTATAAAAACTGAATCTCCTTGAGCTCTAAGATTTTCGGGACAGGTGGGAAATTGTGCTCTAAATGACGCGGATGTTACAAATGGTCTTCTTGATGTGTGATGTTTTTTACCTTGCTAGTCCTATAACCGTCAGGAGTAGAAATTTATCTCTGAGCGGCATCTTCTTCATAAAATCATTTGGTCACTCAAAAAAAGATACTCTCTCTCTCTGCGGAAAGTTAACGGTGAATTATGTTGAAGAGATTAAAATATGCCGAAATCTGACTAGCTCGCTCGTAAAAACTCGTGAGTGTTGTGCTTTGCGCAGCAGCTAACGCTCTTCTGGGAGCCATAACTTATAAAGAAAACCATTTCTGCTTCAAAATGATTATTACCGGGCGCGTAATTGACCTGAGTGCAACGTAATTCAACACTATTAAATCTCAGACCGTGTTAATACGATTTGCTAAGCGTCCATAGTTTTAACGATCGGATTCATATCAAATATTCCTCGGGGTAGACTTCCTGACCCCTATTTTCAATTTGACTTTTATCAACGAAGAAGATAAGGTGTCAATTTTTGGTTCTACAAAATCGACCTCATCAAGCGCATCATTTCTTTGCTTACATGTCAATATCATTTACCGGTTATTTAAAACACATATTGAAAAATAATTGAAAGTCTTTATGAATCGTCTGGTTCACAGCCTCGTAATTTGTGGTTTGAAAAAATTTTACCATCAACAACTGAAAGTAGTCTTTAAAATTGAACTTTGTCGAAAAGCTAGAATGTTCCGAAAGCTTTCGTTTCAGGACCTCTGTTGACCCTTGGCGCGGGCCATATTTACTCGGCATGAAATGCATACAACCCGTACAATCTTTTACTATTACGTATTTAGACGCAATAACCAACTGCCGAAAGAGATTAATTGGCAAAAAATTTTCTTCGCTTTTCTAGGATAAAATAATGTTTATTGGAAATATATTATGCGTGGTGCTACAAACGATAGAGAATTTTTTATTTTGTGGAATGTTTATTTCTTGGGGTCAAATCGCGACGATTTTTAAAAGCAAAGACATGTTCTTAGAGTAAGTCAATTTACTAATCACCAGATTAGGATTCTCTGCGGCTCAAAATTTCATTGAAAAAATCAACTTAATTAAAAGTTTTCAGAGAGATTTTTGACAGTACAGAGGTCCTAATTATTATTAAGATATTGTGAAACAGAAATTGATCAAAATACTGGAGAAATAATTCTCATAAACTGTGATGAACGAAATTCCCTCTTCAACAATATCTACACAACTAGTTGTATCATGATGTCGCTTTATAATCTTTGTATTGGGATCGTATCGGACAAGATAGGACTCTTTGTTCCACGATTAATTACCACTGCGATATTTGCAGCTGGACTAGTTACGATGACCTTTGTCGAAGAAAATGAAGTTCTTATCTGGCTAGCTTGGCCTCTTATCGCTATGGGCGGCCTTTGTAAGTCAAATTGATTTAAGGGGGTCACTCTCATTTTTAGCCAGCCATGTCATAAATTTGAAATCATGCTTTGCGACCCCTACGATCAAGGCGACGCTTATGCAGATTCTTTCTGGCGCTTTCGGAACTGCTGGATCTGTTGGCTGGATAATAACTTTGATGATGGACAATCTAGGGCTAGAATTTGACACTGTTTGGTGGATATGGTTCGTCGCGTATCTTTCATTCGCGGTGATCAAGATTATTGTTTGGACCCCGAATCATGTCCCCATGGCGAAGACGAATGATGAGTTCAGCTTGATGGAGAACTCGTACCTCTTGAATTGCATGGGTTGCTCAGGCGAGAAAGATAAATCTAAAGCGGCACCCAAAGCGCCTCCGAAACCGGAAACATCGTATTTGAAGATGGTTTTCGGCGACTGCGCGAACACATTCAACTACATTCTTGTCCTTGTCGGCCACGTGGCGATGGTCATCCGTCGTCAAGCATTCACAAGTTGGCTTGGGAGCGGTTGGCCTGAATGGGTCGCGCAAGAAACCGACCCGAAGATATTCAACGAGCAAATTAACGAGTTCCAAAGTATTCTCGCGCTGGCGTTCTTTCCGGTTAATATCTTACCTGGGCTTATGATCGGTAAATTCTAGTACCAAGACATTTTTCTAGGTGTTTTATTTAGATATGTTCACTTCAAAATATGGTCGACTCAAAGGGACCGGACTTGGAATCGGACTTTCCTTCGCGATCGGAGCTTTCTTTATGTCTTTGAGTAGCATCTTTCACGCGCAACAAAATGAACTTATTGCCTACATGTATGTACATCTCTGAACTCTATTTGCTAGTCATATACTTTTTTAGATCGATTCTATTGCACAATTTTGGGCGTGTTTTCAGCGTCGTCTGGACGCCAACATATTATTTTGTGTTCCCACCAGCGGTTTTCGGGTAATAATTGTTAAATATGTTTATTTAATCACCGACTTTGAAGATTTATATTTGGTTCAATTTCTTTGGCGACCCAACCATTTGCTCTGATGAATATTGTCATGCTTCAATTCTGTTTAGGAACGGATTCACGGTTATCTTCCCGTAAACATGTTTTTTACGTCATAAAAGCTTTTGTAAACGAAACTGAGGTTATAAAATCCGATAAAAAGATCATGAAGAATACGCGACGATGAATTATGTCCTTGCTGGAATGAGCGTTTTCATTGCTTGTGTATCTTTGGCGTGCTACCTCAGATACAAACAAGAAACAGCGAAAGTTGACGCTGATGAGCCGTATAAAGCCGAGAAGAAGGAAGACGAGTCTAAGGAAAACACCGAAGAAAAGTCAGAAGGGACGAGAGAATCAGAATTTTAGATATTTTAATTGCGCATATTTCAACTGCTTCAAATACAATAAAACTATCAGGAGTTGCTTTGGGAGTAAGCAGCTCTTGAGAAGGAAATTTAAAGCAACAGGGCGCCAACCCCGCGGTGAAACGTTTGTATTTAACGCAAGACGACAGGAAAAATGTGTGACAGGCCAGTAGCTTGTGAAAAAATCTATGTTCGCTTGTTTACTTGGCAGCTTCGAGCGGATTCTTGAGGACGATAATGACGGAGTCTCCTCGAAGGAACATTTTTGAGATGAAACGATCTCGGTTGACAGGCTGGCCACCTTCAATAAATGAGTTTAAAATATACTAGGATAAAAAATTACCTTTTCCCTTCGCAGTTTTTGGTCGCTCGACCCACATCTCCTTGACGTTTTCAAGGACCATGTTGCAGTGTCGATCAAAAGCCTAGAAAAGCCGTTTCTTATCAATTGAGAAGCCAAAACTGGTACCTTGACGCGGCCCATGAGCTTTCGGTTATTTCGGCAATTGATGAGAACCTGAGTGTTGTTTCGCACGGACTCGGTCAAAACCGACAAGGGCCCGGTTTGGAACTCATGCTTCTCACGTTCCTCGAGCTCCTCTGGAGTAAGCTCGGCTTTTGGCTTGTTCATAAGAGACGCCATGATGCGCCAAATTCAAAATTCTTAAGAATAAAACGCGTTAGACAGATTTTATCGGCGATTTACTTTATTTACTTGCTGTTCAAAATAAAGGACTTACAGTCTAAATTTTCTAAAGTGTTGAACAGAAAAGATAACAGAAATCAAGCCGAGTTGGAAGTCAGGGAGAATGAGACAAGCAGTCTTCAGATTTTTTCGGGATGGGGACTTTGGAGCTAAGAGCGCTTTTTACTCTTCTTCGGGTTCTTCTTTAACCTTATCCTTCTTCTTCTTCTTTTTCTTATCCTGAAACGAATGGTGTAATTATAATGTCATGAAAGAGATTTCTTGCCTTCTTCTCTTTCTTGGGAGTGTCTTCAGTTTCTGGTTCAGTCTTAACACTTTCCTCGCTCGCTTCTTCCTTTACCTTCTTCATCTTCTTTGGCTTTGGCGACTCCTCGACCTTCTCCTGCTTTCTCTTGAAAGTATTGTCAGCAGCAGCGTCGTAGGTGACAACATCCGACTTATGTCTGTACTTGTCTCCTCCAGCGGATCTAAAACACGATTAACGAAACCAAAAAGGAAGAATTGCTCACTTTCTACCGCCGGAGATCTTGGCCTTTCGGAGCTCGAGTTCCTTAGCTCGTTTCTCGAGCTGCTGGCGGGCTTCAATGGCGAAGTCGACGTTGGTCTCGTCGTCTCCTTCGCAGAGAGCGTCGTATCGGATCGCCAAAGCGGCCTTGGCAGCCAACATTCGGGAGATTTTACCTTATCAACGAATAGAAAGTTTTCATAAAGAACGAAAAGGGTACCTTTGTGCTTGGGAGCAGCCTGGCCGACCATGCTAGCGTGGTAGATAAGACCGTACTTGGGAGTATCCTGCTTGGTCTTCAATGCTCTGAAGAGAGCCTTTTCAGCTCCGAGAATTTGAACAGTTGAGGCGGGATGCTTGGCCAAGTTGAGGAGAGAACCAGCGTGGGCGATGAGTCGGGCTCCGACGAGTTCTCCGAGGAGGACGGTCAGGTTTGGCGCGATAGCAGCCATTCGGTTCTAGAGCTCGATAGAAACTTTTTCTCGGGGAGTTTATTACCTTGAGGTATTCGAACAGCTGGGCTCTGTAGGCAGTGATCTCGACGACCTGCTCAGCAAGAGCAAGAATGTTTTCCAAATCATCTTCGCTGATGTCTGTTCCCATCGAAACCTCGGCGAGTTCCTTGACCTGTTCTTCGATATCCTCGGGAAGGATGTCGCTGAAATCGGTCTCGGAGCAGTTGACACGGTACTGCATCTTGATGATGGTCTTGGCGTAGGCGAGGTTGTCGGTGACGACCTTGCCCATTTCGGGGAAGTGCCAGCCGTACCATTCGCGGACGCGCATGATGTAGTTGTTCAATTCCTTGTCCAAATCGTCAAGAAGAGAGATGGCCTTAATTTTAATGGAGAAGAAAGGGAGAGAGGAAGTTACCTGGACGATCATGGTGTCAACTTTGTCGGGAGAGAACTTAAGTTTGTATCGGGAAAGCGAGTGAGCCAAACCCAAAGCCATGGCGGATCGCTCGGATTCCTGGATTCCGGTCATTTCGACCAAATGCTCTCGGATGCCTCGGGTGAGCTCGTGAATGGCAGGAGAGTGGATGCATTCAAGACCGATTTGTTCTCGGATCATCGATCCAAGCTAGAAAGGATATTCTTCCAATGAAACAAAAATGAAACGCCTACCTTAGTGTCAGAAACAGCGAGGGTTTCGATGACATCCTCGTTGACGAGCTTCTTCAACATCTTTTTCAGAGTCTTTGGCGCCTTTCCTTCAGTGAGAGAAACAGCAGCTTGAGTAGCTTCGACCTGATCAGTGAACTTCTTGAATTTCTTGAGCTGAAGAACTCCAGAAAGCTGGGAAGGGTCCTTGAAAAGCTGCTCGACATCGGAGACATCGGCGATTTTGCCTTCATCCAAGACCTAGAATGAATTGTAAAGATGATAATTGAATTATTTTTAACCTGGAAGAGGGCAAAGCCTACAGGAGATTCGTACAGTACGTTCAGAGGCATGTCCGATACTCTTTTCGATCTAAAAAAGTATTTTTTAGTAGAATCGATAGAAAAGATTCTCAGAAGAAGAAAACATCCATCACTAGAAAAATGATTTTAATCAGGCGATAATCCTCTATTCCTTGCTTTGAAAATTCTCAAAAATTAAAGAAACGCGTGCGCGCAGTGACCAATAAAAACGCGAGCTCGGGGCGAACTTCCAAAATCTTAGAAAACTCCCATTTTCGCGAAAAGCAATGATTACGAATAGAAAAGGCATTTATTACAGAGTTTTTCAGTCAATCAGTCAGGTCTTTAGCGACAATTTGAATCACGTGTTCACTGCTTTCATGGCTGTTGACTTTTTCTTCCAGTCTTCTGAAGTGTTCTTTGTTTGCCTAAAATTTTCTTCACTAAAAAGATTCATTAATCTTCACCTTTGCGGCTGATATAAGATCTTTCATTGATTTATCAAAAGTTTTCTTGGAAAAGATGACTTTTCCTTCCAGTGATTCCGCAGTCTTCTTCATGTAAGCGTGAAGCTTCATCATGTCTCGACTCGATCTATTGACGAATTCTGAAGAATACAACTGTATAACTCACTATTTTCTATTCCGATACAAACCAGTGACCTGTGTGTCCAACTCGTTAACTCTTCCTCCCGTCGCTTTTTCCAGCTCGTCCACTTTCTTATTCAGATCGTCCAGAAGAACATCGTAGACGAAGGAATTCGTCTCCGCCAAATCGCCTTCGAGCCTGGTCAGTCGATCAATGATCCCTTCTATTTCCTCCGTCATTTCTTCGATTCTCAAATTTGAAATGTCACGTCGAACTGGCGCTTGATTATCCGGCGTTTGACTTCTGAAATCCATCTCTTGCATCGAAAATATCGTGGCATTGAGTCGTTTGGAGAAGTTATCCACTTTTCTAGCGCGGTTCCATGCTCCCTGCGCTAGTTTATGGGCGGCGGAGATATCTTCGTTGATTTTTGTCGAATTGAATTCTGATTTTATCGAATCGACAGAAGCTTGGCAAGAGATTATCGTTTCGTTGAGTCTTTCAAGAGTTTTCTAACAACGATTTTTCGTCGTTTATGATTTCAGTGTTCAGAAAACTCGGCTCACGTCCAATTCGTTCATGACAATTTCCGAAGGCTGATCCGCTACGAGCGGAAGATTGTCAATTTTCGCGCGTAAATTACGAATAGCTCCTTGATTCCGGCGCATTTCAGCATCGTTGCGCTCGATTTTTGACTCTAGCTCGATTCTGACGTTGTTTTGCATTTCCTTCGTCTGCATGAGGACTGATCCGATTAGGTCCTTTAAAATGTGCTAATTGCATGAAAGAGCGAAAGAATACCTGGGCAGGCTCTGCGACAGTAACTGGTTGATAGGTAGCAAGAAAATGACCCATTTCCGTGAGACGAGTGTCCATTCCTTCCTGAAGCTGCTTGATCGCATTTTGTTCCTCCACGTATGTCAGAACTAAAGATAGATTTTCTTGAGATACCAAAGATTCAGAGCGATGATAAGATTAGGAGATTTCAAATCCCCCGCTGAGCGTCTCATCACGCCCTCCTTTGGATCGTTTTCTCATAAAAGCCACGAAAGAGTTTTCACAGTATCAAAAGAATATTGATAAAATGCTTTCCATACAAAATTGAGTCTCCGCACCATCGCTTTTGATAAGCTATTTTTATCGCTACAAAATGAAGCAAAATGCAATATTGCCTATCATTCAGTAGAGAGAGGCTACTAGCCAAATTATGTTCTGCAAGTAAATAAAAAATAATTCATGAAAATAAGTGGTTTTCATCACTCGTTTACCTGCGTTGTAAATATCGTTGTTCCTTTCCTCAATCCTTTTCGCAAAATTATCGCAGGCGGACGGTCTTCCTCCCTTCAAGCACTTTGCCTTCGAAGTATCAATTTCAAGCGATCGAATTTTTCCACCAAGGCTATCTCTAGTCACTTTCAATTTTTTCGTAAGAAATTCGAACTTTTTCTGGCAAACATGAATGTGTTTCGCAACTGCACTTTTAACCATTTTCAAATCATACGCGTCCGCTGCTGAAGGAGGAGCTGTATCATTTGGACTCGCAGGAATTCTCGCAAGAACAAACGATCTTCGAATCTGGCCGCATATTACTGTTTCTTCAGGCTGTAGTTTTTCGACCGAATCAAAAAGCGAACACAGCTTGTCCGCATTGAGATAATTGTACCCAACACATTTTTCATAAAACGTACAGATAGTTGCACAGCTTTCATCAGAATCCGCGTTGACTTCTTTCCATTCGTTCCCAACAATTTTCTGCCCGATAGCTTTCTCTACGGCAGTTTTCTTCTGAAGCTCTTCTGTTTTCTTGTTCAATTTGTAATCGAGGATGTCAACAAGTGTATTTACAACGGTACTATCTTTGAGCAGCTCTTTCACCTCTTCCTTGATTTCCGTACTTGCGATCGCGGTGAAAACAAAAAGCAAAAGCCGCGAATTCATTATTATGCTGTCGGATAATGAACGGTCATCACCGGTTATGAGGAGTAAACATGCTAGCTACTCAAAACTCGTTAGATCGGCCTTTTACGATTTCGAAAGCGCGCGTGCAGCTTTGAAATTTAGGATTATAAGAATTCCTCGTTTTACCAGTCATTTGATCAATGATCAAAAGTGATATTTTTTCTCTAGAAGCGTTTACGAGTTTTGATAAACAAAGACCAAGCTTATCAGTTTTTACCGCTTCCTAACCAAGTCCACAAGCAATGAATGTCTTTCAAGAAAATGCTCTCTGGATGGAGGAAATCTTCAAGGACCACGTCAAGAAAGAAAAGTTCGCGCAGAAGAATTGGAAGAATAAGCATGGTTACATCTTGGACGAAATCCACGAGGTAATTACTTAATGATAAAATATAGTTAACTTAACACGAATAGATGGAGGAGAAGCTGAAAAATGTCGGCCAAGAGAAAGATTTCATCAACGAAAAGCCAAAAGAAGAGGTCAAAGAAGCGCCCAAGCCAAAGAAAAAGCCACATCCAAAAGTTCCTCTCACGGATTCAGGTGAAAATGAACACGAATTTACGAGAAAAAAGACGATTTCTAGGACTTATCGGCTGGCGATCGACTGACCCCCGTTACAATTTGGAAAAATTCAAGTTCACAAACGACAAGAACCACACCAAAGGCGACATTGTTGCAAAGCTCAAATGGCCAAGAGAAGGAATCTAAGCCTAAAATCAACAAAATTGACCTGCTTTCTTCTGTGTGAACAAAATAAATTTTCAATTTTTTAAAATAAAAATCTGCGTTGGAAGAATCTAAGGCAGATTTGAAGGAGAAAACGAGTGAACATTTTTTATTAGAATTTCGTCAGAATTTCACAATGAATCTGTTGGTAACGGTTTTTGAGCGAGTTTTGGAAGAAGAGGAGGTATACTTTTGTTTTGATAGAAAAGGCAATAATTAGGTATAGAACGAACAGAAGCAAAAAAAAATATACAGTTTATCACCAAAAAACAGCTTTTTCATACATTGATAAGAATATGCGATTGATAATTAATAAAAAGAGTTTTATATCCAGTCGGCAGCTTCGGAATCACTCGTAGATGCTCGAATTTTGACCTTTTTCACGAATTCAGAAGGGAACACGCCGCTTTCTCTCGTATCTATGAATCATTAAATTTCATGTTCGCGAATATTGTCTTACTTGAATTTTCTCCATTGAAGAAGATTTGACCATTAATTGAGTGCTCTTCTGATATTGATTTCACAATGATAAAGTTGCCTTTATAGAGCTTCAAGTAATCATCTCCGCCAAAGTCGAAATTCTCCACAACCCGATAAAGACTTGGAAATCTAACAACAAAAAATCAGTATTAGAATTTCGATTCGCGGGCTTTCTTACTTGTATGTTCTAAGAAATTCATCTTCTAATGATTTTACAGACTTTCTAGCTTCTCTGGAGGTAATAAAATCATCTTTCTCGTCATCTTCCCTACAAATAAAGCATAAAAAACATGAGCAAGCACTAGAACTTACGATAGGAGCAAGTTGTCGATATCTGCTTCAATCTAGGTCTAGGATCGGGGGTGATCGTTGGAGATCCGAAATGAGGCGCTCGAGAGGAATCACAAATGAGTGGTGCGCGGGTTGTTTGGATCTCCGATTGCGTGGAGATCCGCGCGATCTCCACCCCGAAATTGCGGTGATCGATCACCACTCTCGATCTCCACTTCTTGGAGATCCAAAAATTTTTAATCCCCGAAGTCGGATGAGTCACTTTCAGACAATCTTCTGCCAGCCTACTGATATCAGAAGCGACTAACCGGATCAACTTAAAAATCTCAGAAATACTTATTCTCCAGTGTAGATTTCAAATCTTTTGTCAAATCAAGTGCATGGATTGTAATTTTGGATAAAAAATGTACTATTTACTATCTCTGCTCGAGTATTTTTCTCAAAAAGATGGTTTTCAAAATTTTTGAACATTTGAAATCACATAATTTTAAAATTGGTTCGGTTTCAATTTCCAAAGACTCAGCTCGGTGGGTGAGCGATAATTTCTTGAAGATTAGCATTAGAAACTATTATTTTCTGAGATACTGACTCGCAAAGTACCTGCAAAATATGAATTTAATCGAGAAAAATCCATGCTCGAGAAAATTCAGAGCTTCGATCACCGAAAACTGGAGATCGACAAAATCCCTGGGATTCATTTGGAGATCGAGCTTCGATCTCCGCGCGCTGGAGATCCAAACAACCCGCGCTCCACTCATCGGTGATTCATCTCGAGCGCCTCATTTCGGATCTCCAACGATCACCCCCCCATCCTAGACCTAGGCTTCAATATCGTAAAGCTGATCTCTCATGCTCTTGGATCGATGAAGATCACATTCGGCGGCGGAGTCTTCTTGGAGCTCAGAATCGTACTCGATCTTGATTTCCATGCTGTTGTCCATTATTCTTGGAAATTCTACTTCCGTACAACGCTGGGTGCAGAAATTTGGCTCTGAATTTAGTGAGAAAAAAAAGTATTAATTTTTGCACTACCTTGAGCTTGCAGGACTTTTCTCACAGGAAAGTGTTCCTTCATTAGTGATGGTCTTGGCGGCGGCAGGGGAGAATCAACTTGCGGAGCATCTAAATCCGGCCTTGGAGGTAAAGAACGGCTGCTGTTAACAGCTTTGATGAAGCTCTCATCAAATGAGGAGGTCTTTGAATTCAACTCATTGCAACTGGACGCTGTGTTTTCATTGGAAAAGGCACTAGTCAGCATCGATGGCATCGATATTTCAACAAATTGATCATCTAACTTTTTTGAGGAAGATATCAACTTGCTAGTCGACACTATGCCCGGATCAGTGTGATCAGAGCAACTTGTCAAGCTCAGACGCTTAATATCATCGTCGATTGGAATGTTTTCTTTGATAGATTTGGCGCGTTTCGCATTTTTTTGCTTGCGCTTCGGAACTTCTGGTGGAGGCCCAGATTCTTCCATTACTCCACCAATGTCGTAAATGCTCGAGTCAAAGTCGGGATAAGGAATTCTCTCTACAATTCCATACGGGCCAGAAGCATCTGAAGGCGGTGGACGAGCATAAGAAGGGGGCTCTTTCGGATCTTTGAGGGCTTGTTCGTATGATGGTGGATGCATGCCTGGGACATTGGCGAGTTTGTGCCCTTCAGAAAACGCTGGATGTTCTGACACAGGCACTGCGTTAACCATCATAACAGGCATGGATCGTCTATTCGATCTTCTTTGGCTTTCATCGCTAGAAGATGATCTGGAGCTCAAATGCTCTCTCACATTGTTCCCAACTTCAGTCGCGGCAGTTCTTATGTCAGAAGCAGCTTGGAGAGCCTCTGTCTTGCCAACTTTCCAGCCAGCCTTTGCGTAGTGCTTCACCACTTTTGAGGCTTCTTTTGTTTTCTTTGCGGCGACCTTTGAAACTTGCTTGGTTCGCTGACCAACGGCTTGGCCAACATTTGATAGATTCTGAGTTGAGAGGGATAAATGGCTTGAAATCATGTTGGAAATTCGTTGTGATTGAGTTTCTTGGTCAGTTTCGGCGAGATGACCTAAAGAGACGATGAGAATTAATGATTATAAAAGCGACTTACGGGGGATACAGTGTTCTTTAGGGCCAAACATGGAGATTCTATTATTTGGAGAGTGAACATTTTGGGCTCTTTCGTTGAGTTCCTGCCTCAACCGACTTCTATTTCGATAAATTGTCCCTTTCCTCGTATCATATTCCATCTGAAATAGATTTCCTTAGAGATTCATTACAGTGGGCTAGAGTGACATGCAAATTACAGAAGATAAGCTAAGTTAACTGGGCGATGTTGAAGAAGGAATAGAAGGAATGTCTCCGTTTTTGACGGCTTTTTCAAAATCAGCGCGGAAAATGTCGAAAATAAATGAAAATTGCATGATGTCTTCGGGATCCTCGCGTTTCCAGAGAAAATCGAAGTAAAGAATGCATTCGGAAAAGACGATGTTGAACTGTTCTTCGCAGATTGTAGTGTTGTAGAAATACTGAAAGAGAAATTGAATATGGAATTTCAAAGAACTTGAACCTACCTTTTTCAAGGCGCCTGCTTGAAGAGCCTTCGTGAGCAATACAGTCAGATTTATTCCAGTAATTGCCAGGCCATATCCTTTCGTCGGATGAGACGCACGAAGATTCAAATTTTTCGCTTTCTCTTGGTAATTCTCGCAGAAGTAAATGAGCTGTGAGAGGGAGAGCAATCCACCGCCGCGGAAATCTGTGATCGGATCGGATCCTTGGAAGCCAATCGAGACCCAGTCGGGCTTTTCTTTTGAATCTTCGAGTTTATCCTCCTGAAACAGTTGGTTAGATTGGTGGTTAGATTGCGAGTAGCGAGATAAAGATCATTTATGATATTTTTATATCGGCAATAGAGTGCGATTTTCAGATAAATAGGAATGAATCGCCAAAATGCATCAAAATTATCATTTCAGTATGAAATGTCTTCACCCTTTATGCTTAGAATCTGAAACATCCTGTCATCTGCATAATTATATCCTCTGTTAATAAAATACCGCTTACCAACAATCCAATTTTATTGTATCAAAACGATATATCAAATAACTAACCTCCTTATCAAGTCCAACATTGATCTTCTCCTCCTTTATCAATTCGTAGAGATGCTCTAAATGGTCACGGTGTAGCTCCCTAGTCACCCTCGTTGCGCGTTTCATTTCAATTTCATGCCTCAGCCGCTGGAATTTCTTGATGCTACAGATCATCTTCAACAACCACGGCCCGTCCTCTTGTCGCACCTCTCCCTTCAGTTCTTTGAGAATTTCTTTCTCCGACAGTTTCTCGCAATCGATCTGCTTTGGTCGCCAAAGGAGGGATTCTTCTAATTCTAGCGCGCGATTTGTTGATTTTTCAAGAAGTCGCTTAGGCTGGGCTATTCGCTTTTTCAGCCTTTTTCTCTAGTATAATTTATTCAGAGGGAGGACTGTCTGTAGCCAAGTCCTGTATTTGTCCAGGGTAGTAATAGCCGATGAAGAATTCTAGCAGGGAGTTAATGTAGACATAGAACTACAGAATTGGTTATGAAAATGCTTCTTTCTAGTAATTTACCCATTGAAAAATGCCAGTTGGTCTTGGTGGCTCAGGGTGGAAATCAGGCGTGTACGACATCTTCTATTCAAGTTTCAACGATTTGAGGACGATTTCGAGTATTTTTCTCTCACTTTTTCTGAAGTAAAAAAGAGGATGAGACATTGCTGGACTCTTTATTTTTGAAAAAGAGAGACTTCAACTGAGATGAGGGCTTGCGATAGAGAGCGATTTTGCATGCTTGTTAAATTGTTTAAAATCACTGTCGCGGTGATGCTACTCGTGGAATCTTATTAGGTAAACAGAGAGATTTTTATAAAGAATTAATTTTATTGAATTCGAAATACAAATGGAAACACCAGTACCATCAGACTCATTTTAGAGACAGTATCTACTCGAGTCGCTGAGGGTCCTCTTTTTATAGTAAAGAAGAGCGCTTATCTGCGGAAAATCTTAACCCCAAGATGGTACAATTATCTGCCCTATTACTCTTATCATTACCCTATCTACCTCGTAACCGCCTAAATCTGCTTTGTCCAGAACACGACAGTCGTGACTTACGACTCGTAAGAATTACATTGTTTGAAACAGCTACACATCAAAGAGCTGTATGGAAAACATCCTAAACGAGTTGTTTCTAGTTTCGACCGAACTTTCAATTTCGACGAGAGATTACAGGCTTTGTTCTGGAATTTTCTCGAAGAGAAGTGGTGAAAGCTTTCATTCGTCGCGGCGGAGGCTCAGCGTCCAATCAAATTGCGCTTTCCTAACATCACAGAAATTACGTCTTTTCGAGAAATCTTCTTTCTTCCTTGCTGATCTCCTTTTCTGTTTCACCTTCAGAACTCTCCCTTGAGAAATTCTAGCGAAAGCAACGCCAAATATTTATTTTAACCCTTTTTCAACGTATATTTATTAAAAGAGCATGTCGATGTTGAAGCAAGTCCTTCCTCGAGTTTGGATCCACTCCAGAAATGCCTCAAAAGTCCAGGGCGCTGTCGCGGGCATCGATCTCGGCACCACCAACTCCTGCGTCGCAGTCATGGAGGGTACCTCGGCGAAGGTTCTTGAGAACTCCGAGGGTCAGCGAACCACCCCATCGTAAGTTTTTCCCTTTGTTGGTGATTTTTGCTGAATTTGTAAAAGACTTGAAGAGATTTGATGATTCTTTTCGAAGAAAAAATAAATTTAAATTATTTTTATTTTATCGCCCAATCGCAATTATTTTGATAGTGAGTTACTATTAGTAACGAAAATGTGTGCAGAAAATCCATTTTGCACCTCTCTATTTTTAAATATATACCTGGTATATTATACCAGAGAAAGGTACATAGAAAGGCATTAATTCATGATTGAACCTCATTTTTCGACTCATTATTGTCTTTATCTTTTAGATACATTGCCGTAAGATGCTAACTGTAAGTTAAGGTACGTCGCGATCACCGCCGATGGCGAGCGATTGGTCGGTGCTCCTGCCCGTCGACAAGCCGTCACCAACCCGGCCAACACCTTCTATGCCACCAAACGATTAATCGGCCGACAACACAGCGACCCCGAGCTCAAGAAAGATATTGACGCCTCTCCATTTAAAATTATTAAAGCTAATGGCGGTGACGCCTGGGTCGAAGACACCGAAGGCAAAAGATATTCACCCTCGCAAGTTGGCGCTTTTGTTTTAACGAAAATGAAGGAAACTGCTGAGCTCTATTTGGGATCTAAAGTTAATAATGCTGTCATCACTGTTCCTGCTTATTTTAACGACTCTCAGCGACAGGCTACGAAGGATGCTGGACAGGTAAATCATTCTAGCGCTGACTCAGGCTCATGTTTTATCTAGATCGCCGGCCTTAATGTTCTCCGAGTCATCAACGAGCCCACCGCCGCTGCCCTCGCATACGGTCTCGACAAAGACGAAGATAAAGTCATCGCCGTCTATGATCTTGGAGGAGGAACCTTCGATATCTCCGTCCTCGAAATCCAGAAGGGTGTCTTCGAAGTCAAATCTACCAACGGTGACACTCTTCTTGGCGGTGAGGACTTTGACAATGCTCTCATCGACTACATCTGCGCTGAGTTCAAGAAGCAAAGCGGAATCGACATCTCCAAGGATGTCCAGGCCGTCCAGCGAGTCAAGGAAGCCGCTGAAAACTCGAAGATTGAACTTTCCAGCTCTACCCAGACCGACATCAACCTTCCCTTCCTTACCATGGACGCTACTGGCCCCAAGCACTTGAACTTGAAAATCACTCGAGCTCAGTTCGAAGGCATCGTCGACAAGCTCATCCAGCGAACTGTCGAGCCATGCAACAAGGCGATCAAGGACTCCGAGTTCTCCAAGAGCGAGATCAACGACGTCCTCCTCGTCGGTGGCATGTCCCGAATGCCAAAGGTCCAGAGCATCGCCGAACAGATCTTCGGAAAGACACCATCCAAGGCCGTCAACCCTGATGAAGCTGTCGCCATTGGTGCCGCCATTCAGGGAGGTGTCCTCGCTGGTAACGTTACCGACGTCCTCCTCCTTGATGTCACCCCACTCTCCCTCGGTATCGAAGTCATGGGTGGACAGATGGACAAGCTCATCATGCGAAACACCACCATCCCCACCAAGAAGACTAAAACCTATTCCACCGCCGCCGACGGTCAGACCCAGGTCGAGATCAAGATCTACCAGGGTGAGCGAGAAATGGCTGGCGACAACAAGAAGCTCGGAAACTTCCAGGTAAGACTTCACTTTTCCCAACAGATCCTTATCACAACCGTAGCTTTCTGGAATCCCACCAGCACCCCGAGGTGTTCCACAGATCGAAGTTACCTTCGATATTGACGCCAACGGTATTGTCAACGTTGGAGCTCGAGACAAGGGAACTGGCAAGGAGATGAGCGTCGTTGTCCAGTCTTCTGGTGGTTTGAGCAAGGACCAGATCGAGAACATGGTCAAAGATGCCGAGAAGTACGCCGAGGAGGATAAGAAGCGACGAGAACTCATCGGTAAGCTCTTGAAACAAGTTATTTTATAACTTATCATATTCAGAGGAGCGAAACCGAGCTGACCAGGTCATCCACGATATTGACACCAAACTCGATGAGTACAAGGACCAGCTCGACGCTGACGAGGTCAACCAGCTCAAAGAAGATGCCGCTTCTGTAAGTTCTTGTCTGTTGATTCAAATAGTTACAGTTGTTTTCAGTTGAAATCTTACATGGCCAACGACGACTGCAACCCAGAAGAAGTCCGCGAGAAGTACGGTGATCTCCAGAAGAGATCTATGAAGCTCTTTGAGATTGCTTACAAGAAGGTAAGTCTGACAACAGTAAGACTAAGAAACTAACGAAACTTCAAGGGTATGGAACAGAACGCCGGCAGCTCCTCGGAAGAAAGCAAAGACGAAAAGAAGGAATAAGTGAATCTGTGATCAATTAATGATCAAATCTATGTCTAGTTAAATTCATAAACATAATTAATCTCAATTCCTGTAATTCCCCACTTGTAACGGCGCTAAGAAGGCTCAAATGACCACGGTGCACCCTCTTTTCTTTCAATGACTCCCTCCCCTTATTATTTATCCGATGGTTTTTGAGCCTCATTAGCGCCTGCTCAATTTTATGTTAATACAACTCTCCGAATGTCTCTTGCAAGAGCCTCTTGATTGTCCAAGGGGCGCAAGAAAGCATCTGGTAGAAACTGAGAGAACCCATTCACACAGAACCCCTCCACAAGACGTCTTCATAAACCTTGCTCAAAAAGTCTGCCCGAGTGTGATGGCACTCAACGAAAAACAAACGAAATAAAAACATAAAATAACAGTTACAAAAGCTTGTCTCTTCCCATTCCATTAGCAGATTAATTCACGCAGGAAGTCAAGCATAGAAACGCAGTCCAACTGGATTCCCAAAACAGTCCACATATGGACAAATCGATAACAACCCTCTCTGTACGCGTCATTATTGCAATCGCTCAGATCGATTTCTGCGCAGTTATATTTGTTAAGATGCGATGGTCGTAGAGAAACCTTGCCACCGCGTTCTACGGTTATGAAGGTCAACTGGACGCTTATCCTGTCCGTTGCCGTTGTTGCACTCGGTATTTTTTTCAATAAGTACTCCTGGATCATCTCCGTTTTTAGCCGTTTTCATTGTTCGCCCCTGGCTTTTTCTTCGGTTGTCGATTTTGATCGTTGCGTGCGTCGTCGGCACGCTCTACTGGGGCTACGAGCAGCACGTAAATAATGTCTCCAAGAGTTCCTCAAGGCGAGATTCACAAACAGTCGACGATCAGCGAACTAGACCGAAAAAACGACCAACCTCTTTATCCTCCGAAATTCCGTATGAACTCTCCGGGAATCTTCAAACCGATGCGGCTCTTCACAAACTACTCGATGTCATTGAAGAAATTTACTTATCCACATGGTTCAATAACTTATCCGATAACGACCAGGTCCCCGAAAGATCAGACACATCATATGCTTCATGATAAAGAAGATCTGCCGTCAAGTCCAAAAAGTAGACATTCAAAAATTGCTATTTGACGATGCCGGGGCTTGCGTTGCCGATCATTGTAGAATCTGGAGAATGGTGAAGAGCAAAGAAGATATGTACTGCGAGAATGATGACTCCTCGATTTTCTCTGTTTTCTCGGCAAAATCTACGGAGTCGGAAAGATTGGAACGATCGACGATTGAGCTATTTTTTGAAGAAGAACTGCATATTATAGGTAATTTTGAAAGTCGAAGGGAATTTTTATTCAGAAGGCTGACAATTTATTTTGATTTCAAGTTGGAATTTAAAACTAAGAATGGTTCATCATCATTTATTTTGGGACGTAAACGATTTTCTTGTCGCATTTTAACCGCATGGGCCAGATCGGGGAATAGAGGCGCTGGGACAAAAGGTGCATTGACGCGCTTTTTTTAAGGTTGGGGTATTTAAATCTCCCACTAATTTCTTTTTAGGCCCGGAACACCATATATATTTTGAATCAGTAGGAAAAATCTAGAAACTTGACCATAACCGATGCTCAAAAATCACTTCCGGTAGCGATTCTAGAGCCGGAAGTTGATGAAATTTCGGTGTTAGGGTGAAGAAAACTACTGGTCGGATCGACTTGAAAATTTCAGTCAATACTAATTCTGGGCCGTAGATTTCAAATCTGTTGGCAAAAATAGCGTAGAAAATTTTATTATTGATAAAAAATAGAAATTAGTCAAGGCCTGATTCCAAAAAAAATTTTTTTTCGATGCTTTTTAAGCAAAGTTAAGCTTATATTCGAAATCTTCGTGATCGAAAACATATAAAAACCCTTTGAAATCACAAAAATCCTACATTTGATTCGGTTCCCCTGTGTAAACACTCGGCGGGAGGGATAAAGCGCTGTACTTAATCCGGTGTAGAGCTCAGCTGGTGAGCGATAATTTCTCGAATTTCAGAATTTAGGTCGACAAATGGCGCAGGAAATCCTATTTTAACTTTTAGCTCAATTGGATTTGTAGTCTTTGAGATATTGACCTTCAAAGTCTTAAATGACAGTGGAATGCACCTTCTGTCCCATGCGGTTAACTTTGTTATGGGGTGAATTTTCAGATTCGTATTTAAATCAAATACTGGAGCTAAAGAGCAGTAACATTAGCCTGTCCCAAATTCTATTTTTTATCAAAATCTAAAATCAACTTCAGGTACTTCATACGAAAGGATCGTGACGGATAAAGATCAAGAGCGTTTGATGGCCAAAAACTTCGCTGAAATCATCCTCTATCTCGTCTTACCCGAAGAGGAGCTCAAAAGTCGCCCGATTGTTCTTCTCGTTACTGAAATTCTCATCAACGGCGTTATTCTTCCTCTCGTTGAGACAATTTCCAGCCCTGATTATATTAACCAAATGGTTTGCTGGCTGTTGGAAAATGCTGCGAAGGATACTGAAGATGCAACGGTCAATTTGATCCACGCTGCGAAAGATTCAAGGTCTTTGGGCGAGCTAGAAGGGATTCTAGATGCGATGGAAAGCGAGTGTGCGCAACTTCGATCAAACGATACTTGCGGACCGGAGTCGATTGAGCATCAAGAGCTGATTCTTCTTGAAGAGCTTCTCAAGATCGTCTCGGAAAGCTGCAAGAAGATCAAGAAAGGAGGCAGATTCGCAACGAACGAAAACAACGAAACGAAGACTGATAATCTCTATGATCTGAGCATAGATGTAGCGCTAGAAAATAAGCTCGCGCTGGACAAGTTCCGAGAGTATCTAAAAACGATGCAGTTGGAACAGTACCTGCTTTTCTGGCTGCATGTCGAAAATTTCAGAACAAGCGCAGAGAAACTGAAGATCGATCGTCCAAACCGCGCTAATTCAATCAGCTCCGGTCGGTTTTCGGGTATCTTCAGGACAAAAACGCAGTATAATATTCAAACCGACACTCTTCGCACGATTGCATGTTCCATTTACGACGAATATCTTCATTCCTCTGCTAGAAAAAGACTTGATTTAGATGAAGCGCTGGTAAACAAACTGAAGCACGAGCTTTCTCAAGACAATATTTCCATAAAATCGACATTGTTCGATGAGCTACAGCATAAATGTCTCCATGTGATGACTACAGATGTGATGATGTATCCAGGCTTCCGGAAGTCAGAAAACTACCTCGAGCTCCTGAGAGATCTGGACCTCGTTGGACTGTCATCAGAAGAACCATCGCTGCGGGAAGAAACGACAAGAATTTCAGCTCAATTGATAGATGTGAATATCACAAAGGAGTCCGGCTCATCGCATGCGGCCTTTCAGATTAGCGTCACGAGGCTTGCAGGAACCGATGATTCCGAGAGCTACTCGATCTTCAGAAGATTTTCGGATTTTCATGATCTTGATTTGAGGCTGCGGGAAATGCTTCCTGATGCGGATTATAAAAAGATGAACCTGCAACTTCCAAATAAGACTCTTTTCAGGAAAAGATACAGAATTTATTATTTAACATAATGTTGGACAACTTTGACGAAAATTTGACCATTTGGAGGGCGTCTAACAACAAGCTATATTTCAGCTTTCATTTTACTCTATGATTGCGAAGTGGAGAGGTGTTTCCGTATTTATAACAAAAATCCAATTTTATTGCTTCATTTTACTGCCCTTTGTTCAATCATCCGTGTTTTTGTTTATTCGTCCAAGATTTGATAACCTTATTAGGAGATTTACCGATCTTTACTGTACCTTCATTAAAGGGAACTCGAGACGAAGTTTCTCGAAGATCGGATGCTTTCCTTGGACAATTATCTCCAGCGCTTCGTAACCTCTGCTCATACTAACCGCTATCTCTTTCCAATCCTTGAAGAATTCCTAGTCAACGACGTTTACCTAAACAAGAAGAAGCAGATTCAAAAACGGATGGATTCATTAGTCAGTCCTCTGAAAAACGCATCGAAAGTCATGGCTGATGCACCTGGAAATCTTCTGGGTAAGATTCGAATGGAGAGATTACATTAAACTTTTCCTAAGCATCACTGAAGACGTCTGCAGAACAAGTCAAACAGAAAATGACCCCATCAGGAATGACTTCTTCCGCCTCGTCTGGCTCAAGGTAAACTTCATGTCTTCAACCTGTTTTAAAATTCTCGTTAAGGGATGACAACCAAGAAGAAAAGTGGCTACTCTGTTTTCGAAATATTCTCGATGAGATTTTCGACCTCGGCGCCCGTGGAAAATGGTTCCGACGCCAATTTATGCAACTTTTCACCGCCGCCCTTGAAACGACTTTCTTTGCTGGGAAGATGAATGTCAAAATTAGGGAGTTTATTGAGGACTATACGGAAGACAGCGCTGTTGCGGGATATATCGAGAAGGTCAAAATTGCTTTATTTCCACAGGTAAAGGTCTTCAACGTATTGAATTTATACAAGATTCAGAGTAAATAGTTCGCATTTTATAATCATATTAGAAGTTTTGACTTAATGAAAATTGCAGCAATCGAGTTTTATACTCCTTATCTCGAAATCAATCGAACCATTTTAGGATCAACCCGCTAAAACCAAACCAAGACGTTCCTCATCCGACATTGTGATCACCGGCTTCCTCGCTCGCATTCGTCTTCTCACTGCATTTCCTGAAAGTCTCAGACACATGCTCGGAAATGAGACCTGTCGTGGAGGCATCGCCAGATTTTGGCAGCTCATTCAGCATCAAGAGCTCAACAAACGAATTATTTGGAACCTGATGGAGGTCATTCTTGGTAAAAATGATCTTCAAGACCCTCAAACTTACGATATCTTAGAATCAATATTTCCTGCCAATTCTGTCAAAAAAGCTTTTGACCAAACCAAAATCTCAATGGAGAAACGATTCTCTCAAAGTTTATAAAACGCCGCCAATTCTTCACTTATTTCTTCATAACTTCTGAAACCCATATTTTTTCTTCATTAACTTTCTTTCACTCTGTTCCATACATATCAAATCCCGATGTTACCTGATTAATGCAAATTAATCCTCCTGCATATCTTCTGTATCACAAATAAAATAATATTCACATACAATTGACTAAAGAAGGATCTGAAACTCTTCCATGATTTCGGAAAAAGTTTTCGATATTTCAAAAGAAATTTTTGATCAGAAAGCGTAACAGTTTTAAATTTATTCCTACTGTAGGATAAGGAAGTGTGAAAGATAGAGAATAGTTAATAGTGTCGATTCATATCAGCAGAATAAATATATTTACATTCCGCTCTCGTTTGGCCTTCTCATTCGTACTCAAAAAGAGAATGGGAATTTCCGAAGACAACGTAAAATCGAAAGAAACCATTGATGGCGATTTGTACTGTCTTATTTGCCTTGAAATAGCTGTTGATGCCCGAGGATGCCCAAAATGCCCGAAAGTCTTTTGTTTGACCTGTTTGAGAGTTACCGTCGACGAGACAAATAGGGCCTGCCCTCATTGCCGTGTATGCAAAAGTAGCGATAATATTTTCTAAAATTTTCAAGGCTGACTTGGGTCACGATAATGTCTCTGATCTGTCATTACCTCCGGCCCCCTGGCTTGACAAAACTAAAGATCTGGACATCAAATGTGACGAATGCGACTTAGAGGGCATAAAATACAGTGACTTCATAAAACATTATTGCGCTTGTCCTACGAAAAAGAACAGCTCGAGTCCGATCTTAAATCTCTCGCCGCAGAACCGAATGGAGATTTTGGGAGCGGCACCCTTCTGGAAACATTCGTGGCGAATTTGCATGAGAGCATCGTGCTAAACCATCTTGAAAACTTATCAGAAAAAATAAAGCTTCACCTAAATCCGCTATGAAAAAGATCAAAATAGAAATTGAAAAGTTTTCTTAAGAAAATAGTGCATTTTTGATCTTAAAAAAGTTACTACGAATCAGTCCTGAAATTATACAAGAAATTTCATAAGATTAATATTGACATCGCGTACCATTCGTCGACTTGTTTATATTACGCTGCATCAAATGGTCGACTTCCTTTCGAAAAATCAACTGTGCTCGTTGAGCTTGTGACCGAATCGTTCTTGGGAAAATGGGGCTACTACCTCGGCGGCCGAGGTCCTCGGCCATATAATGAATGTTATAAAAATTATCAGAAACTCTGACTTCGAGCGTTTTGGTATTCCAGTGAAACTGAAAATTATCAGAGCTTTATTTTCGGAAAGGTTGTAAATAGGCGAATTTGAGAGTAAAAAAGAAATGCCAACCTATTTGAAGATAGTGGAAAATACCAAAGAAAGCCGACCCGTGAGACTATTTTTTCGTCAGCGAGCATGTCTTCTGATCCGCCAGTTATTGATGAATGACAATTTACGCTGCCAAATCCCCGCTGACATGAAAATCATTGATGCCGTGAGTGTTCTTATGAGAGATGAGCTGGAAGACCCACATTTATTGCCAATCTTCATTGATATCATCTCACATTTGATCGCCTTCAACAAGATTTCAACGGCGTGGAAAGATCGAAAGGGGCTCTTTGAAAACAAAGTTCTTGATTTTCTCGTCACGGTCGACAATGGCAAATTACTGGAGAACTTTTCATTTTGGGTTCTAGTTTACAATCTTTTTTCTGAAAAAGAGACCTGCAAATATTTTCATAATCGCGGTAATACTAACTTTCATTCCCAAAAGTAGTTACTCTCAGATATAATTTCAACCCTGCTAGACTCGATAATTTCTATCGACGAAGAAAAGATCACGGAGAGCAAAAATGACGAAGAGAAAATGAAGACGTTGACGCTCAAGTTAGAAGTAATGATAATGTTTTTGGAAAATGGGCTTCATCTTCCAAAGAAATACACAAAAATCGAACTTGAGAAAAAAATCAACGATTACATCGAGTTTTTACCAAATGATTGGGATCCTGGCTTTGCTTACTCGGATTTTGATCTCATGGGAAAAATTCTCGAAGAAGGTGTACATGCATCAAAAAGATTTTTTATCTGGAGATTTGCGCAAATGACGAATCCTAAATCGAATCCTGGACATAAACTGGTAAAATGATATCAAATAATTGAAATGAAATTCATCTAGTTCTGCATGAATTTCAAAAGGGCTAGAATAAACGAGTCAATGCAACATCTTATTGATGAAGACCCGAGATGTGAGCTTTCTACAGCTGCTAAACTGATTTTAGAAAGAGTTTATTCTCTGTACCCAATTCAAAAGACTTCTTTTTAAAGCTACGCTGTGAGTTCTATAGTGAACACTTCTATAATCATTTGTACTCATAAATAAGCGTTTGACAATAATCATTTTGGGGTATTTACAATTTTTATTCGGGCCAAAGAAAGGGCAGAAAATACGGTGTTACATTACAGAGATACAAAGCAGGATTTCAGTAGGTTTAAAAGTCAAAAGTATTTGACCGAAGGTTTCGTTTCTTCGGATAAATACCGGCATGAAAGAAAAAAAACAAAGTCAGATCGGAGTGGCTTCTTCCGACCTTCAGCGGCCCAGAATTGTACAAAAAAGCAAGAAACAGTAACAAGATAAGTGTCAATGAAAGAAAGAAAAAGTGATCAACGAGTAGAGTCGATATTCTAGCGCTTGAGTCTTCAACTCTATAGTCAATAACTCGCGCAACTAAAACCTCGGAAGGAGATAAAAGGACGAAGATGGAAGACTTTGAACGGCCGGACGCCCGATCGGTGGCGTGAGAGGGTCCCGTTTATTTTCAAGCTTTACCTTGATCGGTAGTGTGACGCTTATTCTAGGGATGCTACACCTCTCGACAATCGGTGCCGTAACCGCGTCAGCCACCGGTCAAATCAGCTCCCAACCAAGAACAACTCATTCGTGAGATCAAAAGCTCTACAGTGATCTGCTAGCTTTGAATTTAGCAAATACACTGAAGAGATCAAGATGCGTGAGAAGAAAAACGGTGTACTTGTAAAGGATAGTATATCAATATAATAAAGGAAGAAGTCCAGGAGCAGTATATATTCAACTTACTGCACTCGTGGAACTTCGAGGGTTGAGAATCGGGTCTATTCTCGGCATTGAGATCGCATAAAGAAGGAGACGTTGTAGTCTTCCTTCGACATGACCTTTCCGTTGCAGCAGACGTGTGTGTCGTGGTCGTAAATTTCACCGTTCCAGCCGTCGACGCAGCAGGATTTGACGAGGGTTGAGTAAGGTTTGCCTCGTGCTGGGTTATCTAAACCCATTTTGAAATCATGGAGGAGAATATTCGTGCTTACCTTCTGGGCATCCTCCGCAGCAGGCATCGTATGGGATTGGTGGGGGCTTGTCTCCGCACTTCTTCTTGTCACGGCAGCCAAGACAGTCGACCAAGCATTGAGGAGTTTTTTCTAGAGTTAATGGTAAATAAGGACGGCGAACTTCTTCAAATCAGACTGTTCACTAACCGATAACTTGAATGTTCTCTTCGTTAATGTCAAGTTCGCCAATGATATCAAGCTCAGAAACGACGTTCTTGATGTTTTCCTTGATGTCATCCTCAGTGACCTTGTCTTTCACAGCAAGTGGGAGCTCGATGGTGAATTCGACCTAGAAAAATTTTTAGAAAATTGATTAAAAAAAGACTGTTTTATCTCACTAGCTGAGATAAAAGAATGAAATAAAAAAATACATACTAGGGTTGAAAGAAAATTCTATGGACGAAAGAAAGCTAGTTGATCACTAGAATGACTAGTGGACTAGTCTTACGTTCTCGGATTCTGAGTAATCCGAAATTTTACTATTTCCACGTGGATTGAATGAACGCGCAAATGGCGACTGAAGATGTTGAACTCGTTTTTGAGACAATATTTTTACTTACGATGACAGAGTCAGTGGGGTCGACCTCGGCTCGCTGCTCGTTCTTCCATTCCTCATCGGGGCTGAAGGGTCGGATGTTGATGTCAGAGACCTGAGAGTCATCGATACCAATGTATTCGATGAGTTCGGAGAGCTATAATTGATGGTTATGGTCTTGTCAACTCTCAGTTCAAATTTGAGCCTAATTATTTTCACTTACACCGCTCTGGACGAGAATTTCAGCTCCATCTCCTCGTTCTTGAGAGGCTGCAGCAGCTGGGGAGTCACCAATTTGGTCGACGACAATCTTGATGTCAAAAGTTTTGACAGTCTCGCCATCTATAATATTTTGTAAATGGTCTGTAGAAAATTTTATCGTTACTTGTGCAAGTAGGAGCTTCAGCAGTCCATCGAGAATCGTAGTAATCGGGATCGTATCGACAGACCGATGAGATGACTTCGACTCCTGGGGTGATTTCAAACTGGGGATCACATTCGTAGGAGACGTAAAAGTCCCATTCAGCGGAGTCCTTGAAGCCCTTGAGTGCGAGCATACCGGAAGAGGTGGCGCGGGAGCCTTCCTGATTTACGGTTTGACATCTTATATTTTTACGTTAAAAATTTCCACAAAAAGACTCTTTGTCAGTAAGAAATTTAAAAATGTCAATACGCTTCCTGATGAACTGGGCAAAGAGTTTCGAATCGTGTGGTACATTCGAGGTTCTGAGAGTAGACCTGGATGTACTTTCCGTTTTCGCCAAGGTTGGAGTCATTCTCCAAGTTGCCGAGTCCGGAAGCAGGGGAAAGAGCGCTGTGACACTGCTCAGCTTCTTCATTGGCGGCAAAAACACCAATGCTAGCTGTATCAGGAGTCCAGCTCATGGTTGCGAAGTTGTGGAGCACAAAGTGCTTGGTAGAGGCACTGGAGCCAATAAGACCAGTGGCGATGACGGTTTGATAGGTGTTCAACTGGCTGGAATCGGCGGGGTTGGCAATGTTCTTGTAAGTCACGAGGAAAACGGACTGGAGGTTGACGGATTCTCCATTTGCTTCAGTGGAGGCTTCGATATCATTCTTTCAATCGGTTCACTGACGAGTCGATTAAATAAGAACAAATAAGATTTAATTAACAATAAGGAGCTTCAAATTTTGATTTCTAATTGTAAACAACATCTGTGAATAATAGGCTTATGTTGCGCGTCATAAAAAGCTTCCTACTCAATTAAAAATTTTGATTATACAAGAAGCCGACATTTCAATCAGTCACGCACGATTTCATTTTAACTTTTTTTTGTACTAGAGTCTATCTGTTTGAATGAATTGATATTTATTTCGTCTTTGAGCATCAAAGGCAATTTATTGCCCTATAAATTCAATTCTAAAAGCGTCATTTTTTAATCGAGGTAACAAAAACATAAAAATCAGTGTAAAAATTCTTCTAAACAAATAAAATCCGACATAAATGGTCGAAATGATTTAATTGATCTTGATATAAAATAGCATATTTGGCGTAATTATCTTTATGTTCAACGTGAGCCGACTTCAATTCTTATCAAATCGAGCTAGTCATAAAAATGTTTTGTACACAACAAAGATCTATTCTGTTCCGTCATTTTTGAAATTTTAGAACCGGACCTTGATGTCAGCAAAAGCTGGGTCACTTGAGCCAACGTTTCTGTAAAAGATCTTTCCAGAGCTTGGGCTGAGGGCATCAGATCCAGTGGTTCCCCAAAGCGAAGCGACGACCAAGTTCTTTGAGATCGAGTCTGGGCTTGAATCGCTGGTTGTATCGAAGGAGATGGCACCGTTGTTCTGGAACCAGAGGATATCTGTAGAGACGCCAAAGATATCGGCGTTTTGGGCAAGGGGAACCTTGGTCTGTCCGCTTCCATCCAAAGTGTGGACGGAATCGCCATTTGTCTTGCCATGAGTGTAAGGGGACGAGGCACGAGCCGCAGCCAGAAGAAGAGGCGTTAATTTCATTATGTGCACTAGAAAATTGTCAGGAGGATAAAAATGTGGATCGATTTAAATTATCATGTAATTGTATTATTGATTATTTTAATTCCACCGACAATTACGCTTGAACACATTGTTCAACACGTGAGCAAAGGGGGAAATTCAATGTTCTTTGAATAATTCTTTCCATTGGCAGAGGCAAATTTTTGAAATATATTTAGGTCAGAGACTTTGAGATCATCTGTCTAGACACGTGAAAATCACTTTTTCTATTCAAAAAATAATAAAGAGTAAATTTTTACATGCTTGATAATTTGAGATAAAGAAAAATGATTTTATAAATAAGATTTTATCTAAAAAAAATTTAATATTTCTATTTTTATGAAAATATTATATGAAGTCTCATAAAAAAAAATCCAATAATCGTCCTTCTAATCATCTTCAAAACGTGTTCTTCGGATCAAAAATCAGTTCTCTAAGGTCTTCAAAACTTTCTCTGATTAATTATGTCTTTGAAAAACGTTCTCTTACCCTATAAAAACCTATACAAAAAAACGTGAAAAAAGTCTGAAGCTGCTATTTCAGGCTTGATGCAGAATGCTGGAGCGGGAGCGGGGCAGCAGCTCCACCACCGAGCACCAGCGTTGGTGACCCGCTCACATGACTCAAGGGCATGGTGTTACCACACTGGCACTATCCTGCTGACATTCTGAGAAGTCACACTAGCTTCTTATCAATTGGCTTACCTTACTTATTCAATACAGGCATGAAAATTGATTTTTTAGTTGTTTAGTATTTATCGAGGAAGTTTTTATGTTCTTGATGAAAATTTTGTGGTTCAAAATTATTTAGAACCAATGCTCAAAGCCTCAAACAGGCGAATATCTTAGCGGAGAAGTCTAGTACAAACCACACTTAGAAGATTCTGCTGAAACCCTTATTGCTTCAGGCAGTATCCAGATTAGCTTATTTGAACAAATTGAGTACGAATGTTTAGATTATGAAAACCGTTAGAAATCATTTCTGACTCAAAAATTTTGAGGACTTCTATCGGTTTTGAAAGGGAAAGAAAAGCTTAGTTTTGTCAAATAACAAAAATAATTGTTCTAATGATTTATTTATGATTATCGTCAGGAAAGAATTATCAGTACCAAATTTCAGAAAGTGTTGGTGTTTCTGGCGTAGCTGGAGGAGACTGCTGTCGACGACGGCGGGGTACAGTTGGTACGTTGAATTCAGGGAACCGCTGCAGGAAATATGCCCGTCGAAGTTGAGCCTCGGCAACAGTGAGTCCCATTGTTGGGAGAATGAGAGGGAGGAGCTTGAAAAGGTTCATTGCTTGTCTGGAGTCTGCTAGAAATCAAGTTGATGTGTTAGATGATAAAAACACGAGCTTGACCGTCTTTTATATCGGAAAAGCGGGGCGACACATGAGAACGGCGCTAAAGACAATGTGAGAGAATCGAGGCTAATTGGTCGGTGATTGATCATAGATTCAGAAGCTCATGAATGCTAAAAAGGGTCTATTAATCTTATTTTATGCAGCACTCCCTGTAGCAACATTCCCTGTAGGCCAGAAATCGTCTGTTTAAGGGATCCCCCCCTGTTTTTTCAAGTGCTTGATAAGGGTCTTCATTTGATATTTTCAGATTCCTCGTATTCTGAGGATCATTTTGATGTATCATATGACCCCTTTACGATCATCTTTCCTCAAAATATAAGCCTTCGAAAATTTCGAAAATGCATGTAAATTGTACTTAGCGTAAAAATCGATTTTTTTTCGGTTTTTCAATATCATCGAAATAAGACATATAAGGGGTCTATCGAAAGCTTAGAATACACTGAAAAAGAATATTATAACCGCAATGGATATATCAGCCTTATGTTGGCGCTAGAGAGCCAAAATACACTAAAAAACGCAATAAATGGGTACATTTGGTTGTTCTTGAGAAAATTTTTTTATTACTTGACCAAATCAGTTCTCTGTACTAGAGATTCAAGATTAGGCTTTATTCTATCTAAATCTTTTTTCAGATCTTGTTTATCTAAGCCCAAATTGGCTGAATTTCGAGTCAAAAATGGCCTAAAATGGCCTTTTTTCGAAATTTTCGAACTTTGACGCCTCCTAGTGGAAGGTTTGCCTTGAGCAAAAAACTTTTCTGTACTAGAAAATAGCGGAAAGCACCTGGGCTATCCGTAGAGATATTATACGCCCCAATTCATCAGCCCAAATCGGCTGAATTTCCAGTTGAAAATGGCCAAAACGGGAGGGGGGGGGATCCCTTAATCTTCATCTGCCAAGTTCTCACTATTGGCCGGAAAAAATATAAATTTTTCGTCTTCGGACAGCCATAACTCAGGTGTTACTTATTGAAACCAAGTGATTAAGGTATCAATTGAAAGCTCAGATTCCGAATAAAAAAATTTCGAAAATCCGATTTTTCTGATTGGCCGAAAATTTGAAATACTTTTTTTCGGTATTCAGAATGCATTATTTTCAAATTTCTTCTCTTTGCCCCAATTGCCAGAGAATAAGCTTTTTAAAAAAAATATAAATCACGTGATTTCATTAACTGTCACGTGAGATATGCCAGTCCGTAGGAAATTTTTAGAATTGGTCACAAAATAGCCCCGGGCAATGAAAAAAGGTTTTTTCCAGGTTTTTTCTTGGGTTTAGATGATGACTAAAGCGGTCAACATAGTGGTTTTTTTTCAAAATCGAAAATTTATATTTTTTCCGACCATTGCTTTGTGCGAACAAAATGAGATTAACATTGTCTGTGAGCTCGAAAAAAATAGCTTTTTGCGTGAACGCTATAAATAGACTAGTATTTGCGTAAGCTTCGCAATACATTTATTTTATTGAAAAGTTAGGTTTCCAGTGAAAACGCAGCAACCCGCTGGACAATTCGTCTTCATGAAAGCTCTCATCTCAGATCTGACACAGTATCCACTTCGCTCGAAAACTTTGCAGAGAGCATTTGAGCCTTTGTCCACGCATTTTTCGCAGGGGAGCCTAAATATTATAAAACTTCAAGGACTGCAAATCATACCCGCAATTTTGCTGATCTTTGATTGTTTTTCCGTTTTTGTCTTGCTTCGATCGGCTTCGAATATCATCCCCACATTTGGTTTTGTCGCAAGTATGAGACCATTCAGACCAACTTGTGCCGCAGAAAAGCTTCAAGCTATTCTTGTCCTGAAGAATGAGTTGTCCGTCAGTCAGCGTTGGAACTTTCCAATTTTTCACTGACGTTGGGCAATTATCAACTCCGGATCCACCGAAAATAGTCAATGCAGCTTTTTTGAGCTCATAACAAAAGAAAACAAAAATAAAATTTCTATTTATATTTTTACATAATAATTTATGAAATTTATCTATGACACTCTTCCTAGCGTAGCATCAGCAAGGCTCTTCAATGGTTTACCAATGTGCCATTTCCTCTGTTGCTTATAGATTTCGAAGCTACCATCAAAATGCTCATAAATGATTCCCTCTTTATTCCCGCCGGAAATTTTGTAAGAGCCATCAAGAGGTCCGCCGGAGCCGGAAATAGAAATAAACATGCAACAGTTCGATAGTTTTGATACCAATGGACAATCCTGCTCGTAGCATGCTTTCTTTTCAAAAGCTAAGGCATCGTTACAATCGTCTGATGGTTTTCCGTCTAAAGTGCATACGCGGCGACGCCGTTGAACCCCGAAGCCGCACCATTCTGAACACGGAGACCATTCGAACCACGGGGAATACGTAGGACAAGAAGCTCCACAAGGCTTCCACTGCGTTGCGATTTCATCATCATGTCTTTTTCGCGATTGAACGCCGCCGCAAGTTGACGAACATTTCGACCACGGCGCCCAGGGCTGCACCGCTTCATCCCAAAGAGTCGTTGTCATTGTCGTTGCAGTTGTGGTTGTGAAATCGAGCGTAGTTGTCGTTGGAAATTCTTGAGCTTCGTATTCATATGAATTAAAGTCGAATGCTTCAGAGTTTTGAAATTCTGATTTAGTCGTTGTTGATTTCGATGGTGAGTTTTTATGATTCTCTGGAGTTTTACACGTGATACTAATCGTTGTATCGACCCATCCTTATAATAAATTAAAATCAAGTTTATAAGTATCTTAAAATACCTAAATCTTTCTCCGACTTTCGCTTCCAAGACATGCTCGTCAAATTCGGGCAATCATTCCTTCCATTATCTTTCACGTAATACATATTCTTCCCATTTTGTCGAATAACCCAGTAATTATCGTTGCGACTCAATTTGAGCGATTGATCTTCAGAGTTATAATTGTCTTCTTCATCCTTTGTAAAAATGCCAGTCAGATGGCCCGTGATTTGTAGAACACAACAACATCCATTGCTAGAGTAACATTGATCTGGTTGAATTGAAAATATTTTTGAGGGGGTAGTTGGCTAATATTTGGTCAAAGCTTGTTTTATATAAGATGGTTAGGAAGTAAACTTTGACCAAATCTTTGGTGTCGTGTACGAGATGGCGATTTTCTTCGTCGTTTTTGGTGTTGCTGGTTTTGTTGTCGTTTTACGAGTTGTAGTTGTTGTAGTTGAAGTTGTTTTAATTGTTGTTATAACCGGCTTAGGAGTCGTTGTTGTCTCCATTTTGCATGAAAATCTCACTGTTACTACATCCATCCACTGTCCACCTGATTTGCACTGCCAAGTCAAACTTTCATCATCCAAACATTCTGTCTTTTTTAATCTTTTTGAGAAACAGGCAGCGTTTGAAACAGATGTTCCTTCTCCGAAGACAAAATACTCTTCACTGCCTGTTGCGTACGGATAAACCTTGTATCCGTTTTGGCCGTTGAAATTCTTTGCGTCTGGTTTCGAGGGATCGTAGTGGAATTCGGAGATTGAGGGAATGGGGCTGTCAATGCCAGTTGCAGAAAGGGTGAATTTGGCACAGCAGCCGGCGATTTTCTCCTGTGCTGGAGGAGCGATGGTTTTAGTAAGAACTGGTTGTGATTCATCTGCAAAAGGTATTTCCATACAATCTGTAGAAATTCTATTGTCAGATGCGCTGTTCATTCCAGCGCCCATAATCTCCCATCCACCTGTTCGCACATCAGTTGGACAAAAGCAGAGTCTTCGATGAAATAGAAAAAATCAAAACTTCCTATTTTGTTGGTAACTACCCAGAAGCCAGTTGTATATGTTAGGAAATATTTTCCATCTGATGTTTTATAAATAGGGCGACTTTGCTGTAGATCTTTGGTGAGATGGAAAGTGAGACTTTCAGTTCGAGGGCGGATGGCGTCCGTCAACTTTATATTTGGGACATTAAATTTGATCGCATTGCAACATTTCGGACAATTTAGAGATTTGCAAGACTCTATGGATTCTTTCTTGAGCTCAAACAGTCGTTCTTCGGCACAGGTTCCTAATTTTTGGCAGGTTCGCTGTCTTCCGATCGCGCCATATTTGCAATCACAGCTAGACCATTCTGACCAGAGCGAATATTTTTGACCAGCTTGGCATGTTGCTTTGGAAGTAAATTTTTTCTTGCCGAAAGGATTTATCCAAGCGGCGTCTTCAGGACAATATGAGCTTTGCGAAAGCCCAGAAAGAGACATCCCATTCGCCCAAACACCTTTCAAATTGAAAAGAAACTCGCTGGCACTAGTTTTGTAATAGCTGCCTGCTTGTTTCTGGAAGACTTTTCCCTCGATGCTAAATTTTTCGCAGCAATGATCGAGAGAGCACTTTTTCTGTCGATGAGAGTAGTCATATGGTGTGAAAGACCGGATCCATTTCTCGGCAATTTCAACGGAAGAAAAGCCACTGACGAATTTTGATCCAGAACATGTTCCAGTAAATTTCCCGAAGCCAGCAAGAGACCATGAGCAGGAGTCACATCTTTTGCAGAACAAGGCAGATTGAGACTTGGAAATTGAACAAGTACTGTCAACATCTGAATCTCCTGAACAAATCGCTCCAGGAAGTTGCTTGTAGAATAGCTGTGTGAACTTTCGAGCGAGGGTGTCGCAGCTTGTCTGAGAGCTCATCAGATATTCAGAATTCATTTTGAAGGATTGCTTGTTGTCCAACTGAACGCTGACACACTGGTTGAACTGATTGAAATTTTCTCCTTCTGGCATACAAGACGGCATTCCTGGAATTGGTTGAGTAAGTTTTACAAGAAAAACATCAAACTCTTGGCTATTGTAAGCAAACGAAACATAGAGTCGTTTATTGTCGCTAAGTCGATAAACGCTCATACTAGTTGTCTTCATGTTTCCAGTACAAGCAAGATCGGCGATTACATACGAGCCATCACTAATTGCTGCTCCAAGACACGAAACAAGTTTTCTTTCAACTTGGCCGGAAATAACGACCAGCCAGGGAAATTCAAATCCATTTTCTGAGGAAAAATATTTTCCGGCAATATTTGTTTGAGCAGCTGCACCACATTCACCCTCCGCAGCAGTGCATTTTTCGTTGAGATCGTCCTTACAGTAATAACCCCCTTCAGTGTTGATACAACTCTGGTAGCTTTCACAAGCATTTGAAGAGCTGCTGAGACACTCGTTGATATCTCGACAGCTGTAGCCTGTCAATTGGTAGCCTTTTGGACAGACGCAGACGGGAGAACCGTAGTTGATGGCGCACTTTTAATAGCTCAATATTTTCAGTCTAAACCTGCACGAAGAAAGAACTCTTGAACCTTCCTTGTATTCACATCGCATCGCTTGTGAAATTTGAGGCGAGCACTCATTCTGCAGTTTGATCTCTGTATCCACGTAATTGATTGACGTTTCCACAAAGGACCTGCACTGCCCACAAGTTACAGGGCAGTATCTCTGTGCATTCTCATAACTGCAGACTTGATAGCTGCACAAGCCATAGAAAAATGGATGATCTCTGCAACTCTGAGTAGCTGAAGCTTCTAAAAGTAATTCAAATATCCAAAATCTCCAAAACATATTCTGACGCTCATTTCAAGAAGACTGCTCATTACCATAGAAAATTGTCGCTTCGGGCGCTTTTGAATCATCGTCGTAGAAGGAACGAAGCTTCGCCAGCAAAGGTTACGAAAAATTTGCACACTCATCATCATGAGCCCTTTATTTTGCTTGAAATATCAAAAATTAAAGTTGAAATCTGCAATAGAAAGGACAATTATATCAATATTTTGGTTTAACTGGTCGGTACCAGTTTCGTCAAGATAAGTGCCACTTTTGCGTAAATATTTACTGGCTTATTTATATTGAGGATGCATTTTGAAAACAATTTTCAGCTGCTGAACAGGATGAATATTCAACGATCGGATACTGGGTCCGTGCATCGATTCTCTAAATTGGATAATTGTCCGAGAAGCTCTTCAACTCCTACGGCACTTTTCACAGGACAAATCATTCTCGATTTTTTAAAAAAAGAGAAAGAAATATGTGGAACATTTTTCAACAAAACGACAAGGGCTACGAGATTATTTCTTCGACAAAAGATGAAGAAATGCATCATCAGTAAGAGAAGCAAAAATCATTGATTTTCTAAATTGAAATTTTAGAAGAGGGAACCCTTATCAATATGAAAAATTCGCAAATGGAGGGCTTGATTCAAGACCAGAATCTTCTTTATTCGATTTTGAGCGAGCTGAAGATGATCCTCACTTAGGAAACGCGTTTCATAATTTTGTTCTCGGCAAACTGAAGAACATAAGGGAATATTGACACCTCTAAATATATTCAAACGCTAAAATAAGCTGAGCTAGAAGCAAAGAGAGAAAAAGAAATGCCGCGATAAACACGCTCGGCGTTCTAATTGCCCTCTCTGCTGGGCTCATGTATGGACTCCAGGTACTGTAACATCTTTATTCATGATATTTTGAATGAAATGTTAGTCTGTGGTTGTCAAACAAGCCACATTAGAGGGCATATCGATCACAGAGTGTCTGCTAACTCGATCCGTGTTCCAAGTCGCCGTGATGCCTCTCATTTCATTATGCAGGAATTGTTTTATTTACCCGGACTCGTTTCTTCCTGAATATTGCAAATTATAAACAAATTGAAAGCGCGATGAATTTCTTCGTGCCAAAGCACCACCATCGGAATGTGTTTTTCATTTGCACTTGGTACACCTTTGCATCCACTTCAGTTTTCGGCGCGTTTTCACTTATTTTGCCTGACGCTGCGGTTGCTGGAAGAAGTGCCAGTAGAACGATCATTTCAGTCATTTTTACTGTTGTTACTCTCCATGAAGCTGTGACACTCTTGCAACTTTGCGCTCTTTGGTATGTTCATTTCTTGATATAAGAAAAATATAACACGCTCTTACAGTATCGCTGTTATTGGAATGGTTCTTATGGGAGTTTCGACCACCCAGTTGAATGATTTCTACGTCGCAAACTCATGGAGAATTGTTGGCGGCTTCTTTCTCTGCTTTCTCGGGGGCCTTTTCCGATCCATCGGCTTCACAAGATACAGACAAATCAAAGAAGAAGTCTCCGCCGAAGCCATAGTTTTCTGGCACGCGCTGCAATCTTGCTCCCTCAACATTCCCGTCACTCTCATTTTTCAAAATTATTCGATCCCAAGTAATCCTTGATTCCTGCATGAATACTGCAGCATGATATAAACAAGGCAATATAAAGTATTCCTATTCAATAGATTGATAGGTTGATCTGTTTCAGGCTCGACAGCTGGGAAATGGCTTGTTGCTCTTTGCTTCACTGCTACTGGTGGAACCCTTGGATCGAACAAGGCGCTTCAGGACCGGCTAGTTCATTTAGGATTAAAAAGATAGTTGTTTATCAATGGAACATATTGATTTTAATCCACTGATAGTACACAAATCCTGGTCTTGTATCAATGGCTCAGAGCATCGATCTTACCGTTTCGACCGTCATCGAGCACTACTGTAAGTTTTCAATCAAATGTATATACTCTAACCTTGTTCCTATTTAGTCTTTTTAAAAACGCCTCCAAGACCTCTCGAATACCTTGGAGCTACGCTCATATTTTCGGCTGGAATAATGATCCCGTTTGTGAAGGTAATCAATCTAAAGCTGACCTTGATTTCCACTTTCTAAGGCTTGGAAAGCGACTTTTCCTGATAAAGAGGACCAAAAGCCGCTTGTCCAAAGCAGAAAGCGTCTGAGCGAAACTCATAACTCCGAAGAAGACGATTAATTTGTTAATAGGTTGTTTTTTTCTTGTAATAAACTACTTTCACCCCTAAGACGAAAATTGCGTAATTTGTTCGTAAAGTGCTAAATTTACGATCATAGCTTTGATTTTATAGTCTATTTCGGTGCGCAACGTTTACGTAATCTGCTTTTTTCGCTGACATTTCGAGGGGGCTTTCCAGTTCCTCGTCGTTCAAAATAAGAAACTTCAACAACCTCTAACCTCGCGAATTATGCGCCGTAAAAACAAAAGTATAAAATCAACAAAGATCGACTAATATGAATCCAATCGACAAGGGCCTTCAAGAGGCCTTGAGATTTCTAGCGAAGAAGATAGCCAAGAGAAAACTGAGGAAGAAAAATAAGAAAATGAAAAAAGATTCGAACGGAGAAAGTGGATTAGGAAACATCAGCGACTTCAGTTTTGCGAATTCAACAGATTCCGAGTGCGACAAGACAGAAGATGACTTTTCAGATTTTGAAGAAGAGTTTTATCTTCATGGATACAAGGGTAGGCGATTCAATTGATCTTTCATCAACTAATACCTATGTCTAGCTGGAAATAATGAAAAGGGAACATCACTGAAAATTATAACAGAAAAAATCCAGAAAGAAACATCAAGGAGGAAAAACAAAACCCCACCACTACGAAAAAAGTCACTCGACGAAATTTTAAGAGAATTGAAGAGTTGAACTAGGATTCATAGAACAGATGTTTTGTATGAATAAATTGTCGAGAATGCTTTCTTTTTCGTTGACCTACTTTCGTACTTCAAAGAAATTCTAATGTGGCAGTACAAAGGTGTCAAAAAACTGTCTTTTATCCGACTGATCCGAGAACACTGATGATTGTCAAACCTTTGTATAATTAATATGTTTTGTATAAAAAGCTCAGACCTAGAAAATGTTAGCACCGAGACAGGAATGCGAACTTTCTTCTACGTCTTTTCATCTTGCTTTGGGAACATTTTTCAAGAAGGACGCATTTTTCAAACTGCAAGTTATAGGAGTTTATCTCAATATGTAAGGGCCTTTTAGAACGTTTAATTATAATATGGACAGCTTTGTGGCGTGAAATGATTAAAAATGTGCCAAAAACCACAGGTTGTTAAATTCATCATAAGTTATTGATGATTCATAACACCTTCTGATGGTTATAAAAGGGACAAGCCTTGCTCGCAATCAGCTTGCTGAGAGGTTCAAATGAAAGCATCTTGTTTTTGCCTAGCAACTTTTTGCCATGCTGGCTTATACCTGAACGGGCAGCTGTTTAGGACCGCAAGTTTAGAATATCTGATGAATTCGTTATTTTCATTTTAGATGGACAATATCAACAGAGACACACTTCGATGGATTCAGAGCTCTTTCATGCGCGAGTCTGATATTTTTCATCATCCACGAGCGCAGTTCGTGGACCACAGTTTTTGACGAAAAAATTATATTCTGCAATAAAGAAAGTGGCGAGATAAAGGACTTTTTGGCTTTATTTCATAGTAATGAGCTAGTACGTATCATTTAGCCAACTAACTGTATGTGTGTGTTGCAGACAGGAATGGTTGCCGCTTCCAAAATAGAAGCATAAAAAGTGGTTGCAATGATTCTAAACGGGATGTATGGTATCATCTTATAAAGTGTTGACCGGTGCAAAGCATTACGAAGACGACATTTTTTTAGGCGATTGTCGAATTCGTAAAGCATTTGTGTTATACAGAAATAAAAAGAGCAAGGCAAGATTGAAAGTTTGCGACTTGAAATCATAAAAGTACGAAATGGCGGTGAGTACAAGATTTCAAGCTTCAGTGGATTTTTTTCTTATGCTTCCTTGGTCTCATCGACCTCCTTGACGATGTCACCGGATTCTCCATTCAAGAGAGGGGCGGCAGGGCTAAAATTTTAATGATAAATAAAAGAGGACTTTTATAATTAATAAACTGGAATTAGAATTAATTATAATCATCATTAGCAGAATCGATTTTTTAATCAAAAAGGATCAAATGTGTTTTCAAAGAATGAACTTTAAAACTTGGAATCCAAGTTATTTTACCGAACCAATGATTCGTAATCATGCAATGTTTTTTACTCTTACCCCGAATTAACATAAGACCCCGACCTTAAGCTCACAGAGCGATAAACATCACCCTGCTGGCTTGCAAGTGAGGTCCGTTTATTCCTGCAAAAATAATGAAAAGATAATATTGATATAAATATTCGCAAACTTACGAGAGGAGGGATTTCTTTTCGAGCTTTCGCTGACGTCGGACTTTCTTGGCCTTGACGGAGATTCGAGTAAGGACCCAGACGAGTTCGACGAGGGCGAGGACAGCTGAGAGAACGGAGATGGAGAGCATGTACCACTAAAAAATTGAATTACAAGGGGTTAATGAGAGTTGACTTCATACCATCATCATCATCTTTTCCCATGGTCGGGAGACCCAGCAGGGGATTTCAGCGTTCTGGGAGCAAGCAAAGTTATCCATTTCTCCACCATGAGTGCAGACGTACTTTTCTGGGACATACCAGGCGGCAAAACCAGACTAGAAAGCATTACGCATGAAATCAATGCGAAAATCTTACCTGCTTGGACTGTTGTTTCTGGAGAAGGTAGTAAAGGTAGATGAAGATGATTTCGAGAACGAACTTGGCGATGAGGTGAGCAACGTACCACATTCGGATTCGTGGGGTCCAGATGACTTGGGTCATGCCGGTAATATCAGTGGTCTAGATAACATTGAGAAACAGAAGAAGGACGGATTATCTTACGGTCTTGACTTTCTTCTTCTCAAGTCCGAGCCTCTTCTTTTTCTTGTCGATCTTGGTGTACTCGGTGGTAGAGGTGTAGTCGGACTCGGTGTATTTCTCCTTGATTTCTTTCTCTTGGCTACAGAAATTTGTAAAAATTTAAAGAGTTAGGGTTCTTACGTTTCGATCTTCTTCATCTGGGCTTCTTGGTTGGCGGTGATAAAGATGAAAATAACAGAAGGAAGGCAGCAGAAAAGGATCTAATGAAACATTGAAATCAACAAAGAGAATAACTTCTTACCTGGAAGCCCCAGAAACGCGGATGGTTTATCGGAGAAAATCTATTGAAGCACATTTGGTTGCAACCTGGCTGGCTGGTATCGCATCGGAAGACGCCCTGTTCATCGCCATAAACGGCGTTACCGATCGTGGTCACGATGAACATACGGAGGACGAAATTGACTGTCCACCTTGCAAAAATGATAAGAAAAGAGCAGAAAAGTAAGGCACTTACCAAGCATGAGAAATAGGAGTTGAATACTTCTGTATCTTTTTAGCATACTGGTCGATTAACCCGTAGGCACTCATTTTCTATGTCTGAAAAATAAAATTGAAAAGGATATTATTATCAACAGCTCAAGATTAATTAGATGCTTATAGTTATGCATTCATAGTTCTGCATTAAAAAAATATAATTATTTATGGCTAAAACAGAAATAAAGTGTCGATTCATCAAAATCAAAATCCTTCGTTTTTTTTATATTCTCTCTACTTGCGGTACCACGTGACATTTTGAATTGCACCAAATGGCGCGCGGTGCTCTGGAATCTCTTGTCCCGATCGGCCTTGAGGGAGCGCCACTGCACCCACCCCGCGCCCGGCTTATCAAGAGCCTTAGTACAGTGGACAGCACCACCTCCACCATACTCGAGCTGCGTATCTTGGATGAGTTTATAATAGCCTAACTGCATGCGTACCCATGCATAAATATCAAAACAACATGTTAGGGAAGGAAATTTTTCGCGCTCCAAATTGCTCCAGCCAATGGCCTTGGAGGCCATATTCAAGGTGGTGGCGGTGCTGGGGTGTCACCTCTAAAAGGGACCATTTAACCAAAATTGAGAGACCTCGGGCAAGGCCAAGAATACTATCGCGAAATATTGTACGAGCAGGAAACGGACGCGTAAAAACGTATCACTACTCCTAAAGCTCGGATTCTCATTTTAACATTTGCTCTTTTCTCTTCTTTATAGTATTTTATTCATTCTCTGATCGCCGTGATTCTGTTTGGTTTGAACAGGGCAGTTGCCTGTCGCGGGAACTAGGGAACACTTTTATCAAATTGATACCAATTTTCTCAAATGTAAATTGGACACCAACGACTCAAGTTTAATTTTAACCCTTTACGACAAACAACACATTTTTCCTCTTCAAAAAATATGGCCCAAGAATCTGAACAAAAATTTCTAAATGATTGATTGACATTCAGATGTATTAGAAGTTTTATTAGCTAGTAAAATTGTTTTAATATCTCTTTTTTTATTGAATGGAGTACTTTATGGCCACTCTAAGCGTAGAAATATTTAATCGGACAGCAGCGAACCGTGACTAAAACATGGAACTCTCTCTATAAAAGTAGCCTATCTTCCTTCTTAATCGCTTGTGTGCTTAACGAGCTGGAACCAAAGAATATTGTTTAGAAAATATAAGTATGTTTATAAAGTGAGGCCTTTTTTATTGGAAAAATTACAATTTCTTTGTCTCTGGAAGTTTGGATAAGGAGAAAATACCCGGAGAATTGGGCATTGATTCCCTCTGAGTAGTAGCGCGAAAGGGCCTCTTGAAAAAAAATGCTCGTAACCTGATTTGAGTGTGTGCCCAGTGCTAGTTGAGTGGACCGAGATTATACTGCTAGAAGGTCTCGCATTGCTAGAAAATCTCTAACTCACGGGCGAGCTATGCTGGGTTCTGGAACGGCTGGACAAAGATACGAAGTTTCAAAAGAAAAGATTACACGATCTATTATTTAAAAAGGAGATGCTCATAATGGAACTATCAAAAAAGACTATTTACAGCATTGATTTACTTACCGACTGATTTCACTTAGCAACGGGGAATAAAAAAAGGAAGATAGGGAGCAAGTTATTTTGACGGTATCAATTTCTGCCTATCCTTAGCCCTGTTAAAATTTCTTTAAAAAAGTGTATTTTGGAAATTTTCCAAAAAAAAAATCTGAAAAAAAAGCTCTCTTCCTTGATTTCAAATGGCGCAATCAACAGATCATTTACCGAATTAAAGTCAAATACTCACAATTCACCTTTGTCGAAGTTCAAATTCGCACGTTCCATTCAAACATCCGTCTTTCCACTAATTTGTTCGATTGTTTGACTTTGCGTGATGAAATTCTTCTCTATCGAATCTTCTATTTCTGCTCTTCTATCGCGCCCCTAGTAGTATAATAGAATTAAAGTGAGCGAACTGGACAAACATTGTCCAAAGCACTTGAACCGACTACTATGAGTATTTTATTTGACTGAAAAGGAGCTCTAGACCCCCCTCGGAGGATGGTTGCAGACCTCCTGGAGAGGGGGAGCGGGTTTCAGACTCAGAAAGATTATCATGAGATTTTAGATGAACCGAGAAATTTAAGAATATTTGTTTTAAACCTGTTAAACTTGAATGTACCAATAAATAAGCCTGTTTCTTTTATTCTCTCTTTGTTTGACTGTATTTCAATTTAGTTGTGGGTTGTCTTTTATTCTTTGCTCGTCGTAAAAGGATGCATTTTTTCGCAGTTGGAGAAATAAAAAAACTCCAGAAAGAGCGATCAGTCACAAAACTTGTCATTGTTTGAACATAATCCTTGGGCTCTTGAGTTTAGTTTGTGCAAGCAGACGCGTAAAATAACTTGACGTCAAATCTTCTCATTGAACCGTCGCTTAAAATTTTCTTACTTTTTGGTTGATATAGTATTTTTCGCATGATAAAAAGTGGCCTAGAAAAAACTCATTTTAGTGGAACCAATTATTGATCAAATATGTTTGTACATTTTTCCAACGCAGAAATTCTAGTGGTTTGAAGAATCGGAAGGTCAGAGTCTGACCGTCAGACTTTCTTATCTATTTTCTTTTCCGCCACGCGGCATTTTGACATCGACGGGTCTCCTTAATTGGCGCTTATTATTGAGAGCATCCCTATTCCGGATTGATAAACAGTGTCCGCGCGTTTATGATTCGTTTTTCTGCGGTCACTTTTACCCAAAGATCTAGGCATTTTTGCCTTTGACGAGTAGACAAGATGAACTTCCCAAAGAAAACTCAGGAAAAAAATTTTGAGTTGATTTTTTGCCAACAAGGAGGATTAAATTGCTTATATTGATTATTTTTCTTTTTATAGAAAAATGATAATTTGATACTTTTGAGCACGCTCGTCTTTGAATCTGTTTCCCAGACGTCAGTTGCCAAAGCATGCATGGGCCAAATGAATAGGCCCCATTCAAGATGCAGGAAATATGCCCAGACGGTTAATATTTCAAACCATAATTTTCTCAACGCACAATCGCAAAGCCAAATCTTCGCCAGGCTAAAAAAGAAGAATAAGAGAAACTGAGATGAAATTTTCCATCGTGTTCATTCTCGCTGTCCAAGGACAAACACCTGTAGAAACAGGAATAGCTAAAGAGTTCAAGAGATTGCTACAGAAGTTTATTTAGAAGGTCTACCCTGGACCTTGTTAATAAGAACTTGTTCTAAACAAGCCTTGAACTCGTGTAAGATCCCACGACAAATGCGACGTTAGAAACCACGGTGGCAAATAATGTTGATACTACACGAATTATTACAACTGGTAAGCATCTCTTTAACAGATTTCTGCAACTTGAGAACTAACAACGTTCAAGAGACAAATAACTCTTTAGCTCAAACATACGACCCGTTTAATAGCGTTTTCGGGTTCTTAACAACAACTACTGATCCAACAACGACATTACTAACAACACTGACAACAGTAACAACAACTGCGGAGACAACAACATCTGTAGCAAATGGTAGTTTATTTAAAATTGATTGCATCATCAGTTGCGCTTTGGAAAGCTGAGTCAGCTTGTCCTTGATTAGTATTTTTGCTCGATTTGGAGAAGAGATAAGATCGCGTTCATTTGTGGAACCCGTGTTTAGGAATTTCCGGGACGAGTACACCCGCGGTCGCCGAGGGAAGTGAGGAAATCACCCAGGTAGTGCCCATTGAGGCAAACTATGCGGCAACCGAAAATGATGAAATCACAATTCCGGTAAGAAAAATACAAACGCATCTATTTATGGATTTATGAAATCTTTTATAAGACAACAACTGAAGCCACGATTATAACAACAGCAAAAACCGCTGCTACAACGAGTAAGTTATCATGCTATTTCGATAGTATCATTCTTTTTTCCGTCATTTATATTCTTCTCAGAAGCGATTCCAGCTACAGCTGCGCCAATTCAAACAACAACTGAGTCTCTGGACACGACAACAAGCGGATGTCAATCTCTTCCCAAAAGTACAACTTTATTGATCCCTCTCGCTTTATACCTTTCCTCGTTTTTGTAGTTTTAGCTTTCTTCTACCTTGTAGTTATCATCCCTGCGAATCCTTTCACGAGCAATAAATCTTGAGACCCGTGCTACAGTTTTCTTTATGCAGATTTGAGTCACACTATTTCCAGTTCAAAGAGTTCCTTTTTCGCGAAACAATGAAGGACCTTGGCCTTACGCTAGAGGAAATTCATGAAGATTTTGAAGAAGAACCAGTTTTACGGAGGGAGAAAAAGGATGAAAGGGGACTCAAGGAAGAGCACAGAACATTCAGGTTAGAAAGGCCCCGAATCGTTAGTCATTAATTTCTCTGAGGAAATACGGTTAATTGTCTAAGAGGGTTAATTAACTGTGATCCGTCAACACGCTATAATTTTATCCCTCGAGGATCCCCGTCATGCGCAATCGTCATGAGATGTCTCGTCATTTTCGCATTTTTTCGAGAAAACAGTCAATAAATATTTTAGAGAATATAAACTGAAAGAGAATGAATACGGTCTCAAATCCTAAAATTTTATGAGAAGTGGTTGAATTAAAAAGTTTCTAAGCAATTCTTCATTCCCACGCCAGACAAGTTTCAGCAGTATGAGAAGAGCTTCTATGGGTAAGTAAAGGTTTCCTGATTTGGTGACAAGTAAAGTAATTCATGATGTGCGAATTGACTGTATAAATTTTCATTCCGTAAAATTGACCTAACCTGAACTGCATGAAAACGCTTCGAGCTTTTGTAAACTAGTTTATTACTGTAGATTTTTGAAAGAAAACTGTTGACAGGTTCTGTCAGTGGTATATTGCCCTAAAAATATCGCTCAGACATTGTCAACTAGAAAAGGCTGGTTGGACGGGGAGGCAGAGGCTAATAGATTTTCATGATTTTGTCGGCAGTGAACTCAGCTCGGCAGGTTGGGCATGTCTTCTCCGAAAGGGAAGAGAGGCAGTTGAAACATGCTCGATGACCACAGGGAAAAATTGCCGCCTCGGGATGATCTTCGTCGTAATTTTCAAAACAGACTCTGCAAGAGCTTTTATCATTTTCTTGCTTTTCCTCTTCTTCCTTTTTATCGTCTGAAGATTGCAGTTTTGAATGTCATAATCATAATTTAATTAAATTAAATAACAATAAGATGCAAGTAACCTGATTCATCGTTTTCTTCTTTTATAATATGACTGACAAGATATGAAAACCTTTCATGAACCTTTTTGGTCCACTGTTTCTTTTTATCGAGGCTCTCTTTCGAATCATTGAGCGCTTTTTCTGCATTTTTAAGGGCTAATTCAGCTTTCTCTAGCATCTTTTCTGAATTATCTACTTCAGCTTCAGCGGAATATTCCTCTCTTTTGGCACTTTCGTATGCCTTCTGGACCATCAGAAATATTCCATAATTAACTAAAAATTTATCTGAAAAGCCTCTAAAAGTATCTGCAAGAAGATAGTAGATGATAGACTGGTAATTTTCGTGGTTAAGTTGTCACATTCGCCGTTAGAATCTTACTTGAGGTTTGATTCCATAGAGAAGCATTTTTACAGCAAGATCCAACAAAAAACTCCAGGAACGAGAGTTGTCGGTTATTGCATCTGTTTCCATCCCCAGAAGGACATCTGAATTTTGCATCGGAGAGAACAAAGGTAGCTTCTCGGCCTTTCTTATGAGTATTCCTGAAACAGGAATTACAATATCGCTTCCCCTCCGACAGTGCAGTCGACTCAGGTGCCCTTAATTGACACATAAAGTACTTTTATTGGCAAAGATTCTATTACTGATCACATGAGTGGCACTTTCCGAAAGAACCGAAGTCAATGACACAGTGAGGATTCAATGAAACGGACGTGCAAAGGGTTTTCATGTCCTCTGTAATATAGCAATATCTTATTTCTGCTTTAAATTTCTCGCGAAATGCGGAGGCCACATCAAAAAATAACAATTTGCTTTTGTCAGAATAAATCTAAAAAAGCAAACATTTAGTGATCGCATATCTAAGATAAAGTGTCATTTTTTCTTGCGCTAACAGCTATAATTACCTAGGATTGCATTCGCACCCTTAATTTTTGTCTCAAACCTGGGCGAAATTCATTACGAGTTCAGCAGTAAAAACCTTGTTCTCTTTCCCGCGGACAATCAGTCGGCGAATAACGTGATCAATAGGATCCAGCGGAAATTCTGCCCTCCTCATTGCATTTTACAACACTTTATGCATCACAAGACGATCTGGGATTTTTCTCGAGTCAAACTATGCTAAGTACAAGGTGAAAAGCGGCAGTTAGTGAATTCCGAAATTAAATTTTTTCGAACGAAAACAATTTTTTCTAGTGCCATGCACTTTTGTAAATCAAGGCAAATTCATGCACGTTTTCTATTTGCACTACAAGAATCAGGCTGATCAAAACAATGCCTAATTGATATTCCTTGTTTCGTAAGACTATTTGATCAATAGTCTTGTATATATCAAATTCAAGCTTCAAAGTCACCCATTTAGACGTTCAAAATAAGGTTGGACTTTGTCACTTTGGAATTTATTTCAAAAAATAGCTGCATGTTGCAACTAACAAAAAATACACCAACGATAACATCGTGTTCTTTTTAGTCTCGATGACGTCAATGGGCGGAGTGAGCTTTGGTGGAGCTGGCGGAGCACCTTTCCAGCGACAGTTTTCTGTCCAAACACATATCAGGAAACTTTGGTCACTCTTTGTTGTTTCTTGATTTTGTCATTTTCATTAATTTTTTCGTGACTTCATCAAGCCTTGTTGCGCCTGAATCTTCGCTCACTCCTTGGGTAAGTTCGCTTGATTATAAACTGCTGGTCTCTAACGAAATTTCTAGCTCCTAACGATACTCGCAGTGATCGTAATTCTCACCCAAGCATCATTATTAGGAAGAGTTCTAGTTTGATCGAACGTGAAACTAAATTAACCTCAAGAATTGAGCTGGTAAACTCAAAAGAAAGGACTTTATTGGGCAGGAATACCCTTCAGTCATTTCAAGTCAGATCTTCTTTGTCAGGCCTTATGGGGAGGTCTGCTAGCGCTCATATCAGGTAGAGTCTAAGTCTGATTTAGCTCTCAGTCCATTTTAGGGATATCCGCTCTCATCGCCAGAAACAAAGATTCAAGCATGATCAACGATTTCCCACTTTTAATTATGTGTCACATAACTTTCGCCGCGCTCGCAGCAATGATGTGTCTGCTAGGATTAAGGGTACCCACAACACATCCTTCGTTACCGCCATTATTTTAATCCAACATCATTGTGAACCCACTGAAGTCGTTCCTGTAATGTTTTTCCGCGAGTTGCATTACTACGATAGTCCGAAAAGTAAGTATCACTGGCAAAGTGATCACAGCCCGGCTACCCTTAATAGTCGTTCCAGATTCCATCACAGCCGACACGTCAGAAAGTCGAAAAACAGCTCTAACGCCATTCTACCTCAATGACCACTTTGCATTCGCCTGCTCCATCTTCAACATTACTGCGGTCTCCTTAATGGCCATTGGTACTTTTCCCCAAAATCTAATCTTTCCGAAATTCCATTTTTTCAGTGGCGATGATGGCCGCCGTCACCCAAATTCTTAGATCATGTTGTAAAAAACGTCTTTCGCAGAAGGTGAGCTACAATCTCCGCCGACAGAGGAGATTTACTTAGCAACGGGATCTTGCCGAACGTAGAATAACAAGATAGAACAAGTTCATGCAATTTTTTAAAACGGTAGAAAAGGTGTTGGCGCGGAAAGGAAAAAGGTTGATCTTTTTAGTTAAGATGTTAAGCTCAAAAAATCTTAATTCAATTACCGATTTGCTGTTTTAGATGCAGAAAACGGACTTTTAGATCGTAAACTTTAGTTTTAAGGACATCCCTTCAGAAAGTCTACTTGGTGCAGATTTTTATCCAGATCTAAGAAAAGCCCAAGATCCGTCACATAATTAAAACATGCTCTTGCTATTCCCACAATTAGCCATTTCCAGAACCGTCTAACAAATGAGCAAGCTATGATTTAAATAAGTGTAGAAAGCGCCGTCTACCGGTCCTCGGCTAATTAACCACTTGATCCACCACCGCGGCCAAAATTCTTTTTGTCCATTTCTGTCGGCTCAGTCAAAAACACGCTGAACTTTAAATTCGCCACTTTGGATTATTGAGAAGTAAAGTTCAGTTTTTTCTTCGGAGATGAACTCTAGCGCTAATCGTTCTAGTAGAAAATAACCTTCAAGGTTAACCGTCCAATAGTTAAAAATCTATAAGCCAAGTACCTAAGCTCCTAAGCTCTAAAATAGAAAAACGTAGATGTACCAAGACTCAGTTGGGGTGAGCCACGAGTGTTTTTGGTAAAATCGCGCGAATGTTTACGGTGGAACAAACTTTCTGGATACGATTCATGTAATTCCGCGACGTTTTGACAATAATGTTTTAGGGTCGCCTCAACCATTTATGATGCTGGATGAACTTTTCTCTGTAAATAAACTTTCTCGTAGTTTCTTTGATCTTTATTTTGGGATCGGGAATGTTAGAATTGATCTCATCAGGCGACGTAGAAGATGATAGGTGTACCATTCTAGTGACCGTAAAAGTATCTAAAGAAGAGACCGTTAAGGCTTGCCCTGGTGACCGGATATGCGATTTTAGACGAACTACGAAACTTTACCAAATTTTGGTTTTGGTGAAATAGAATTTCGCGCGCTTCTTGGACTGTGATGAAAAGGGATTCGCACACCGAAAGAGGCTTTCGTTAACCATTTGCCAGCGCACTACACGTTGCTTAGTTGATCTAATCCAATTTAACTTATTAGTGCAAGGCCCAAGGTCAGCGGGTAGAATAATTGTTATGTTGAGCGTATAAGCTAGAATAATCACTCGCCCAGCTTGCTCGAAAATTGCCACTCTACCAGCGATGAAAAAAAAACAGGGGAAAAAGTTCAAATAAACGTTAAGAATTTTTCATGGCGTAAGCTTTACTAGAATCTTTCCCCGGAAAATAATCCTTCCAGGTTATGTACTTTCTGCACATCTAAAAAATTAGAGAGCATTTTCCTGACTTGGACATCTACATGAAAATTGAAACTGATAGCATCTAAAACCGCTCACTAAGTCTGACTTGTCTTTTTGGAAAGTGAGCTAACCCTGGTTCCCCTCTGGGATGATTCTGATTGTCTCATTGTCCTGTCCTGGCATCAGATAAAATGGATTTGGATTATTTTGGTACCAGCGTTGGATAACGTGGCGCGAGTTGCGCGCCGCGCCGAGGAGGTGGCGCCAGTACGACCATCATGAAAACGATCCGTCGACAACCCACTGGTCATCCTTACTTACTTAAAAAAGATCTTTCTTATATTTTTCCGTATATTTAGGGCCTGAAAAATCGGCCCGCGCTGATTCGACTTTTCCCGGTGACTGAAAAAGACCACCGAAAAAAAAAGAACAGAAGATAAAATAGAGAAAGATGAAGCTCCTCCCGCTATTCTACAGTTTGAGCTTGGCTCAAGACTGTAACATACAAAAATACCAAGGAAATCTGCGCTTCTACGGCTGCCAAGTCAAAAGGAAATGGTTAGAACACGTTCTATAAGCGTTAAAAGGCGATTGGAGGCGTGAAATTTTCCCAAAAATTGCGAGACAATTCAGAGGGACGGGACAAGTTTAGAGGCATATGCTTAAAATTGGGTTGTTGAAATAATGGCCATTTTAATTTGTTACGCGACCGTAAAATGAGCTGGTTCTTTATTAGGGAGTGAAATTTCAAGGACGATAGTGATTTTGAAACGGTTCCAAGACGAAGTTAAATATTGTAGAAAAATTTTTTCAATGCTCGATTTTGAGAATCCTCTAATTCTCGCCTTGAAGTTGAAATTGCATAAACTTAACCAGTGCGCGGCTAGACCGCCTACCAGTAATGCATGCAATGTGTGTCACGAACGTTACCCTTATTCACCAAAGGGCAACCGATTTGAATCCAGTACCGCGCGCGCTAACTTCTCGCAGAAGAAACTTAACGTCTTCTAAACATATCATCGTATTGTCCTGTGAACTTTGTCCGTTTCACGCCCATTTCCACCAGAAACGAAGAAAAGCGTGAAGCCTTTCTTTAGCGGATATTTTTGATATCTACTTTTCTAGCACCGACTAACCTTGTTAGGAATTTGTTGCGCGATAAACGATAGCTTGCTCCTTACGTCAGTTTTTAGTTTAGCCGCAACACAAACTTGCTAGATTCTTTTTGCGATTTTCTTTATTATCCCATTCAAGAACCGTGTGAGTATGAGTTCATTTGAATAATTTCTGACCACACCAAAAGTCCGGAAGGCCTCTCCCTCGTCGGTGACAATGGAAAAGAAATCTTTGATGGAGCGAAATGCCGAAGAGCAGTTTGTGCAAAGACGAAAGAAATCGGCATGGACATTTCCTGTGTCGATGGAAAGCTAACTAACCTTCCAAAATGCCCAGACATGAATTACAAAGAGGCTAAAACTCTTCTGTCAAGGTAAAAATTCGCTGCAAGAACATGCAGTTTTGAGGACCGTGCTCTCGAATTCATGGAGTCATGAACAGCTGACTCTTGTTTTTGTACTTGACATGACATGATATGAACTAGCATACTAAAAGGGCTTATTTCAGCAATAAATGCGAAGAAAAAAGAAATTTTTTCAAATCCTTAATTTCAGACTTTCAACTTCCGGCTCATCTGGCTTAGCCCACACCACCGGTGCCGTTACGGGCCAAGCTCGGCCATCGAGCTACCCGGACTCCGTGTTACTTTATGGATCGTTCACGCCGCGCAAGTTTGACGCTAATAGGGTTAAATTTCCCGTCATGGGCGTCTACAAAAAGTACACCCAGAAAAATATCGCAACTCGTTTTACCGACGATCACCCTGTGTACAAACACGAGTCCGAGCCGCTTTTCCTTGCGTACTACAGTATGAACAAATCGTGGAGAATAACGAGCAAGGAAAATATTGCAAAGGTAGGTGTTTCCGATTGACGCAAAACAAGTATCATCTCTACAAGAAGCAAGAGCTCAAAATCTCATTGGGACTTTAGGACACCGCCTTCTGCCAGTTCAAAGCCGATTACGGCGTGCTTCATGATCCGACCAATTTTCCAACTTGGATCTCCAGAGAGTGCTTCATGAGCAACGAGGTAAAAACCGACCCAAGACAGCTCACTAACCATTTTTAGTGGCGACCGACAGATTTGATCTTTACAGACGTATCATCCAACTTTCGAGTTCGCCAACGACTCTGTCCTGACGGATTTTCTGGCCTCGTTTCCAATGCTCATTCGATGGGAAGATTGGAGATCAAAATCAATGGAGACGGATTCTCAAAGAGTTTTACTCTGAGCAGAGGCATCGAAAACAAGGGTCTACCGATCGAAGACGACTTCGGAGCAGTTGATTTTGACATTGAAGACATCAAAAGTGTCGAAGGAAAATTCGAGTCAACTGATGCTCTCTGTCTCAGCGAGTTGACAATTATGAAGGGAGGACAGGCGTACAATCTTCTGACATTGGGTCATGAAAGTTCGCGTCCTAAGGGCTTCACCATTGGTGAGAAGTTGTTCATAAACGACAATTCTAACGACATTTAGGCACAACGAAAAAATCGAATGATTGGATGATGGCTTGGTGGGACTCGAACTTCTGGTCTGATGCTGCCTGGCCACCTGGAAAAGTTGCTCTTGTCAACAAGCAAGATCCGAAAGACATCCAAAAAACTGCATTCCATTATTTCAAATTCGTCGACAGCTTCCGCGAGTTCTGGATTCCTCGCAGACTTGAAACTCTCACCAGCCCTCCTCCAGTAGCAACAACCAAACGACCACTCTACTCATTCGCGCCGTTAGCAGTTACGTTGCCAAAAACAACGACGACCACTGAGGCGCCAAGAAAAGTAACAACGACACAGTCTCCTTCTTCATCTGGAAGCTGGGTTGGCACAAGAGACTACTGCGATCTAGGAGAATTAGATCGACTCGGAATTCATGCTTCAATGTGCAAGTTTACAGGTAAATACGATTGATAGTATCACAATCTTTACTTTTCTTCAAGCGAAAAATCGTCATCTGAAGCCATCAGACTCTTCTTCAAACCAGGGTCGTTTCGGAGAGACAGTTCTCAACGGAGCCCAGTGCAAGTTCAGCTGCAAGGATTACCCACGAAAGCCGTTCTCAATTCCTGGCGTTCAATGCTCTTGCTCCAGATCGAACAAATTTAGCTCACTTGCAGAGATGCTCGCTTCGTGAATGGGTCAAAAACTTGTAGACTTCTAAGTTAAACTAAGATATAAGGATCGAATACGTAAGACAGGATATAAAAACTAGATTAGCTAAAAATAGAGGATGTCATTTCGAATGTGAGTTGTGACCCCGTGATAAGCAAACCACAAATCCGTGCAAATGGTACAAAGCCGGAAGCAAGACGCCAGTGAGGCCTATGGACATTTTCCCCGGTGGAATGTGTCCAATGGGATGCTTCAATGATGATATCAAAGCTGATCATTCATGCTCTGGAGGTGAAAACTCGAATACAAACTTAAATTTAACTTGCTTTTAGACATCACAAGTCCCGGAAAAACCTGCAAGCTAACCTGTCCCGGCCGAAAGACCAAACCCATCTCACGATGCGCCTGGAACGCAAAGTTCAAGGAGATGCGATTCTCAAGAACCGACTGTGGCGTACCACCTAAAAACGGAGCCAGAAAGAATCCAAAAGGAAAGCAAAATGGCCGAAAATAGATTAACGCTGGAATAACCAGATTCAAAAACCTATATAACATAACTTGATAAAAACTGCACAAACTGTAATTTCTGTACATTCTCCTTTCAAATTCTAGCTGCTAAAATCTAGCATTTTACTCTTTGAAAAATTCATGGAACGAAACTTTTCAAATAAATTGAATCAATGAAAACGCGTTTATATTCTCCTATCTTTAGTTTATTTGCTAGCGAATGTTGCAAGTATAATTTTAAGTGGCAGTTGAACAGTAATTTGACTATGTTTGCTTTTCATGAAAATTTTCCTAGTTGAAAAGGTCCGAGTAGATTGGAACGCTTTCATCGCCGTTGACCGAGTTGTCATCATCATCGTCAGTGTCAAGTGGTTCTTCTTCATCGGACTCATCGGTGTACTCCATTTCATCTTCTGTTACTTCTTCTTCCTCGGGCTCAGAGTCTGTCTCCTGTACGTATTGTCGCTCCCGCATTTGAGCTTCGATCGAGATGACTCGGTCCTCCAGCAAACGATCAGGGGATGGATCGATTCGGCGAAGACCATCAGACGCCATCATGTTGAAGACGTTGTATCTTCGTCCTCGCAATTCTTCAGGAAGATCATCGCGAGTGTAGCCGGGCGGTCGCTCGAAGAAGGCATCAAGGCTCGAAGAAGTTCCGTCGTCCCCGTGTCCGGAGTCGCTCTCCGTCTCCGATTCTGAATCAGTTTCCTCAGAAGAATCAGAGCTGAAGTAGTCTCGCACGCGGAGTCGTTGTGGATTTCCAATAAGGCGAACTCGTCGGTATTCAGGCGATTCGAACTCTGGCATGGCGACGGGAACACATGTGTGACGCTCGCTCACTTCCCATTTGATTGTGTATCGAGTCTTGTCGATAACTTCTTTGGAGGGCTTGACGAGCCATTCGACATCGTGAGTCGACGGGATTTCGATTGTCATTGTAGCGAGGCAGCTCTCGCCGTCAGGTCGGATTCCGTCGCAGGAGGTCTTGTAAGTCGTGTCGCTGTAGGAACCGGCGATGTTGAATCGGTACATGTTTCCGTCAGAACGAACAATGAACTAAACAATATTGTAAGAAAAAAGAAAGTTTTTTGAAAATAATACCTGTGGGAAGATATCACAATTCCTGAGATCGACATTGCATAGGAAAGGTTGATAAATGGTGCCATTGGACTTCTCTGTCCGGATGTTTTCCTGGTTCATTCTCACTGCTTCTCGTCGTTCCCGTTCTCGCTGCATTCTGTTTCTTCTGTTTAGCAAGCGAGCTGCATTCACTCGCATAGAAATACGAATCTCAGACCCAACACGAATTGCTCTAATATTGGAAATCATTGTTTTTGTGATTTTTTGATATGTTTATGATTCAAGCAGTGAGTGGGCTGCTTTTAAACCCCCGAGCGAGAGAGCGCCCCGCCTCGCGAACTTGGACAAGGCAGATAAATCCCCCGCGCAGATGGTGTAAATTACGGAATTCGCAATTTGCCCAGCTGGAACCCAGCGGGACTTTTTGGATTTGCACAATGCCTGAAATAACCCACTTCTCACAATGCCTATTACGGGGAAAATGATAAGGAAAAAATAAGGTAAGTAAATATAAATAGAAATCGATATAGATCTGAGCAAAGTCAGTGTATACCTCATAAAAGTTTTATTAAAACTACCTCAATACTTAAAAGATCAATAGCTAAATAGCCATAAGAAAAAATATGCACAGGGACAAATAATAAGAACAGACTTTGTAAAAAGAAAAATATTTTTATTTGAATTCAGAAATGGAATTCAGAGGTAGAAAAGGAGTAGATATGAGGTATTTTTGGTTGAACACCTGTTATTAAATAAAATAGTACATAAATGAAAAACGGAGCGAAAGAAAGAGTGTTAGAAGATATTCTCCATTCCAGTTTCGTCTTCAGCGCCTCTGAAAAAGGTTTTTAAGAATACGTAGCTTTGAAGAATCTTACCTTGTTAACATATAATTATCCATATCAATTGCTCTGCAATGCTGGATTGCATAAATCAGTCGATCTCGGAGGGTTTCTTTGGATCGATAGGGTGGCAAACGGAGCTGGAAGAAGCAAGTTTGCGCGGTAGGCAACGAGTTTGGATCTTTGTCCACTTTCATGATTTGGAATCGTTGGGTGAGGTCCGTTGCTTTTACTATAAAATTTATAAATGTGATCAAAACTGTCACTTAAAAACTTACCAGGAAGACGAGATCTGCCAGAAACGAATTTCAAGAACAGGACTCGCTGAGAGTCATCAAACTCTGACAAAACTTCCCATAGCCACTTGATGACTTGATCGTGCTCGTCCATGTCTCTGTATCGGGAGATTTGCTTCAAAGCGGAGACGGAGACATGAGGGGAACCGCAGACCATCTCCTCCAATTTTGCGCCGGTAAGGACGGACAAAAGAGGGCCTGGAATAAGGCGGGACATTCCCTCTCTAAAAATTAAATAAGAGATTCGTTCTCAATACTTTTCTTTTACCTGACAGCTTGAATTTGGACATTGCACTCCTCAAGTCTTGTCTCTAGCGCATGATGAACGTATTCCCTCCGATTGTCGAAGTCGAGCTTGATTTGCCGTCCTCCAGGCACGACAGGGACGAACTGGCCGGATGCAGATTGCACTTCCCATGAGTCGAGGGGAATAATCACATTGAAATTCTCCGCGTCGACCTCGTGCTTGTCGATTTCGTCGATGCACTTGAGCGTGGTAAGGATGTAGCCGTCGATTTCGTCCAATTTTGAAGCGTTCGGTTCTTCGCCTGCCAGTTGCCGCCAAATTGCTGGGGCGAGGTGAATGTCAAGGGGTTTCTTGGTTCTGATTGCGACGCCGAACATGATTCCGATGAAGCGCAGTTGACAGAGTTGGAGGTGCGAGTTCGCTTGTGGATTGAACATGAAACAGTCTCGGTAAGATCCGACATCGCCTTTGTTATTCGGTGTTCGAATAAGCAACGAGAGACCATGAGCTCCCCGTTCGAGTTCCTCGCAGATCTCTGTAAGAGTTTCGTCGAAGACTCCACCAGCGTCGTCGGCTCCTCACCAACGAGACGCACTTTCCAAGCTCGAGAAGGCAGCCGAAGCTCAGCGCCATCAACAGGTTCGATTTGTGCGGCGATTTGCTCGAAGATTGTCTGGCGTTTTTTACCCTTGGTGGAAAGACGCTTGACGGTAATTTGTGGTCCGTAGTTTCGACCTTGAACCATAGTTCGCTGGATTGCCTTTGTGATGGGAAGGACAGTCAGGCGAGATGTAAGTAAGGCTCTAAGACGGCCGTCAGCGACGAAGCTTTCGGCGATCGTGAATGGTCCATGAAATCGCTAGTGAATTAGGTTAGTTGAGCTGATAAAGTGATTATAAAAAAGTGTTTCTACAGAAGAAAAACCTTGACCCAAATCTTGACTGATTGAAAACGAGCAGCTACAGAAGAACCTTTCTGGCTGATCATGATTTGGATGCATCCAGGATGCAGCATCCTTGTAATTAATTTCATTGAAAAAAGGAGAGAAATCAATAGAGTAAGTCCTAAAGTAGGGCCCGTAAACCTGTTAGCTTTTTTAGTCTTTGATCGATGACCTTTCTTTTAGAATTTTACAACTTACTTTCCCCAGGAATTGAATATTTCAGACGATTGACGCGTTGATAATTGCGCACAATAAGACGGACTATTTAAAGTTTATTAGTCGAGTTCTGCAAGAGAAAAAAGGAAAGACGTTATTGTCTGGAAAAAGTCGTTTTAAATTGGATCGAGGTAATTTTCGTCTTACTAATTGGACTCTAAACATTGTCAGGTTGTTCAGTCTCAAGATAACCGAAGACATAGAGGACACACTCACGAAAAAATTTATGCATATTTTCATCAAGTAAGCTCGAATACAGTTGAAGTCTTACTCTTTTATAACTAAATTTATGATTGACGATGTGTGAAATTTTATCAGGGAAAATGAGTTGCGTGCAGAAAGAAAGACTGGAAAGATCTACAATGCGAAAAATCTTTCAGGACCAAGGAAAGGATCTACAGGAAACTGTAAACAGGGGTGTCAACTAGTCGGAGCAGCCTCATTTAGTTTAAGATTTATCAATTTTTGAGAGACGGATAATGCATAGGGTTCGTTTTCAATATTCATCCGGGCTGGCCGTTAATTGAAAGGAAGAACCCTTTCAAGCAGGTTGTCTATAAGTCGCCAAATGAAGCGTGAGACTCTCAATACTCAGAGCCGTCAACGAAGGTAGGTTTTTGAGGGAAAAGTAATTTTTATGATGTCAGGCGGCAAAATTGCCATCGCGACAAGACGATTACCCCTCTAACCAACGACTTATGTTAGAGTTGTAAAATTACTGGCCACTTTTTAACCGCATTTTTAACAAATTTATAATAATGACAAGAGAAACTTGCAACGGTCTTTGTTACAAAATAGAAGGCGATCATCACTTTTCTCACAGAAGGTAATGATTATTTATGAAATTATTTATGACAAGACGCACTTTCAATCATAAGTTATGACTTTGGGACAGACAAGGTTCAAAGGTTCTATTTGATGATCCTCTATAAAGATTAAGTATGGCAGGCATTGAGACCGTTCCACACATCGCTTTGAGGTAGGGTATCGAATATTACTAGGTAAGTAATTACTAGGCTTATGTAGATTTTTACGATAGGTTATGCTCCACAATTAGTATTTCATTTGTAAAACAAACCACGAGAGAATGAACGAAAATTTACTCGTTCAAGAGGTGAACGGTCAACTTTTTGACTACAGAGTCGCATGCACTAAATCGTGCGAATTTTTAATTGAGCAGATATTAACTTTTTTAGGAAGAAAAATGAACATTTGATTGACCCGTTTCTGCGACCACCGATTTGCCTGCTGATTATTGTCGTTGGACTATTGAAAGAGTTTTATATCAACTTTGAACTTTCCGTAAGTTCCAATGTTTCAACTGTAGAAAACTCTCTTGAAGACCCCTCTCACAGTCCTTGGACTGATTTTTCCGGAAAAACTCGCGAGCCAACATGAAATATCCCTACGTAAGTAATGAAAGACGGACATTTGAATAAATTTTCTGTAAGAGACTGTCAATATCATTCTCATCGCTATTCTTATCACCGATACGATCCTTATTTTCACCGGGGTTATCTGGCTGTACAAGGGAAGGGAGGAAATGCTTCTCTATGCACAGAGAAGTCAATACATTCAATTAAACCCAGTAAAAGGTAAAATAAATAAGGATTACACTGTAACAAGTTCATTCAGTCGCGAATGGATATGGGTCAAGTAGCACTGTCTAAAACTTTGTAAAAATCACTGCCACGGCAATAAAACCTGTAAATGAAATATCAGACTTACCGGTTTCGAAGATAGATCCAGCATTTTCCAGCATCTAAAGACGGTCTCATTAAACTTGTGTAGGTGCTTCAGTCGAAGTCGACAATCCTCTATGTCTTCCGACTTCAGGACCGCATATTTCGCTGGAATAGCATCGGGTGTTCCAAGATTGTTTCCACCAAAGTCAGACTTAGGTGGGCTTGTCCAAGCGATACTGTGAGATTTTCCAGCGCGAATCTGCTTGATTCGGTGCCCATTGAAGACAAGCATTGGTTCATGAACCTTGTTGAAGTGGCCACAGCCAATCTGACCGTCAGAGTTGTTTCCCCAGGCCCAGACGTTGCCATCATCATCTAGCGCAAGTGTGTATTCAGCGCCACATGAGACTTGAACGATACGCTTGTTGATTGACGTCAATTTAGTTGGAATGACGGTTTGTCCAGGTCCACCGATTCCATTGAATGCATCTTGGCCACTAACATAAACGTCACCATTGACAGCAAGGAAGACGGACCATTGATGGCCGCAGTGAACGGATTTTATTCCGATGTTTTCAAGAGCAGCAATTTTGTTAGGCGACTGAACAGCAAGAGTATTACCAAGACCTAGTTTTCCGAAATCACCATCACCGAAGGCCCAAACTGTCATACCATCTCGTGACAGAGCGAGAGTATGATTTAGACCACAACTCACGCTGGCAATATTGCTACAATCGTGGACCATAGTTGGAGTTTTCTTTGAGGTCGTGTTTCCATGTCCAAGCCTACCGTAATCACCGTAACCGAATGTATAAAGATAGCCACTAGCTGTGACAACGGCTGTGTGCTTGTATCCACAGCAACCATCTATGACGGTTTCGCCAACTAGTGCTTCGACAAGGCGCGGTCGTCGTTGTCTCTCTGAGTTTCCATGGCCGAGTTTTCCATAATCGCCATCACCCCAAGTGAATAGCTCCCCGCTTTCGGTAATTGCCAGGGTGTGGCCGTCTGAGCCAACAGAAGAGGAGATTTGAGTGACGATGAATCCCTGAAGAGCATTTACCAGGCTTGGCACATTGAGATCATCCGAGTTTCCATGCCCTAAACGGCCGTAAGAGCCTTCGCCAGTTGATGTTACTGCGCCAGTTGATGTGCAGAGAAAAGTGCAGTTCAAGCCAAGCTCAATCGTTTGCATATTATCGAAAGCTTCAAGTCGTCTAGGAGACGCACAATGTCTTCCTACATTCATATTGATTCCAAGTTGGCCATGTCGGACTCCACCCCAGACGTATGCTTTCGCTTTGACACCTCGCCAGGATTCTTCCTCGGCTTCATACCATTCAACCAAGGCGCTATCTTTTTCCACAGTCCATTTCTTATGCCATGAAGAAGGCAGATGATACGGGAATCGATTCATACCCATCTGCGCAACAGTGCGAAGGCCGTCAGAAATGCGCGCGAGCCATAGATAGTCAGATTTCTCACGCGGAGGAGCATCGTCGAAAATGCTAGCGTGGTGGTAACCAATGCGTCCGTGCAATTTGAGTGCGCATGTGATTGAGACAAGTTTCTTCATATAAAGCGAGAATTGAAGCTGCTTGTCCGTATTGACGTCGCCATACTCGGTCTTGAATTGAGCTTTCAGTATTTTTGGCAGGCGGATGATGAGCGAGTAGAATATAAATGGGGCTTTTTCAAGATTATATTTTTGTAGCTGCTTCGCACCCATCGATGGTAACCGCAATTGGGCCAGGTTGGCTGCTTCAACGCTGAAACTCTTAATAATACGGGAGCCCGGAGAAGTAGAAGTTATCCAGTGTCGAGCAGGATCGGATGACGGAAAGACCATCTTTGCATCAGATAATCCAGTGTCCAATACGCTGAGCAGGATCGGCTCGGGCTTGACCATGTCCCAGAATTGAACCTTACCAAGGCTTGCGACATATAGAGTGCTCAGATCTTGTGAGAGATAAAGCTGTTCGATGGAGGTGTTGAAACATTCCAGTTCAGCGATTTTTTCGATGGAAACCGAAGTCGGCACCACAGCAGGAGCAGAATTCGAAACTTTCACCGGAATGATCGGTATATCATCGTTGTGGTGACCGATCTCATCGGTTGATTTTGCTTTTTGAACTTCAACAAGTACATTCGTCCAGATTCTCCAGACGACTGTCTTTCCATCGGATGTTCCACAGGCGAGAATGCTTTCGCTATCGTTGCGCTTCGTCAGAGAAACCGAGGTGACTTTAGTTTCATGCTCAAAATGGCCAATAATGTCGACTTGTTTGTAGAAACTGACAAGTTTAAGATCTGAACTTGGTCCAACTAAGATCGCGGTTAGGCCTTTATCTGAAGGCACATGGATAAGATCGTCGACTTCGGTATCAAAATGGAAAGTATTGATATTTCTGCCATTTTCAGATGCTGAGCTTTTATCCAGCGCATAGAAATGACCTTGTTTGGAATACGCGATGGGAGTTCCATTGCTGAAAACGTCGATTTTATTGATGGAGCCAGGGGATGGAGATCCATTTGAAGGAAGATAATGGGTTGCGAAGGTGATTAGTTTTCGGTGGACCGTGTTGACATGCATTTCCTGGAGTGAATTATTCTCGAGCACAGCATAGATGAAGTTGTCCCTGAATGCTATCGCTGTGATTCGCTCAATAAACGTCTTCTTCATTGTATTCTTCTCGGATTGGTAAAAATCCAGTTCTTGCTGGACATCCTTGATCGCTTCTGGTGAGTTGCCATTGATATCGAAACCATCATTTTGAAGATCCCAGAGGTAGACGGTTTGTTTATGAGCAGCAACGAAGATCTTGCCACATTTTGACCAGCAGACATGGTCGAATTTTTCGACATTTTCGCCAATTACAACTCTGTTCAGTTGCCAGGTCTGGTCTAACTTGTAGAATCGCACAGCAGCGGGCTTGTGAACGATGACCGCGATTTGGTTGATAGACTCGTTGAATAGAATGTCAGATGTCTCGGCGCACGGGCCGATCGCTATATCATCAGCGAAGCGCGGCAGAGGTGATAATAATTTGCCGTCGAAGAGTTTCGCCTTTCGCGCGTTCGAGACGCGATCGGCATCGAGTGACTCGAAGAGCTCGTTGAGCTTGAACACCAGCCAATGCTTTTCCGCCTTGGGGAAGTTGCGACTCAGGACACACAGTGCGAAGCCATCCAAAAGACGGTGAACTTGTGATGGGGGACAATTGGCAACGATTTTGCCCTTTTTTGTTCGCAAAAATAGATCATCTTCTGGATTAACAGTTCGCCGAGCGCCAGAAAGGATTGTGATGAGAACTTGAACAACAGCGTAGCGAGTGTCGGATTTGACGGTTGCTGCCAGCCCCTTTTTCGCGAAATGAGTGAGATTCTGAAAGAAAAGATTGATATTTTGGAAGAAAATGAAGTTGAAATGCTCTTGTTTTGCTCAACACGTTTTGCTCGACAGTCCAATAATGACTCTCTACTGAATACGCTAATAACATCCCAGGAGGACAACCAAACTCGTATAACATGATTTAATTAACTCCTTGTTCATATAACTTGATTTCAAGAAAAGAACAAATATACCGAAATAATAACTGAGTGCAGCTTTGCATAGAAAAAAAATCTTGTAATATTCTCCATGTGTATTAATGATTCATTTGAAAGGGAAAGGGAGGAGCTAAGGCATTAATAATTTTGTGTTCGGCGCATTAGAATCAGCCTTTTGCGCCCAGCTGTTGAATTTTGCAGTTCTCAAGTGTCACATTCACTCAACGTCCGAGTGAACCAAGATCAGACTCTGTCAAAATGTTTAATACGCAATGAGCTTTATACAATAAAAAAGCTGGCTATTTCTAACTTTCAATATTTTCCAAGCGAAACGAAACACTTGAAAAGCAAAGACGCTTGACGAAATCACAAAAAAATCACCGGAAATTTCTTATCTAGAGCTAAATATAAGCCCAGAGTCCTCATTTATCTCCTTTCAAGCTAATCCACAATAACAAAAGCGACGCATGCTTATAGCGAATAAGTCCGATAATAGAAGAACATTTCCGTGTGAGCTCCCAACCATAAAAGATATACGTTGACCAGACGTCATAATTACGACACGACGTGTTTTTATGACATCGGATGAGATCAAAGGGATCCGTTATTAGTCGGCACTACTTGTGAAAATTTTTACCGGGATTGCAGAAATCAATGGTGCCTCAAAATTGGACTAATTATCCGCGGTACTTTGAATATTGAACTGAAGCTGCCTGGGCCTTACAGTAAAATATACTATCCCGTATCTGGCGTATTAGCCCTAATTGTAACACCCTGCATGCATTTTTAAAAAGCCCATAAACCTATTTTATCGACTTATGCAAAGCAATTATCGCGAAAAAGAAACGCCAATAATCCCCAAAGCACTTCCAACCACCATATGATAAATGTCCCATTTACTCTCATCCTCAAGCTAACTATCGACTAAAGCCTGGCTTAGAAATCAGCTTTCCGTCTGTATAATATCAATCGAAAAAGGCGAGGATAAGGTTCAACCTAGCAAAAATCAATACACCGACGTCAAGTCAAATGTTGGCATGCCATTACCACATATGGCGGTGGAGGCAGAGCTTCAAAGAAACGCGCATGGGGCCAGATCAATTTAAAATTAGTTGAGCTTCACTTTGAAGTTCTAGTGCTTCTGGTCGATAGCTCAAATAGACTTCTCTTCTCCTACTAGGACCGACCAATGATTTGATGAATAACGTTATTACCTGTCATCTTTCATAACCAGCGCTCCTATAAAAATCTCCTAATTGGTATCTTAGCAAGACAAATTGCCCATCAAATTGTTCAGCTCATAATGGGCCCAAATTATATACTGAGCCGTTTTCTGCGCCAAGCGAATATTGCGCACAGCCGGATGATTGTAATAACACACTTTTATTTTTTAACGAGAAGCCGAAAATACCACTGGCGAATTTCCAAGATTGTAATTTTGTCCGTTCATTTCTATAAATTAAAGGGATGAAGATTTATGGCCTATCAATCACTGAGCAAGTTTTTCAAATTCTTTGAACAGTTTTGTTTTCAGAAAAAGTTAGAAAAACAAACCCTTTAATGTTAATGGACCTGGGCCAAATTTCGCGGCTCATCTTCCTTTCCAAACTTGGAAATTCACCGCGCTGTGTTTGTTTTCCCAACAGCCCTTTTTGTTTGTTCATCTCTGTTGCCGGTTCTCCGCAATTTCCGCAAATTGTCGGACAAAGTAGCACCCCGAGCTAATAATGACAAAGGAAACGCGGCAGATTTAGGGCAGAAGGTTTCCGGACAAAAACTTTCGCTACAAGGTGCGATATCGTATCACAGTAGGGGGCGATTTTCGAAGTATCGTCGGTCAGCTGTGAAATTTACCAAGATTATGCTATTGACTCTGAGTGAAAAGATTCTTCAACGCTTTCTTCAGCAAACAACTTATTTATTTAAACAAGAATTAAGACTATTTTACCTAAAATTTCTCAATAGATGAGAATCTAGTATCAATGATACAGTATTATTGATCCTAAGTTGTTTTCAAAGTCTTACTGATAAGCCACTACAGAACTTTTACATCCTAGGAACACGGAAAGCTAATAAAAAGACTCCAAGTGATACTCAATACAATCACAAAGATATCCTTATGAAACTTCATTATTCGCCACTCGAAAGCACTCATGCACAGGATTTCATAGATTTCCTACATCTCCACGCAACCATCCCAGATACTTATTTCAGTATATATTTCTGTCAAGGACAGAGAAGAGAGCGCGGCCGCGGCGCGATTCCACTGCCACGTTGGCAATGGGCGACGTGGCTTTTGACGATTTCTTAACTCTAGTACCGCTCTCTAAAGCTCGATTTTTCTATTACTCACTCATTCTGATTAGTGTCTTTATTAACGTAGCTTAATTATAACAGCCACCTCCAGAATGTTTAATTCTGTATCGACTCAGCTGACAATCGACAGCATCATCAATATCGACACGCGCGGGTTCGCTGCCGCGCAGTAAAATACAATGCATTCATCTCATTTAAATCGATATCAACAAGAGTATCCCTCAACTAAAAATACAATTTGTGACGGCGGTTTGTCACCTTGATGTTTGATTAATTATAAATGCATAAATTTTATTCTGTGCGGAGAATAAAGCATTCGAAAACAACTTCGAAAACTAGTACTTGGCGAATTGACCTTCTATCAAGTCCTTGTAAATCAACCCAAGCATTCTTTGATCAAAAGTTCACGAGACTTGACACTCGTGTCTCAGACAACTATTCAGCAGAAAACGCAGAATCAGATGATTTTCGTTCAAAAACAAGAGCATTAGCACAAAAGCGTAATTTGCTCAATTACAGCTGAAAAGTCAACATTGCTGAGTATGAGAAATTCAATTATACACACACATGTAGGCATAGGAAAATAGCGATGGCGAAGAGAGTTCTCGACCGTAAAAGGAAACAAAGCCCAGGCTGAGCGCAACGTGGCCTAGCGGCCGAAAGGGCTGCCACGTGGAACAGGGCGAGCCACAGAGCTCGAGCCCAACTCCAGAGCGCCCTATGGCTTCCCCATAAAAGCACACCGCCGGCTGATGCTGACCAGAGACCGACAAAAAGCCCTCGAGATGACACCTCAAGTCAACAGTTAGGCCAAATTTGGGCACACGGCCCTAAAACAAAAATTTTACTTTTTACACAGCCGCCACTTCCGGTGAAAAAATCCACCTTCTCCGATGGTTCGCCGGTCTCCCGCCGGGTGGCAGACAAAGAGACAACATCAACAAGTTATACCACCACCACCACCCTACAAAACTCATTGAACTCCAACTTATCAACGGGAAAAGTGCAATTTCGCTTCAATTTGTAAATTACCAAATGAATAACTCTGGGACAAATGTGCAATAATGTCCGTGAATTTTTAATTCTAGGGCAAGTCCACCACCTACTTTTTCAACACAAAACTTTTTTTCGCCTATTTTTATGTGCCGGGTAAAAATGCAATATTGAACCCCTTTTTTGCGTCTTTGAAAAAATCATGGCCCGCTTTAATTTTTTCCATCGCTCAAAAAAGGGTTCAAAGTCCCCCTGTGGGGGATCATCACCTTAATCTTCAAAAAAAAAGTACTGCAATTTTCTTTCAATTCTGAAAATTTTTTGAGCTAATCTTACTGTAAGGTTTTCTCGAGAAATTTTAACTTATTTAAATTTATAGCTCTGTGAGCTAGAAAAAATGTCGCTTCGATACGTGCAATATGTCGGAAACCTTCGCGGATGACTTTTCAACCCTTAGTTTTCGACAAATAATATTATATCGTCAGAACCCTTATTAAGGGTCCCTTAAAACCCCTTTCGCCTTGACTCCCATCGGTGATTGCGCTGAAAATAAGGGCGCCACCGCAGTGGGAGCCACGGTCAAAGGTTGAAAATAAATCTTCATCTCTGTCCTGTTCGGAACATATAGTGCAATATGGCCACGCATTTGCTACTGTGTTAATCTGCTCTGTATCATATGCTGGTTTCAACAACTGTATTTTCTGTAAATAAAATTTTGTATAAAAAAACTTCGCTTTGGTATCATTTGAAAATTGCAAGATTTGCAGTTATGAAACTTTCACACAAAACTGGAAAGTTTACGAGCATGAGAAAGCAAAAATTACGAAACAAACACGCTCAACAGCAATTATGATATTATGCAACCAAAATAATAAAGTCTAAAATAAAGTCTCCAAATGAAGAACTTGTAAAAACCTTCAAAAATGAGCAATAAAACAAGAGCAATTTCAACTTCAATCATTGAAAAAAGCGTGATCGAAAAAACCGGGGCTTACCTTTGTAACGATGTCAATAATGACTTCCGCTTTTTCTGGATCAGCAGCCAGCGCTTCCAATGCACGCTTGAGGTGTTTGATAGAAACGTATCCAGGAGACTGTGGCGTGTGGGATGCTGTCTCCTAGAAAGATGGGTAAACAAACTTATCGCCGATAATTATTCCTACCTGATCGAGAATCGTTGACGACTTGGAGTTCTTCGGCATAAATTCTTTGGTCGCCGCGGACAAGTAAAGCAGCTTTACCAAAAGATTAACATCATCGAGGCCGAATTGCTTTAGCGTCGGCGCAATCTTCTCAAAGGGTTGAACAGCGGCCATGGCAAGAGTTCTGAGCACGACTGCTCGGGCTGTCAAAACCTTCACCGCCACGAGAATCGAACTCATGATGTGGCACTTCTCGGTCCAGTTTAGTTTCGTCTGTCCGATCAGCTGCGAAAGGCGATACTTGGTCATAAGCTCCTTGGCATTCTTCTGATTCGGCTCAAACTTATCATCAATGATGTCTTTCATAAACAGTCGCTTTTCACCGAGTGGATCTGGCCCTTCTGGAACGACAGAATCAGGGATGTCGTTTCCTGCTAAGCCAATTTGACCAGCGATTTCGTTGAGTTTCTTGGGCATTGACGCAAGTCCTTGAGTAAGATCTTCAACGTTAGAATCAGCCATTTGCCCACTGCGGAAAACATGGAGGATTCCTTTGAGTCGCTCGTTTACGTTTCCTTCTTCAACGTCAAACAATTGCGCTAGAATGCTGTTTGGTTGTTGCTGTCTTGGCGGAGGAATGACGTTGTTGGGCCATCTGGTCTCCGGTCCGGTCGCACCCTCGTCCACCAGCCGAGTAGTCGAGGGCTGATCGATGAGCTCGAATGCATCTGCAACTCGTGAGTCTTCCAGGTCGAACAAAAGAGGTTGAATATCCATCTGGTCTCCATTCGTTTCCTCCGAATTATCTTCATCCTCTGGATTTGGACTTTGAGGCTGGGAAGGCTGCATCACGGCTGGGGCTGGATTTTCAATCAACCATGAAGCGAGCATGGCGATTTGATTAGCATTCATACTTCGTGCAGTTAGATTAAGCCTTTGAATACCGCTGTTTATGTGATCGAGGGCGAAACCCATTTCCACTAGATTCGTCACTGCTGGCGGCTCTGGTGCTGGTGGAGGTGGCATCGGCGGTGCAATCTGTGCAGTCTGTGACGGATGAGAAGGCGTACCGCTAAATTCCTCTGCTGAAACGCTGTGAGAAGAGGCAGAGCTACTGAATCGTTGTGGTGCGCCGAAACGAGAGGGACGAAGCACTGACATTCGACGACCAGTAGGATTATCTGTAGCTTGAAGAGGTGCGGGAGGCAAGGGTTCAGGTGTGGTCAAGTGACCGCCACCCTCAGTAGACTGTCGCATGTGATGTTCTTCGAGGAGTTGTTCGATCGCGTTCCTTGCACGGCCGTGAGAAATCGGCTCTTCAATGGTGTCATCTTCATCAGTCGACATTTCCTCATCATCTTCTTCGAGCTCTTCTAGGTCCTCGTCAGATGTTTCCAAAGCGATACTTTCGTTTGATAAGGAATGACTAGAATCCAGTTGAGTAGCCTGGCCCATAGCAGAAGCGAGGAGTATGTTCGCGGATCGGTTTAGGTCCATTAGGTTTACGCCGATTTCGAGAGAGCTTGGCTTTGACGCTTCCATCACCAGTCGCTGAAGGACTTCGCGGGCCGAGTTTACTTGGGCGACATTCGTAGAGCCAAAGTAGAGCATAATGAATCGCAGCATTGCGGATTGCACCATGAATCCTGCAAAGGCTCGAGCTTTGATTCGCTCCCCCAAAGGGGGCCTGCTTGACGAAACAGAGTTGTCCATGGCCGACACAGCCGGGGTAACAGATGGCGATGTAGCGTTTGAGTTGTCTTTTGTTGCAAAAGCTTCGTTCTCGACAAGTCGGAAGAGCGACAAGATTGTCTCTGGAGAGATTTCGCCAAATTGTTCTAAATCGAAGCAATCATTTTGAGTTGCTCGAAGAGCTTTGAGATGCGTATCCGGAATCGGCTGATTCGGTTCAAAATCAGTTGTATCCCATTGAACCCGAATTTGTCCAGTAGCGCGATTCAAGAGTCCAGTAATGAGACCTGTAGCGTCAGAAATTTCAGATTCGCATTTTGCACCAACACGGAATCCACCATCGCAGCCGGAGACGAGGATCAGTGCAGGCCAAAGCTAAAAAGAGAATTTATTATTTTTTCTTTATTTTAGGATAAAATCTAATTACTGTCTTCAAATTATTTTAATGGCTTTATAAAAACGAAGCTTTACGAGAGTCATGCGCTTTTCAGCACGAGACTGGATACAAAAGACATTTATGTAAAGAAAAAATGTCTTATTGAAAACACTTGACGGGGATAGAGAAGCATTAAATATTATAACAGTAGTTCAAGCCCGAGGCGCTACACTTGACGGAAGGGTCTTGGCCGCGATCCAGCCGGCGCACCCGTTTTGTTCGCACTTTTTGGAAAAAGTCAACCTTGTGCATAAACGAAAGAGATCAAAGGGGCGTGAAGAAAGTTCAAAATCCACAAAAGAGGATCGGTAAGAGCCTACTAAGAGGGCCTACTAAGAGGGCAATAGGAAAGCCTACTAAGAGGGCAAAAGGAAATATTCCCTTTTTGAACGACATAAATTCAATCAATTAAATCGATGCGCTGGTGCGAAAAAACCTGTGCGAGGGAATAAAAATTTATTTAGAAAAAAGTGAGAAAAAAAAGATGGAGATCCCGAAGGAATTCAAATTGTTGAGTAGCGAAGTTGATTGGTGTGAAGAAAATTATAGAGTTACGCCTTTTATCGCAGAATTTTGGAATACAGTCAGGTAATCAGAAATTCAAAACCACACAAAGCTGAAATATAAATTTCAAAGCAATGCAATATTTCTGATTATTCCTCCAATCCTTTCGATCAAATACAAAAATTATGGCGAAGTACTAAGAGTTCCTGTTGGTTATGTTTGGGCTCTATTGACGATTGTTGGACTTGGGTCGATATATTTCCACAGTACGTTGTCACTGGTCGGACAATTGGTCGATGAAATCGCTATTTTGTGGGTTATCATGTGTGCTTGGGCCCTATTCCTTCCCTCATTTATGCTTCGTAAGTGGTTTTATTAAAGAAACTCATCATAAACAAATTTACAGCTTATCCGATGAAGCGAGAGTCATTCTATCGCATGATGACTGTTCTTACGGTAACATTCACTGTAATTTGCTTTATGAACCCTGAGATCAATCACAACGCACTTCATTTCTTTGCCATTCCATGCGTTGCCATTGTCATTTACGCGGTGAGTAATGATGAAAAATGAACTTCAAAGTGACATTTCATTTTAGAGTTCAATAACGAAATCCGAAACAATCAAGAAGCTCAACAAAATAAGCATCTTTTGGTTTGTTCTTGGCTTCTCAAGTTGGCTAATTGATCGAAATTTGTGCGAATATGTGTCGGCTTTTCCATATTTGCACTGCTTCTGGCACCTGTTTATATGCATTGGCGCATATTTAAGGTAGATAAACAAACGCAAAGGCATATTTTAACTTCCCGATCAAGTGTTTTCTTTCTATCATTATCATTAAATTTAAGCATTGTCTCGCAAAGCTTCTTCTACGCCGAAATGGAGCACCCCGAATCTTCACCAGAAATAAAATTCTTTCCTTTCGAAAATGAGGAAAGTTGGCGCTTTGTTGGCGTCCCTTATGTTAAAGTGTCTGTATCTTCAAAGTCAAAATCTATTTAAATTCAACGGATATGTTTTCTGTACTTTCTTGCCCAAATAAATATTATTAAATAATTGTACCTTTGTTAGAGCAGTTTCGTCCGAAGCTCGGGCACAATTTCCAGCAGTTTGAAGTCGTTCACGGACTTGATGGTTGATCGATTCTGTCCAAAGAAGGTGGTCCTTATGAAGATATCGCATGGTTTCGATGAGACTTTCGGCGACGCATGTTGGGTCTGGCGCGAGGAAAGGATCTCCAGCTCCTAAAAAGAAATTTTATTTCATGATAAAAATTGAGGATTTTCACACTGTTAGTAAAAATTCATTAGTTTGAACTCAAACTCATATGAAACGAACAATATAAACACGCCATTCAAGTATCAAACCTTCAGCAAATGCCTGCTTCGGGGCTAAAAGAAACCGTTTTTGATTAGAAAAGTCGATAAGAGTAAAAAAATAGGGTTCATTTGGAAATCTAAGGAGGTGATGCTCGCATTAGCCATTTTGTTACAGATTTTTCCAAATGTGCTTTCTTGTGGAAAACTCAGAAGGAGGATTCAAGAGAGAAGATTACTTGAAGATGACGCGCAGGAGAAAATCAGGTTGCTCATTATTTGTTCATTGTCAGTATTTAGGAATCAATAGAGGAAATGAGAAATTTTCTAAAGGGTCATTAGCATGGGAAGCGAAATTACACCCAGGCAGACTGTTGACAGAAACAACATTCGTTTAATTTCCTAACCACGATGACGAACTGTGTGTACGCACATTCGGCCTGCCGCACCCCGGGTATATAAAACGTATCTGATAGACGATCCATCATTACAGAGAAATCTAGTAGAAATCAAGAAGGTAAGATGATCCCCTGGGGTTAGATTAAAAAATGGTATCTGGCTTCCAGGCAGAAAATTGATTGTTCTCATCATTTTTGCTGTTTTCACGACTCAACTAAATAAAGCTAGTTTGAGACAACTATCGTAAACTCTCAGTTAGCTGATAAATTGAGAGAGCAGTTTACTGATTTCAGTAAGGATTCTTTTACGTATAGCGTAATTTGTCGTAAAATTATAAAAAGGAGGTGCCAAATAGAAAGAAAACTGTATTTTACAACTGACGCTCTGAGAATAATGACACTTGCCAACGAATATAAAAAGCCTCTGTCAAGCTATTTACCCATTCAAAAGAAATAATTCCCCCTTTTTAGCACTACCATGCCCGTCGCCAAAGAAATTCAAAACCTCGCCGCCACCTGGAAGCAAAGCGGACAGGAGAATATCGATAAACAACTCGAGGCTGCAGGTAATTCGTTCAAATGAAAAGGGTAGAAAATGATAACGTGACATTTAGGTCTTGGCTGGGCGAAGAGAAAAATTGCCGTTAATTTGAGTACAACCGTCACTTTTTCATTCCCCGACGATGATACATTCCATGTCGACTTTACCACGAAAGTAATGAGCAAGAAAGAAAAATTCAGCATCTCAAAAGTCACCAAGCACAAAAGTAAGATCCTCTCGTTGAACGATCATTTATCGAAATATCTAGATTTCCTTGATGAAGATGTCGAGTCCGAGCTCTTTATCGAAGACGGACATTTGGTCATGGTGACTCGGGGCGGCTCCCCCGGTGAGATCCGAACAGTTCGAATTGTCGAAGGCGACAAGCTCACCATCAAAACTACTGTCGTAAAGAAAAACGTTACTGGCATTCGCTATTTTGAAAGACAAAAGTAAACTGCTAATAAATCTCAAAGAATATTATGCGCATTTGTGTTGATTTTTGGTGACCTATGAACTCAGAACCGTAAGCAAATAACCAAAGATGGGTGGGACTCTCTGCATAAAAATATCAGCAGAGAATCCAAACATCAGAAGAGTAAATTCCAAGAGTTCAAAATTTTTTTGAAAAAATGATGGGCGATTTTCTTGAGCGATTGAAGGGCCGATGGGTTCAGGTAAATTGCATCAAATTATTCAAAGCTACTGAGATTTCAAGGTGAAAACAGAAAACATGGATGCAATCTACATCGCTTCCCAAGCGAGTTACATCAAACGCAAAGTCGCACAAATGATGACCGTGCATTTGCAAGTCGACTACCCTAACCCGACATCTATGTTTATGTCCTTTCAATCAAAACTGAAGAACATGGACATGAACTTGTCTTTCGAAGGCCCTTCTCCTCACTTATCCCTCAGCGATGAGCCAGTTGAATCTACCGTTAAAGTTGATGGAAATCAAATGATCCTCCATTCAGTAAGTTAAAAAATAGTTAAGCTTCCATAAAAATACATCTAGACTGGAATGGCGTATGGCGACACCACTCGATATTTCACTTTCAACGAGGAAAATCAACTCGTCATCAAGCAACAAATCAAGGAAGTTATCGGTACCCGATGGTTTGAGCGAGAAAATCAACCTCCAAAAGCTGCTTAATTATTCCAAAATTTAGCTTGAGCTCGAAATTTCCCCAGCATCAAAAATAAACGATTCAAGAAAACCTTTCTTACCTAAGTCTTTGAAAATGCCTTGTGTAATCATGGAAGAGATTCTGACTTTCTCGCCAGGGCTTGAGCTGTAAAAAGTAACAACTGGGTAGAAATCGGTGTCCACAGGTAGATCTTCGAAAGCCAGGGCAGGCTCTCCATCGTTTTTCGCGAAAGAAAGTGTTCTAGCGTCCGTGTCGAGAATACAGGTAATGCTGTCATCTTGTGTGAACGGCTGAAGAGTTCGATTTCCAATCTCGCCACCATGATAAATGTGTCCAGAATACGCGCGATAAAGCCACATATCTGTCGTTGTTCTGTGCGAGTGATCTGTAACTGGCAGTTTTGAAATGCCAATGCAAGTTCCTTCGTTGCCTCGCGCTTCGTTTAAAATATCTATTTTCCAAACATGTCTTCCGCTTGAAAGTGATTCTGCAGCGATGCCGTATCCGCGCCCACCAGTGGAGTGACAGAGAACGTTTGCGTCGGAATTGTCAATTGTGCAGGAAACAAGTTGTTCATCGTTCCATCCACATTGACCAGAGACTTCTTCGCATTCAAGATCTGTCGAACAATTTGACAGTCTTTTTAGCGTGACTCTATTCGGATCTTGATTGACTAAACGCAGGGGGACCCAATGGGACTCGTACAGATGCGTCATCATTCCATCTACACACTGGTTAATAATGTCGTCTTCTTGTATAAACGGAGAGATCTTTTTCATAACTTCAATCGCTAACAATCTTGGACGAAGACTCTTTATCAGGGCGACTCCAGATGAGTCCATTCTAATCACTTGAAGGAGCGAAAGAGCCCATTGAAGATTCGCACATTCTTTGCAGATGTCTTCATTCCACATGACGCGATTAATGAGGGCTAATAGCTCAGCCAGGCACGTTTCAAATGTTTCGCGCTTTTTACTCGGCCGAGCTGAATCCCATATTTCAGATAACTGCGTGAGAAGATATTTGCAAGCGAGTTTGATTAATTTTGGACTTGATTTTGAACCATAGATGCCAACAGCGAGGAGTATACTTTGCGACATGCCAACTGATGCGATTTGGTGAAGTCCATCGACTTTCAATTGACCGAAGTTGAGCTGAAGGAGCAGTTGCGGCGTCATGATGGACAAACCAGAAGTATCAACCCCTTCGGTACTTTCGAGACAATTGATCGTCGCCAGCGCGATATTTTCCAAAAGAGTAAGATCAGTGCTCAACCACTTGAGTGTGAGACCACAAAGGGTATAAACATCCGAAGCGGAAGTTTGACGGTCCGAACTTAACGACATTTGCTGTAAAAGTTTTCCAGTGAGCTCTTTCCACACGCGGGTTATTTGCGACTTCAAAGCGGGTCGTGCGTGCGCTACGTCTTGAAGATAATGATGAAGTCTATGGTCGAGTGGATTTCTCGCCAGCGGATTCTGTAGCAGCCCGAATACTGAGACTAGGAATGCACGATGCGCTGTTTCACAGAGTTTATTGAGGAAGCCATTCTCCATGTATTGATGCAGCTCTTGCAGCGCTTCAACTCGTGATTTGGCTGTGTTCTCCTCCCATTGAATAACCTTTAACATGCTCTCTGGATCAAGCGAGGACTCGTTCATGAATTCGATGATTTGCTTGAAGGCCAGGGTCTCCATTTTGCTCGTTTGATTGTTCGACGTTTGCGAGCTCTGGGCCTGTTTCTCCTTTTCGCGACGGATGTGCTCTCCAATGTTGACTGCGGATTGCAGCGGCTTCTCACGCAGAAAAAGATGATCGCCCAGGAGTGACTCGGATCTTGAAAATCTCACTGCGCTGTCGAATGAGGCCCTTCTCTCCAGCTGACCAGGCCTGATGCTAAGATCAGATGAGGAGTGTTTTAATGAATCGCGCATTGTTATAGTTTCGAGATTAATTGAGCTCCGCCGATCGGATAAACTGTCGCTGCACTGTCGTGGTTCTTGGTTCGAGTTGATACAGAGTAATAAATAAAGTGCTTTTTTCAAAATAGGAGTATAAAATGAAGCCTCGTCGTGTTGTGTGCGCGCTCTTTTCGGCTGTGAATCTTCTGTTGATGATGGACGACGGTTACGAATGTTCTGGTTAAAAATAGGATAAAGCGGAGGCTGCTGCGCGTCGTTGTGCTCTGGTGGTGGAACTGTACCGCCGGGAAGAAGCATGTTCGTAAACGGCGGGTCAAAGGGTCCCCATGGGGTTCCCAGTTGCGATTCAGACGGTGGTGCGACTATACGCTCCCCAGCGATTGCTGGCTGAAGTGGGACTGGTCTCAGGGAAGTTGTCGATGCATTTTCTTGCTCCTCGCCTTCCAGCTCCGGAACATCGTCATCAGAATTAGTCGGGCTCTTGTGCTGACGGAGGACTTCTAACACTTGCTCGCGGATTAAGAACACTTGTCGATAAATAGCAGCAGAAGTCTCGTTGCGATTATGATTTAGAAACGCTGCCAGAAGAATACGAGTGAATCGCTTCATTCTTTCACCACCTTCTTCTGGATCTCTTGCAGGCCAATCTCGATGATTTGCATCTCGGAAGAGCTTCTTCCATTGATTTTCAGCTTCTGCAAACATTTTTTCTCCAAATGCGAGATTGTGTAAGTCCGGGTCGATTTGACAGACTATAATTTGACTTCCAGGCGTATCGACGTCGAGTAATTTCGCGGAAATGTCTGATAGATTTACCGACTCTGCGTACTCAGTCAAGTTTCCAAGCGAGTTGAAGTCTTCTAGCGTCGTTTTCGGTCGGCCAGGATTGACTAGCTGATGATTTATCGATGATCCAAGCAGAATCGCTACAAGTCGACATGTGTCGTTGAGGCAAATGTTCCCTTCCGGCTCGACGGTGTTGCGAGAAGTTTCGTACTTGGAATTCCAAACGATCAACAGCCGCGAAAGACAGGGTCGCAATTTGACGAGCATAGCTGGCGCACCATTTAGCGCCGCGGCGCAGATAAAATTTGTAAGTTCAGCTGCTAACTCAACCAGATCCTGCTCATTCGTCTGTAACACGCGGATTTGAGCTTCTAGCACCATTTCGGCGAACTCCACCACCAGTTTCGTCTAAAAAGAAAAGTCAGATGAGAATATTTTCCCTTTTTGCAACAAAAGCATTGTTCGCTACTTCTGATGACTATGAGATTCCGCCAGGAGAAGGAGATCTGGCGAACTTTATGGATCTGTACCAGAGAATGAGAGCTGGGGGAAGCCTATCTGAGTTTGCAAAAGATTTCGTCGGTAACGAAGAGACAAAATGTGATGGGGAATGGTCTGATTGGATGGATGCTGACGATCCTTCCGGGCTAGGTGCGTAATCCTTGTTGTCTCCATTATTTAAAAAATTCAGGTGATCACGAGCCTTTGGCTAGGTTCATAGATAGGGAGGGGATGTGTTCAAATCCAACCGCGATAGACGCAAGAACTGTTGATTATGGCGAGCATTATCTTCATAGTGGAAATTTTATTCAAATATCGGCTGACAAGGGCAGAGTTTGAAAATGGTGAGCGCGAGCCACGAGCGAGCGCGAGCGAGTGAGCGAGCGCTCATGCTCACCCGCTCACCATAAAATTCCGTGCCGCCGCTCCCGCTCACTCGCGCTCGCCAACAGCCATTTCTAGTTTATCCACCCTGGAGACAAAGTATTACGATATTTGAGAAATTTCTCTTTTAATCGCGTTAGAATGCCCGTAATTGTCTTTTTATATAAAATTATGCGTTAAAAATTATAATTATTAGAATTTTCAAGGAAATACTCGCTAGAAAGGCCCCCGAAAAGCTGCGAGTGAGCGCAAGCGAGCGAGCGAGCGCTCGTGCTCGCTCACTCAACAAAAATATTTCGGGTCTGCGCTCAAGCTCGCTCACTTACGAAAAAATTTATGATTGTCTGCTCGCGCTCGCACACTCACAAGAGCTCTGACCATTTTTTCAAACACTGGACAAGGGCCTCTATTGCTGGAATCATTTTCAAGCTAAATTCGGACGAGAATTTTGCAAAGATTTTGAAGTGCGATTTTGTTGTCCCAGCGCAACAATACCATCAGAAAGTGCTCGAAGATATGTGGGAGTACCTTGCGATGGTTATCAATCGGAGTGGATCACGATCGATGGACCAAGCGGTGTTGGTGATTTAGAACTGGTCGAAAGTGTGATGACATTAGCCCCCGATTTGCTATTTTGTCAGCCGATAAGCCATGAGCTCCGTGTCCTTGGAAGAGTTTACGAACCCTTTCACTATTTTAGCATCCCCAGATTCGGGGTTATCGGATATTCCGATGAAGACATCACTATCCGTTATTGCTGCAAACAGTCAACGCGAAAAGACCTTGTTCTCGTCACTGGAGCATCGAGATCGATGATCAAAGACAATGAATCTATCATTAACTGGCTGCTCTTTCATGGAGAGGAGGTGCAGGAATATACGACATTTTGGGTTGGGATTTATGACACTGGAAGTTTTCAAAAATACTCCAATGTTGATGAGGTAATTGGAGCTCTTAGGAAACGGGTTTGAATTGGAAACGAACAAATGACCGATAAAAGTTGTCAATAAAATTTTCAATGGGAATTTATGTAGTGTCAAAGTCGATTTTACCCTTTGAAAGAACAATAAATGGTCTCCTGGACCACTCACCCAGCTGCACCGTTAAAATTTTCGACCTCATTATTAAAATTTTGGATGAGTCTAATTTCCAAGCGAGAATTTTCGGATTTTTGGACAGAGATATCGATAAGGGAATCCACGATGAACTCCTTAATGCAATGATCAAAAAAATTTGGCAAACACAGTCGACAATGCAACTTTTTCAAACTGGCCGATCTGATCCTCTTTGTAGTTCTCATTACGGAACAAAATCATGCTTTGGCCCGAGACCAAGTGACGAGCAATTGGTGGAGCAGTTTGAGGCAATGTCTAGCAACCTTATTCTCGTTTCTAATTCCGCTGATTACTGGTAAAAACATAAAAATACTATTGATTTGAGAAAAATTTTAGCCAAGAAGATGAAAATATAGAACCCGCGGAAGATGTTCAAGAATTTGTTCAAATGATTTCGAAGCCAGATCTTCTCGCCCTCCTGATTGAAACCCCGATAATTTGAAACAAAACCTTACCTGATCACTTATTCTCGCGGCAAGATGAAGAATGCATGTTTTTAATAAACTGTGTGTTATATTTCTTAGTTCATCGAGTTTTTCCCAAGCAAGAAGAAGCGACGTGAAGAATTTCCTCGTTGTCTCCACCACTGGTAGTTTTTCATCAGAAAAATTGAGTAGAAGAGGCATTCCATCTGAAGATTCCAGAGAGGCTAGGATGATAATGAGTTGAGTTTTCTTTCCATGAGACATCTTTGCCAGCTTGTCGGGGCAAGTGGGGAGAAGGGTAAGAAGGACTTCGATGCGACCAGCCATATCAGGCATGAGAAGCTCCGCACCGACCGTGACGCATTGTTCGATCGTTTTCGCAACATCGCGGGTATAGTTTTTGTCCAAACTTGCGAACAGAAGCTGTCTTAGAGCAGTCGCTTCTTCTCCGAGAGGATTATCCCCACTATGATGGAAACTCTTCGCGACGTGAAGGTGGTTTCGTAGAAGTGTCAGTACTTGAAGATACGCCTTTTCCTGCTCCTTCAGATCTTTGAAAGGGGCTTTGGGAGCATCCCGCGGCTCGTATTTATCTAGAAGCTCTCTGATCGACGAGAAGGTTTTCTGGTGCAAGTCGAGTTTGAAGGGCTTGTGTTTTGTCTGCAGGTGTTCTTCGCAGGGCGCCGCGGACCAGACAAAAGTATGAGTAGTTCCAGCAGATACTTGCTGGATTCCAGCGCCATGTAGGCCCTGAACCATTTGCGGAGAAGTGTAAGTTGCGATTCCACTTCCAGTACCGCACTGGCCGTTCTGATTATTGCCCCAAGTAAACACGAGGCCATCTTTTGTCAAGGCGATGACGTGATTTTCACCAATAGAAATATCGATGACCATTCGGCCAGATAACCCGCGCACCACTTTTGGAGTCAAGTAGGTCTCATCGCTGGCGCCATTTCCAAGGCAAGGGCCGAAGCCCCATACGTACACGGCACCTTCTCGAGTCAGAGCAGCGGAGAGTTGGGTTCCAGCCGCAATCTTCGTGATCGTCAAGCCTTGAAGAGCATCGATGATTTTAGGTCGGAACTGACGATTTGTATCTCCATGCCCGAGCTTGCCATTTTCAGCTGCACCAAAGGACCAAACAGTTCGCCCGTCAGTCGAGAGGACAACAGTATGGTTGAAACCGCAGACAACTTGACTTGCTTCACGAATGTCGGGCACTTGAACGGGCACAGATCGCTGGAGTGCATCCCCAAGGCCAAGACGACCGTAGTCGCCTTCGCCCCAAGTGTAAAGATTTCCAGCATCGCAGATAGCTGCTGTGTGGCGATGTCCACAGTCGGCGTCAACGATGACTCGGCTCGCCAGGGCTTCGATGAGTTTTGGACTCTTCTGAGTAGTGGAATCGCCGTGGCCGAGTTTTCCGTAATCGCCATCGCCCCAACTCCAAATTTGTCCATTCTTGCCGATGGCGACAGAATGACCATCTGACCCCTTGGAGGTCATGATTTTCCGAACTGGAGCGGAGAACTCAATCAAGATCGGACTTGAAGATGAAGCAGAAGCTCCGTTTCCGAGCCGACCATAGCTTCCTTTCCCGTTCGCCATGACAGTGCCGTTGGAAAGCACGGCGAAGGTACAGTACTGACCAGCAGTCATCGACATCACCTTTCCGTAGACACTCAGGTTTCGCGGGTAAAGGAGCTTATCTTCTGGCGTGGCGTCAGTCAGCTGCTGGGAAGAGTTCGAGCCCCAGCAAAAGACTTCTTCAGCGTAGCTTGGCCCGCCATTATTGGCGCCTTCATCACCGGACGCAACGGCGATGGATGATAGGATCGTCAAAGCGCTTTGATCCGCAGTGACTTTGGGCTTCTTGGCGATCATATTCAAGATCTGGGCTTCAATTGAGCGAACCACTTCTGACTTGGGTTGACTTGAAGAATTTGCATGGGCTTGGATGGTATTGATTGCAGAGTAGAGCGCGGCACCAGTGCACGAGACAGAAGTCGTGAGTTGAAGAGAAACGAAGGACAGAATGTGCCGAAGTTGACCGCGTTGAATCGCGATGGCGAAGAGGGTCTCCGTGGCGAGCTCCCTGATGGTTTCGTCGGAGGAATCGGCGATCCAGGAAGAGAGGAAGCTCTCCATTTGTTGGAGACAGTCAGTGCCAAGGGCTCCGAGAGAGTTGGTTTGGGATAAAGATAAAGGAGGTAAACTGAGTAAACATGACTTTGACAGGCTTTAGAAAATTCCGCCTAGGTGAAAGAATCTCATTTAAATGGGTTTTTCATTGGATTTGTTGGTGATTTAAAAGCCTTTCCTTTGCTGTAGATAAAGTATCGATAACAAGTTGAATGTTGGAAGGAGAATCAGAATGAGAACAATTCTTGAGAAGAGAAAAGACCAATTGCAGACCTGCTTGCGCCATGAGTTTGTGCACGGCGTTTTCTGGCTGCTCGTGGTCTTGTTTAGAGGAAGAAAGAGAGGTCAATTTTGAGGTAGACTGGCGCTCCAGTGCAGCCTTACTTGCGTTTTGCGCGGCCCTAAAAGGCAGATCAGTGAAATCAAGGAAGAAAAGGAAATTCACCTAATGACTCTATTCGACACGACGAGGCGTTTGCTGAGGATGGCTCCGAATTCAGAATCTTGCACTGCTCGGATAACCGCCCTCTGCTGAGCGTCGATCACATCAGACATGAACTGCCGACAATCTTTCTCCGATGGCGCATTTCTAGAACAACGTCGTCAGCCAATTGTTGATAAAGATGAGGAGTCTTACCGTTCGAGGTCGGGTAACACCGCCGAGGCTCCGATATTTCCGGTGGTTGTATAGCAGACCTCTTTGTTCTTCTGCAGCCGTTCGAAGAGCTTGACGACGTCATCTCGATAGATAGAAAAGAGCTTTTGTCAGGAGTCAGAGGGGTGTTTATTCTAAGAAAAAGAATCTAAAAAGCCAAATCGAGGTCGATTCTATTTGATAAGCAAATTGACTTTGACGACCTCTTTATGACACTTTTAGCATCGATATTGCCCTGATAACGAGTTTGATTTTTAAATTCTTGAGACCCTTTCCTTAGGCTCATTGAGCCAGTCTTGATCTAATCGCTCAAGCCATTCGGCGCGTAGACGTCGGTCCATGAAAAAACTACCAGACAGCCTAAAACTTTACATAACAACTCTCTCTATTCTAGAACAGCTTGTCAATCTTCCGAAATAAATTTTATAAGCGTTGAGTGGGTGTGAAATCCACGGTTTATGATTTCACCGCTTTTATGAACAAAATTTTCTCGCGTAATATTTTTTCCGGAGGATGATTTGTCCAGAACGCTTATATAAATACCAGTAATCTTAATTGTCGTGAATAAATTAGTGGAAATCTGCAATTATCTCTCATATTTCTACGGTGAAACGTGAATGATAATGAACGAAATAAATAAGCAGAATTGATTTAAAGTTTTTACGTTACTCCCTTTAGGAATTTTAATAAAATTATATTTATCTTGATCAACTTTTTTTATAAACAAATCACTTAAAAATTAAAAAGTGCGGATCAATAAAAAAATCATAAATGCTTTACCTGATAGACTGAACCTTGCAAGTATGACTGTAATAACTGCTTTAGCAACTCATAAACAGCTTATTCTAGAAGAATTCTTCCGCATATTTTTTTCTTTCTTTTTTCGTTACAAACTTTTAAACATCTCTGCTCAAGTTTCGCAAAAAAATCTTTATTTTAGCTATTTCTTTAGTTTTTAAGAAAATGGGATAAAGGGAAAAATTGAGACAAAAAACGCGCTCGGCCCCGCGCGACCTCAAGTTCGATCGTTTCGACCAATCAGCGCCCGCCGCGGCCAGTTGACGGTCTCGGTCAAGGTCGGCTAAGGGGCGCGTCGCCAATTATTTCACGAGTTTTTTCAATGCTGGGATATTTTATTAACGAGCAGCTGATCTTTCATTATTGCTCATGCCTTTGTTTGAGTTTGTAACTTGTTTCTTGACGGATAATTTGGGAAGAAAGAGAATTTGCGGGGGATTTTTGCGATAAATCGATACGGATTTTAGGTTTTAGGGCGATTTTCCTCCTTTTCCTGCAATTACTGTAAGAAGGCCAATTAAAAAGCAGCTATAGAACTGCATTTTTAAAAGAATTCAGTACTTGTAATTATTTTTTTATTGTAATAGTGTGCAGGTTTGATCAGAAATATATAAATTGGATAGTAGGTAAAACGGATATTTTTAATACAGACAGTAAGAAATGATTAGTAGAAGCTCGGGGAAGGTACAGAAATTGTTATCAGAACTTGAGAAGGAGTTGTTTACAGAAAATAGTTGTTAAAATGCTCGAAAGAGGGTGAAAAGTTGACAATAGTTGTTGGCAATCGAGGTAAAAATGTGATAAAAAGAGCCCTAGTTGGTGGGTATACAAAGCGTACTCCCAGAATTGTACAAAATGCAAGGTTTTCGGTCCTTATTCGAAGGCTTTTAGGGTTCGAGATCAGATTATTCTATCGAATTTTTAATAATAAATATTTTTATCTGGAAAAGTTAAAATGAAAAAAACTATTTCGGTACTATTTCGAACCATTCCTTTGACAGTGAGTTCGGCTCCTCCAGTCTTGACGCTTCGTTTTCTATCTTGTTCTCTTTTGCGAACGAGTCTGGCCCTCTCCTCTCGGATGTTCAGTCTGGTCGTCGCTTGACGCCTTCCTTTCCATCCCTTGTTCATGTACTGATGATCTCGGCATTTTGGGCAGACGCCTCCGCTCTCCAGGCAATCCATGCAGTCCGACGAGTCTCTTTTGTATTTGTACAAGCGGATACAGTGGTTGTAGCGGTCGGCCACGGCTAAGTAGCCTTCGGGGGTGATTCCGATGCCCATTGGTCGCGAAAGTCCTTTCGGAAAAGGTTCAAATAGGAACTTACAGGAGCCTACTAACCTTCATCGGCAATGACGAATGGACCTGTAAAACTCAATCCGCCGTGGCATTTGAACAGTAAAATTTGACCGAATTCAGATTCAGAAACTATCACGTCTCCATCATCATCCACGGTAATTCCATACCTAAACAAAAACGCTAAAGCCACAATTCAAGAGCTCGAAAACGAACATGTAACCAAGCTTGCGGTTCATGCCAACTCTTGGGCCAATTTGATGGATCATCCGGGCGGATTCTGGGTCGAAAATCTTGATGCTTCTGTCACCATCGTCTTTTCAATCGGTTCTAGATCGCTTATGAAAAAATAACTTGTTTTGCGACAGTATTTTTTAGTTGAATTGATGTGTTAAACTGAAAATATGTGTACGCTAATTTACTGCATCATTTTCTGGAAAGGGTTCAGCTTGAAAATGAAACAATCTAGGAGGCTGACTCCTTGATTTGTCCTGTGTAGAAAACCTGAGTCAGGGTCTTAAAGATCTTTAATGAAAAAAACGGGGTTTTGTTTAAAAACTGACTTGGGCCTGAACTAGTCTGGCATTCATAATGCCTGACTCAGGTTTCTACACAGGTTTCGGAGCCCAGGCTGACTCAAATCAAGATAACCCAATAAAGTAAACAGAGAAAGGACGCTCGCGAAACTCTCTGGGAGCATCGTAATCCGATCGTAGCTTGGGTGAGACTTTTATTTGAAATCAACGGAGAATTTATCTAATTTAATATTTCATTAGGTGTTCTTTCTACTCTTCGTCGCTTTGCTCACATTCCGAAGCTTTCAAGACGCCTCGGAAAACTACGAAGTTGTTTTGATCCAAGAAATTGAGGAAGAAAACCCTTTGGAAGCGATAGAACCGTTCCAATGACGTAGATCTTGTCCGTTAACTTGTTGTACGCCAAATTCCACGGCATCTGAATCCCTCGCAAGATTTTGCCCTTGCGAGTCGCTTCGCCACTGTCCCAGTTCACTGAAACCCCAGTTAAAACAGAATAAAAATACAAAATCACCTTTGTAAATCTTCGCAACACGGGAGCCAGAAACAGGAGCGGAAATTTTTCCATTTCGAAGCATTTTTGCACCCTTCCAGTCGATAATGATGAGACGGGAATCGCTCGTGAGGCAAGTTCCAATTGGAAATTCTACATTGAGATTGATCGTTTTGACTTCTCGGTTTCTTGCGTAGTACTTTATACAGTGGTTGCCCGTATCGGAGACGACCTTTGATAAAATGAGGCTCGAAAATGGGAAATCGAAACTTACAAGTAAAGAATCTGGCCCAAATGCGACAGATCTTGGGTACCAAAGATCATCATAAGTTTTCAAATGCTGGCCATCTGCGTAGTAGATCTTGACCGAATGATGTGGGCCGGAAACGACCGCGATAGTTCCATCGGGAGATACGGAAAGTCCAACTGGGTCAAAAGGCCTAAAAGTTAATATAAGTATCTATCGTTTTAGCTGATCGTTTACCTTGGAGTAACGAGCGATTCACACTTTAATTTCGCCAAGCATTTATTAACTATCAGTTCTTGCGGAGCAGCACGTGGTCGAATGTATTCAAAGATGATTTTCACCCATTTGATCCAGAAAAATATGACCCTTGTTAGGTCAGTAACAGCGAACACCATACGACATCGTCTAAAAATCAAGTATTGAAGAGAGATTCGGCAGTACAGTATCCTTTATTTTCAGAGACGGATTTTCACAGCCGCCGAATATCTTCGTCTTCTGTAGCGGCCACGGCTCGGTTGACTGATCTGTGAAGGGTTTTTGCAGCTTTTTTCGCGATAGAGATCATTTCGATGATTGAGGAAGGATCAAGGCTTCCTTTTCCTGATTGCTTCATCCCTCTAGCCTCTCCGTTTTCCTGAAAATCTGCTAAACTTTTGAATATTGCGTTTGTCTTACATTTACTGAAACAATCAAGCTCGCAAGAGTGACAGCTTCTTCTTCATCCGTCGGGTCAACAATATATCTATGTCCTAGCTTCGCAACAGTTACAGTCAGTGGCGGGTGAACATCAAGCTCCTCTCCGTCCAAAGGATCGTCGCTGACTTGAATGTCGAACTCGTCCTCGTCGCCTTTTTCAATGTTCAAAAGCGGCAACCGTGTGTCTAGTAGGGCAGCTTTGACAGCGATGCTTGATGCGTCCACCAGATTGCCGCCAACTTCCAAGACTGAAAAATGAGGTAAATAGGGCTTCTGTGGTTCGATTTAGGAAATATGTTTGTCAAAGATAAGGATCAACAAACGAGGGGGACATAAATATCATTCGTAGCAGGAACTTCATTTGAAATTTGAATTATTTTTGTAAAATGATCACAATTAAAGTTTACTCTGTTATTGATGTACCAATGCTGATTAAAAAATGACCGTGCGATCGGTGTAAAAATCCAGTGTCAGAATTTATGAGTCTATAAAAGGTTTACAAGAGAAAAACCCTACATTCGAGAGTCTATGAATGCTTTATCAAAACTTACTCAAAATATCGACATAAAGCACCCAGCACCACGCATTCGGCACGACAGTTAATTTTTTTCTGTCCATAAATTCTTCTGCTTGATAAAATCTGTTGAATAAAGTCGCAATTTCCGCCTCAATATCTTGTCCACCGCGTCTTCCCTCAAACATCGGCGTAGCATTTGGACTGCAATCGACGCTAAATTCAAGTCGTCCAGCGTCGCCATCAGCGAGTGTTGCTTTTTCAAGTTCTGCTTTTACTCCAACCAGGAGTTCTGTTGAGCCGATTCTCACGCGAGCGGAGCCGTTTGTTGTTTCAATACAGCCTGTTTCCATCTAAACAGCGTTTACAAGAACATGAATTTTAGTTTAATTCATTACTTCAATCACTCGAAAGTCGTTGCAAGTCCTGCCATCAGTCCTCATATCATCATTTACCCCGTTGATGATGAAATCGCGCTCGGCGGATGAAATCAAGCCGTACAAACTAAGCGCCATTCTAAATTTGAGAGTTTGAATTTGCTTCCGATTTCGGTATATTTCAGTAATATATTTATTAAAAAATTAAAGTGAAGTGAGGTCAGAAAAAAGTCAAAAGAGAAATACAGTCATGTAGTACTAGTAGAAGGCGCTTCATAAACGGTTTTGACTTCCGTCTCGTCTTCTGAGCCTTCAGAGCTCGACTCGTCACTTTCTGGTATTCTTTCATGTTCCATGCTAAAATCGAGCTGATCTCCAGGCCTTCAGAAAAAAGTACCTTTTGACATTCATGTTGGACAAATGCGTCAAAAAATCGTTGTAACTCTCCCTCTCATGAAGTGCCACATCTCTCTCGTCGAAATCATCCTCTCTGCCGAGTGCGAAATCAATCGAAAACTGATTCTTCTGAGTGTCGATTCTGCGTTGCATTTCTAGCTCTAGCGCTTCGAATTCTTCGTTGAAAGCCGTCACATCTGTTGGTACGTGTGGCTCGTCCTCTGATACCTTGCCAAACCCGTAACCCGTCACTCTACGGGTTGTAAATTAAGAATCTGGAAGCATAAAATCAATGACGCTTACCTGTTGAAAATCGCTTGTTTCACAGGAATCGCTTCAAGCTTCCAAGTGTCAGCGAAAAATCTATGAACAGCCTCACAATCCCTCAGAAGAAGCGAAAGAGCCATTGGATGCTCCCGAGGCACAGCTTGAGAAACGTCAATCACCCAAACTCGTTTTTGATGATATAATAAGTTGAACTCGGAGAAATCACCATGAACGATTTTCGCCTTCGACCACATTTTTCCGAGGATTTCGAGCACTTGGTCGAACACTTCTAGTTTTTGCTTCTCTTTTGTTATCTTTCGAAACGGCTTTCATTTTGAACGGTTGCTTTTAGCCCTTATGCAAAAATTGATCAATGGTAATTTCATCGATTATTACTAAGAAACTTCAATGATTATCTTGCATTCTCTGGCTTATTCCAAGATACGATGGACTTAACCTCCACTAGTATTTTTGGCCGCATCCCTGAGCATCTTTTAGCCGCGGGGCAGGAATACCATTATCGCCAATAAATCTCATAAATAGAATATGCTTCTTGATAGTGACCGGTTCTGGGCAGGGAATTCCATGCTTCAGCAACAGTTTTAAATTAAACAGCTCTTTTTCGCACCACATTCGAATAATCTTGCGAGGGTTCATCTTTTTGAAGCGATCTTTGAACCTTTTTAGCGCGTTCGAAAATTATCTTCTTGGCAGAAAAAAATAATTATTATTTCTCATTTGAGAATAGGGAGAAAGATGCGTTTTCGAGCTCGTTCCTATAATCGTTGGCAATATAATCCTGTCTGTTCTTAAATTCATTCAGCGTCGTTTTGAAAACCTTGACGGCCAATTCTCCCGGAATCGGCTCTTGAAGCTCCTCCGTCGTTTGACCTCCTGTCGCATGAATGACAACTGCTTCCTTTCCAGTGGCAACGATGCCGCCAAATGATTCAACCATGCCGTTGTTGATGGCTTTTTGAAGTGTGACTCTGGTGCTCTCGTCCATCGCTCGCTCGGCCGTCGCTTTTTGGGATTTTTCGCTTTGGCGACGGGTTCGTTTTTGATCTGAATGTTTTTATCTAACAATTTGTATTACACCCGTTGTACGCCTTCCTTAGGAGGCATTAGTTTATTTAGTTCAAGAATAGAAGTTAGAGAATAAGATTCTCCGAAGTTCAAACCTTAGGAGCATTAGCCTTTTTTCATGAGAGAAACTGGCACATATAAAAATACGCGAAGTTTGATAAATCCACGAATAATTCTCATACTGGCTCATTGAGCGTCATTTTATGATCTGATCAAGCTCCATTGTTCGATAAGTTTAGCGGAGAAAGACGAATTCAGAATTGAAAATCTGAATCTCTATTTGCTGAAAAAGCAACGAAAGGGCAAATACGACGACCCTATTTGGAAAATAAAAGATTTTCTTGCGAAAATTAAAGCAGTTCTTTTTCTTTGAAAGAGAATATGGAAGATGATGATAGCGTTCTCGAAGAGATCAAGGAAAGATGCAGAAGAGACTTTGAAAAGAACTTGAATTACTTTTTGGGATGCTACAAGAAGAACAAAACGGAACTGAACGAGCGGATTCGAAAACTGAAAAATGAACAGGCTGATTTTGACAATGAAACCAAGACGATTGACAAAAAACTTCGCCAGGTAAACTTGATTTTGACAATTTACGATAATAAATAAAACTCAGCTCCAAAAAGAGATCAACAAGCTGACAGAACGACGAGATTCGATCGAGGCGTCAAAGGCCGAGAAAAGCATGAAGATCGTAGAAGCGGAGAACGAAATGGCCGAGTTAGAACGAAAGCTCAAAACGCTCTCCTTTACTGGAAAACTTGGAGCATCGATTGACTCGCCACGGTCATCCAGCTCGTCGGATAATAATGGACAGAAAAAACATCTGCTTTAGAGCTTTTATTAGAAGAAAAATAAAATGAGTGATTCAAGAATTCTCGTCCAATATTTGATTTTTGCATGCACTCACGAAAGGAGAGCATTTTCCCTTTTCCGGGTATTATCAGAGAGGAGCGACTTACTTTTGAAATATGTCTGAAAACAAGAAAGACGCGATGGAAATCGTCGATATTTTATGCAACACGCAAAGTTATGAGCAAGTTCTTGATGATGATTTAAATGCCAGAAGAGCAGAGGAACCGAAGCTTTTTGAAGAAAGGGAAAGAGTCGAGAGAGAGATTAAAGAGTTGAATCGTAAAATACTTCGCTTAGAAAGCAGAAAAAATCATCTTAATTGCGCTATTGAGGACAATCGTCAAAAAATCCAACGTACGTAGGAAGCTGGCACATTCATTTTCTAACCATTTTAATTCAGAAATTGAAGAAGCAAAAGAAAAGCTAAAACACCTCAATAAATGAGTTCCCAATTCTTTCATGCTTTATCAGTCCGAATAAAAGTGTTTCACCTGAATCTCCATTTTTACGACAACATAACAAAGGTCCTCTGCGGCGATCATGCCAGGACCAATATTCAATATTTACATAACTCGAATTTCAAGCAGAAAAAAGTCTTGCACGAGAAGTGATTAAAAGCTCGATTTTAACGAAATTACATGTCGGACGTGAGCAATATTATAAAATCGGCAAAGGAGAACTTGGAACGGCAGTTTGAAACGTTTCATTCGGATTTCTCAAGAACCACAGGTAAGTGATTTATTAGGTAGTAGGGGGTTATCGGTGGGGCTTCTGAGCCTAAGCCGGGGGGCTACGCCTACTGGACCCTCCAGTAGATACTCCTCTAAGCCGAGAAAATTGGAAAACAATTTTTCAGGTGTCTTGAGAAGCAAAATTCAAGAGCTGACCGACAAAAACACGAGTTTAACGTCCCAACAGTCCGAAATAGATGAAAACGTCGTAAAACTTGTAACAAAAATCTCAACCCTAAAACGCCAAAAAGAAAATCTCCAAAAATCAATCGACGAAAACAATGAAGAACTTGCTGATTTGAAAAAGGAGTTGGACAACTTCGAGCGCAAATTTACGAACTTGTCAATCAACCATTCTGTTTTGTCTGGAGCTGGAACAGCGGAAGGAAATATTTGCAAAAAATGCGTGCTTCCGTACGACCAGATTGAACGATTTCATTCCGTTATTACGACCTGTGGCCATCAGTTTTGCCAAAAATGCTTGAAACAACTGTTCACGCTAAATAACCCGTTTAACTTTCCAATCAACCAGGAAATATCGGAGGCCTCTTGTCCTAACCCGACCTGTAACAGATCGTTCGCCCAGGCAAATATTATTAAGCTGAATTGAAACCTGACTGAAATAAAACATACACTAGACTGATGACTTTTCAGTTGAAGGAAACTAAGGAAAATGGTCATAAATTACCTTTGAACGCAGATCTCCTCAAATCGTTATAAATCTTGTTGCTCAATGGAACTTGTGACGTATGCGCATCGCCACAAGTCGAGCTTAGTGGCATATTATCAGTGAGTTTTTGCATGTTCCTGTGTCCACTCATCTCCAGATCGTGTTTTGTAATTGTGTGTCCATTTACGCAGGCGTACCCTTTTCGTCCAATTTGAAAGGCTTTGTCGTACACTCCTTGCTCATCTTGCTCGTCAGCGTAGTCATCTTCGTCCGACGGGATCGCCACTGGTGGTGGGTGATTTATTGTGCGACCTGGATAGGCTTGGTTTGAAACGTATTCTTCGTCGAATTTCTGCTGCAGCATTCGTGCTAGTAACTCGTCTGATGTGCAATCTGTTGATTCTGATTCTTGATCCGCAAATGCTTCCTGTGTGCTACAATATGGGTTAATTCCGTTAACCCTCGAAGGCAAGTACGTCCAAAATTCGCGATTTCGCGACTAAGAGCCCGTACTTACCTTTGTTCTACTGATAAACTGTCCTCCATCGAAAGTTTAATCGCCATGGCAATATCTCTATCCTCAGCATTATTCACTTCGTCCTCCTTTTGCTCCTGCATCAATTCCCGAAAGCTCTGAGCTTGAGGTCGCTCTGGCGTCTTCCAGGGCGAACTCATGCTTTTAGCTTTTCTGAAAATAAGGAATTTGTTTGAAAGTGCTTTTTCATCGCTTAGGAGACTTTATTGAGCTGTTGTTAAATAAAGCAGGTTACGATTAAATGAAATTGCAAGTCGATGTTTTTCAGTTGTTTTTATGTGGCAGAAGACATATAGAAAGATAAAGGGAATCTTCGGAGACAAGGGAGATTTCATTAGAGAGTATCTGTTGATTTTCGATCGTTCAGCACATTGGGAGCTGCGAAATTGGAATCGCGAATTTGAAGTTTTCAGGGAACAGATCTTTTGCGCGCTAAAGGAATGTTAGTCGTTTCTTTCATTTTATCTTTAAGATTGAGAGGTAAGTTATCAGAGGAACTTACTGGGTGCATTTGTTTGTAACTTTGACGGATGGTGACTTCAGCAACACCGGTAATGTCACCGATTTCCTTGGCAGTTTTTCTTGTTTCAGACGCCTAAATATTGCTCTCAAAGCTGCTGCATATGCATCTTCTCACCTGTGAGGCCATGTAAATCGCCGCAGCGGCGAGGGAGAGCGGAGATCGCCCTCCAACCAAATCCAATTCGACGGATTTCTTTGCGATATGAATGGAAGCAGCCTCGACTTGCTAAATAAGCGAGATAGTAACACGCTCTCATACGAAATATGTCCGCAAAATAAGACATACTCTGTTGAGCCGGAGCGAGTTGCAAAAACGCTTCATGAAGTCTTCTGATGTAATGACGTTGACGCTCTTTTCGAGAGTCTTGATGATCAGCTTGAAGCAGCGGCCGATTTCTTTCTTCGGAACCGTACAAACAGCGCAGATCTCCTTGAAAAAAATGTTTTAGGTTACTCCTTCACTTTAATTTCGTACCTTGAATGTTCGTGGAACTCCTTCTTGTCGACAGGCAATGTATAGACAAGCCGCAGCGATAGCATCATTGGATCTTCCCTTCAACTGACGCGATTCATAAGCCTCCTTGAAATTGACCTTCGCCCGGTCCACCAGCGATCCAGGAAAGTTCATCCGATCCGCCATCGCTCTAAATGGCTTTTCACATCATTTTTCTTTGCCGGTTCTTTACCCGATTTCTCGGTAAGCGGCACTGAGAGCGCGATCAGCTGCGTTCATGTGTCTTCGATGGTGACTCAGCTTGGAGAATTCGCTCTCTGCTCCGTTCGTCGGAGCAGCGATCATCGTACTCAAATCGGAACCGGAGTTGGAAAGGAATCGGTTCTCGACGTCACCGACTCGGGAGCGATCTTTTGACCCACTGTCGTTACTGAATGTTCTCCACTCGCTTGTAGAATAAACTGTTAGAGCTTTACGGTGAAGTTCATAATTCACCTTCCAACGTCGATGACTCTATCACCAACAACAAGTCCGCATTCGGTGCAAATCATATCACCAGCGCGGTAATCTTCCGCCAAATGAGCGTCTGGGTGATATTGACAGCGAACTTGCTGACCTCTTCCCGATGCAGCCGCCATTCTGAAATTTAAAAAATCAAGTAAATATGACATGTTTATTGCTGATTATTGAAGAGATAAGGCAACTGAATAGTGATCGCATAATTAAAGTTTATGAATGAGATCATCAGAGGGTAAATCATTCGGGAGTTGTCTCCACCAATCTTCGAGCAATCCACTTTCGACGATTTTCGAAAACCAGGGCGTGACGTTTTCAGAGCTCACGAAGGGCTTGAGATCTTCTGATGCTAGCCACTAAAGATATAGTTGAATAAGCTGCCTGTAAGATGTTTTATGAAAGTACTTTTGTATCAGAAACTTCGTCAGGATTCGCAGAAAAGTCAAAGTCTCCAAAGCTCAAGACACAGTGATCGAGCTCGTTTTCCGCGAGTGTTTCTGAGCAATTCGAAGAGTAAAGAATCCTTGTTAGATGATGAATCTTTCCCGCGTCGAGTTTCAGTCCCAATTCGAAGTCTGCTCTTCTCTTGGCCGCAGTTTTAACGCCTTCGAAATCGTCCATTTCGGAAAGGGTATAAAGAGGATGAGAGCAGCAGGTGTTGGTCCAGAGATCCGGAAAGGTGACTTTTACGAGGCTTCTTTTCTGGATCAAAAGTTTCTTGGAAGAATTGAAGTGGAAGAGAGAAAACGCGCGGTGTAGTGGAGATTTGCCGTCGACAATCGTATGCGACTGAAAATTCGTGTTATTAGGGGAACGAGATTCGTTTCTAGAGATCAAAGAAAAGTAATTTCAAATTCATGATAGACGAGTCTTTTTGTAGAGTCAGATTGGCTCAAGTTTCGATAAAATGTAGAATTTTCGAAGTTTTTCATGAACATTCAGCAGCGATACCTGCAATTTTGAAAGGCTTCCTTGAATTCTATCATCTTCATCGACCAAGATCAACTTTTCATCAAAAAATTGACTCTGTGAGGGGCAAACGGCAGCTTTTCTTCGCGAAATTCCTAGTATTCTCCCAATTCTTTGTCCAATCATATTTTTTATCTTCTAGAACTTCCTTGTTAGTTATGTAAGTTCTTCTGTCGGCTGATCTTCAGTTCTTGAGCTGCTTCGTCCGTTTCGTTGAAAACCGTAAGTTTCACTTTTTGAGCTTTCTTTTTCCGCGGTGCTCAATTGACAAGTGGCGCGCACGCGGCGATTGGATGACTGGAAAGTGAGAAATGTTTTAGACGAGTTTTCCCGAGAATTTCAACCCTTTTCCAGCATTTCTTCTGAAGAAAATGAATTATCGTTTATTCAATAATTACTATCAGCATCCGATGATTTTTCTTTGCATCAAAATTAGTGATTAAGAAAAATCTTGTTCAAACGAACGCTTTTTTTCGCGACGGTTGCATGGAAAGATTACAAAACAAGCATTTTAGATGATTATTTGTTACAGTAACTGGTAAAATTTTGAAATAGATAGTTTCTCCAGAAGAATCCTCAACTCGACGAGTATTGATCTTTGACAAACAAACGTAAATTCACTCATAATGACCTTAAGACTCCTGTAATGACCTTCTTTGAGTTCAGAGCTGAGCATGAGAAAAAACTATCTAGAGTTTTACCATTTTCAGAGAGTCTGGGCGTCCAGAGGTCTTCCAGTAGAGTTCAAAGTTCGACTGAGGTGATAAGAAATCTAATTATCGCCAGGGCGCCTTCTGAGTTACCAAATCCTGTTTCGTTTTTCTGATCACTCCCTTATTGGGAGTGACTCCTTTTGTAGAGATGTCTTATGTTCTTTTATAAATACACGAGAGACGCTGCAAATCGCTGTTTTTTTTTGCTAAAACCGGGCTGAAGGAACGAAAAAACTGCCATTCATTCCTCTAACAGTCATCTAATGAATAGTTATATTTACTTTTTCATATTCACGCAGCGAATAAAATACTGGCTCCACTGAGACAGGCTTATTCTTTGTCTTGATTTCGACCTTTGTTCTTTCCCCCGATCGATTTTCTGTTTCAAACTTGAGCTCCATCCTCAGATGACCGCGCTTTATATAAGCCGAAGGATCCAGAATTTTGCTCCCGGCCATATAACAGAGAGAATTTACAGAAGCCTCAATAACAAGACATTTTTTCAGATAGAGAACGATCGTAATGTCGGTGTCTCGCACTGTTCAGCAGGTTTCTAAGCGCGGTCTCGCAGCTACAACCAAAGTTGCCCAAGTCGATGCGAAAACGGACTCGTTTGCCTTTGGCATCATGCAGGTACCTTCACAATTTTGTATATTCTGATTGAACGGCCATTCTAGGGACGAGTTAACCCCCAGCATATGTTCCCCTACCCAGACGTACTTCCCGAAGAAAACAAAGAAAACCTCACCGCCATGGTCGACGCCTTCTCCAGCTTTTTCGAAAACGAAAACGACCCCCTTCACAACGACCAAATCGCTACGGTTCCCGACGAAATCATGCAAGGCGCCGCGGAAATGGGTGCATTTGGTCTCCAAGTTCCCGAGGAATTGGAGGGTCTCGGACTTAACAATACAGAATACGCCAGATTAACTGAAATCGTTGGAGAGAATGATTTGGGCTTTGGAATTGTTATGGGCGCTCATCAGTCTATCGGTTTCAAGGTAGGTCCATCGAGCCTCTTTTAAGCCACTTTTCTGAAGAGTATTCTCTCAGATTACGTTCTAGGCAATTCTTATTTGTGGAAACGAAGAGCAAAAGGCCAAATATTTACCTGACGTCGCCACTGGTCGAAAATACGCTGCCTTCGCCCTGACTGAACCCGGTTCTGGATCCGACGCTGCCTCAATTCAAACTCGAGCTACTCCCTCTGAAGACGGAAAGACGTACTACCTCAACGGCGGAAAAGTGTGGATCTCGAACGGTGGCTTCGCCGAAATCTTCACTGTCTTTTGCAAAGTTCCAGAAGTGCAAGAAGATGGAACAACTAAGGATAAGATGGCTGCCTTCATCGTTGAGCGAGCCTTTGGCGGCGTTACCAACGGTCCTCCAGAGAAGAAGATGGGCATCAAATGCTCCAATACGGCCGAAGTTTACTTCGATAACACCCCAATTCCAGCAGAGAATCTTATTCGAAATGTTGGCGACGGATTCAAGGTAAAAATTTCTTGAGAAAATTTGATTTGATTCCATCAGCTGTCGATTTATTTATTGAATTATTCCCCAGGTTGCGATGGAAGTTTTGAACAACGGTCGATTCGGTATGAGCTCTTGCCTAGCTGGCACTATGCGAAAACTAACCAAGCGTGCTGCTGAATTCGCTTACAACAGAAAGCAATTCAATGACAAGATTTACAACTATGGCGCGATTCAGGAGAAACTCGCTCGAATGGCCGCTGAGCAGTATGCGGTCGAGTCCGTTGCATATCTTATCTCACAAGTAAGTGGCACATTAACGGGCGTTTGACTATAGTTCCTACTAGGCCATGGATTCCAAAGCCGAAAACTATCACCTCGAAGCCGCTATTGGCAAAATCTTTGGTTCCGAAAAAGCGTGGCAAGCCGCTGATGAATGCATCCAGACCATGGGTGGAATGGGATTCATGTACGAACAGGGTGTCGAAAAGATCATGCGAGATCTGAGAATCTTCCGTATCTTCGAGGGCACCAACGACATTCTCAGACTGATGATTGCTCTCCAGGGTATGCAGGTGCAGGGCAAATTGCTCAAAGCGGACAAATCGATGGCGGTCAAAGCGATGATTGCGGGCAAGACTGGATTCTCTGTCGCCGGATCAGCCGGTGGAAAGTTGGCATCGCTCTCCTGCAGCCAGCTCTCATCCGAGGCAAAAGCCATTGAAGGTAAACCCCTCGAAAGGCCTTGATTTCAACGTTATTCTAGAGTGCATTAACGCCTTCCACGTCGCCTCGACAAACCTCCTCGTCGAGCACCAGAAAAAAATCATGTCCCGCCAGTTCGAGCTCAAACACGTTGCCGACTGCATGATCAACATTTACTCCGCCTCCGCTGTCCTTTCTAGAGCCACCGCCGCTGTCAACCTCGGAAAACCAAATGCTGACCACGAAATCGACCTCGCGCGAATTTACATCAACGAAGCTACCCTCCGAGTGAAGAGAAGTATCGAAGATATTAACAAGTAAGCTCATGATTTGTTACCGTCATCGAATTTTGCGTTTTAGCGGCGAGCTTCATTCCGCCATGGCCAAGGTTGGTGTTCAAATTGCCGAGGCTGAAGGTTGTATTCATTCCCATCCTATCTGCTAACCGTAGCCGTGAAAAACTATTTATTCTGAAAGAAAAGCCGTCCTTACGTTAAAAATAAACTCAAGTACTATGTTGGAATCGTTCTATATTTGCACATCATGGACTGATTTATCTCAATTTCATTCATGATGCCTGGCTCTAGAATTTGTTGAAAGCGCAACTTGCATGAAGCAGGGTATTTAAAATAGATGGAGCATCTGCCGATAGTAGCACTTTGCTGGAACAAAGGAGGCAATTAATTTGTCAGAATGGTATTCTTGCATTTGTGTCCGGTTGGTAAGTAGTTAACACTGGTGTACCGGACGCTTGTTGATTGGCGCCGTTAGCGACATCGCCGCGGGCAATTTTTGTAACTTGGCAAGGGCGGCAAGGGTTTCTGTCAATCAATTCCAGAGACCCTCCTACGTGACCTTGAAGACTCCAATTCAAAATATACCATCCCTTCTTGAGAGAGAGCGTAACCCGAGAGGGGATCTCTTGTCCTCCGCGCGGGCTTGCGTCTAACCTGCGTGCGCGTGTGTATACTGATCCGTGGAGCATTGGCAGAGCAGAATTTGAGCTGATTGAACTTTTTCGCTCCTGATGCGCGGGGAGCGCCTCACCATCACTACCCGCGGCCACCTGGTCCGGGAAGCGTGTACAGCGCGGCCAGTACTTACAACACATTTAACCCAGGCTCGCATGGGCACCCTCACGATGGTTACGGCTCTGACGAGTCTGGAGAGTACGATCGTCTGGGCTTCGATCCGCCGCCAGGACAGAGTAAGGAATTTTTCGAAAATGGAACGTTTTGTTCAGCGCATCCCGTTTTGTAAACACTTGAATCATAAGTTGTCAACCTTCAAAGATTATCATATTCTTGGAGGTTTGAATCTTGAACCAGAAATTTAGACGACGGAGGAATGGGATCAATCAGCAGGCTACCCCCGCATCAGAGATTTTTCCAAGAAGAATTTGGGAAAAGGGATAGAATTTATTGACGCAATCAACTTTCCTTCCGAGCGCTTTTGTAAATTTACTAAACAGACCAGGACCTCAAAGAGGGCACCCGCAACATGGAGGACCGCAGTATCCCCATCATCAAATGCCTCCAGGACCGAGGGGTCCCCGCCAACCTCATCAAATACCTCCGCAAAATCACATGCACCAGCGGCCGCAGCATCCTGGCGTGCATCAATCGATAAGAGGTATTTTCAAACCATTATCCAGCTATTCAAAATATTCTAGAGCTGGAGTACCAAATCGTCAAATTTGAAAGTAAAAAGCTTTTTTTTTTATTAGTGAATTTCGTCATGATGAAATTTACGGTTTTTGGCGTCTTTTTAGAACGGAATTTTTGTCGAAAAATAATGTTATCTGAAAAGAGTTATGATCCCACTTGGCCGGTCGGGCGATAACGCAATTATCTTTAGGAAATGGGTACCCTGAGATGGAAGGCGGCGGTGGTGGGCACCACCATCGTCATTCGACTTACAACGAAGGTAGAGAAAACAAACTTATGGTTGTGAATTATTGGTAACCACTAGTCATTTTGTGTAGAGCAGCAGTATGTTGAGACACTGCGGCGCAAGTTGGACCAGCTGCTCATGGTCGCCGAGCAAATGGACCAAACAGCAAGCGGGGCGACGGAAGCTTGGGAGAGTTATCAAATGATGAAGCAGTATCGGAACCCGCAGCTTAGCCGGAGTCAGGTAGAAGCTTCAAAAATCTCCAGAAAACTCAGTAGTTTAGTCGATGCGTTCTCTGAATCACCAACCCATGATGAACCACGGACCTCCTCCTGGACCGGGTCCTGGTCCAATGAGAGGCCCCGGTCCACGAGGGCCTGGATACGGACCACCCCCATCGCATTTCCAGAATGGCGGTCCTCCCCCGAATTATCAACACCAAGGCCCACCAGCTCGTATGGGTGGCCCACCGCCCAACCGTCTACCTCATCAACGTCCACCTCCGCAACACGGTCCACCGCAGCAGGCGTATGCAAATGTGATGTTTGACAATAACCGCGGCTGGGTAAGCAAGGTCAATCTTCGGAAAAACAATTCATGATTTAGAATGTCCCTAATTTCGATGCCGCTCCTGGGCCCGTTTCTCGGCGAGATCCTCGCTGGGAGCCGAAGAAACGCGCTGAAAATAAACGTCCGCCAAATCAACTTGACATCGGGCGACAACAGCGAGGGGGAATCATTCCGCCAGAAGAGCTTCAACACCGAGTCGAGCAGCATCAAGCCGAAAAGACTCGCAATCAAATGATGCAGCAAAGAATACAGCAGTATGAGCATCAAGCTCTTCTTTTCCGACAGCAGCAGTTAAAAGCGGAATCGCCACTTCAAAGCATTGGCCGCCCAGGGCAACCGTAAGCCAACCACATAAGTGGATCACAATGCTGTTTATTTTGTGTTTCAGAAACCAGCAGCAACTTGGACCGCTCCACGAACCCTCAGACAACGGTCCAATGGGACCGATTCGAATGCCATTCCCTCATCTTCTTCATCCTCATCTTATGCAGCAACAAGTTCATCCACACATGCACCACCAACACCTCCACCATGGCGGGATTCCCGCTCACATGCGTCATCAGTTTTTCGATGATCATCGACTTGGTACACTTTCAGAGCCTGGCAACAACTTTGCGGATCTTTCAGGAACTCGTTGAAATTATCAGATTTTAACCTCTTCTTTTACTTTTTTTCAACAACGAAAAGATGTAAAATCAGAAGCTGGAAATCAATCTCTTGCTCAAAAGAACTCCGCATTTGCCAGAGCAAAGGCCTTATCGCTCAGTACTCCAGACTTGTCAGGTAAACAATTTGGGGCTTTTCCAGGTACCCAGTGTGTCGATAATGGTGCGGCAAGCTCTGTTCGAGAACGGTTTCTTGACTCTTTAGGAATCGTTTTCAAGTAAAGTACACTGCAATTTTTTATATCGCTTTTTTGGTGGCTTACTGTATTATTCCCTGCACTGGCGAAATTGATAGAAACAAGCACACTGCTGGTTGTTTTTTTTGCGATGACCGCATTGCGGTAAATGCCTGTATTTTTCCAACAGTTTAATTCGATACTTGCTACAATCGACACTCTGGATGTAAAACTTGATATTAGGAAACGCCATTTTCCGCCCGATCTCGCCTGATTTAGAAGACCCGACGCTGATACATCGCGAGCGCGCTGAAAAGGTACTTTCGTTTGTTGATACTTCAACCGCCGTTCTTGTTATTCGTAAATACAATTTTGCCTTGTCCCGAATTCATGCATTTCGGCGTTAGAAATTTGTTTCACTCGTCTAGCAATCATGTTTAATGAATTTGGTTTTCTAGCTTGCAAAATTGCAGCAACTGGCGGCCAAAAAAACGAACAGAGAGCATCAAGAGACGGCGACTTCCTCCGCCAAAGTGCAGAAGCCAACGCCGATCAAGCCCGAGCCAGGTATAAATTGAATTTATATTTACGCAACGTTAGAGAGACGGAGAAATTCCTCTGCCTTTCGGCTTTTCACGGAGAAGATTTGCACTTGATAAAAAATGAATTTTAGCTAAAGCAAGCGTTTCGAAGAAACCTGAACGGAAATTGCAGCGGAAAGTGTCGATTGATTCGGACTCATCTCTTGACTTGCCGATGAACCAGAAAATCCTCCCCCGGGCATCGGCCGTCCTCGCTCCCAAAACGGCTCCAGCCAAACCGACGCTGTCTACTGCTGCAGCGGCGGCCACGCCTTCACCTGCTCCAGAGGATGATGGTGGATCGGTCTTTCTCAAGAGCTTGTCAGCTTTACGGGATAACTGTTTGAGTCCAGCCGAGGCAGAGGCGAAACATAAAGACGGAAGACTTTTGGGTGCTCTTGGAATTTCAGAAAATCAAAGCTAGGGCTCAAAATTATGATTTTATCATGCAAAATGTATTGCCAATGACTTATTTTCAACCCTTTTTGAAGCGATTGTGATTCGACTGATGTTGAAGGTAAAAATCCAAAATTTTTGACAAAATTTTGATGATATTTTTTCGCCTTGTTCAGACGCCAAAAGCACCGCTTCGTCTGGCAAAAAGATGGTTCGCTTTCGGATCTCCTCGGACGACAATGACGAAAGTGACGAGCCTGACGACCTTCTTTAGCACAATTTTGAACTTTTCGTGATTTCTCGCCGCGTTTGACCGTGAGCGCCCTCGGGCTCCTCTCCCACGTTTTCCAGCGTCTTCAAACGTTACTCTATCTTCCGCAAAACAGGAACCTTTCATCTTACGCTGCTTTGCGGCTTCGTTTTTGTAACGCTCACGTTTTTAATTTATTTTCTGCAATTTTCCGAAAGCTAAAAAATCATAAACCAAACTATAAGAGAATACTTTATTGAAGGAAAAGAGATTTATCAGGAAAAAAAGCCATGAAAATCATTTTTATTCGGGTCCTGTTCAAATCGCCCTTTTCCGGATTTTGGTAGATTTCAGGCGTTACTAATAATTTCTTTTTTTAAGAAAAATCGACTGGTAGAAATTAATACATAAAATGCGGACGGTGCACGTAAAGGCCACCCGCCGTTCAGTGCTGATTCTTGTTGTTGTCGGCTTCGTAATCGTCGCCATTGCTGTGATCCTTGTCGAGAGATGGAGATCTTCCAAGCCCAAGTTCAACCTTGAGGAGGCCCTCAAGCGGCCAGACATGTAAGTCATCTGTCCAGCGATTACCTAAAGCCCATCGTAAGGCGCAAATTACCGAACGCGGGTTGAAAAATGTTCGACCACAAGTCTTTAGAAATTTTCAAATGCTTCGCTAAATAGCCATTTAGCAAAGAATTCAAAGGAATTTTAGACAATTAAACGAAACAGCATGGGGCTACTCGTTTCCAGTTTTTCCTCGAACCTCCATGATTGCGGACGAGTACAAGCAGCCGAGCTTCGATAGCGCTAGAATTTTAAACACGCCTCTGGGAATCAAAGACTCGGGAGACTGGAGCCAGGATGGGCAGTCGCTATTTATTGACCAGGTATGTTGTCTCAAATAAAATTTAAGTCAAGTGTTTTTTTAGCTTCTTGGCGGAAAAGAAGATGGATTCTATGTTGAGATCGGGGCAGATGATGGAGAACATTATTCGAATTCACTGTTCTTCGAAGTTTTTCGGCACTGGAAAGGAATTTTGTTTCGGGATGAAACACGAATCACTGTAATATACCTTTTCTTCTCAATCGTTCGATAATAAGTCGAAATTTTCATCCCTTCTACCAGATAGAGCCCAATCAAGAATCCTTCGCCCAACTTCTCCAACTCAACCGAAAAGCCCTCGCTCTGAATAGCTGTGTCTCCCCGACCACGTTGTCCGAAAGCTTCACGTTCGTGTCGAACCCCTTTGAAAATCACAACGCTGGCTTTCTCGGTGGTATTTCCGAGTTTCTGGAATTAACAAAGGATGGCGTACTCCAAGCAAAGTACGAGCAGCACTTTGCTGATGGGCAAGGCTTTGTCAATTGATATTAAGTAAATTTTTTTAACAAAGAATTACAAAGAATTTTTTGCAAAGCCTGCAAATAGCGATTTATACAGTCCCGTTGTGAATACGAAAAGATGCACGCCGCTTATTGACCTACTGCCCTCAAATGTAGATACGATAGATTACTTATCCCTCGACACAGAAGGTTCTGAACTCGCGATCTTGAAAACGATCCCATTTGGAAAACTGAAAATCAACGTCATTTCTGTTGACGTTTCCGTAAGCGCACTCGACCTTTACCCGTTCAAATCTCCTTTTAGTCAATCACGGGAGAGCGAAGAGACGAAGGACTCTACGATTTTCTCTGGAAACATGGCTACAGAAAAGCCGCATCGCTGACGCACGACGACATCTTTTACTTGTCGAGTTGGTAGCGCTAGATTTAACTGTCATAGAAATTATAACTGTTATATTATGTTAGTTTGTGTAAATTTAAAATTCTGTACAGGAAATAAAAACGTGCCCACTGCGTGGTGACGCGGAACGAATCAATAAATACGAAGTACAATCGAGTCAATCATTTATTCAAAGAAAAAAATCAAGAAGGATCGGAAGCAGTTTTATTCGGGCAGCATTTTTTCTTGCAGTTTTTCCCAAAGAAGCACAGCGCCGCGCCAAGAAGGAGCAAAAAAGTTAGCGAGAAAAAAATCGCAAAAAGTTTTGGAAAATCTTCGTCTTCTTGGACGGCTGACATGATCTCTAATTAAAAATCACAAAAAGGTGACGTCGAGACGGATCAAATGCAATTAGCGGAGCTTTTTACGAGTTTTTTCAATGCATGAGTTTCCTGGATTTTGTGAGATAATTTGAAGGAAACAAAAAGTAATTGGCTTTGTTCAGTTTATTTAAATATAAGTCGATAGAAATGTGGCAGGAGCTTAGGGAGCTTCAGTTGAACATTGAATATGATTTCTGTAATACCACAATTCTTGCAGCATTAGCCAAAAATCTGAAGACGAGGATAATGTCATCACAATTACGAAACGCCAAACCTTTATCTTTGGCTGCTGTTCTTGCAGAAACATAGTCTTCCTTTCTTTCTGTTGGTGCACAATCACTCTTGTGCATTATCATCGGCTTCGAACACCAAGCAACTCTAAGATGACCGATCGAATCGACGAAAAATTCTCGATGTCCCTTGTTAGTAAATTCAGGGTCTAAAAGGGTCTTTTTCGTGATTTCAATTGTGGGAAGACTAACCGAATCTGATCTTGCCGGCTGTCATAGTTCGGGCAAGAAAGAAGTTGAGAATGACATCTGTCACTTCACATTCCTCCTCGAAACCTGGAAGGGCAAAGTTGCTGTATTCCGTTCTACTGTAGCAATAACCGTCATTAGATGGGAGGAGACTTATGTGGCCCCATTTTGCCCATTTTGATTGAATATGGCTAAATATTTTTAATGAAATTTTACTTGTCTTTCGTCGTTACCCATTTATTCCGGCGCCGATAATGTCGAATCCTGTCTTCTCCGCCACATTGACCATGTATTGTAAGTCCGTCTCTTCGGTGAACCAGAAGTCATCATCGACCCAAAGATAAAATTGCGTCCTGACTTGACTTGCTGCTAAATTGCGCCCAGTAAACCAACCTTCTGCTTCTGGCATCTTAAATTGCTTGACCGTGATACTTTCGCTTGTCAGTTTCTTGAAGTAGTCATCGGGATTGTCGTCAGCGATTATAAGGGTTATTCCCGGATAAAATTCTTCGAGAGATTTGATGAGCCGCTCTACGCAGGGATATCTACAAATAAATGATATTGATGCCGGGGTCGAGAATTACCTAAGAAACGTCTTCGTTATCACAGTCACTCTATCTGTAATGACATTTGAAGTCCGATGAACAAGGACTGGCATTTTCGCTCTTTCAATCGTAACCGGAAACGATATTTCTACTTCTATGTTTCCAGAGGTTTTCATCGTGACAAGATCTTCCAGCTTTCTTGAGTCGTAGGTGTTTGGAACATATTTGAATTTGGATAAATTGAATTCTTCGACTGTCATTTCTTTGCAAATGTATTTTTTCTCATTTTTGGAACATTTTGAGTTCTGGATATCTCCGTAGAAAGACGTAAAAACTGGCGTAACTGTATGTTCATTTTTGGAAATGATTCTAATCTGGAGGTCGACGGATTCTAGCGGCTCAACTTTGTATCCACTGGAGACAAATTCAACCGGCAGAAAGGCAGGGGTTAAAATGGGCGCTGGTTTCGCAACTTCGTAATAATGGTCTCTCTTCCAGTTTTCGTGGTCGTTCAGATGTTCGGTGATGTCTCCAGAGACATCTTTGTAATTGAGCCTGCCACATTTACAGGAAGAGTTTTTATACAGATCTTTAGGCTGTATTAAATGTGTAGGAATTCCACGGTCCCAAGGTCGTAAATTCGAAGTGTCACTCAGGCGTTCGTATTCTTCAAAGTAGAAATCACAACAAGTAAGATTATTCTGCTCCTTACCTAGATGATCGACTCTTTTGGGGACGTACTTTTCCAACTCAGTTGCTTCTTTATGTTCTTCAATTTCTCTAATCTCGGCAAAAGAGTCCTGAAGAGCTAGTTTCTCAAATCTTTTGTGCTGGTTATCTTCGAAGGTATGAATGTACAAGTCTCTGTAGATGATGGTTGCTTTTGGGGGCTCAGAAATATCGATCTTAATTTTGGAACAAAAATTTAAAGTACCGAACCGCTGCTGAGAAAAAAGCTCCAAGAGAAAAAAATATGCTCGTAATTAGAAATTCTCTGGTTTTCATTCTCTTCAATAATTGCCTCACTATTCGGACAAATGTGTCAAATGTCAATGAATTCCCCTGTAAAAATGATAAATGATTCATTTATTTAAAATGAATCCGCTCCGCCGCAAAGAAGCTTCGGAATATGTTGAAACTCTAGGCATTTGCAATAATCGGGTGACACTGTCATTGTCGCCGAATGTCGCCGAATGTCGCCAAAAATAACTAAAACATCATGTTCTTGAAAATTTCACTTTGGGTGAGAATATTATTTTTTGCTAAATAACGCCGTTTTTGTCAAAACATCATCAAAAATCACAATTTTAACTCGGAAAATATATGAAGAAAAAAATAAAGTACTGAACCGTTACTGAGAAAAAAGCTCCAAGAAGAAAGGATATGGTCGGTATTAGAAATTCTCTGCTTCTCATCCTCCTCACGGCGGATGTTTCTGTTCGATTTTATGTTTGCAGTTGCTTTACTAATGTTTAGTATTCGTCACCGGACGGACGTGTCAACGGTCAAAAATTATCTAATAAAAATGATAAATAAATCTGCATCGCTGCAATCTATCTTTGAGACAGTTAAACTGCCCCTAATCGCTTCTTATCGTTGAAACAAACGAAAGTTAATGCCAGACTTTTTGATTTCCCGGGCCCGGAATCCGGGCATCTTTATGAAGGAAATCTCTCTCCGCCAAATCAGAAATTGAAAAATGTTAAATGAGGGGGGCTGAAGTACAAAAGAAACTCAATTATAAGAGAAACATCTGTTTTGTCTTTCTATTTGTATATTTTTTGCGAATAAAGATTACCAAGAAGAATGCTTCGACTAGTATCTTAGTGGAGGTTGCTGAATAATAACGGTCGGGCGAACGGTTCGCCGCCAATCTTTAGAGGTTCAATTTTCATATTGATTTGTGCCTATTGTCGCCAAAAATAACTAAAACATCATGTTCTTGAAAATTTCACTTTGGGTGAGAATATTATTATTATCTTATTTAAATTATCTTATAAAAATGATTTGAACCTGTTTCTCCACTTCCACCAAGGTCTACATAAGTACGAGGAGGGATGATTGTTATCGGAGATGGAGGCTCATAAGCGACAGTAAAGCTAGTAAAATACTCGATTTAGGGTCATTGACAGAATGTATCGATGCATACTAAGCAAGCTGCGAGAGTCCAATGAAGCTTCCAATGACCATTGTCACGATCCATAAGCTCCACAGATTCGTTACTAAACTGAACTGAATGTGCTCAATGAATTGACTGTGGTAATATCAGTCTTCGTAAGCATTTCCTAAAGAGTTCGAAGTCATCCATCTCAAAGAGATTGCAACTAGATTTGCTATCATGCAAAAGTAGCGCAGGCAATGTCGTATCTAGAAACTAAACTGGCTTTGGCACTTACCTCGTGACAGAATTATGCAATCGCAGAGAACAGTCAGAAGTAAATTTGTTTCAAGCTATAAACTTTCGAATTTCTCAATGCTCCGAAAATATTTTCAAATAGCATGGCCACTCCCACGTTTCAAATCTGACACTCACAAAGAACAGAATTGCAAATCGACAGTAAAATAAAATCTTGTTTCATCATAAAGAGCGTTCTAGTCTCAACTGGATCGCATTTTACTGTTGAAGAAAATATAAAAAATGCAGAAGTATAAAAGCAAACGTACCTGTAAGATGACGATTCATTTTAGTAGTTCTTTCTTAGTCGAAAATGAACAGGTCTAAAGTCTTCAATGGAATTTCTCTCGTACTAGGGTTGCTAGAGATGGCCGTTATCGGCTGCGCAAGCTATGGATTCGTTTACATTCAGTACACACTCGAGGAGGAGAAGCTATTCATGGAGCAGTATTGCACTGAAGAAGAAATTTCAGGAAAGCAGGTGAAATTCTTGTTGGTTGAAATCATAGAAGAGAACAATTTTCACCTCGAAATCAGCTCATATTCATTGCACCGCTGCAAAAGAAATTTTCGGATTGATTTGGACTCTCACTCTCTCTTGCTCGATCATTGGTGATTTGCTCATCAAACTTTTCCAGGACTACTTCGGCTTCTTTGCAGGAAGATTTGTTTGTGGCTCACTTCTTACCGTTGGCTTTGCTACGATGGGAATGTACAAAACGAATCCGTACCTCCTCTTTGTCGGGCAAATACTAATCAGTCTCCCTGCGTATCGAAATCTTTCTCAAAACATTTCCCTTGGTCAAATCTATATGGGCGAGAACAGTAGCATTGCGACAATTCTATTTCCTGGAATATGGATGTTTTCTTTGATAACTTTTCTTGTCGGGAAAAAGTTTACAGACATGGAAGTTATGAGTCTTTCTTCGTTTTTGTTCCTGTTGGCCGCGTTTTCTCTCATTGTTCATGTTCGATCGTTCTTCCTTCTGCCCAAGGATCTCATTCCCAGCCCAGTTCCGATTAATTATAACCTATTCCAAGCTTCGATCGTCGGACAATGTGTGATTGGAAAGAAATATGCAGCTTCAACACAACCAGAAATAAAAGACAAACAGATCGAAGACAACAACGTCAGCGTCAGAGAATTTTTCCGCATGTTAGCTTCTTGGAGGTTCCTTTTTATGCTATTTTTCAACGCAATAATTTGGAGCCGTTGTGCTACCGCGATGGGTCACGTTAACGCTTGGCTTGACTACGCATACTATGAAGACTCTCTTCTTTGCGAAAACGATCCCGGCAAAGCGTGTGTCGTCGACGATTACAAAAGTGAGATTATTGATGTTTACGGCTACCTGAATTGTCTTCACATCGTTGTCCCCTTTATGTTGGTGGCCTTGCTTGAAGGCTTCAAAAAATGTTTTTCGAAAGACAAAGCAATACTTCTTTCATATCTTACACAAATGTTTATTTCAATTTTACACGTCTTTGCAATAACGACGATAATGATGATGAAGATTCCAGAAGGAGGGGGCAAAGGCCTGCCTCTTTTGCTTGTTACACTTCTTCAGACAGTTCAGCCAATCTTCATGACCTGCCCTCAAATCGTAAGTCGATTTCAGTTATTCTTATTGATTAAGTTCATCTTAGTTTGTCTACACATTCTATCCACGACATCTAGCGCCAAAAGTCTTCATCGTCATAAACTTATTTTATCTTCCTATAACGTTCATTTATCCAGCGCTATATAACTTTCTCCTCCAAGGAAGCGTGCAAGACTACCGGTTTTCTGAAGTTTCATACATTTTCTTCGGACTTTGTAGCTTGTTGCTCATTATCTTTCCATACTTTGCATATGATGCAAAGAAATACTGCGACGAGAAAGAGCGAGAAAACATTTACAAACCCTTTTCTGAATAAACTTTCTCGACAATAAGCCTCAATCTACGTTCACTTCCGAACTACCACGACTACAAAACAACCGCTGACAACAAAAAGAAAGACAAGTTTTTTAATTAGGGTGGCCGAAATGAACCTATATATTTACAGATCTAAAAAATTTGGAAGGGGGAGGCGAAAAAGGGCCTTTCAAACATCAGAGTGAAAGCTGGAATCAACAGGAACAGAACGGAAGGGTAGGGGCAGGAAAAAAGGGTAAATGAGGTAGAAAAGGATGAGGTGAGAAACAAATTAGAATTTGGCGGGGAGTCCGGCCTTGGCGACGGCTTCGTCAATGTTTTCGCCGGCTTCGAGAGCCTGTTCCCATCGGATGATTTGGGCGACACCTTCGATGAAGATGTTGACGAGCTGGACTTCGGACTTGCCAAGTCGGTCGGCGTTGGAGATGTCCCAGGTGCCACCAGTGGAGGCGGAGTCAACTCCAGCGGTACCTCGGGTCTGAAAAGATGAGTAAGAATAAATATAGAATAAATAAAAGAATAAATATATAAGTTAAGAGTCTCTTTTAGGGACACGTGATTTTTAAACTTATCAAAGGACGTACCTGGAGACCCATCTTGGCGCAGACAGCCTTGAAGTCAGGTCGGGCGGAGAAAAGTGGAACTTTGACCATGCAACCAGCTCGGAGACCAGTTCCGAGGTTGGATGGGCAAGTCAAGATCCAGCCGAGGTGCTCGGAGTGCATGAAGTCAGCGCCTTCAGCCTTGAGGACCTTCTGGATCTGGGTGGTGGCGTTGGCGAATCGGGTGATGATTCGTTTGATATCATCGCCCTTCTCCATGGAGACGATTCGCATCTGGTCCTCTTCGTTGACCCAGACGAAGAGGTTGGAGGCTTCGTTGTGGAAGATACCTCGGGCATCGGGCCAGTGTCGGCCGCAGCCGGAGGAAAGGAGGAGGGTGGAGTCGGGTTCCTGAAAATTTGAGTTAGAATTCGAGTTTTTGAAATCAAGGAGGAAAATCTCTAGAACTAGGATTGTTTTCGTTTCTTACCTGGAAAAGGTTACCGGCGGTTCGGAGCTCTTCTTCCTTCTCGAGGCTCATGCCGTTGGGCTTGGGAGCGTAGGACTGGGAGCCGTGAAGGGGGAAGTAGTCACCTTTAAGGTCACCCTCCATGGAGAGAAGACCCTTGACGACGAGAGCTTCGAGTTTTCGTCGCTCTTCGAAGTCAGTGACTGGGGGGAGCTTGAAGCCTTTGACGGATCGTCCAGTTCGGCATCGGCTGGTAAGCACGTATTTGCCGGTAGGGTCGATCTTGGTGTCGGTGAGTTTGGAGACATCAAGGTCGGTGGGGTGGACGGCGTCCTTGGGGTAGCCACCGTGTCGGGCGGAGATGACGGGCTCGAAAAGCTCGGCGAAGAGCTCGTAGGACTCTTCATCTCCGGCGACGAGACCGACAGTCTTGATCATGGGGTGACCTGAAAAATAAGATTAGAACATTGTTTCGTTAATTTTTTCGTAATAATTTAAAAATTCCCGCTTTACCAATTTCGAAAGTTTCTAGAACCGGTTGTTTGTGTATTTACCTTTGTTGTCGATGCCGGTCTTGATGCAGTGGCCGAGGGTGACACCGAGTTTGGTCTTCTTGTCCTTGAGGTTCTTGTAAAGCTCGGGCTGCTTCTTAAGAACGTCGGTCAAGAAGTTGTTGTGCTCGGAGAGGTCGGGGAGCTCGTCGGGCATTTTGTCGGCGGCTCCGAGGAAAGTAGCGCCTTTTTCTTCGCAATAGTACTCTTCGTTGCCGCATCCCTTCTGGATCCATTCGGGGAGTTCTTTGACGCCCTTGGAGAGACCAGTTGGTGGGTAGTCAGACATTTTGAAAGGTTGGGGGTATTTAAAACGGTTGCAACTAAAAAGAGTTGTTAGCGGAAGAATAACTTCATTTTAATTTGCGAATTGGGTTGTTAGTTAAAAATTGTTTCAGAAATTTTTCAAAATCTAAATTTCGAGAGGTCTCCCGGGTCTAGTTCAAAATTCAAACCTCGAGGGGTTCCCCGGGATTTTTTTTTATTCCCGTCTTACCTGCGCAGTGAAACTGAGGAAACTGATTTCATTTTTTCAAATTTCTCAGAGGTAGGGACGCGTTCTAGAGAAAAAACTGAAACTCGAAAACACGTGACAGATTTTTTTCGAAACTTGAAAACATCAACCCTCATTTTCGTTGTGGCAAGAGATTCAACGGTTGGATTTTTTTCTTACAGGGATTTTTGGATAGAGCGCTAGGTTCTGCTTGAGATGGTATAAAAATTGTATTGAAAAGATGTTTCTGCCGCCTGATTTCGGGAAAATAAGCACTTTTTTGTTGAAACGGGAGAAAACGACGGAGCGCTCTTGTTGTCAAGTTTCAGTTTCTCTCTCGAACGTCAAATTCTAGAGACAATTTGTTTGTTTTCTTGGAAATCCAGTCCTTCTCCTGGAAATCAACCCTTTTTATCACTGATATGCCCTTTCATTCACTTGCTCTTTGACTTTAGTGAAATGGAAAGTCGTTGATGTCGATTTTTTCATTAAAAAATGCTCATAAAACCGCAGAGAATTGAATATTTGTGCATCCCTGCACGCAATTCATCGCGCCTCTCTCTCACCGTAGAATCTGGCTTTATAAGGCTGGAATTCGCAATTGAATAAATACTAATAACCGAACGGACGTTCTCACCGCTTGGTGCAACCTCTCGTTCTCCACCACACCTGCTCATAGATAAAGAAGAAAATGATATTTTTCTCCCTGAAAATAAAGCTCAAAAAGTGGCCCAAGACGATTTTTAATTAAAGAAAATGGTTTCTCATGTAAACTTCTTCGTAGTTTTTTATCAAAATCTTTTGGAGAAGACCAAGCCTTGCAAACTCAATTGAGAGAGTAAAAAAAAAAATAAAATAAAATAAATATAGCTAGAAATCTAAAATTGTGGCGTTATCGAATTTCGCCAGTTATAATTTATAACTTATAAATCATCAATTAAAGTTTTTTCCCCAAAAATCAAATTTTTCCAAATTTGTCTAATTAGGAGCCGCCCGTTTTGAGATAAAATCATCAGATTCATCATTTATTCTCGTCTGTTTCGCCAGCAGCAAGTTTTGAGAACGGAAATGTAAAAATAAACTTCATTTCCACAAAAGCACTTTTTGGCTTCGAAGACAAAGTTCTGTATATTTTTCGTAAGGGGATTAATTGAGCGCATCTGAGTATGAGATCGAAGGGGATGTACTTTCTGATCCCCGGATCATCTTTGAAGCCCAAATCCGCCTCTTTTTACCAGAATACGCCATCATTCTTCGCCAAGAGAGGATTTACGATGAGATTTGGCTGCATAAAGTAAACAAATGACTAGACGTTCTAGAGATTCTTGAGTTCAGTTTTCAGAAACGGTAAAAGAAGCTCTATTTTTCGCGCTAAAAGGTTAAATTAAAGGTTTTCGCCACCACTCCAGACTCCAGACTTCAAAAAATGTCAAAGCTCCAGCTCAAAATTTTCGATCTTTCCGTGAATTTTTTATTAATTAAAATTAAATCGCTTTTGATCTCGATTTCCGCAGCGTTGAAAAAAGGCACTGGCCAGTTCTGCTGGTAAGAGCGGCTACATGAAAAGCACAAAATGGTTGAAATCGAAACCGCCTCGCTCACTTTACATAGATAAAGAAGAAGAAAAAGGGGAGGCTTTGGTTTTTTACGTGAATATTTGAAATTGAGATGCAGAGAGCTTTTTTCCGGCGCATCAGCTGAATAATTACAGTACTCCCCCGCACTAGAAATTGGCAAAAAGCACTGAGATTCCAAAAAACGTGAGAAAAAGCTCCCAGCAAATATTTACAATCGGCCTACGATAGCACTTCCCTAGAATCGTACCGGTCCGGTTACTCGGTAATTAAAATTTTGAATCCAAGTGTCGTCGGAAATTCTAGCGCCCATCGGAATTCGCCGAACCTTCTTACATCATCAAACTAAGTTTTCCCGGCGCAAATCAATCACTCCCAGCGCCAACGAAAAAGTTCGCCAAAGAAAAGTGTTTTCTTTGCTTTGATGTCCGATTTCTTTCTTCGTCCTGCTAATCTCTTTTTCTTATGCTCCATTTTATTTTCTTGCATAATACCTTCTTTCTCTAACTCCGGCGAATAGAAATCGTAAAGAACGCTTTATGTACGACAAAATCACAATTACCGCTGTAGAGTTTTCATGTTCAAGTAGAAATGAACGTGAAATCCGCGTTTTAATTTTATTTCATGATGGGCTAAAAATCAAGGAAAAGCTGGTAGAAGCGGAAAACATGGTTCGTTATGAAATCGTTATATTCTGTCCGGCTTTGATAATTCGATCTTGGAAAATTAACATTCAGGAAAGATCAAAATTTCAAAAAGAGGTTTTTTAATTAGTTATCATCGAGACACCCTTAATTTATATCGTTAAGAAATCGGAAAGGTTAGGGTTAGGGTTAGATATAACGAAAGCTTGGGGAAACAAATTTACAGTGGAAAAAATCAAGGGTTTACAAGTTATCTTAGAGACACCCTTAATTTATTGTGTCTCAGGTAGCTCTAAAAAACAGGCCCGGCGGTAGTTATGTTGGTTGAAAGGATATGAAAGTGTATGATTTCCTTCGATAAAATCTTGACCAGCAGGATCTCCTACTTCCCATGGAGCGAGCCTAAGCTATTGTTATCGCTCAAGTTATGACATAACTTCGCCAGAACTTCAATTCAAACAAGCAATTACGCGAATGAAAAACAGAACAAATCTTCATCATCAAAACGTTACTTGACAACGTTAATTTCACAAAAACACGGCTAGAAAATGCATGTTAAACATTTGCATACGATTTTCAAAGCCGTCTACTTACCATCTGTTTGTGGCTTGGTTTACACAGAATTAATATCTTAAAAATAGGCAACCTAGGTCGTAGGCCCTTTGGTGTATTTTTTCAAAACATTTTATTTTGCATCTCCTCATCTTTATTAATTTTCCTGCCAATGGACACGTGGACACGAGAATTGATTAAAAAATCAGTCTTGTAGTCGAAAAAATGCAATTAATGTTAGGTCAGTTTGAAAAATATTTTCCCCAAAAAGAAGAATTTCCTTTAGAAAGATAGATCGAAGCATGAACTTTTCTTCTTCGGACATTTTCTGAAAGACTTTGGAAAAAAAGCTGGGCAACGGCTTTTTTGAAAACGAAGCCGCTTTGCTAAAATCACAATCTAAAGCTAAATAACTAAGGGCTAGAATCAGTCAACAACTTCAAAATGTTGACTTATTCCGAAACGACGATCCGGAAGTTGTTTTTCTCATAACAAAATTTACCATTTCCGAAATGACGATCGCTGATCGTTGATCTTCAAAGAGGGAAAATTATTTTTGGGTAAATCTAATCGACCCCAGCTGATATTTTCGTGCAAAATAGAAAAACGCGGTGCATTGTTTCCGGAAATAAAAATTGACAAAGGAGAGGACATCATCAACTAGGGCTGTTAATTGAATGCTGAAAATACAGCAGTGAAATGAAATTAAGGGTACACCGTGAAAAAGCGATTGAATTAAATAGGAGATCAAGAATCACTCAATTGGCGAAGGAATTTCGAGTCCACGCACTTCAAAACCATTTTTACGAAATAGAAAGCAAGCATTTCTCATCAAACAAACAGCTCCCATACTAATCACGTGTCGATAATTCGAGTCTCGTGATAATAGCGGTTGCAAAAGTGGGTGATTTGCTCAATCCGCGAAAATAGCACGAATTGTCCACATGCCAGTATCAGAGGACAGATGACGAGGCCGCCAGCCGCCAGCAACATTCCAACTACTTTCGGCGACTACTTCGTGGCCGAACCTGTGGCAAGTGAGCTAATAGCTGCTTTACCAGAATTACCAAGGCCGCTGACTAATTGCCAATGTGTTCTCACTTGAAAAAACCCAAATTGCGATATGTAATTTTGCCCAATTAACGATTCGAATTCAATAAATAAGAAATTTTTAGCTCACGTTTTAAAATTTCCGCTGAAGATATACCTTTATTTATCCAATTCCGACGCGATCTTCAGGACCACGTGTGGATAAAAAATTGCCAAACTATATATTTTCTCAACATTAGCCGTCACCGTCCGGCGTGGAAAACATGTTCCCGTCGTATTTTGTGTAATCGCGGATTTTCCCGAAAACTAGTGCACCGATTTTCAAACCCGTATTTTCCCACTGTTAGGGTTAGGGTTAGTTTTCTGTCTGGTGGTTCGGATCAAAGTGAGAGTCTTAAAATCATCTTTTTAAAATTATTTTTCGCCTCTTTTTCCAAAAGAAAGCAGCTGCGTGACTCAATCGTTTATCAAAGCCCTTAAGGGGGAGGTCGTCGAGAAATTTTTTTTCGCCTTTTCAAAATTTTGATTATATTGATTCCTCGATAAAAAAGGAGTATTTTTGGTCTCTAGCTTTTTCTCAATTTGTTAACTTTTTAATGTAAAATTTTCGATTTTAAGTCTCGAACTTGAAATTTCTTGAAAATTATTAGTTGGTGATTTCGTCCAAAAACTATCTGAAACTGATAATTATGCACTAGGCATTGTTTTAAAATGATTTCTGACTAATAATTTTTAAAAAATACAAGTTTTTGTGATTTTTGCAGAAATTTCCACGAAAAAATGGGTAAAAATGCCGATTTTGACGAAAATCGAATATTTTTAATCAATAAGAAAATTTTTTTTATGAAAGTAACCCTTAATTTTTTGATCGCCGGTTAATTTTTAAGGGTCTAAACTATTTATAAATTATATTTGATGAAGAAAAAAAAACTCGGTTTTTCGAGATTTTTTGGTCACGAGACACCCCCACTTCAACCTTAATTTTTGGAAAATTTTTCGAAAAAATTTTTTTTCTGCTTTTCGCCGGTTAATTTTTCAAACCCTTTTCTTTCAATCTGAAAAGTCAGAATTTTCCTATCTTATCGGGTTTCTCCGCATTTTTGGTCACGGAAATCCCGATTCTCGTCGACCTCCCCCTTAATTTGTTACCTACTCCGCTTGAATAAATTTTCCCAAAGTTTAAACATCGTGCCCTTCCCCTATCGTGGCTAGAGTATCGGAAACAATGCGCCCGCTCAGCACGTTGGCGTGAGCACTGGAGATACTTTCAAACAATTTGCATTCGCCGCGGATTTGCATCCACCCCGATAAATTCGATTGCTTACAATCCACTTGGCCACAGATCCAGGACGAAACAGTGCTTTTTTGTTGGAAAAGAGAGGATGTATCAGTAGAATGAATTATATTTTGTCAGATTATTTGGCAAGCAATGAACTTAGTGCTGGTAGCAGGCGAATTTTTGGTAAGCAGTTAGAAAAGCAGTTTCAAAGATATTGGCATTTATATTTTCTGCGGCATTAAAGCTTTAATTTAAGCTCTTGCATGTTGTTCCTGTGAAGCCTGGTTTACATAAGCATTTCTTAGTTAATCCTCCTTTGATGGCGAGTGTGTTTGTCCTCGAACAGTCTTCTTTTCGAAAATGAGAACAGGCACTTTTGAGTTGATCTTCGAACTCTTTTGGTAAACAGCTGCTTTCGAAGTCTATCATCTCGCACTAAAAATGATGATTTTATTACATGGTTTATCATTTGATGGTAAATTTAAATACGAGTTTTATATTATTTATTTTTTTACTAACAAACTCGAATGGATGCGGAATATATTTTCCTTGTGTATCCAGTACAGTTTTTAGATCCTCAGAAGGATGTGACAATTGATGGTTACAGTAAAGATCTCTTGTCTTATTCGTTCTAGTGATGGCTCTACCAGTTATAGGAGAAGCTATCAAAGAGCAAAGAATTAAAAAGGAATAAAATTTCATTTATAAACTTGAGTTTGTTCACTTGTTGTTTTTACTTTAAAAATTATTTCAAACATCGGAGATTTCAGCACTTTATATACATTTTGACGAATAATATGACTTTCCCTTTTCTACGTTTCTTATTTCCCACACTAATCAGCATGATTCTATGTTAATTATGTTAGAGCCATTCAGAATCACTATTCATTTACTGCGCTAGAAAATGGTTATCATGATCATCAGCCAGTTCTTATCGAGCTTGTACTAACATAGGTCATCCCCTTGTTACCAGGATAAACGTCGGCGAAAATCTGAATTTAGCAGGATAGACCCCTGGCAAACGAGACCCCACGTTAGCAGCATAAACTTTGGCAAAATGGGTCATTGTTAGCAGGGTAAACTTTGGCACTCAATTAATAGGGTAGGTGAATCATAAGTGAGCGCCTCCAGCGTGAAATCAGCGGCGGAAATCAAAACTCATTTGCGCGCCATTCGAACCCGCTCCGTGAGGCAGAGCAATCGTGATTCATTCAACCCTGTTAACTTGGTGCCAAAGTTTACCCTGCTAAGAATGACCCCTTTTGCCAAAGTTTATGCTGCTAACGTGGGGGCTCGTTTGCCACGGGTCTATCCTGCTAAATTCAGATTTTCGCCGACGTTTATCCTGGTAACAAAGGGATGACCTATGTTACTAAAGATGTTTTGTTGAAAAAGAAACAACGCTAAACATCTCAGCTCATAATGACCTCTTATCAAATTGAGAGTTCTTTCAATTTGTTGAATAAAATGGATGTATTTTCGAAGATAATGCCTACAACAGGCAAATTTTCAGTACTCTAGCAGTTTGAAAGCAATAGTTATTTTGTGTAGCATAGATTATTCGTTATATTTATCGCATTTTTCTCCTTTGTGGCCTATCTTGCAAAAGCATTTGAATCTTCTAGAGAATGGCCTTTCTTTCATAAGGGCTACTGTGTTTTCTTCCAAACACCCTTGTCTTCGAAAATGAGAACAGGCTCTGTGAACTGTTCTGATGAGTTCATCCCCGAATTCTTCTTCCAAACAGGAGAGATCGGAATCTTTTAAATTGCACTGAAAATACAAATGATAAAAATTTATTTCATTTTCTTTACTTACAAAGTGCGTTGGAATCCCTCCTTTTTCAGTATTTTTCGATCGACATCTGAAAACGTTCTTCCTCGATGATCGTGACATTTTCTTCTGACATGGCGACGTCTGCTGGTAGGTTGAGCGATGATAGAAATTGAAGCGAAGAGATGGAGAAAAGTAAAAAGGTTCATTGCTGAAGTTGATATCGAGGTTGTTTCTTTTTGTTTGTGATTTGGGCACCAAAATCTTCATCTTTATATTCCCAAGAAGTTTTCCTTTTTCCTCATTTTAGTCAACAAAAACTGATGTACCGATATTTTGAATCATCACCTTCTTACGGCTGAATCACTGAGAACTCCACTAATTACCTGATTTTTTCTTCAGCAAGCACCTAATCACGCTTGTGTATTTACTTTCCTTTTTTGGTAAGAAAGAGCCTCTAACAATCATTTTTCAATTAGCGCGGTAGAAAACGCTTATCACGATCATCAGTCAGTTCTTATCGAGCTTGTACTTCCTCAGCTGGCATAAAAATTATCTTGACGAGATTTTGATTGCTGTTAAAACTAAATGACCATATCGTAAAAAAAACGTGGCTCCTCTAAAAAAATACCCAGATCAGCCATTCGTTTTTCGTGATATTCAGCGTCATTGCGGCCGCGAAGAAAAAAACGCAAGAAAAAGGAGAACGGTTTACAAACTCGCGAAAATATATATCCACAGTGTGGGTTTTGAGCATCGAATTGGGGGTAAATTTTACGCTCAACTCGCGGCCGTGTTTTGACGTAATTTTGTCGTCAGAAATCCAAACGGTAATGTTTCACTTTCTCAAACATCAGAAATCAGCAAAGCACCAAGGATTGACCAGACAGTTACAAGTGAAAGTTACAAAGAGATTGAAGTTAGAAAACACTGATTGAAAGAATCGCTATTCTAAACAGTAAATTCAACTCTGGCAGAAACAATTGGCAATTACCAACAATCCCTGGTAAAACCTTGAAATGCGACCTTTCCGGTGAAAAGTGGTGATTTAGCGGGTCTATTCGCCGCCAGCTGGCGCGCGAGATATAAAGCCGAGCAATTCAATAATTGTCAGTTATCGCGGCGGAATGGCAGCTCCGTACCGAGACTGGCTCTATTAATTTTTACCGTTCCGATAGCACAATGCTTTCTAAACAAAAAATAATCATGAACCAGTGTCTTTTCAGAATTCTATGAAGAAACAGTTTTTATAATTTGCTAGTACACAGATTTGTAGACAATTGTGAGCCGGATAAATTAATTTACTTACTGCTTGTTGTAAAAATAACAAACGACTGATTCCATCATCAGTAGAGTTTTCATCCCGGAATCAAGTAATATTTGATGATTTATGAAAAAGATGAATAATCAAATATTTCTTGATTCCGGGATAAAAACTAATTGATGATGAAATGAGTCCTTTTTTATTTTGACAAAAAGCAATAAGTTTCTTTATTTATAATTAATATCTCTTAATAAATATATTTTAATATTAATTTTAAAATATAATATTAAATAAATAATATTAAAATATGTTAATTTTAAGGTAATACAAGCGATAAATTGAAGGGTCAGTTTTGGCGCGAAAGATAATTTTAAATTTTTTCCTCATGATCTTTTTCCCCACCCACAATCGCCTACACATAATCGAAGAAACAGGATTCGAGGAGAAAATTCCCAGAACTCGCTGCTTCTGCGAGAAAAAAAACAGAAACAGAGAGAAAAGATGGCGGAAATAGCGCGCGGGGATGATGAATGGTCGACCAAGGAGGAGGATTCTAGAGATGGCCCGGATAAAGAGAGTGAGGGAAAATTGACGCTGCCGACAATGCCGGCGGTGGAGAAAGAAATGGACCAGGTGGAGCACGATGTGCCCACTGGAAACATCACTTACTTTGAGGTCAGGGGGAATATTTTGAACAGTTTCGTTTCAACCCTTTTTAGCCGAAATTATATCTCCAGCGCTACGACTATGTAATAAATTACATTGAGAAGACAAAAGCGAAGTCAGTGATCGACTTGGGATGTGCGGAGTGCAAGTTTGTTCGCGAACTCGCCAAATTACAGTTGAGAAGAGTTGTGGGTAAGTTTCATCCTTTTTCTTCCCTCTTTCAATCGCTTTTAGGAGTGGATATTCAAAAAGAGTTGTTGGTAAGCAACAAATTCACGCTAGAGTCGAACTTTGACAATTTCTACTTGGGAAATGATTTCAAGAGGGAACATGATTGTTCTGTTGAGGTAATGTTACTGAAAGAAAGATTGTTCCTGACCAATTCTCTAGCTCTACCAAGGAAACGCTTGCGAAGCTCCAGAAACAAGTCTCCAAGGAATCGACTTCTTGAGCTGCATCGAGTTGATCGAGCACATCAACGAAGAAGATCATCCTGGCTTGTTGAAGACGATTTTCCGCGACATACGGCCAAAAACAGCGATAATTACGACACCAAACGGTGATTTCAATTCGCACTGGTCGACGATGCCGCATGGCAATTTCAGACATGACGATCATCGATTTGAATGGGTAAGCAATCAACTTTTTAGCGCATCCTAAATTTTTGTTTAGACAAGGGAGGAGTTCAAAAAGTTCACTGAGCATTGTCTGCGGGAGTATCCTGAGTACTCGGTAAAAATCGAAGGCATTGGAAAACACTGGGGAGGAGACTACTCCAAGGGTTTCTGCAGCCAATCAGCAGTCTTCACTCTCAAGCCCTATCCAAGTCTTCATCCCGAGCGACCTCTAAGTAAAGACAAATTTTACCCAAAAGATCTTCATTGTAAAATTTTAGAGTCGAAGTACAAGCAAATCCACAAGACGACATTGCGGAAGTTTGACTTCAAATCGATGCTCTACGATGCAGTGCTTCAGATTCTCAACACTTCTGCTGAGATTCCAGAGCCTGACGAAGCACAGCGGCATAAGTCCTGGACGTCTCCTGACGAGAGGAAGCCTGCCGGTGCCTTTACTGAGGAGATCGGCAAGTATTATCGATTTCCGACTGGACCTCAGAACTGTAAGTGCACATCGTAAAGAATTGACTTCTTATGGCTCATTTCAGGGACGGATAACGACGAAGACCACTGTGCGCAAGCGACCATAGATACCAGCCAGTACGAGTTGCACCATCAGCATTATCATTCCGTGCTAGAATGTGAACACTGTCCATATTGTGAATACTACTACTATCCGCAATGTGGACCACAGCTGATTCACGCGTTCGTAGTTAACCTACCCCTAGATGTGCCACAAGAATGTGACCACGATCCAGAGTGCGAGTACATGTGCTATCCGCAACCGGGCTCTCGTGCTCTTCTTTACGCCCTAGCTTAAATTCAATTTAGCCAAAAAATTGCACTTATTCTTATTCCAATTACATGTAATATTAGTTCAATTTTCAAACGCATTTATCACTGAGTGACACATTTCCACTGACAAAAAAAAGAAAACCACTGAAAAAAATAAACGGATAAACTGATAATTGGTCAACTCTCTAAAAGAGGAATCGAGTGTTCTAATCACGTGTTTCCAGTTTCAGTTGACAGGGTCGCTTCGTATTACGCCATAAATCGGATGCAGAATAAAGGCAGCAGGTTTAATCACATCCATTTTATTCAATGATTGGTATATCTAATGCTTTGTTTTGATAATATCAATTCCGGTACTGTAAAACCCGCATTAGACAAATATGACGGATTCCACATCGATTACGAGTATAGAAACCCAGGACAATATTGCTCAGTAGAATCGGAAGACGAAAACCAAGAGTCTGACACTGAAGATTCAGCTTCTTTTGGAACGGACCGAACGGTGGAACGAAGTTGGGAAAAAGAAGCGTCCAGCCAATCGCCGGCAAAGTCATTCAGCTGGGAGAACTTCGAAGAAGACGTCAACATCGATTGGAGGCGCGAGATGAAGAAAAAATTTTCGACCGCAGTTGCAAATTGGAGGGATAGACGAACACCCCATCAGTTCATGGATGCCGACTGCGACATCTCTCCTGCCGATCATTTTCCTGTGAAGAGCGAAAAAGGAGGCGCCAGCCTTCATGCCCTGACAAAGCAGTTCAAGCTCATCAAGCTCTTCAAAAAAGGCTCGGCTGACGATGAAAACCGAATCGATGTTTTGTTCGACATTCTTCTTCGTAAGTTAGAAGCATGGAATTCTTCCCAAATCGTTTTTCAGAGGTAAAGGCGGAGGGCGAAGACGCGCTTGAACTCTACCGCGATGAAGACGGCCGATTCAAAGTCACAACGAAAAAGTGTGATCGAAAACGAAAAATGGAATATTCGGACAGTTCTTGTGACGAAGCCAAGGAATCACCCGCCGATGACAATGCGAAATACGATGATTACCATTCGGAAGATGACGAAGCCTGGTGAATAAAAGGACAAAAGACCTTGGTAATAAAAATAGTCGGTTCTTTGACGCTGCTAATCACTGCTACTACTACTACTCACTGAAAATAAAACACGTTACATGGTCGCGCGTCGTTATGAAATTCACATGATTTTGCCAACAGAACCAGCCCTTTTCTCTTCCCAGAATCTATAAAAAGCAGCCGTTATTGTTACAGGTGTGCGTCCTTTTTCAAAATCCGGCGTCGCGCACAAAGGTGAGGGGATATTTTTCTTTCCTCAGAAGGCAATTTCCCGCCTCAATATTTTCTATTATCTTTTACGAAACAATACTTGAAGTCAAAATTAGAAACAAGATTCTAAATCTTATAAACCGCCACTGCACGTTTTTGGGAAGACAGAGGCCTGTCGGCAGGAATTTTATATTATTCTAGCGGAATTTATTGCATAAAGGATTTCTGACAACAGAGAATGCGTCGGGAACATTTTTAATTGCATGCCGATGAAGTCACTTTTTCTGACTTCATTCTTCCTCTGAATAATGAAGAAGCTTTGATGAAAGCCGCGAAGCGGCTTTTTTTAAAAACGAAGCCGCAAAGCGGCTTAGCCAAACAAAACTTTGGCCCAAGAGCTGATTCTCTTATTTCATCGAATCAGAAGAAAGAGAGTTTAGCCCAAGCATACGTGCTGACCAATCCTTTGGCAAAAGTTTGTCAAGAGTTAAACAAGTACGCTTTAGCCAGAGCATCACGTTTTTGTTTCATGATGTTTGTAGTATGATAAGCAGACGATTTTTATAAAACTCGAGGTACAAAACAAACTCGCTCTCCAGCCGTACTCAATCTTAATTATTTCCCCTTCCAGGATTTCCAAACCATACAAAAAGAATACGCTCTTATAAAATCAAAAGCTTGTTTTCGCCCTAAATACCAAAAAATGCCCCCACGTTTTCTGCCCACTCCACTCGTCAGAAAAATAAAATATTTTTCCCAACATCAGATAAATTCTACCAAATACACAAACAGATAAATTAATAATAAAAAGCAAGAAGGAAAATTTGAACATTTTTTTTAATTTTTTTCTTGCTCGGCTTGATTTGGGAGTAAACCCGTGGACTTAGGAAAAACAGAGGAGCGAGAGTCGCGAGAAAAATTTGATTGAATTAGACGTAGCCGAACCTTTGATGCTGTTTTTTGAAAGAAAAATCATGAGTCCAGAATATTTTAAATACAGGAAGACACGTTCAAGGAATGGTCCTAAAATTGCGCGTCATTAAAAATATTTTTATTATTGAAAAATAAATAATAAAGGCAATTTCCGCTTGTCCTGTCATATCCTCTCACTACAGGAAGAGAATTATTCGCTTTTTACGGAACATAACTTTTAGAGAGTATTTACAATCGAAGATCATGAAAAATATAGAGTTTGATTTGGTGCCAAAATTTCACGAAGCCCAGTTAATAACCCAACGGGTCAATCAATCAGCTAACATCAGCGAAATCATAATAAACAGAGTATATATACATAATACTTGTAAAAGATAAAAACGCCTATTTAACTGGAAAGAGATCACGAAAATGGCAGGTATTTCGCTCGTTAAAAATGCTTTGTTTTTTTGTGCATTATCAAATGGAGCAGTTCGATCGTGAAATATTCACAAGTATTTGTGGTGCATGTAGATTACTACAGCTATCACGCTGATCAGTATTAACAAATATGTCGAAAAGCATCACGTGTTGCGCTCAAGTGCCTTCAAAATCAAAACGTGTGTTGTCGTTTTTATGCGCTAATGATTAAATATGCATTTGCTGAAGGTGCACTAGCTGCAGGCGAGTATCGAAATCAAGCAGCAGTTTACAATAGTAGTCCTTCAAAATTCATAATTTACCGGGTTGACTTTTTTCTACTGTAGATATATCACCCAAAACGGGGGAATTTACCGTCTTAATTCCATAAATCTTATCAAAAAACATAAATTTTCCGTGAACAAAGCATCATAATTCCCCCCAATCAAGGCCCTATCGTTCAAAATGTACATTGAGCAGATCTGACCGCAAACTATCGCAATTTTTCCCCCTATCACGGTTGCATAATTACCCAATTAAATTCGACTGGATTCATTCCGGGGAAAATGCGAAGACCAAAATTTAATTGTCCTTGCGCCGAGACGAGCTCCTCATCTGATACACTCTTATCTTTGTACCGCTTCCGATATTACCGATTTTGATGAACCGATAGTGTTCTGTTTTCAAGAGCGCTGTGGTCGGGACAACTATTTTTCACAAGTAAGAAGGGGGAAATATATTTCTGAAAATTGTTTCCTGAACAACGAAAAAAAGCAGGTGGTATAACGTAATCTTTCGTTTGAAAGTTTAAAAGTCTGAGAAACGCTGTCAGTTGGATTTAGCGGCACACGTTCTAACTAAAGAGATCGAGCTTGATAAGGGTATCTTTTACGCGCTTGGCCTTCGCGGGACAAGCAAACAAGAAAGAGGCTTGCACGAAAAAGCCGGATCCAGTGGAGATAAGCCTTCCAAAATCCTTCAAGGCGGTTCGACTGGCAACGCGAGCCAGATGCTTGTAAAATGCAAATCGAACAAATTGCTCCAACACCTTATCCCAAAACAATCGTCTTATTTTTCCTGTTTAGACGACCGATTCCGATAATTTTGACATTATGCAACGCCCGATAATTATTTTTCTTTTTGTCAAATTTGTCTTATTTTGATTTTTATTTACATAAATCTTTTAAAAAAAAACATGCTCGCTGGAAGATCATTTTTTGAGGTCAACCTGGAGAATTGACTAGGTCACTGAAAATATTTCCAGCGCGAAATTTTGTTTGGCTATTTTTTTTTTGTTTTGGACGCGTTTTTTTTTTCATTCCCGAAGATCCGGGGCCAGGCCCAAAAAACAGCGTGAGCGGAACTTCATCCCTTTTCCTTGTATCTACTCGTACTATGGTAGAACTAAGTTACTTATTCGGTGAGTTCACGGTGTAAGAGAAAGCAGAGCCCAATTTTAGAAAACTGAAAATTGATGCTCCAATTGACCTTCAGTTGGTTCCATTTTTTTACGAAAAAAACACCGCTTTTGAAAATTGAAACATGCTCGCCCGTGGTCTCATCAACAAGCTGTAGAACCGACCGAGGAGCTTGTAGCTGCTGCCATCACAACACGTCCATTTCAAAGGTCGAAACATCAAGAAATCAAAAAAAGGGTTGAGCATCAGTTTGCTCACGTGCGGAGTCAGGCGGTTTTTTTTTCTGAATAACTAACGGAATGAGAAAACTAGACAAGAAAATCTATTAGCTTTGCTGAAAAAACTTGGTGAATTTATAATTGAGCAATATTTTGCCAACACGATATGTTCAGAAAGGCGCATTTTCGCGGGTGTTATATTATAACAATTAATAAGCAATTGATCCAGGCTTAATTAATTATCAAATTTGAAGGCGGAAGATCTCACTTTGTCAGAAAATAAACATGTATATATAATATAGATATGAGTGATTATCATCAAAACAGTTTCTTCAGAACAAGACGCTCTTCACTTACAATTTACATATTTCGAAGTTACCGCAAAACCTCACTTATCTCTTCTTTTCACTCTTTTCTAAAGAAATTCTTTGCTTACGATCGTGAGATCGTTTGAGGGTCATTGGCTGGGCTCGGCAACCTGAGTCAGGTTCTGAAGCCGCAACGCAGGTTCGCTTTAATTTTTGATAGATTGTATTTGTAATATTAGCGAAGCCGCTTCGCGGCTTCGTTTAAAAGCCGCTGTGCGGCTTTTTATTTAAGCTCTTCAGAACCTGACTCAGGTTTTCTACACAGGTTGCCGAGCGTAGATCATTGGTAATGGCTAAATCAGCTGAATGCAAATCTAAATCTACTCATTTTTCAGGCTCATTTTCATAACTATCTCTAAGATGATTTTCGAAAAATTTTTTCAGGCCAAAAAATCACTTTTTAACTGTAAGTGCCATCTTCACCGCCGCCTCAAACCGAGTCGAACGGTATATGTATCGCTTGAAAATTCTATAGTTTCGGGTGCTTCCGGTCAAATTTACGAAATTCTAGTATTCCACTGCCGTTTTTGATACAGAAATGGTACTATGGCATATAGCATGTCAAAATGACCGCTAGGACGTGAGGAGTGCAGGGGTCTCAAAAAATAAGTACTTTTGAAAAGAAAAGTACCTAAAAATAATTATTTTGAGATTTTTAGCACTAAAAATATCAAATTTCAAGAAATTTTCGATTTAAATATAGTTTTCTTTGTAGATTTATTTATAAGAGATAAAACTTGATTATCCATCTGCTTTCTTCCCGAAAAAATTAATAATTGATATTTTTAGTGCTAAAAAATCTCAAAATAATTATTTTTAGGTACTTTTCTTTGCAAAAGTACTTATTTTTTGAGACCCCTGCACTCCTCACGTCCTAGCGGTCATTTTGACATGCTATATGCCATAGTACCATTTCTGTATCAAAAACGGCAGTGGAATACTAGAATTTCGTAAATTTGACCGGAAGTACCCGAAACTCTAGAATTTTCAAGCGATACATATACCGTTCGACTCGGTTTGAGGCGGCGGTGAAGATGGCACTAACAGTTAAAAAGTGATTTTTTGGCCTGAAAACATTTTTCGAAACTTATCTAATAGCTACCCTAAATAAAGATCTGTAGTACGGGTTCCGTAGCCTTATCAAAACCCTCGCTTTTTAACCCTGATATAACCTCAAAATTGGTGTATCTTTATTTTTATAGAGGGTTTAAAATCGAACGCATGAACTCATTTGTTCGCCTCTGATCTAATATTTGATCTCTTGGTCGAACAATAAAGCAAAAGGCTGAAGGCCCTTAATTCTGCACTTCTCCAGCAGTCGCTTTCTAAGTAGGCTAAGTGTTAATTCAGCTTTCATAAAAGATGAACGCATAGCCGGAAAGCCATTGACTTGGGTGCAAACAAGTCGCGAAGGATCAACGAATTTAAACCCTAAATAATTCTAGAGGCGAAATATTATTTATACGAATATTTTGGCAATTGAGAGGCGGACAAAAGAAATAACTGAGGGACTTCTTCCTTTTTATTATTTACTGGTTCTTGAGCAGCATGAGTGCAAAATATTTTTGAACACTTTGAAGAGCGCTTGTTTTCCGACAACTCGAGTGTCGGATTTCAAGATATAAGGGATGGGGGGCTTGTCGGAGAATGTAAGAAACAAACATTGTTGAGTGAACTAAATATGAAGATATTTTCGAGGGAATACCGAAACAAGTGCACTGCTTTCAACGCTAGAATTCCATGTTTAGACGAGCAAGTCTTCAATTTGCTCGTCAACAATATTTTAAATATGACAGTAATGCAGCACGCATAATTCTCAACCACAGAGCTTACCAACATCAACGATACTTTTTCTGCGCAGTAAATATTTAACCCTCGCTGGCAGCTGATCAAAAACGAGGTTTATGGAAGAAGTACTCCGGCGAGGCGATAAGTAGCGCGAGGAAATCCGCAGCCGAGGACTTCCTGCTTTGCTGAATTAGCATCGCGTTTTTTTGTTTGGCGCAATTTGAGGTCAATGGGCAAGCGAGCCAATTTTAACACGGCCAGATTTTCGTGAAAATGGAAAGTAAGTCGACTGGAAAATGGGGATTGTCAACTCCAATTTGCAGAAAAATAGGAAGTGCTTAGACAGAACGCGCCTAATCGAGCGGAAAATCTGAGAAAAACAGGACCCACTTTTGGTGTTAAATATAAAATTACCCAAAATACGAACATAATCAATCGAAAATTGTCAATCTTCGACAAACAACCAAGAATCTTGGTCCAAGATTTTCCGACCGATTCTTTGTAAAAACAGAATTTCATCTATCTTCTTCAGAGGTGTATTTTCTTAGCTGTATAATACCTCCGCTGATCTTGGCTTCTGAAGTGTATTTTGCAAGAAAACTGACTGTATACTCTTCCGAGAGCTTCCCTCGACCAAATTCATGTGCAGACATAACAAAGCCAAGTCTACCTGAATAGGTGAATTTTCTAGCCACTGCTCCTTGAACTTGGTCGGTAGCGGAGGATATCCTCTTTCAAGGGAGAGAGTTTGAAAAGTGCGTGTTTATAAATGGCGCGGTCAATATCCGGTTGGTTTGTTTGCGACTCCGGGAGCTTCATTTATAAACGGAGGGCTGATTTATTCGCGATTCTGATTTGTGTTGGCTTGCAATTTCATAAAAAAATCGTTTATTGGCTCTACTTTGCTGGTCAAGCTTTAGAAGGAAAACTTCCGTAATAATTTCCGTAAATAATTAATTCCGGGCGGAGATTTTATAGTTGTCATTGTTTACACTCAAAAGAGACGTTATATTTTCAATACCCGAAATCTCAATCAAATCAAAACTTCGACTCCCTCTCATTTCCCCGTACCCATAAAACTCAAGTGATCATTTTACGACGGTGGAATTTCTTCCCTGCGATTTTAAGGGCCCCATATATGACGCGGCTGATGAGCTTATAGTTCCGTAGCACCTATGCTCGTAAATTTAAGAGCTACTATTTGCAGGGGTCGAAATCAACCTGGCTATTGAGCCAGCACTTGAGTGGATTTTCAGACTGTCATGAGCTCAGCAGGTGACCGAGAGAGGCTGGCACCCCGTCGCGTGCAAAATTGTCAAGGTAGTAGGGATTATCCTTGACATATGCTGATAAAAAGCGATTTTAAATTCGAACGGAAATTCAGTTAGATTTTTACGCTTGCTCGATTCTTGATGAGTAAATTTTTTTAAGAATAGTTGTGTTATCTAAGTTCTTAAGTTTCTTTTCTCAAGGGGCTTTTTTGTCTATCACTAAAAATTTTATGCATAAGTTTGTCTTTGAAGTACTGCCAGATTGCATGTTTTTATTCAGATGAGTAGTTATCGTGAATTCGGCTCAACGGGTACCCCCTTAACATCTCGCGGCTTTATTGGTATCTGCATATCCGGGAAAAGGCGCCGGATAATGGTCTCTAGGGTAAACCGGTCGCTATTAGACTGATATCTGCATATCAATTACACAGCGGGAGCTATACTCCCGCCGCCATTGATGATGGTTATCGTTAACCCACTCGTTCGGGTTTAGCGGCCGCCAGCGCACGCGACAGGCTCTGAAGACGCTGATTATAACAGCTGATGCACTTGTTTTGCAATTTTATGGACAATAATTTATTTTGCTTCAATTTATCATGAATTCGGCTGTGTAATTCCTGGATGTACTTTAGTGTCTTGATCGAGAATATTCTTAATTTAAAAATATGAAAAAAATCATCGCTTCAAAGTCTTATGGTTCCCTCCACATCTGATGATCCTCTACAGTAGTCGCTCTTACTTCCTGCATATCTCCCGCATAGAACATAAAACCAAACACGCGTCAGCTGACAAAAGCGCCCCTCAATTCCGTTGTACCATATTTATTTTTCTCTCCCCATGCCATTGTTGTTCCCGTCCAGATTTTCGTGATTCCAGCGCGTGTCCCCGAATTTCCAAAAAGAAAGAAATCGCATTCTCAGTTGATTAAAAAAAATTGTTCCCCGCAGCTGATTTCTTGCGCGGGCGAGCAGGAGAAACACCTCGGTTGAAAAGAATGCAAAAAAAATAATTTCTAGCGGTTCTTTCAAGACCAAAACAGACGTTACAAAAAATAAGTTCAAATTCTCAACTCTTTATTATTTAGTTGCCACTTTGTTAGAGCTACTAATTAATGATTTAGCCGCAGTTGACCCGTCGTACCTTGATACTTGAATCGAACATCTCTAACAGTGACCCCAGGAAATTATAGTAATACAAGCTGCCTTTTCCCAGGTTATTAGCAGAATATTCAAATATTCAAAATTCAGTCAAGTCGGAGTTGAATTTGTTTTACATATGTAAGACCTTGATCCGACCCTTTTTTTACTAATTGCCTTGTAGTCTTAATCATCTCAGACGATAATCGCCATCTTTATTGAACCTCAGAGCATATTTTTCTTAGTCGAATTGAACTTGGGGAAGAAAGAACGACAAAGTGAGGCGAGGAAGGTCACTGAATGTGATTGAGTAGCTGGCCTCAGCGGGAAAGAGAACCAGGGAAAGCGAGCTCCTCAATTCCAAATGGGCGGAATGGGAAATTCGCGTGTTTTCACTGTGTTTTGTATTACGGAATGGAATTTTTCAACTTTTAACATTTTAAAACGTTTATTGCAAAAAAAGGAAAATTGGCCAGAAGAGACATGAAAAAGCGGTTTATAACTGCTCAACTTTCTTTTAAAAGACGGAAATGCTCGAAAATTTGATCATAAAACAAAATTAAAATTCAAGAATTATTGAGGCTCTCTCAAGTAAAAATTATTAATTTTCGACTGAAGTAAGTTCTGATGGCTTCGAATTAATGAAAGAGCGATTTTAATTATAATAAAAAACCCATAAAAATGACGATTTGAATATAAATGACGGTACTATCAGAAGATGTTTAATTGCCATCTTTTCATCTCCCGAGAATCCCCTCACGAAGCAGACCTCTCCTGCCATCCCTCTTCTTTCCCCTTCGTTAGTAGCTGCATTCGTTGGCGGCGCTCTTTACCCGCCTCGCGTGCCGCTGGATGGCGCTGGTCGGCGCACGCGCAACTCGGCGGCGGAAGATGCGCAACTGGCGCGGTACGTCACGCTAAAGCCCTAATTCAGATTGTTTTCAATGATGAACTAAACAGAAAACATTTTTTTATAATCAAAAAACCAAACGCAGTTAGAGCTCAGACGAAACGGTGATTTTTATAACAAAGAGATTTTCAAAAGAAAACGACAAAAATACGAAGAAAAATACGAAAAAACACTTGAAAGAACAGAAATATGAAGATTTCCTCCCTGCTTATCGGTAAGAAAACACGCTAGAATTTGCCCAAATCGATAAAAAATAATTTTTTTCGGCCGAAAAAGGTCTAAAATCTGCCGGAAAAAACCCGCTTTTTAAATTTCATTATTCTAATTTTCTTTTTATTGTTTTTGTAGATCCCTTAGAAAGCTTCTTTTTTACGAATGTGTTTGATTTTTACGGTCAGCTCGGACGGAAGGGAGACGGAAAATGGAAATGATGTGGGAAGGGCGCAAAACAAAACGCGCTTTTGAAAGGCAAAATGAGCTAATCGAGAATGCGACTTTTTTCGGCCTCTGGGAAAAAAGGTCAAACGGATGGCTTTTTATATCAGTGCCTATATAAGAAGTGCAGGGGCTGTGAAAGCTTGTTATTTTAGTCCGAATCCATTTATGCGCAAATTTGGAGCTTTATTTTCTTTGCGCGAGTTTTTCACCGCCCTTGTTCTTTTTTGCTAGAGCGTAATCACGTGATTGTCGGAAAGGTCGAAGGTGAAAATTTTTCAATTGAAGATTCGAAAATCAGCTGTGCTAGAAAAACTAGAAAGCTGTATTTTAGGGTTGAAAAGGCCCTCTTTTGATCCATGTTTCTGAGTCAACATTTGAAGACTTTCGAGCCAAAAACAATTCATCTTTAAGCCGAAATAAAGAGATATTGAATATACAGTCAGATACAATGTACCTTCTATGTCAGAGTCAATTTGTATCAAAAACAGATTTGAACACATTTTAAATATTAAAAAAGTATCTGAAAAATATCTCGCGATGGTGAATATTTAGTAAGCGCTCTTAGCAACCCTTTAATTTCTTGACAAAAGTCTGACCTGAAACGACTTTTCTACCATTAGGTCAAGTTCGGATCGAATCAACAAAATTATGAACAAATCTCAAATTCAGCAAAGCCAAGTCTTTTCCTGGCGGGCGACTCTTATTGCCAATTGACCTTACATGGTTCACGGTCAAAAGTTTTTTCATGGCGAATTTCATCGTTGCCAGAAAGGGTGGAAAATTGATGATTAAACTCTTTACCAATTTCAAATATTCAAAATTTACTCTTTGACCTACGAAGACGCCCTTAGGTGGTCTTATTTTGAAGATTGACTGTAGAAAATCAGGCCCTGAAGTACCCAAGGTGCCATATTCGACGCGAAAATCGTCAGATCTGTCGATAATCGCCGAAAATTCTCCTTCATCTTTCGCCTTTCTAAAACAGGCAGCGTTACAGTAATGGCCCAGACGCACCCTCATTTGCTAATTAATAATTCCGATAGTGTTTGGGCGCTAAATGTGACAAGCACCGAAATGTTACAGATGGCTAGACAGTGGCAGCCTGCTCTTGATCCGATTTTCCTCTTGAAACTTGTCAAGCCAAAATCGATGAAATTTTCTTTTTTTTCAACGGAATCTCAAAAAGAAAGAATGGTAACAGCTCGCTAGAATTGATTTTGTTCTCAGAAAATACAATTACTTCCGTTTGTTCAAGTCAATTTTCGCGCCGATTTGACCCGTGTGAAAATAAAAATTTTTAATCGACACCAATTTCCGTAGATTCAAAATCCTGCTTCTAATTTGCGCGATATTTACTATCACATAATGAAAATAATCCACGCATATTTACGCCTTCCCTCCCATTTCTAAATATAGTCTACTCTTTCCATAAAGTAATTTTCTTTCTATGCAAAATTTTATCGACCCTTATGTTGTCCAAATATGATTCTTTTTAGGATCACACGGGGACAATTTCCGGCTGAAAATTATCCTCAATTTTTTTCATCCCATTTTTATTTGTATCCCATTTTTTCGGACAAGCGGCCGTAATTCAAGGCCGCCAGAGAACGACATTTTTAGTAGCGCATTTCGACAGCCCTCAAATCTTGATCAGTCGCCATATGCGTATTTTTATTGGAGTTTACTCTTCTCCAGCCAAATTAGTTTATACAATTTTTATGCTCTTTCACTCACACTCACACTCGTTTCCCATGATACTTATCATCGCAGGCTCGTCAACATAAAAATCGCGGAAAATCGTGCGTATTTATTACGGCCTCCGAAATTCGCGAAATTTGTGACAGGACGTAGTAAACCCCCTACGATCCTTTACCATTTTCTTTCCTAGGTTGGTTATGAACGCAGCTGCGATAAGCCCTATCTAGGTACACATTTCCAAATGTTAAAACTGGCGACCCAGAAATCTCTTTCCGTCTAAATGGGTTCCGTATTTGCTCTGTCTTAAGATTTGCATAAGGGTTGAAAAGTTTGTCGAGAAAACAAAAACTTTTTTTGTCGCCCAGCTGGGGAAATAGTTCGTAATCCGCATAATTGTTGGTACGGGGGGCTAAAATAGGGCTGAAAATTTTAGCCTCTATTGTGAGGCTAATTTTTGTAGTTGCTCCAATTTTCTAATTTGGCTAGGTCGCCTAACTCTTTTCATAAGAACGCACTTATGGTGTCATGCTGTGTGCCTAAAAATGGAGCCAATTTTGTTTGATTTGGTTAATAAGGCATTACGCCAATTTTTGATCAGAAACGACCATAGTAAAGAGAGGAAGCATCTGGCAAGTTTTCTAGCTCGAAGCAGGTGAAAAAGGGTTATAAAATCGTCAGATCCTCATGTTAGCTTTCTCACATACGATTATGGTTTTTTCATAATTTTATTGTCCCAGCTAGCCAGGTGGTTCAAACAAAGCGAGTCACTGTAAGATGGCTCTGTCATTTTTTTAATTGTCCTGTATGTTCCCAAAGCGTGGCCCTTTCCGCTCGTGGCTATTGAATCTCTTTTCCGGAAATGAAAACATTATGATAATTTTTAGCCGCTGTATTGATCGGTTAATCCTCATTAACTTCTCAAACAAAAGCTCAGCCGCCTTCTGAGAGCGTCTTCCGCCCGAGTTGGCTCCATGCCCTGTACAGTAGTTAGTTAATTCATGTATTGAGCACCTGCGGCGTCTATATTCCTGGCTTTTTGCCCGCAGGCGCGTGCCCGAATCGCTCTGAGGACCTCGCTCTTAGTCCTTCTTTTTTTATATAAACAAGAAAAACAACACGCGATATTTTCTTTATCTCAATCTTTCAAAGCCAAAATGTTTACAAAAATCTATGATTCAAAAAAAAAACTCCAAGTCCCCAAGATATCGTTATTTAAAAATATAAGAAAAAACAAGTGATTACAAAATAGATTGATCGAATTTTTCAAGCTGGCGTTATCGCTTTTAGACAGGCGTTTTTTGCGGCTTCTTGACAAAGATGGATTTTTTGAGAAATCGTCTCAAAATGTCACTTTTTCAGAATAGAAATACATGTAGTCTTGTCGTTATTTTTCAATTCTAAAAAGTAAGAACACGATTCTAGGGCCTTTGGCGGTCAGTAAATGCTCAATAAAGAACTAAGTGTCGTTTTCATGCGACAAAGTGCGGGAGGCTTTTCCCAGTTACGGTGTTCAATTTCTTGCAATATACATGCTTATTGCCCTTATTTATTTTCTACTTTTCCGTAAGCACTCGAAGCCTTAGGGAACAGGGAGATACCCAAGCCGGACAAACGGGCCTCTGCTGAGCGCTTTTCTTATCCCTTTATCACATCTTTTCCCGATCCCCCGCTGTGCCAGTCCGTCTAACCATCACCATAATTCGTAAGCCAGGACTAAGGATGAACGGTGCCATTTTCCATTCATCATAATTTTATCTACCCTAGGCTCCTTTTCCCACAGCATATCCACCCTTATCTCACGAATTTTCCACGGGCCCTGAAAATGCCGTTTTTTAGAAAGAGCAGATTTTTGGACTTTTTTCTAAAAAGAAAGAACTTTTTTCTAAACATCGAAAAATGCAAGTTTTCATGTTTTTCTAATAAAAAATTCTGTTATCTCAAAAACAACAGCTGATTTTCCTCGAAGACGCATTCTACAGATGCGCTCGGGACGAAATTTAACCACGACAGCTTTAACCTACCGCTCTTTAACTTATTTTTCTTTCAGGCAGCGCGTGGTCTTCAATATCGATAATTGACGAGCCGCTGCCGGTCAGGGCGATTGTTGGCGAAACCGTCACCCTTCCATGTGCAGTTGATGGACTTCCCAGCAAGGACAAGAACTCGGTTCAATGGCTCAAGGGATCTACCGAAAGGGGGTACTTTGCTCTTGGTTTTCCTCCACTTGGAATTGAAAGATTTACCCAAAAAGCAGGAGACAACAAAGGTAAGAATTTCAAACAGAATCAGATTTATTCAATTTCCTCAGATTACTCTCTGACAATCGACGATGTCCAAATCGAAGACGAAGCAACATTCGAGTGCCAAGTCACGAAGCACCAGCTCCGCTCCCGCCAAGCGCATCTTACAGTTCTCCAACCGCCACAAGATGTGAGCATGTTTCCCGTGTCCGACGGTCGGGGCAACAGATGGCCCGAGCTTGACGAGAAAACTGGCGTGCTCTCCGTCGTTGAGGGCGAAGCTACGAAATTGCGGTGTGTTGCTAGTTCTTCCAAGCCTGCTACTGCTCTTGACTGGTCTTTATCAGGTAAAAAAATAGATTGATCATTGATCAAGACTTGTATTGAATTTTAAAAGGCTTTGCTCGAATCTCAGCAAATTTAATCGTTTTTGGTGAGCTGTCAAAGAGCGATTAATTCGTAGTTATAATTCAATAAAACTGGGAAGAGTCTAAAATTATGTCGAAAATTGCCTCCGCGTAACGTGTTGAATGAATCCCAGATTTCACGCTCTTCTCGGTTCTGAACCATTTCCGCCTTCCTCTGAACATCTTTTAAACTCCATTTCTTTTCCTGTTGGAGCAGCGATAAATCTCGGATTCAGAAATCAGGTGTGAGAAAAACGGGACCTGTCATGTTAACTGTCCCCCGCGTTGACAACCTTGCTGGCAAAAAAAAGGGTTGAGGCACGTTGAGAGATGTTTTGAATAAATCTATGTTTGCAAACTACTATCTAACTTAAACTTTCGCGTTTTCTAGAGCTCTCTTTTAAAGAGAAATCAGTTTCGGTGGCCGGAAGTTCTCGTTCAAAGCATAAATCCGCCGACTCTTCTCTTTTCTTTTTCTAGGGCGGTAATTACGACTGCGTTTGTTTCCACGAGTCTGTATCTTTCTAACGGACGGTATACCCTTATTCATTAGAGGCTGAGAAAGTCTAAACAGAGCAGCTAAAATACTACCGGCTTTAGAAAGAATAGCCAGGAATGTCTACGCAGGAAGCTGTGAAAGGGCGCGTTAAAATTTTCTTTGGATAATTTTTTGAAGGCCTCCAGCTTTCTTCCGAAAGTTTGACCTTGTCCCGGAAGCATTTAACTGCTTCCCGCGTGAGGCGAGTGATGGCGTTTTTTTATCGGAAGCGCTCAAATTTGACCTCTTGTCGTGTTTTCTCTGGGCCGTGATGTTTGACAATCGCTTCCGAAAATTTTAAAATTCTAATTGCCAAATTTTGCAACTAGAAAAATTGGCGACGGGTCAATTTTCGCGCCAACTTTAAAAGGGGAGGAAATCGCGCGAAAATCTCAAAAGCTGAAAACCGAAAGATAATAGAATCAAAGCGAGGTTACATCCTTTTCATAATAATACCCTTAACTATCGTCAGATTAAGGGGGTAGACAACCTTAAGCCAATTTTTGCGTTCTTCACAGAGATAAGGGTTTACGCTGTTTAAGCCCTTAGAAGATGGATGGAAAGGACACTTGTCTTGTAGAAAGTTTCGTCAAGAATAATAATATTTCGCTGGATATTACTATTCGCGTGAGAGCGGCTGTCTTGGAAGGTTGGTAATTTTGAGCCTTCCGTATTTCCGATCTTGTCAGATAAACACGAGTTGACACGATCGCCCGGGCGCAAAGCTCATAATAGCAAGGCTCTTCTTCACTTTCTCTTGAAAACGCGTGTTTACGCCACAGAGTAAAGACAATAGTAACTAGTAGACCAACATCATTATTAGTCTTTTCTTTCGTCTCAAGTTTAAACTAACTAACTCAAGAATAGCTACTGAAAGAGGGGGATTAGGGGCGCATTTACGAAAACAGCCGAAAGCAAACCAATGAGTCGCCAGACCATGAGTTGTACCAAGCCAAAAGCTGACCGCCGCGCCTCGGATTTCTGGATCAGACCCCGGATCATTTAGAAGTTATCTTCTACGCGTAATTATGCTGTTTTCCCGGCGCTAGAAATGCTTTTATCTTCCTAATTTTGCAAGGGACCTGGAACCTTCTATTCTTTATTTTCGAAGAATTCCTGAAAAACATCAAAGATTGAATGGAATGCATCACGTGATCACGTGAGCTGGTTATGGTAAAAAATGCATTGGACATTCATTTCGCGTCTGAATGAATAAAAATCGAGCTGTCCATTTTATATTCATCAGATGTAAGGTCAAAGAATTGAACAAGGGAGAGGTTCTCTTCTCCCCGCCTAAACAAAAAATGTTTTCATCCAAGGCCAGAATACATTATTTTTTCATTGAAGAAGTGGGCTCTATTTACCTCTTATAACCTCTTACTTATCAATTCTTCTGAGGAAGCGAAGTCTTACTTGGAAATTTCAATCCTTTGAACCTCCTCTTCGCTAAATTCATCGCCAGAACTATTCTCGATCCAGCTGTTGGTTTATTTTCATCCGATTCAGTAGCAACAAATATTCCTCGCGAAAAATGTGAGCCGATTAAAAATACCTCTGCAGAGGTATTTAACTAAATAAACAGTCGGCTATTTCGCCCGTCTTACTGGTTATCTTTAGGGATATTATCGGGCCGGATTTTCGCGCTCCCGAAAATCCGGAGGTACCGCCCAGTTACGTACTTTACGCGTCTATAACACGAATATCGTCATGTTAGAAAATCCATTCTAACAGCCGTTGATTATCTATAAGCCTCCGCTTGATTAGAATTATCTAAACTAAAGGAAAAACTGTTAAAAATGGACTTTTTCCTTAAAAAAGTGACATCAACGAGGTTTCGAATTAATTAATCTGACTACCCAGTAGACTCCTTGGTCAGTCAATCTGGCTCATGTTTGATATTTTGGCTGAGAAATGATCGCGCTTTCATTGAAAATGCACGGAACTTGGGTCAACCTTTTCTCGATAGCGTCCAGTTTAGAAACAGACTCGCTGGGAGATGATGTTCTGTGTGAGATCACCGCTAATCACGGGCTCGGTTAGGTTTGACAATGAAAAGGAAACCCAGCGCCAGGAAAGAGTGGAAGAGGAAAATATTTCAAAAAGCATTGTTCAGCGGTGGCGGAGGTGTCAGCTAGATGTTGGAGCAGCTTTCAAAATGGTGTAATCCACTTGTTTTGTGGAAAAAGAAACTCTGATTTTTCAACCCTTTCCCCCCTTTTTTTCTTTTTCATAAGAAAGATCATTTTTTGAGATGCTTTTTTGAAAGGTTTCTGAAATATTTGTTTGTGGTTCAGGCCAAATTTTTGGCTTTTCTAAACCACCAAGACGGAATTGCCCAGACTTGCAGAAAACATGATGTCATGATTTTTCTCCTTGGTTTCTAAAACCTTTTAGCCTGCCAAAAATTATCATCATTGCGAGTGGTCATTGATAGGCCCTAATTTTATGCTCAGAAGACTTCCTTACGTGAGTCGGAATTTGCCCGGCGCCACGCGGGGTCATTGTTAGAATCCCCAGCTTCTTTGCGCTTATTATAACTTCTGGCTTCTGAGTTGCCGAGTTCTAGCACCTGCTGGAAACATTTTCATACAACGTGCTTTTATGCTCCTTATACACAGCTAACGCAAAGAATGATCTTGTTTTACAAGCATTTCTAATGCGATTTGCCCCTCTCAAGATTATCTCGATTTTTCTTATCAAGATTGCCTACTGTATAAACTTGTTGCTAAAACATACTTTCAGGAGCGTCTATGAACGGCACAGATTCCATTTCCGGCGAAGTCGTGAAAACAACAGTCTCCGAAATGACATTCAAGCCGACCAAAGAAGACCACCAGAAATTCGTGACGTGCAAGGGAAGAAACGAGGCGCTGGATGAGCCTGTTATCCGTGAAGTCGTGCTCAACGTACTTTGTAAGTTTATTTGACATGCTTATTATTGACAAATTACCGTGAGCTGTTGAACTCATTAGACGAATACTTTTTTCAGCAGTATTTAAATTTCAATCTCAGCCTTTTGAGACGAAAGTTCAAAGAAGCGAGCTGTAGTCACATGTTCAGCTAATCTTTTAATAAAAATTGTTTACCACTAAGGCTGCAGATTGCCGACTATACCTGGTGTTTATGCAGAAGTGGTTTGTAAGCTTTTCGAAAAAGAAATAACTACGAGTGACAGGTTTCGCCCCTTCTGCCATTTTTGCGACGTGTTCTCGTTTTCAGCTGAAAATTGTTCCTTCTTGGAATGTTTCGCTTTTTTTGAGCTTGGCGAGGAAACAAGGGGAAATTGAGGATTGGTAAAAATAGCTTTTGCGGCTTTGAGAGCCGGATAGTCTTCAGTTAGGCCGGAAATTTTGAACGTAGCGCTTGTTATACAGTTTTATGTGCGATAAAAATCGAGTTCAATAGAGCTCTAGAAAGACAAGAGAACAAATACATTATTCATTTCTCGCGGTTTCCTCGTTGTTCTTTTTTTTAAGATTCGCATGATTCATCAGTTTCTTCCCTTTTCTTATTTCTTATCAAATTTATCTTTTAGCAAAACCTTCGATTGCCGTTGAACTCTCCAGTGACTCTACTGCAGAAGGCGATGACGTCACAGCTAGTTGCCGGACTTCCGCTAACCCTCCAGTGGCGGCTTCGGACATCCTCTGGTCAGTCGGTGGTGTACGCGTCGAGAATGCTTCCGGTCCAACGCTCATGCTCAACTCGGTCAGCTCGGATATGGATTTGAAGCTCGTCGAATGCAGAGCGAAAAACTCAATTGGACAGAGTTCTGGTGCCACTCCTCTCCGAGTCACATGTACGTTTGTATATTGCTTCAAAGCGGCCTGAATTGCATAATAGTCAATCACCACATAAGTTGTTTTCCCCAAAAATCCGGCATTTTTGACGCTTCACTGGTTAACTACGCATAATTTAGCGGTACGGTCGTTGAAGGTTGGAACAAATGTTCAAATTGAGTTTTCGGTATCACCAGCGCAGCAAGTCGCAAAACAAACTGCGGTGTCGTTAGATAAATAAAATAAATATAAATATAAAGGACAAATAAAAGGGACAGCTCTGTGGCTTGCGAAGGATTCCGAGGGCTTTCCTGCCCGCAAAATCGCTGCCCGATGATGACATTCTTAATTGGATCACACCTAGACTTGTCTACCAAAAAACTCAGACATTTGTGAGCCAAAAAAGAAAGAAGATAAAGCTACACCCTTAATCGCGCTAGAATCCGCCCGGATCAGACACAGGTGGCGGTAGTTTTTGTCTTAAAAAATTTCCGCACCTGTTGGCTCGTTTTTGTTGCACCACCCGGTGGTTAATGGGACTTATTTTTTCCCGTGCGCGCAAAATATTTTTAAAGGGCAAACATATGTTGGTGCTCGGGGGAGTGCTCCGAGAAGTGTTAAAATACCGACAATTTGGGTGATTATCTACTGCCGCGGTACTTTCCTAGAATGTGTTTTGCTGAATACTGAAGTCATTTCAGCGTAAAATGCACACTTAATAGCCGCTTAACCCCTTGATGCGAGCTACTTACCGGGCGCGGGTTAAACCGGATGTAGACTCATGTGTGTAGGGCACATCAAGCGCGGATGCGTTGTAGCTCCAAATATTTGTGGCTGGATCAATTCACAAGGGCACGTTTCTCGCTCTGTACGTCTAAGGGTTAAGCCACACCCTCACGAATTCATTCTTCTTTATGTGTTTCTTGGCTTAGCCGCCGGTTCTTATTCAACAAGCAAAAAATGCTCTCACTAACAAATTTTCCTTCAGATGCGCCAAAAGCAGTCAAATCAACTCCCGAACGCGTCGTTATGGATCAACTTGAACGAGCCGCTCTCAAGTGCGAATTCGCCGGAAATCCGAAACCCGAGATCACGTGGTTCAGGTCTCATGATCAGGAAACACAGATCGGTGTGGGGGATTTCTTAGAGATTGCGGAGCTCAGTTCTTCTCATGCGGGTGAGTATATTTGCTTGGCGGAGTCGATGCTTGGCAAGGCCAGATCGAGCGTCACCTTGGCTGTTCGTGGACCACCAGTTATTACCAGTCAAACAGGAAAGAGTCGAAAACCGTTTTTGAAACATGAATTTTATGGTCTTACAGACTGTCTAGTCTGTAAATTAGAAAATTCAAGATGTTTCGAACATCTAAAATAAAACCAGGTGACCCTCTCTGTCGCCCAGTTTTGGTCGAAACTAACTCGTGTACCTCATATAAACACAAATGCGTGCAGTTGAGCTGTATTTGCGTCATTACCCCATCCCAAATTTTTCATTGTGACTTTTTTGATTATTGTTGGGTGTGGCCCTTAGTTCGCTTGTTGACTCTCGGAAAGTACAAACCGGAGACACCCTGGAATGCGCCTTCATCGCCGAGCCGGAACCAATCTTGGTCCAAATCAGGGATGTTGCAGTTGCCGATCAAGAAGAAGCGCTCGTTTTCAAAGGAATGGATTGACAATTCTTCGTATTGACGGCCATCAAAATCACTAAAAAGATGATATTTCGAGCTTTGTCTGTAAAAATGATTGTCTATCCCTGCAACAGGAACTCCCGAAGACTTCAAGAACTCGCAGCTTTCGCTCCTCCTCGAGCGCGGCCAGTACGAATGCATCGTTGGAAATGAACTCGGCCAAGTCTCCAAACTCATCAACCTGAAGGAAACCGGTATGACTTTTTGAACAAATCGTGTTTACAAAGCGCTGTAATAACGCATTTCGCACGTTCAAGCGGAAGCTGAAGGGGAAACTCCCGCCCGAATTCTGGAGCTGCCTTGACTAAGTGGCGCCAATTTCAAAGCTGGACATGACTATTTGGCAATTTTTTGCGCGAATACTACATGGTGTTTTTACAACTAGGAGAATACTAGATCTAACCCCTTTCAAATAAAAACGTCCGTAGTATCCTGAGAATAAGATGTTATTCAAATATTCACAATTAATTCTAGGGCTACCACTGGAAGTTATTCTTGGTACCGTGATTGCTGTGGCTCTTCTTCTTGCGGTCGCTGGAGCAGCCCTTTGGTTGCGGCTTCGCTCGATGACCCGAGGTCAGTGTTACAAAGCAGCTGATTGGGCGGGCGCTGCTGCTGGTGCTGGTGTTTCTGGAGCTACCGCTGGACATCATCATTCGCGGAACGACGACCACTTTGCCACCGAGATCTCTTGCCCTCAGCTTCTCCGAGAATCCTCAACCAAGTCCGTCAACGAAATCAACTCGACTTCATCCCATCAGTCGAAAAAGATAGCTTCTGTCCAAGGATCGCGAGTCGGACAAATTCACACACAATCAACAGGCTCTGCAATCCACGATGATGGCTATGGAACCGAGTCAGGCTCGAACAACAAGGTAAAATCCTTTTCAAAAAAAAAGTCGCAAAGTGAGCGATTTTCAGGAAATTCTCTTTACCGGATTTTCAAGCCATAATCCAATCCGTTTGAGTGGTTGCGTTGTCTCTTTTGAGGAGTAGTTTTTCGTTCTCAGGCGAGACTTATTGAGACCGCACTTTTGGCAATAATCCTCACTTTTTTCGAGTTATTAGGGCGTTCTTCCCCAATCCAATGATGATTTCGTAACTGAAAAACTATGTTAACCTCAGATTAACTTGACCTGTGTATCTAACTTCTGTATTTTAGAACTCAGAGGACTCGAGTCAGAGCGAGAGCAATTCTGACTATGAAGTGTTGGTTTGTACCCTCAACCAGTCGGTTTCCACCGGAAGCGAGCAGATTCGAGTCGTTTTCGAAGGGTCAGACCCGTCCAACGCAACTTACTTTCCTGAGAATCTTCGCTGCCAAGCTGCTAAGCTCCGTCAGAAGCAACTTTCAAACCATCAAAGACCGAAGGCTAGATCAGTCAGCCAAGTCTGAAACTGATGACAGTGTAACTCCTGTATCTTTTATCTGACTGTATATTGTTTTTACAAAATGTATAATTACGCCACCAATTTACTGATTATCAGAATAAATGATCAAATTCTGTAAAGCGCTCTATTTTTGACAAATAACAAAGTAGCCTTGAGCATAAATATCGTCATTCAAGTCTAAAGTCTTCGTTCAATTCTTAATCCACTTCATTCGCCGCTAAATTCGTCAAAAGATGCTAAATATACACGCGTATCATATCAAAGCTGGAAACCACGTTATATTTATACCCTGTCTAGGTCGAAATTTACCCAAGATAGAAGTTATAAAAGATCAAAAAATAGAATAAATGGAGCATAAATGGACGTTTTCAAGAAGCGGTATCGTCTTCGAGACAGCGCAAATATTAGGTCGGACTGGCGGATACCTGTTCAAGGAACTTCAGATGAAAAAAGTGAAAATGAGAAGCATGTTATATTAAATATTTTTAAATGAAGTCAAGAGGGCAATCACCAAAGCAAGGACAAAAATTGTACGAATAAAATGAAAAACTTTCAAATGTCGTGAGCCTGAATGTTCGTCTGCCACTGAGAATCAACTTGACAAATAAATAATGAAGATAAATTAAATGAAGCAATATTCGGGCAGCCCTCAAAGCACGGGCAATTTCATCACGAAGATAATACTAGAACACGAACTTGATAAGATTATTTTAAAACTGTAAATTTGAGACGTCTCAAAACTGTGTCTCACAGACGCAGTTTGCCCTGGGGCGTGTTCATGGGAATAAAATGCTGCATTATCTGGCATCTTGCATCCACAAATTGAGTTCTCTGCTCATAAATTGCAATAAAATAAAACGAGATAAAATGAAAAGAATCTGGGCAATTCAATCCACAGGGGCACTCTCATAACATAAAATGAATAACTGTTTTTAGTTTTTTAATTAAGGTCCGCGGAGCATCGTCTTCTGTGATTTACAAATTATGAATAAATGAACTAACCTTATTATCGTGTTGCAGTTTCCGCTTATCTCATTGTAAGACAAGGCATGGCAAAAAGCATGTCCGGCATTTATCGGACAGGGATTTCTCCACCTTGCGCTAGAGCTTTCTCTAACCTTTTTCTTTTCTGGAAATCAGTGAAAAGGCCAATCTTCTTGAAAATTTCAATGTTACGAAACAAGCTCTCCTTTCATAATTTCATTATAAGTTTTTAATATTTATCCATAAATAACCCTTCAAGAGATCAAAGAACCGCTTCGCACCATAAAAAAAATTGCTGATAAGAAAAAGATAAGGAAATGATAAGCGTTCCAGGAGTCGTGCCATGTCGTAAGGGTTGAGATTTGCGGAAGGATTTTTTCTCAGCGAGGAGATGATCAAAGGGATGAAAAAGTTGAGGCGTTGAAATCCGGCAACCGTCACAAGCTTTTCCGCTGGCAGATGATATCGAAAAACACTGACGTATGCTTTTTCGTACTTTTTTCGACCTTGAAGTCAACTCATAGAAGTAGGCATACTAACTGAGTAAATTTGCAAAAGCTAAATGAGCCGGACTGAGTCTACTAGAACGATCATTATTTAAAATGAAAAAACAAAAAGAAATAAAGTATGGTCATATATAATAATAATATGATGAATATCAAAATTTATGAAATTTTAAACACCTGACAAAATGAAGAATCCAGAGAAAAAAACATAAAAATAAGAATACTGGTTGAACTGTCTCTCAAATAAACTCATATTATATCAGCTAGAATGCAGATTATTCATGGATATAAAGGCAACCGGAAGACCTTTCTGGATACTTAGCAGGCTTCGTCACACCGCCTGTCCCGACTTTGGTACTTTGCCATTTGCGAATTTTCATGCCTGCGTCACCAAATCCGCGAATTAACCGGATCCGCCTCACCGTCCTCTAGTCACTCTACACTTTTCGGCTTTTAGTGAACATGCGATTCAGGCTCAACCGTTGCAATTTCAAATTTCTAGCGCTCTTTTTGCTGCATGAGCCGCTATTTACTGTAAATGGCGACTATATTTGCAGGGATCACACGGCGCGGCGTGATTTTCAAAACCAACTTGTCTTGTTGTTGAGAAATCGCCGCAATATTTGGAGATTATCCGCTGCTATCCCTACCCAAGGGTCAATTCTACAACGCTAGGACTCGATCTAAATCCAATTTAAATTCTCAATTTGGAGCTTTTTGATCCATATTTATTGCCACTCGGTTCGTGTCAGATGCGGGCGTGGCCGCCCTAAAAGAAGGGATCAATTTATACAAACACGGAAAAATTGTGGATTACGAATGATTTAGGATTTGTTTTGCAAGGAAATTTAATTTGGGAATTTTAGTTCGACTAAGATGCACTTTTTGTTTTTGCTGAGGTTTTAGACGATTTGTTGACGATCCATATTTATTCAAACACAAGTCGCAGGGAGCAAACATTCATTTCTAAAAGCACAAACTACCTTCCATTATGCTTATCTTATAGAGCCTTCTCATAGCCTATGAGTCATAGGGTCTTTCAGCTGGAGACTCCAGCCTGGAGTAAGAATCTTCCTTGATTTCAGGAACTACTACCTCGTTCTCAACATAGAATATTTTCAAGTTCGTGACATTCAAGAAGGAAAGAAAACGGCGACTCAGCTGTCGAAATGTCAGAAAAAGAATACTACTCATGAAAAACGAAAGCGGTACTCTCTCCAACAAAGTGATTAGTTCACTCTAAGATATCATTCGCAATGGTTTTCGCCGAGAAAAATGAGAAAAAAAGGAATTTGATTTTTCAGAAAAGAATACGGGTAATCTTATCTAAATCCTTGATATAATCGAACAGTGAATATAACTTGGTTTTAAAAGTGCCTTGATTGTGACTGCATTGGTTATCTGAGACGAAAAAGAAGAAAAGTGTATTTGTTGCCCGATTATGTTTTGACCACTCGAAGCATTCGCACCCAAGAATACGATTTGGTAAAATCAAAGAATAAAAAGACATGGAAGAAAAAGGTGACCGCGAAAATGAGCTTGGCGAAGCATGGAAACGGCACGGATCCTCAGCTTTACAGTTATCTTACGCTTGGCTCTATATTCTGGATTACTGTTATGCTCATAGGTTCTTATGTTTTTATATTTTTAATGAAAATTTTAAATATCTAGCAAATTTTCATTCCTTGGAAAAATCACGAGGCAGAACAACTTTTTTGACTACGACTTGCCATCGAAACTACAAGAAATGCGTTCAAGAAGCAACAATGGACTACTGCGGGCATCTGATGAAGAAGTGTTATGAAACTCAAAAATTTATCCTTCCCGAACCTGTCACTCAAATTGTGCCCAGAGAAAAAGAGCCCTTGATTTTCACTGAAGAAGAAAACGAAGTTAACCAACTCCGATGTCAGAAGAAACAGTTTTACGACCAAAAAATCTGCCGCCATCTTTGTTCGAATTCGCTCGTTTCGGAATCAACAAGGAATAATGCTATCTCGCCCTGTGAATCGATGTGTTTTCAACTGTCAAGATCTTCAGACGCCGCCGGGGAAGTCTGCCCTCTTCAGAAATACTGTTTGAGTGGATGTCCTTGTCCTTTTTACGAGTGTGAGAAATTCGAGTCGCGCCAGACGCTGATTCCCGTTTTCGATCTGCAGCAAAACTTTACTGAAAACAATCTTGAGAAAACAGACGAGCAATTGTCAACTGAACTGACTTATACATTAAACGACAATTTATATCAGAATCACTTCAGGATAATCATCAAATCAGATCAAGATCTCAGCATTATAAAAAGTCGTTGGACGGATAGGGAGACATTCAAAGCACAAAGATTGCCAATTATTTTTTCCGATGTTGACGGCACTGATAAACAACTAGATGTTTCTCGCTCTTTGTTCTCTTATGAACGTTTTCCTCTGATCAATAATTTCGTCAAGAAATAATTATATTTATCAAATCAGTAAAACACGAGAGTCAACTGGTGCAACTTTTTTAAACGGCGAGCATTATTTGGTCGACGCTCGTGGAAACTTGCAAAGATTGACAGAAACTGGAACTTTATCTCTCTTCATTCCAAATGGACTCAAGCATATGTAGGCGAATAAAATTTAATTATGCCTTTACTCGTCTTGAAGCGGTTTCTTCGTATTCCACTTTGGATCTTCGATCGGGACTCACCAAATAGCCATTCACCGGAAAGATAAAGATCAACAGGTTTTTCCAGTTGTCGTCATCTGAAAAGGGTCAAGAAGATAGGATATTGTACCAGTATATATAAACTTGACCATTTAAAGCCGCCCCACTGGTAGAGAAGAAAAATGCTTCTACTACGGTCCAGATTACAATTTAAACCGTTTCGAAGAGGCTCAGGGCTACATCTCCAGCAACCACTTCAACGCGAAAGTCTCCTCAGTCAGTTTTAAAGGAGTATTCAATCTGATGAGTGTCAGAATGGGCGACCATTACATCAAACTGTCAACGACATATGTATTGAACAGAATTAGAAAAGAGGAAGAATTCGAGAAAGGATGGAAGAAAAATGAAATAAAAGTACCATTCGAATTAAGGGATTTAAACCCAGTTCACGTGACTCCTTTGAAAAAGGTTGAAAAATATTATTTATTACATCTTATAACTCAGATAACATGTTATCTAAGAAATCACTTTTTAGCCCAATTCAGATAGATTTGGGGCGACTTCTTTTAATTGTAGTGACAAGAAATGTCTTTTTATCAAACACACTTTATTCTTTGCTGTTGGAGACAGAAGGAAAATTTCTGACACTAGGACGCGAGTGGATTGGTTCTCTTATTACTTACGAACAGAAACGAATTTGCTTTTCGGCGTTGTTCTCTCAAGATGATCCGCACTATACAGATCAGAAAGGATATAACAACGACGAATGCGAGTATTTTGGACATCTATTCAAAAATGACGAGAGATTCTTTATCCAAAATAGTGTTTTTGATATAATTTTTGAAATCGAATTTAATTTTGGAGAGGGTTCAAA